CGTAGCCAGATCATCCTATTTACAATATTATCAAACATTATGCCAAGATTGTCAAAGTCTTTCAGACAGAGGAGGAAGGGAGTCTGGGTGTCAATGACGTGGAATGTCACATCTCCAATGGGGGTGTCAACATAAATTGTGCTAAGAGAATTTAGAGGCTTTCCTCCACCAAATCGAACTGTAGCTTCTCTGGCGCGTGATTTGTCGAGTGAAACTGAGGGTAGTTTGCGCTATAGGGCTAGGAATTGACCTTTGTCGGCTGTTGAAACAAAGGCAGCGCCAGAATCAGGCATAATTCCCTGGAATATGGAACTGGTGTATCTGTCCAGTATGAAGTTGTCAGACTTGAGTCCAACTTGCGAGTTGTCTGTGGCAGTAATTGAATGTTGGAATGCTCAGTCACTAAATAAGGTGGCTGTGAGGTACTGCACAGCATTGTCGCTACTGTTGCTTCCAGAATCCATAACATGTTGATCATACGTATCATCAGGGTTGGTGTCAGAAACAAGATCTGGCTCATAGTCGGCCAGGAAATGAATATAGGCAGGGCCTGTGGCTGGTCGTCCACGGAATTGTTGATTATATCGCTATTTCTCCTTAGATTTCCGCTGTTCCTCTGGAGAATGCTTCTATGATCGACAGTCAGGGTCATTACAGATATAACAACGTCTGGTAATGTTGCCATCTCGTTTACTGTATTGCTTGTCTTTCTGCCGGTGAAACTTGCGATCAGTAAAATACTGATTAGTAGTATGATGGGCGCTATCAGCTCAGTCTTCAGAGGTCTGGAATGATTGTCAGAGATTTGAAACAAGAGCTTCAAATATGTATAAAGGAATAAACAAAGTATAATTAAATTCTTTGATACCAGGGCAGGCATGTTCCATAGTTGCAATAAGTTGTGTCTTGCTTAGGTACGAAGGGCCAAGGGCACGTTAACAGAGTTGCAGTTTGTCAAGGAGTGCCTCAAGGATTTCCATGCCGGTCTTGCCAGCGTTCTCAGGTCGTGCCTTCATGTTGGCGTAGATGATTGCCGACCAATCGCGATGATATTGAGTCTTGTTGACTTCCGTGTTAAAATGTGCCTTGAGACAGTTGTACATGTCTGAGAACATTGAGTGACGGCTGATATGATGCATGAAATATTCTTGAGCTGTGCTAGTGAGGACTTAGGGAAATACTGCGTGGAACTGGCCAGGCTTAATGCCAATGATAGAACATGTGTTCAGGAAATAGCGTATCTTGTCATCCAGAATATCATAAGGTTGTCCTGAGTAGCAGTTCTTCTCCTTCCAGATCTTGACGAATGTTGCGATTGCTACGGGAGCTATGTCCTCGTTCGCCACTGGGATAGAGGGAATCTGGGTATATAGATCAGGTGTTTGATTCTGTAGCCATTGGTTGTGTTGCTGGTATGTTCCGACGCCAGGGTCTGGTATGATAGCGATGTGCCAAGGATCAGGCATAAAGTTGCCAGTTGTATATGCCATCTGGGTCTGTCCAGGCCGAAATCCAGGCTGCAGTATCTGTGATGGATTTTGGTATATAGTCTTATAGACATGCTGTTTGGTAGGTTCAGGGTCAGAAGTATCAGCAGGAGGGGGGTCATTCTTGTCTTCGCGTGTATCAGTAATGCTGTTATCCTTCTCTTGTTCGGCCAGGATAACATCCACAATATTCCAGATATTTGGGTATAGAAATGCTGATTTTGCTGTGACAAGAGAACGTCTATCCCATATTGGGAGGTCTTCAGCAGTGGTTAGATGGGCTAGAGCATCTGAGATGGATCTATTCGCTTTGCCGAGATAGATGCCTTTAGATGTGATGCATCTCTGGAAGGTACTGCGTATATTCCGGTCAACCTTTTTAAAATCTTCTTTAGACCATCCTTCAAAATTATTCTAAAAGAACTCATAAATGATCTGTGGATCTGGGTTCAGGAATCCATTGTAGCGGTCGAGACATGACAGGGCATATGAATTCATATGTATGGGTTCTCCTCTCTGGAGGTCGGCTGGTTCGCCCATACTGATGCGTTCAAGGTTGACTGAATTGATGAGGGTGGCAGGTAGGCCTCGATCCCTAAGGTATTAAGCCGGGTCTTGTGTGCTGTCTGTATCGGACATCTTGTTGAAGTTGGACGCAGTGAGCGTGATAAATCGAAACTGTGAAAGGCGTACACAAACGAATCTACGCGTTATTTGTGTGTGCGTGTCGGATGGGCGTGTCGGATGGACGTGTCGGATTGACGAATGTCGGATGGGCGTGTGTCAGATGGTTCTGTCAACAATCTGGTATATGTCGGACAGAAGCGTGTCATATGGGCGTGTCGGATTGACGAATGTCGGATGGGCGTGTGTCGGACGGGCACGTCAGATGGATGTGTGGGGGAGGGTTCTGTCAACAGTCTGTGCTGCCGCGCGGGGATGTGAATATTGCTGTGATTGCAGCGTAATCTACTGCCTCGAGTCGCCTCACGGAGGAACGTTTGCAGTGGAAAACCTCGGATCTCGTGCTGGGCCTCGAGTCGCCTCACGGAGGAATGTTTGCGCCAGAAGATCCAGATCTTTGGTTGTATCCTGAGTCGCCTCGCGGAGGAACATTGATACAATAAGATCTCTTCTTTTTCTTGCTTATCTATGTTGCCTTGGGAGACAACACTGATCAGTGTGGGAACAGGCTTGAATGATCAATCATAATACTCGAGTATTGGGTCAAGGTCATGATGTTGCTGATGGTTGGATTGGGAAGTCTAGCTGGACCTGCAAGTCTGGCTAAGTGACCCTATAATCTGGTATCTAATCTCTTATCTAATTATACATGTGGGTTCTGCATAGATGGTTTGACTGTGGAATCACATGGATCCAACAGATACCATGTTTTGCGATTGCTGCCGCAACTTGGCAAAATCACGCGCGATACGCATCTGGATCTTTGTTCAAGATCCTCTGGTAGTCTATCCTCTGATAAAAACGCGTCTAGAGGCCTGGTGTGCATTTAATGAAGTTGCGCGTCTAGTTCTTCCCAACGCGTCCAGCTTCGCTTGCTGCCAACAATTGATTTGCTATATCTTTAACATAACTGTGCCGGGGTAGAAATGTTTGCGCATCCAGGTCGAGAATGAAAGAAAGAATAGCATTTTCTTCAGGAACTATAAATTCCAAAGTATTGGGCATGCTGTTCCATTGTGATGGTCAGCCGGCAATTCTAGCCTTTAAAGTATTATATGGGACATGGAAAGTCTTAGAAAGCTTGCCAATAATAATATGAGAGTCGCGTCGTTTAGCTGGGACAGCAAGCTGTAAGTCTGATTTGCTATAACGCAATGTCATTATTATTGATTGATCAATTATGAGCCTTGATGAAAGGTTAGGTGGCTGGTGAAAAGTTGCCGTTCGCTTGTAATTGCCGCTTGCTTGTCATCTACATTAATTTTAATTATATTACAATATATGAACATTTTTTAATCTTATTTAAATGCAAATTTAAGCGTTAATTTATTATTTAATGATCTTTCGGGCGGGCTTAGCATCCTAGCGGTATATTCAGAGAGTTTTTTGAGTTTAAGTTTTCCCTACCGAATAGGCCCTAAGCGGAAGCACACGGGCCAAATCCCGAATTGATAGATAGAGCCACGCCACGCAGGAGGATCGGCTTGCTCGTGGTACGTCGAAGTGCGTGGAATCCCTGCCCACCTGTAGTCCGAATCATTCTTCCATTAAGGAACCTCCCATCGACTGCTTGATTCCTCTCTCCGTTCTTGCATTTCCTGGTCCTGCTCAGCCCTGTCTATTGAGAGCTTGTATTCGTTCCCTCAGACATACAATCAAATGGCATGCCGTCCCTGCTATACCGGACCTTTTTTGATGCTTACATCGGCATGATTTTGATGTTCCATCCGTAGTCAGCTTTCACCCCTTCCTATAAACCGAGGCCATCCTCGTGAGCGCCACTGTCATCGCCACCTTTCAGCGTCCCAGATTTGTCCATCGCTGCACAACCGGACATCACTATTCACGCTTCCCAGTGAAGGTATGGTCTTCCGGTGTAGATGAAGCACACCTGGAGGGCCGACCTCGTTCCATTCAGGCGTAATGTGGAGAGCGCGAGATGCGATGTAAACTTTACAACAGTGTCAATCGTGTCATCCCACGGTTAGTATCCCGACTACCATATTGCGCGCATGAGCCTCGTCGCCAGTAGACCGTCGACGATTGGCTCCTACTCGGGTTGAATTCTCTTGACCGTAGCAACGGCGCAAGAGATCCACGCAGCTAGGTCGACGATTTATTTCATGGTGGGGCTTCGCCACGTATGAACCCGAAGCTGTTGCTGGAGCTGGGCCCGAGCGCACAGAGGAGACCTGTCGCGTGAGCTTCTTAGCATAGGAGGTTGGAGCACGATACCGTGGGGGTGAGGATGGTTGACTCAGTCGGTGGTGACTGATGGCGATTACGTATTCTTCTCAGGGCGATCCCCTATTCTACCTTCACCACGCGGCTTTGGATTAAATTGAAATTACGTGGCAACGGAAAGGTGCCTGGGCGAACGCCTCAGCCAGGACCCGTTTCGTTGACGCCGGTAAATAGGTTGGGCCCGAGAAGGAGGGATGTTGGCGGGCCGGATACGCAATGGGTATATCCATACAAATAGTATGGTGACAAGTCTAAAAGAACATCACGCTCAGATTTGAGACGGACTTTGAAAGTATGGGGGGGACACTGGGGATTTGCGATGCGATGGGTATACGGGATAGCCCGTTCTGCTACATGTACACCTGAGCTTTGTTCACCACGCCATGGTAGAGAAACGAAAAGGGGGGTTTTGTATGCCTACTAACGCTTGTTTTGGTTCTGTATAATATCTGTCAGCATGCAGTCTAAACTCTGCGATGACATTGACTCCAGTTGACCGTTAAAGGCTGACGAATCTCGATGCCAAACGAAGCCTGCATCGAATCGGCTGATGCGCACACCTGGCTGATTTGGTCTTGACTTCTCCTAAACAGAGACTGGGGCTGGAAGACCGCTAGAGAATGCAGCTTCCTCACCCCACCACTTCAGGAACTCTTGCATCCTCTGGGTCCTCTCTTCTGCCAGCTTCCGACCAACCTCTGTCTTCATCATGCTCTGGATCTTCAAAAGCTTATCGTGGAAATGCTGGATCGAGTCGTCCATCGAGCGCTGAGTCCTCGCACCCCCGAAGGTGAAAAGCCTGCCGATCCCGATGCTCCCGATAGCATCCAGACGGTCCGCGTCCTGCACAACGGCCAGCTCCGGGTGAGACTTGATAAGATCTTGGACTCGAGCCGGATCCTTGACCTCGCTCGAATAGCTGACGCCCAGACAGATGGTCTGGACCTTCCTTGCCAGCTTTTCATTGGAGCCCAAAGAGATGAGGAGATCGTAGACCAGAGAGGACGAGTCCTCACCAGGCTTCAGATACTTCTTGTCGCCTACGTCGTGGAGAAGCGCGCTGAGAACCACAACTTGCGCATCCCGTTCAGGCACATCGGGGGAATGCGCATCGATGTGCTTCGCAAGCCCGAGCACACGCTCAATGTGGTGGAAGTCATGCGAGCCATCGTAGTTTGCCATGTAATTCTTGACGTACTCCGTGACCGAGTTGACGAGGCGCTTGTCGACTAACGCGTCTGGAGCAGCCATCATTGATCTTAGTCCACCTGAAGTCGGGACTACTGCGGGCAACGCATTAGTACTCGATCATACGCGCTCGTTGACACCCTCTATGCATGATCTTGGCTCACGAGACACACCATCGCAGCCGGGATGGAGGCTCTTCGGGTGTTCGGTCGGACGTAGCGTCGTTGCAACACGTTAGGCGCCGGAACAGCACCAGAAGGCTGCAGCAAGATACGCAAAGCGACTTACCGAACTGGCTAGCTTCCGGACCAGATGAGGGAGGGAAGTACGAGTCCTACTGGCTTGGCGACACGGCTCGGAACGTTCTTCAACGGGACCACCTGCAGGATTCCCAGGTTCAAGGTCGTATGCTGTGATGGATGATGGAGGGCCAGCTATTGTGGGTGATGCAAGTTCTTCATCATCATCACAGATCGAGAGACTGAATTCAAGGTTCTTTTGCAGGCCTGCAGGCAGCTAGGCCGTCAGAGCAGGGGTGACTCAGTCGGTCAGAGAGGAAGGGTATGCAGATATGCAGATAGGAGAGCAAGGGTGGCGGCATTGCATTGCACGCGCCAGGCCAAGGGCAGTCATGTGACTTGAGGGGATGTTGTTGCCCAGTCAGATCGCTGAGCGACCCATTAAGCGGGCATCTCCACTCCATCTCGCCTTTCCGTCCCGGCCCAGCTTCCCCCTTCCCCCCTTCCCCCGCCAATGCCCCTCTCTCGATGCCTCCCTCCCTGTCTCTGCCCTGTCCCGCCTCTGAATTTCTTGCTTCCTACTCGTCTTCAATTCTCCCCCGTGCAACCACCCAAAAGCTTGGAAATGGAACCGAGATGGACCGTTGCTTCTTCTTCGGACTGGTGCAGACACCACACACACCACACATATACTACACCACATGGTGGGCATCCCCGTCAAGCCCGTGTGATGGACTTCACCTACCCGCCGGGACTAGTGGATGCCATGCATGAAGCCGGCAGAAATCCATCGTCCTCACCGGAGGTCGACGCCCGGCTTATTAATGGTAAGACCACACTTCGAAGCCATTCCGAAGCCCCAGCAACGAGTCTTCGGCTCTTCCCAGGACCGCCTCCATCTGGACAGTTCTTTTCCGGACGAGCCGTGGAGAGCTTTCGTCCTTCCGGCGATGACTAGTTGTTCTCCAGTCACGGCCGAGCTAGCCAGCGTCATCGTCCTTGTCATCACCAGCGACGAGAAGGCTGTACGGTATACAATTGACGTGTTCGACATGAATGTAGAGAGATGCTCGGAAGATGAGATCGCATTCCGATATCGTCAAAAGCCACACCGTGGTTGGTGTGCCTGGCTACACTCGCAAATCCACGCATATGGCCTCTCATGGCCGAGGATCGTGCCATCTCACATACGCAAATCTTTCCAAGTGGATTAACCCTTCGCCAATGAGGTTCTCATGATGGGCTGCATATGCGAATGCACCGAGGACGCACGCCTCGTGCATCGTGAGTTCCCATGGAACTCCCCTGTTCCCCTGCTCCCAGGCTCGTCACGTTCGACGACGCGCATAGCGAAATGCCGTCGTCCCCCGTGCCGCCTTCCACTGTCCAGGCTCTCAGCCAAGACGAATCGAGCAGCTCGACTGCCTCCTCTCGGCCATGCAGCCACAGCCCCGATGGCTGCCCCCGTCATTGGCGGGCGCCCTGCACGTTGGCGTGTGATGGGTGACGGCTGATAAGCGACTGCTGGTATTGGCCTCCGGCAGCTGGCTATTGGCCAATGACGGCTGGGGTTTAGACGCCCAATCACTTCTTCCCGCCTAGCTTGACCATGTCTCTGCCCAGTCTGCAGTCTGCCTCTGCCATTTCTATCTTTGCGCCGCTTTCGTACCCATGCCCCCCGGCCTGCCAGCTTCTAGCCTTCCACCCACCACCCCCTTACGATGCTTCCTAGCCGCCCGGCTTGCAGTACAGCTGACATCTTCTGCGCAGAAGGGCTCTGCCGACCCACTGGACCCAGCATGTGTGTACTCAGTAATATTGCCTTGACTCGGTGTGTGCCTCCAGCCATACAGAAGCTGATGCGTCCCGTGGGGATCCGCAGATCCATGAGTGTGCCGTCATGTACGGGCAACATGTTGGCTACGCCGCCCGATGTGATGGTATCGAGGTAGCAGCATGTGTGATGGTCTGCAGTATGGGCCATACCGGGCCTCACGATTTGGCCCCAACATATAACACCAGCCTGCTGTCCTCCTTCCCCCTTCCTCTCTTTCTTTCTTCGGCAAGCACTCAAACACCAAAAGCTAGTTTCTCGTTTTTTCTCTCCCCTATTCTTTTCACCCTTTCCGCTTGATAGAGCTGTGCTCGTTCTTGCGTCTTAATACCCAATCTAATTAATTCACCTATACCACAAAATCATACTCAACCATACTCTGTTGCCGGTCAACTAGTCCCCTACTATCACCACCCAAACCCCCCTAATAAAACAAGAAACTAGCTTTTCTTTGCTCAACAAGTCCCCTAAAACCAATTTCCAGAAACGACAAGCGTTGCAATAATAACATCAAGCAAAATGTCGACAATTCAACTGTCTTTCTCTCTACGCGTTTCTTCCGGCGTCAAGTCCGTCCATCTCCTCGGATCTTGGGACAACTACGTCGGTCAGATACCCCTGTCCAAGGACAAGTCTTCCTCCAAGTCTGGATCATGGAAGGGCACATTCCGATTCCAGGGCAACCTCGAGCCCGGTTCCCGATACTGGTACTACTACATCATCGATGGCTACCACGTCTCGCACAACCCCAGTGAGAAGTCGACCGTCGAGCCCACCACTGGCCGGGAACTGAACATCCTCGACGTCCCCAAGGACAAGTCAAGCAAATCATCCAAGTCTTCTTCTTCGCACCACAGCTCCAGCAAGAGCTCGTCGCGCCATCACTCATCGTCGCACTCGTCGTCCAAGGACAAGCACCGGTCATCCAAGCGCGGTTCCCTCTCCGTCGACATCCCCAAGGGCCGCCCTTTGTCGACCTCGCAGATCGTAGCACCCAAGCCCATGTCGCCGCACGCCACGCGCCACATCTTGGACGCCGACTACTGCGACCAGGACACGATCGAGGAGCTGACGGCGCGCTTTGGCAGCGCCGGCATCGACGAGGAGGACATCCTGGTGGGCGACTTCTCTAGCTCGCCTGTGTCTTCGTCGGGCTCCAGCCTGTCGTACCGCTCCGACAGCTCGTCGCCGAGCTCATCTCTCTCGGGCTACAGCACCCCCGCCTCAGACTGCAGCAGCTGCACCTGCGAGCGCTACGGCATCACCCGCAAGGGCGACCGCGTCAAGATCGACTGCGGCGGCGCCCGCTGCGGCTTCAGCAGCGACGACGACAGCGCTTGCTCCAGCTCCGGCGATGAGGAAGAGGCCTACGTGTCGCGCTCCTCGCGCCGCAATGGCATCGTCGTGCGCTCGTAATCAGCCCGCCTCTGCCCTCATTGATGAACAAGAAGACTTGCCACCAGCATCACCAGACTTGGGATCGGATCCCCACCAGACCGGAAAGCCCCGAAGACAGTCAATAATAATGAAGACTCTTCAGTTGGCCGTTTCGCTCATTTTTAATCACATGGCAAGGCAGCAGCAGCGACCACCCCAAACCTGGTGAGCTCCCTCTCGCACCAGCCAGTTGTATGCTGTCCTTCGCCGCCCTGTTATTCCATTGCATCCGCACAGCGGACTGCGGGCAGGCTAACCGACGACTGCGACGAGCTGGTTCTCGCTTCGTGGTCTTGGTCGCTTGAAGGCCTGCCGCCAGTCCCGTGCGTGACACGCCCATTGGGTCGATGCTGCGGCCCCCACGAAAACGCCTCTGTTGGCAGGTCGCAACCTTGCTTTGCTCGGTCGACCGCCGCCACGGGGCTTCGTGCGCTCGTTTCGTATGTTCTGACAATTCTGTCTCGAGCACGGCGGGTCTCCCTCCCTTTCCCTCTTCGGCGGGGAAGCGACGGTGAGTTCCGCCGACCTGCTCCAGCGAAACAACAGCGAGCCCACCCTCCGTCGTCATCGTCACCACCAGATAATTACGATGGTTATGGTGATGACGCGGGAGGGGCTCCTGGGGATGTTTGTATGTACGTGTTGTTCAAGCGCGGTGCCCGGAACCAGACTGTGTGCGAAACTTTCCGGGCTCGCCCGCTCTGGTAGCTTGCAGATTGCTGCTCGCTGCTGTATTTGGGAGGATAGGTGTGGGACATGCAGGCGTTGCAGATGTGTCAAGGTTGCTGCCGCTGTGTATTAGGTAGAGGACTACTTGAATCTACTACTATGACTAGAACTTCGCTTTGTTTGTTTTTGTGATGTGACTTATTGGTTGTGCGTACGTTGCCTCAGACTATTCAGGAGACCTGCTAGGAGGAGCAGTTCGACGCTTTGGCTAGAACATACGCCTCGTCTCGACGTGTGCATGATCAGCACAGTCTTCCTTGTTACTGGACCTCTGGTCTCACCCTATCTGAATGACCTGTGGTCACAAAACAAAATAACTCGATGATCAGCACAGCGGCGCTTAGCACAGCGGCGCCCCTACTTACATTAGCAACTCGTTGACCCCCCTTACTTGTGCTCCATACTCCAATGACCACCGTAAGCCGTTGGATTCCAAGAGGTTGAGTCGCGCCCTCGCATACCAGGAGCACTGCATCACACTGCGGATGCTGGCCATGATCGACGAGCCTTGCTACGCAGCCTCACTAGATAGGTATGGACGTAGGTCTATCAGGTATCAAAACCTAGGCATGCTGAACGAAGGGCCTGAAGTGCTACTCCCGTCGGGCTCGGTAAGTTCTACAGACAGTGAGTGCATGGTTCCCGGCCACTCACTCGTGGGGGCGGGCCATGGCTGACTTGCGTAGGCAGCCAGCACTCGTGGAGGCCCAAGTAGATGGTGGTGGTGTCGAAACGGGGTTTGACACCAAGGACACTCACTACTCACGGGCGAAGAGTCAACTGCGCGAGTCCGGCGTCAGGTAGGTAGCCAATATCTGATTGAAGCCATCGACGAGCTTAACAGCCTGGTGGGAAGTAGACATATCACATATCACAATCACATAGCACGATCACACCACGTAGAACAAAGAAGAAGCTCAGAAGTGTCGGAAATCTTCGTTATTCCATTCCCCTTATCTGTCGTAAGAAACGTAACGGGTCATCCGTCCTACCAATCAATTCGTAGGGACCCCGCCTCTGTATAGCGCATGCCGCAAATCATCATCGGCAGAGGCGACGAGCGACGGCACAATCATGCCCAGACAAAACAAAAGCCTCGTGCACGGCCAGCAAAAATCACGTGGTCGTCCATTCCTGACCTCAGTCAGACCTTAGACCGATGACTGAACGCCGCAGTTCATGGCAAGGTGCGTTGCTTGTGTTTCCTAACTCCTGAACGCCCGAGGACTGACCGATCTTAGTATGTCTGTCCAAACAACTCTGCCTTCCTGCCTGCCTGGGACCGTGAACGCCAGATGGCCGGGTGTTGGCCATGATGCAATGCGTGTAGATATGAATATAGTGTACAACGAAAAGAGTATGTAATACCGGACGAGCTGGGTGTATGTGCAAGTGTTGGAATCAGCCAGTGTCGAAGCTGTTCAGTCGCCAAGCGCTCATAGCTCATAGCTCATAGCTCCCGGTAGTCGCTGGGCCGGACTCTGCGCTGGCGGTTCTGGTGGCGTCCGGGATTGACCGGCTTGCGGAAGTAGGCGTCGTCTTCGTTGACGCCGTTGGCGCCGTTGCCGAAGTTGGGCCCGCGGGCTTGCTGCTGGTTGTTGAATCCGTTCATTCCTCCGGCATTCGGGTTATTTCCACCCATGTTGCCCATTCCACCACCGTTCATGCCCATGTTGCCTCCGAACATGCCGTTCATGCCCTGGAAGGCTGCCGGGTTGCATCCGCCATTCATGCCATTCATGCCCATCATGGGGTTCATCATGGGATTCATGTTCATCATCATCGCCATGTTCATGTTGGGCGGAGCGAAACCGTTCATGGGGAAATGCATCATGTTGGGCATCATCCCTGGCATAATGGGCATGCCATTCATGCCTTGTTGCATCATGTTCGGCATTCCTTGGTTGGCTTGTGCGTTTCGCATAGCCTTCGGGCCCTTGGGTATCTTGGGGTTTTCCATCAATTCCTCCGCCCGTCGCTTCTTCGAGTTCGTCTCTTGTAGCTTCGGGGCCTCAGTAGGACTAGTCGTAGAGCTAGGAGTTGCCGAATTCCTTCTTCCATCTGTAGCGGGTAGCGACTTGGTGCTTGACAAAGGTGGCGAAGGAGACTTGGTCTTCTCAGGTGCTGATGACTCGTCCTTTGTTGTTTCGACTTGCGTCTCTTCCTTCACCGTCGGAGAGCGTGACAGAGCCTTGGCTGCAGGTGGACTTTGTGATCGCTCCTTTGATTTGGCGGCCTCCTTGTCCTTGAGAAAATCACCCATCTTGATAGATGCTTCGTCGTCTGCCTTCAGGTCATCAATGAGCACACCATCTGTCTGGCAACCAGGGCAGACGAAGTCGCTCTCAATGAGAGCATTGGTGATGCAGTCATTGCAATACGTCTTCTCACAACACGGTGTCTTCATTGGTTCTATGAACATCCGGCTGTCGATGGAGCACAGCAAGCCTCTCTCCTCAAGTTCCTTGTCTCCAGCAGTAGCTGCTTTCTGAGCGGCTGCGGATGACTTTGTCTTTGCCTGGTACTGTTCCCACGACGCCTTGTCAGGCTCTGCGATCACAAAATCACCGTCTGCGTTAACCATGACACCGGACGGAGGCTTCAGTTCCTCGCCATCTGCACCGGTCTGTTGCATAGCTGACTTGTCCACAGTCTTCAGGAACGAGCGGGGTATGCCTGTGGTGCGCTTGACGCGGGGTCGGTTGTCGAACTCGGGGTTGTCGTTCGTAGGGCAGACTTGGATCCAATGTCCCTTCTGGCCACACCGGTAGCAGATGTACCCATTTGGAGGTTCGTGGTCGGGTACATTCGCCGGTTTCTTTGCGCCGGGTTTGTACACAGCGGATTGACTGTCAAGGTTGTCAGTATAAATACTCCCAATTGAAACCTGGAGTGTACTGACTGCGACATCTCTTCCTGCTGAGCATTCCACTGGTCTGATTGCGCCTGGAACATGGCCATCATCTTCTCCTCCTCGGTCAGCGCCTTGCTCATCTGGGCAAGGCCGGTCGTGGCAGGCTTGACAGTCTTGGAGACGTGCTCTCTTCGGCCATGGTTCTTCGCATTTGCAGGCATTTTGCCTGATACATATCGAGCAGCGCGACCTGCTCCTTGCTTCTGGGGTGGCAGGCGTCGCGCGACGACAGTAGTTGATCGGGGAATGATGGCAGTATCGTCATCGTACTCTAGTAGTAGTTAGTATCATATAGCAGTGATCACAGATAATCGAGTCTGATCTTACCTTCACTACCGTCCTCGGAGTAGATGGCGAGGTCGAAGTCAGTGCCATCGCCTAAGCCGCTCTTGATGATGATGTCACGCTTGAGCTCGAAGACCGAGATGCCGGTGCCGTCGAATTCCACCCGCGAGGGCTCCTTCTGGGACTTGAACTTGAAGTACACAGACGAACTCATGGTGAGATACTGGGTTGTCGCTGAGTCCTTTCCAGATGTTGGCGCGAATGGAGAAGGGTTGGGGAGGATTAGCCCGGAGAGCCGTGGGGGTAGAGGATGGTGAGAGAATGTTGCTAAAGTTAGATGGGTGGAGGTGAAAGGTGCAGAGGGTGCAGATTGCACCTGTGTGGTCGAAATGGGGTGCGCAAGCTGATGGACCGTATTTGCGTTGCTGATTGCAAAGTTGCCTTCTGGCTATTGTGACTCTTCTCTGCGGCTGTGATTTTGTTTCAAGGACCAGCTGGCATGAAGATGGACGGGTATCAATTCTGATTGTACTTGGAAGAACAATGAGAGTTCACGCTCTGAGTAGGAAGAAAATGGAGAATGATGTACAAAGCCAACGGCGGATTTGACCACCAGATCAGCTCGAGTGATTGAGAAAAAGGCAGAAATTCCTCCCGAATCCAGACCAACAATCCCGCAGCAGCACCGCACTCTTTCTTTTTGTTTCCTAGTAAATCCCGAGCTTCCCGCCTATCCTATGGGTGTATTTTCCTCAAGCGCAAGGGTTCTCACGGTAGGTTAGTTGATCATCGCTCGCATCTCAATCGGCGTGGCAACTCGTCTGACGCGGCGACCGGGGGCGCTGAAGAAGACGAGCGATTGGTGCTGGTTGCTGCTGGGCACGCCGGAAGGGAAGATGAAGAGACGGCGTCGTAGATGCGATCGGTTCGATACTGGTGATACGCGGCACCAGGTGCTGCAAGTGGATCGTGGTGAAGGGTTGGTGATGATGGAAGTGAGAAGAGGAGGTGACGAGGGTCGAGTGAGGAGGAGTTAAGATAAAGTGCAGGCGGGATGGAAGGAACTGGAGATGCCTCGGGGCACAGTCGCAGCCTGTCAGCCACTAACAAGGCATTAGTCAGAGCAGCTTGGATGCTAAGCCCAAAGCAGACAGAGTCACGTGAGTCAGCTTTGTGCCGGTCCTGGCAGTGTGTGCCAGCTGAGGAGATTTGGCGGAGCTGTCAGCAGTTAAGAATGTGCAGCACCACATGGGTTGACGGGTGTCTGAGAGCCATATCTCGTACACCGGACTTATCAAAATTGTAAATGGGCAATATCGAAAACTGTCTCTCAAGATTCCAAGATATCTGGTCGGTTACTTGAATGATTTGATGTCTATTAAAAACAGCGCTATTAGGGACCCAAGCTAGCTATTGCCTCAACGCCAAAATCCTCCATCTACGACCCATATTCCTTCTAATGGCTATTTATTTACATCGTAAGTTCGTAGTATCTTGCTTGAACGTAATCTCACGTCGAAGTTGTCGACTTCCTGCCAAATTTAGGCAACTTGTAGCCTCTCATTTCGGAGGTCTCTTCAGTTTGGGTTCTCCCACCTTTCCGCCCTGTGCGTATGTCACGGCGAGAGGTGCAGCAACATCCCATTCCAGCATGGATGAAGAAGCTCAGCACAGTAAACAACGTCGCGATCCACATGAACACGAGCATCTTGATCCCGACATCGGCCTTGATGTTCAAGTCCGACTGACTCGACAACGCATACTTGAAGACAATCGACATGGCAGTGCCGAGGGCCGAAGCTACCAGGACTAGCAGCGCGACGAGGAAGGACACTATGCTGTACGGCAGACTCCACCACCGCGAGCGAATCACGACAGGAGTCGCCAACATGAGGATGAAACTCAGCACGAGCCCAGCCATGAAGAAGCCGAACATGATGTGCGAGGCGATACGAAGGATCCTGAGGATGTCGTTTACTTCCGAGGGTAGCGCAATCGAAGCTCCAGCGAAGAGCTCACTCAAAAGGACCGCCACAGGGTTGAACCAGAACGAGGAACTCGACTTCGAGCAGTGGGTGATCCCACTGATAGCTACGTTAGCATGTGTTCATCACGGCAACGCTGGACGCATGGTACATACTCGGTCAGGTAGCCTTCGCAATAGTTCCACAATCCGACCTGATAGAAATCATGGAGCCCCAATGTTCGCGCGATGGAGTTTTGCAGCGTCAGGGTGGGCGGTACGGATTGTGGGAGGATGTCGGCTAGGTTGAGCTTGAAGAAGTAGATGTCGCCCAAGACTCGTGAGCCGCTGGTGTTTCCTATCTCGACCTGTACAGAGATCCGGTTAGTCCTGTTTTACAGATAGTTGAGGTCGACCAGTCCTCTCTTACCAAAATCAGGAAAACGAAAGCAATGAGGTAGAAGAAGCTGGCCACCCATATGGCATGGCGTCTGGTGCTTGTTCCCCTCTTCACTGCGGCTTGGTTTTCGGCCAGTGGATGGCTATCCTTCTCGACGTCGGGAGATATGGAGGCATTCTGTCGCTTTCGAAATCCCATGGTGGAAACAGGGACGGCAGAGTCGGGAAAGTGGAGGAATCCTGAGGCCCTGATCTCGAGGCTCTTTCCGCTGCTGTGCCTTCAAGCGTGATGGCGGAAGAGCATAGGGGACCAGGCTGGGACTTGTTAGAGTTGTCGAGGGTTCATGGAGCAGGAAACATTGGGAACGAAACACGTCGATTCCACTAACAATAAGTTTGGATCAACGATGCGATCAGCAAGGATGCAGAGGAGTCCAGATCTGGGCCTTAGCGATGGCGCATCTGGGCCTTCTCCCACCGTCCACGCTTCGATGATTCGACGTCATCACTCATCAGGCACGCGACGAGAGCCCAAGTACCTGGCAAGTACCTGCACAGGTAATTGAGCAGGCCTCGCTCGCTGCCGGATGCCGGCAGACTATCCTGACTAATAATACGACTATTGGGTGGAAGTCGCAAGGATACAAGCGCAGGATCCGGGAGGACCGGGGAGGCTTGTCATTTCGAAACGCCTCTGCTGATTCAAGTGGTGCCGAGTGCCTGGAACTCTATTTCTCATCAACCACGTGCAGCTTGCCGGGAATCGTTCTGTTCGCCTCGTCTACAAAAGTACGATGAATTGAGAGATTATTTGCCTAGGTTCTGCATGGATTTCTGATCATTGCATGTCGGTAAGGAAAACAGCAGTTCAAAACCTTGGAAACTACAAAGCACTAACATTTCTTTAGTACTGCGCCGTTCGCGCAATATTTCAAGAACTAGGTCCCCTAGAGGCTAGCATGGGGACTGATTCTGCCACTGACGTCAGAAGTGACTGCCAGCTCACCGGGCCCCGGTTACGGTTGCCCCGATGCCCGTGATGCCCATGATGCCCACGCTCGTTGATGCCTTCCCTGGAAGATTATGGTGGTCAGGCTATGCTACCCATGGCAATGATGGGGCACAGGGGCAATGCTAGTCGAAACGGTGACTGCACAGCCCACCCGCGACTGCCCCTTTTCCTGGTGTTTGCGCAGCTGGGCGTCGCCGTTGTTGCCGTTGTCTTGTCATGGCACATTAGGTAAGAAACCTTTGGTCACTAGGTTAGCCCATGCGCTCGACCGGCAAGTAGATTGCAAGTACTCCCAAGTACCTCGACGCCGCTGCGACGTCTGGATCGATCGTCAGGGTCGATGACCAGGGGAGGAGAGCGACTTCATGACTTTTTCGACTTGCACACGCAGACAAGGCGGTTTGTTCTCCTCCTTCACCCAAGACCAAGACCATCTGGATATCGTGTGTCTGTGTCTGTCCTCAGCCGGCCTCGATCCTGTGTCTGATTGAAGCCTCACGAGCAACGAGTAACGAGTCACGAGTGTCACCTATGGCTCGATGTTTAGCAACCTGGTCTCTACTGGCCGTTGCCAGCACTGTTACTGTTGCGCAGACCACCATCAGTGATGATCGGACTACCGCGACCGGTACCACCATCAGCGTCAGTGAAGTCGCAACGCCTTCTGGTGCCTACCAGTCATATTCGTCCCAGATCACCCTCGATACCACAGACTTGGGATCCATAACCACCGGCGACGGCACAAGCTCCACATTCACCGACAATGCAACCCAATCGACCGGACAATCGACAGTAAAGACGTCGGCCACCGACACCGTCACGTTCTTGACCGGTGCTGCAGGCACTTCAACCACGAGGATAGGCAACTTCTCGACATCAGCAGCAACGTCTGCTGCGCCGACCGTCACCAACACCCAGCCGTGCAACAACTACCCCGAGTTCTGTGCACGGAAGTACAGCAACATCACCGAGATCTCCTGCCACAACTCGCCCTTCGTACAAACCAACAACCTGGCTGCAAACCAGCAGTATGACGTTACGCTACAACTAGATGACGGCGTGCGCTTCTTGCAAGCCCAGATACAATGGCCGACAAACGCGACATCCGGAGATGCGCCGCACTTCTGCCACACAAGTTGCGATATTCTTGACGCCGGGCCCATCACGGACTGGCTCACCAGTGTCAAGGACTGGGTAGCCGCGCATCCATACGATGTTGTCACCATTCTTCTGGGCAACGGAAACTAGTCAGTCATCCATCTGTTACTCTGCTCCCGGACAATTACGCTGACCCGATGGCAGCTCCATCCCTTCCATGTATGTGCCATTCATCGAACAGACCGGAATCCTCCGGTACATCTACACGCCTCCCGTCGTCCCAATGACCTTGGGCGACTGGCCTACACTGACCGAGATGATCTTGGGAGGTAAACGGGTTGTGATGTTCATGGACTACATGGCGAACCAAACCGAATATCCCTGGCTGCAGGACGAGTTCGGATCCATGTGGGAGACGCCCTTCGACCCTACGAACCAGACCTTCCCCTGCGATGTTGCCCGGCCTCCCAATCTGTCCCACAACGACACCATGAACCGCATGAGCCTCATCAACCACAACCTGAACCTTCCGCTCAACATCCTGGGCGCCTCCATGCTGGTACCCGCCCGAACCGAGCTGAACGTGACGAACAACGTGACAGGCTACGGCAGTCTGGGCCTCGCGGCGGACACTTGCGTCGGCGAGTGGGCAAAGGCGCCCAACTTCCTCAATGTGGACTACTATAATGACGGCGGGTTCCCGGGTTCCGTCTTTGAGGTCGCTGCAAAGATGAACAATGTCACGTACAACCGCAAGTGCTGCGGCGTGTCGACGAGCGGCGCTGCGAGGCACGTTCTCGGCGGTAGCGGTGTAGCGTATGCGATGGGCATCCTTGCACTGTCCTGGGCGTTGCTGTAATGAACGACGTGGAATTCTGGCGTTACTGGCAGGCGAGCAGATAGATTCTTGGGATTAGCAGCATCATATAGGCGGCATTTGGGGTTAACTTTTGGTAAATAGACGGAAAGTATTTCATGGCATCAGATAACTCGAATTTTACCCGTTCTAGGAGGATCCCACCCTACTAGATTGCCCTGTGTTCTTGTTCGTAGTACATTTTCCAAAGGCACCTCATTTGTTTATTTCCCTTCTCTTAAAGAGACTAATAAGCAGTACATGAAGAGCTGGAGATGAAGCATACTCGCCAGCCACCTAATGCTCGCTACTGATATACCAGCCGGTAGTATGCTCTGCCGTGAGTTCTTCTTCCTACCTCCCACCTCCCACCTCCCCACGTTATACGTTCGTGTTCCTGTTGTTGGTTGCTGCAGGTATCAGACCTGCGGTGGGACACCTCCTCCCCCCTTTAGCCGCTGCCTCCGCTCACTGTAATAGGGGCCCAACAGCCAGCTTATTGATACCACGTGTCCACCAGAATAGCTTCCGGCAAGCGCACGGGCCTACAACATCTAAATAGATCTTCTGGCGGCGCGCCATGCGGTACGTTGGAACGCGAGGGTGTGGGGACGAGAAATAAGATAAGGGGGGAGGGTCATACCGTGTTCAGCAGCAGCTGATATCGTGTTGATAATCGAGACTCTCCATGCCTTTCTCTTCTAGTATGAAGGCGTCGAGGTCAACCTGCTGCTAGTCGAGGGTGAAAGGGGTGAAGCTGGGGGTACCTAAGGGCCCTTCGGCCTCTCAGTCACGGAGACGGTAAACGAGAATCTGCGTTGTGCATGTTGATGATTACCCACTGGACATCAACGCACAATCAGGGCACCAAGAAAACAGTGGTTTTTCTCCGGGGCTACTATCTTCCACAATTCGATATCGTCAAGTAGCTAGCTACATGAATGAGTACCACCGAATAGTCTCGGCGATGCTGTCGTCCACGTCAATCCTTTCACACTCTCCTCACCTCACATCCCATCTCCATCCCCCACAACGACGCCCATCACCCCGTCACACTCCCATGATAAGGAAACAAACACCCAACCCTCAAGCCCTCCTCCCCATCCCCGCCCCCATCCCCACCGCTGCTCTCAAACTTCCCCAGATCCCAACACCCGCCAGGCATCTCGCCCATCAGGATCCCAGCACACATTGGCCGCCCGTCGTCGGACTCGCTGTAATCGCTGAACACCTGCCAGAGGGCGACGGGGTCATTTGGGGGGGTGGCGGTGTCGATGGCGCGCGTGAGGTTGCTGACTTGGATGATGGAGGCGTTGTGCGCGATCATGATGGGGCTCGCGCACACGGTGGAGCTGTACTCGTTGGCGCGCCACTGGGTGTCGTACGGGGGGAAGATGGGGTTGGCGTTGGCGCTGGTGAGGTGGAGGAGGAGGATGGCCGTCGTGGTGGTGGCGGCTGTGAGGGAGTTGGGGACTTGCATTCTGTCGGTGTTGAATGGGGTCGTTGAGTTTTGGAAGTGTGCAGGTTGGCTGAAACTGTGAGCAGAGTGCGTGACTGAGGTCGTGTGGTTGTTGCTTCGTGAGAAGGGCTGAGTTGTGCGGGAACACGGAGTATTTATAGGAGGCATTGGCTGGTGAATGTCTCATACCTAACGTGCCACAACGATGCGTCACCGTCGCGGCACTTGTGACTTTCTAAAGAGGCGGAGTGATATCCGAGTACACCAGATATCATTGGCGTGATGTTTTTCTATATGAGTTGTTTGTCATGCTTGTAATCGGACGGATTAGAGATATATACAAGCACGCCCTCTTCTGACATCCCTTTCGATTGTACCCTCCAGTACCTGTGAGGCATGCATTCTACGAACAAAAGCCTCCCCCGCCTCATCCATCTGCATGCTATAGCTAGCCTACACAGGCACACAGACAACATCTTTTCCTTTTCTTCTCTTCTCTCCTCCTCCCTCACCTCCTCCTCACCTACATCCTTTTCGACCAGTCCTTCGTTCATCTGGGCGTCTACCGCTCTCACGTACTCCAAAGCCGGCCATCTATCCCGTATAACCTCACTGCTCGATGCCATAAGCCTTCAACGCCGTGCCTCCCCAAACCATACGCTTCTCCTCTTCCTCAAAAGACGCCATCCAGCAGAGGCGCTCCACGATCTTCTTCCACTTGGTCCACGCCCCGTCGCCAACCCCTACCGTGCACACCGGCCAATCACTGGCGAACATGATGCGCGAGGCACCGAATGACGCCACGAGGATCGTCATCCACGGCATGAGGGCGTCGAAGATGTCCTCGGCGGAGCGCTGCTTAAGCGAGTCTGGCATTTCAGGGAAGCCGCCTGATAACTTCATGTACGTCTTATTGCATTTGCTGAGAGTGTATATGGCCGTTCTCCAGGCGATGAATGAAGTGTCTGTGTGAGTGTTGTAGACCGTCAAGTCAGGCTTGCACATGTGATCTGTGGCATGTTAGTCCAGCGATTCTTGCAGTAAAGGTTGAGGTAAAAGCTCACTGATGATGAAGACCACCTTCTGCTCCTCGGGTACGCCGTCGTGGGCGCGATCGATCATCTCAACAACCTCCTCAAGCTGGGCTCTGCCACGGTTGTGTTGGTCGACACCGAGGTCAAAGACGAATCCCTTCCGACCTAGGAACTTCAAACTCTCGATGAAGTTATCCTGGAGCATGGTCCCCTTGGGCTTGTCCTGCAGGAGATACCGGAACCCTCTGACCTTGGGCCAGCTATCCCCGGCCTCCTTCTTCACCATGTCGATGTACTTCTCCATGACCACAGCCCCACTCGGCAACGGGGCCCAGGGGATGAAAGCCGTGCACATCGCGGCATCCTCCTTGGTGTGGCCCTCGCCGTCTTTTGGTTGGCCGGCGATGATACGCTTCAGCCACGAGACCTCCATGAGCGGGTATTTCCACCCGCTGCCATCCTTCACGCCGGACTCCAGGTCGTTCTTGCGGTCTGTCTCCACGAAGATGAAGCCCTGGGGTTTGGAGTCACCGGTGGCGGTATTGTACTCCTCGAGCGAGTGCTGCTTCGCCAATGGGTGTTCTGGTGTGCACCATGCCAGCGTCGAGATCTCAGCTTCGGGGTACAGATGGATGTGGGCGTCGATGATGGGGATGTCTGCTGCCATCTTGACGGTTGTGGGTCGTGTGTCCTGGATCTGAAGTGGTCACAATGCGGTTCTGAAAAGCTAGATAGCAATCAAAACAAACAACGGAACTGGAGTAGAAGTGACGTCGTTTCCTGTGTGTTGGTGAATGAGAAACGAAGCTCGTTGATGAGAGGAAGCTCCATGCACTCGGAGAAGCTCAGGCGGGTACTACCTACTACCCCGCCATTGACTGAGCTCGATTCCCGATGCCCACTATTATTACCCCTGAGACTGGATGAGACATCCCTTATCCAGCCCCACTTGCCGCCGGTGAAGATCGTCCAACAGCAGCATCGTTTGAGGTTGAAACTCGTCAGATTGAAAAGTTTATTGAGGTAACACATGCCTTCCAGGTTGGCAAGCTGTGAGGAAGACGAACCCTGTTACATCATCGTGACTCGGTAACTTCAGGTACTACTGGAAATTTGCACCCGAGCATAAAAGCGTGTAGAGCATGGTGTACAAGACGATCACAGCACATGTAGAACAAAGTCAGAAGTTCCGATCAGCAGGCGAAACTCATGTCCACGGTACTTAATTGCAAGGGGTATCATCCGATCTACCAAACGCCAAACGTGCGAGAGAAACCGCCCATATCCATGAGATTCCAACCACTGTCGTGACCGAAATTTTCATGTGTGAGATGGAAAGATGCCCAGGTCCGTCTTGCAGCTCGTACAGAACATGTCTTGGACCGCGTCTACTACTACTCGGCGTGGAGACCAGACAGCTCAGGGTTCTTCTTCTGCATGGACTCATCATCTTCCTCCCGCTCCTCAGGCATCTGCTGGAGACCCTGTCGGGGACCCGGCTGCTGCGCCTGGCCTCCTTGGGGCATGTTGTCCGAGATGGCGCCCCAGAGCCCGTCCTGGTAGGCAGAGTCGGCGGGAGGCTGCGGAGGCCAGTTCTTGGGGGAGTGACCATCGACGTACTTGAGAGCCGTAGCGACGCAGCTGAAGGGAGGCTTTTGTCAGTAATGGATCTTCAATATGACAAGATGAGGTTGATGACTGAAATGAGGAAGTGATGACATACCCAAGCCTGGCGTGAATACAGTATCCCTTGCGTTGCATCTCCTCGGCAATTTCCTCCTGATGGTTGTCCATGAGCGTGGGGTTGGCGACCGCAATGACCTTGGTGTCGAAGTGTAGGGCGTCCATGATACTACCAGCACCTGTGATGGAAGTCAGCCAATATTCGACACCGTGTCATGTCATACACCCAGTTTGCGTACGACCAGGGATAGACCCACCAGCATGGGTGATGATGACTCCCATGCCGCGCATTCCTCTCGCGTCGGAGTCACCGCGAGCAGCCTGGCGCATATACGTCTTGATATCGGAGGTGAAGCCGAACGAGCGGATCTTGATTCCGTACGTTGCGTAGCCCAGCTTCTTGACAAGATCCACAAAGTAGTCGCGGTCGCCGCCACACTGCACGACGAGGTCGGTGTAGCCGAGGGCCTGCAGCATCATGAGGAACTCGGGGGTAATGACCTCTTCGAGAAGAGCTCTGAAGCTGGCCGTGGCGCCGGTGGTGACGAAGGCGGTGCGTGACTTCCACTTTGACTTGTCCTCCTTGGCGGGGTCGGTCATGACGCGAGGATCGTCGGCCTCGTTCCTGGGGTATTTGGGCGCCATTGCTTTGGCTTTCATGCAGGCGTCGTGGGCCCTTGCATAAGCTTGAAGTTCCGCGATATCCTTGCGCAGTGTCTTGAGGAACTGGCCTTGTCTGGATAGTATAGTCTCCAGGCTCTGCTGGGTCGTCTGGTATTCGCGGCGTGCCTCCAGCTCGGCTCTGACACTTTCTTCAAGTGCCTGAACCAAGGAAGCGAAGATAGGGTGGCGGTTGGCGACGGGATTGGCCCTGATTTCGAAGAAGAATTGGCTGACTTGGTACCAAGTATGGGGGATTGGAAGGCTTGGATAGCCTGGCGCGGGGTGATCAGACTGCTCAATGATGTCAATCAGCTTGATCAGCTCCTTGTCATTGGCGAGATTCGCTTCATAGCAATTCACGAGGGGTTTGACGATGGAATTGCCGTAGGAGGGATTGCCCTTGTATCGTGCAAGGACACCGCGGGCGGCGACTTGTTCGGCCCACGGAGCAGGAGGAGGCTGGGAAGTCAGCGTGGTCAAGCTGAGGTGTCAAGCTGTCAAGCTTCCAGATGGAAACAAAGAACAGGAGTCGAGAGCTGCACGCTCGTGAACGCGGGGGAGAGCTTACCATGATGGCGCTAGCGTGACGCTAGAGTAACGCTAGCAGGGGCTGGTGCAGTGGCTCCCGAAGGGGACGTGAGCTCGGATGATTGTCGGAGCGCGAGAATGTTGTTCCGGAAAGAAAGGATTGGGGTTGAAAGTGTTCCGAGCGCGAGAATTTATGGTGTGTGGGATGGGCAGAAAGCGTGGCTCTGATTGGCCAGAGCCAAGAGCTTCTGCAACCAATCAGCCATAGCTCCGGGCGGCTGGGCTCCGCTAAGTTTTATCTGCCCATGTGCAATGGAACTGAAGCTTGGAGATACTGAGCATATCCACCTTCGACCATTGAGCAGATGCTGCTGGGCTGCCATTGATCGCCATGGCCTCTGCAGTACAGTCACTGCGGCTATGTCTGCGCACTCTGAGCAGGCAAGCCCCAATACCCCGAAATACTGCCCCACGGATATGCATTTCTCCTCGACCCTTCTCCTCGACCCCTATGCAATGGCGTCCCGCGGCCGGGAAGGACGAGATCGATGAGCTGGTAGACGACGAGGACATGAACGACGATGACGGCGGCGCCGACGCAGCCGAGATGGAGCGCGTCCTGCGTGGCATGGGAAGGGGCCGAGACAGCGAACTGGAGAACGTGACCCAGATGAACGAACGAATCCTAAACGACGCGGGTGAAGTCACCTCGGCCGCGCTGCGAGCCCCAAAGCTCAACAGGAGCCGCTCGTTCTGGAACGAAGACGAGGATGACACCGACCTGATCACCGACGAGATGGACGAGGACGAGTTCGACGAGGATGATATCATGAGCATGGCTCACGGCAAGCTCGAGGAGTTCCGCGAATACAGAGAGTTTGCCCGCATCGCAGCTTGGCAGATGCCGCTTCTGTCGAGTATGTCAACAATACCGAAAGGAGATTCGTCAGGCGCTGAAGGACGGTCCGCTGACATTGCAAATAGAACTGGCGAGACCATTCGAAGCCCCTACAGCGCAAGAGCCTCTACGATTCCGATACACTAGTTATATGGGAGAGTTTCATCCGGCAGAGAAGAAGGTCGTCGTCGAGTTCTCGCCGCGCGACATGCCGCTCAACGAAGCGCAACAGCTGAAGCTGAAGAAGCTTCTGGGACCCCGGTTCAACCCCGAGACCGAGATCGCCAAGATGAGCTGTGAGCAGTTTGAGCATCAGGCCCAGAACAAGCGATACCTTGGTGATCTGGTAGATAGTCTGGTCGCACAAGCGAAGGTGAGATGGAAGTCCACACCCGGCTAATCAACTCGAATCCACTGACATCTTTGCCGCAGGACTCGAGCGATATGTTTGACGATGTCCCATTAGACACACGGCATCACAAGTTCAAGGTCAAGCCCAAGTTCCCGAAGGAATGGCGCTTGACGGAGGAACGGAAGAAGTTGATCGAGGACACGAGACAGAAGTCCCTATTACTCGACCAGGCGAAGGAGGAGGAAGGCAAGCTGATCAACGGCACCGAGAAGATCGAGCTGTTCTTCAACCCTCCCGCTCCCGAGCTCAAGGTCCCCGAGTACGTCAAGGCCAGGACGCTGCAACAACAACCACCCAAACTCGACCGATTTGCCAGGCGATAGGTTCACGAAGGGATCGATGTGTATATTACGATGTAGAATCTCGCGAACAGCTCGTGGAAGCTCGGTGTATCAGTGTAAGAATGTAACGATCATTGCATATAGACTTGGAGATCCCTTGTGGGGTCGTGTCGAGGAGAATAGAGCACTCTCATCAATGTCGTTCCCCAACACCAACATATCCATTCCGCAAGATAATGCTTGCCTCTCAGATCGACTTTCTTCTGTAATATTGATGCTTGTTATGTTTGAGTATGCCAACCAGCTGCTTCTAGGACTACAGCGACGAGCGGCAGCCCCGGAGGCGAGCCTTGTTGGGGAGATATATTCCTTCCTATCGGGTAGCGTCCGCCAGGTATGAGTGCTTTCTATCCCTGCCATCCTTCAGATCCCGTCTATGATGAGCACGAAGGGTGTTTTGGTAGAAACCCCCCCAAGGTACGGTTCAAGTGAGCGAGCACGCTTTCACAGGTTCCTCAGCAGACCTCCTGAGATGGTACATATGGATGCCCTCGTCAGTCAGTCCAGTCCATAGTCTAGCAGCGTCATCGGCCTGCCCCTTGGTGCTGACATGCTAGAGCTCTGGAGGACCTGCAGTCGTTAGACTCCTCTAGTAAACGGGAGGTTTGGGGTTTGCTAGGGAAGAATCGGATCATCCAACATGATGGTGCTGGGAAATGCTCGATTGCTACAGGGGAAAAGTCTATCCGTTCCGCACTGGGAGTTGTTGCGGTTTTCTGTAGTTAGCATCGTCATATGTAGGAAATACAGCCCAAGTTTTTGTAGGGTAGAATCATGTACGTGACAGTTTCGTAGGTGAGGGATCACTACAAGTCACATCAGATGCGGACACGATGAGGTGGTGCTTGATACCATCGTCTTCTAATGGTATCTGAGGGCCCTTGCAAAGCCCAATGCTCTATGCTACCTAACTCCCCATATTTTGTCTTCCCAGCCTCCGCGAGGCGAACCAGCACATTCCATGTAGCTGCAGCCGCCATCAAAAGCGAAGAGATCGTCCTGTAGTACGTGAGTACTGACCTATCAGCCTCGAGCCACCACCCTCCACTCGAGCCTGGCCCCTCCTCACTACCTACTCACTCAGTCTGGCGGGGGATCAGGTTCCGCAGCGACAGGTCGTAGATGACGTCCTCGACCTTCTTGACGTGGTATTTGACGGCGTCGACGCGCTTGCGCACGATGTCGTTCTTGAGGTTGAGCAGCTGGAAGCCGGCGAACAGGTCCTTGACGAAGCCGCTGACGCGCACCGTGAGGGCGATGTCGCCCATCGTCACCGAGTTCATCGCCAGCCGGCTGAGCTCCTCGCTGATGTCTGTCAGGGCCAGCAGGTACTCCTCGATGCTGATGTGGAAGGCGTCACGGTCCTTGAGGTTGACGGGGACTGTGATTGTGAGTGGGTTAGCGGGTGGTCTGTGGTGGGTAGTAGACTTGGGCTTTGGGATTTGGTGGTTGTTTACCCTTCACGATCTCGCCCACTTCCTCGATGGTGAGGAGGCGGCCGAGCTCGCCTGGGCGCGACTCGGTGCCCATGCCGCCCAGCCAGGCCGTCAGGAGGATCGTGGAGACGACATTCTGGACGCTGCGGGTCCAGCGGTGGTTGTACCTATGTCGCAATTAGTTGGGTGCTTGATGGGACGGATACAGCTTTACTGAGGTATGTGTACTTGTAGTAGGGGTAGTTGGAGGCGAACTCGGACAGCTCTCCCACACTCTCGATCTCGGGCTTGATGCCAGTCTCCTCGACCTGCTTCAGCAGCGGTGCAACTGTGATTTCGTCAGTGACTGTGATATTGAGAGGTTTGGCAAGGGTAAGGGAGGTACGTACGCTTCGAGCTGGGAGTCGAGTGGATGCGCGTCAGAAGGCCTTGACAGGTGGAGATGTGCCGGTTCAGCGTGGCGGTGATCTGGTGGAGCTTGTCGCCGACCTGGATCTCCTCCTCGCCGTGCGCCTTCAGGTACTCGATGATGGACGGGTCTATCATGTTGGGTGGGTTGCTGGCCGCCATGTTGATTGGTGTCTGTGTGATGGATGTTGAGGCGTGGGAGAGGTCAAAGTTTTCTCTTGTGACGGTGAGGGGCAAATCAAGCAGGCAGCACGCGGCAATAACTTGTTGAGGCTACCAACGTAGTCGATAGTAGCTGTTGATCCCTTGTTTGCAGATTTTTCAGGTGTTCACATTGGTTGCCGGCATTGCCTGGGTATCGCAGCGGTGGTGGCGCGTTTGCAGTACCTACCTCTAGGCAAACGAGCTGGTTCTACGACATCGACACGAGAAGCTGGGACAAGCCAACGATAGCATTTGACCAGACATAGCAAGCTAGTAATGAATCATGTTATTATCTACAGAGCCATTCGACTACATGATTGTCGGCAGTCGCAGTCGCTTTCGCTTTGGAAGATAGACGTTGATCACCATTGGCACTGCCATCCAGTACATAGCGAGCATCACAGCCAACACGATTCAGGCATGAGACAAGCCCACCACCAAGACACGGTCCCCACTTGAGCCAGCAGGCACATATCAAATTACCAATTACGAATACAGAGGGGCTCTTCTTCGCATCCCTAGGCAAGCTAGAGATTGCAACGAAAAGAGAGGTTCGCGTCGCCTGGAGGCAGTGTAATACCAGGGACACAATGGGAGCGATCATGCGCAAGCACAGAGGATGCGTCCCCGATGGGCAAAAATTAGAATAATCAAAGATGAGTTACTATGTAACTCTTTCAGAGATTAAACTGAAAAGAACAGATACTACACTTGATCTAAGCCAAAAGGCAAAGCTGTGATGTGTTAGTAGGGACTTCGAGGTTCGGCGGAAAAGTGGAGACACTGACAGAGCTGAGGAAAAAAAGAAAGAAAAAATTCGACGGAGAAGTGAGGGTGGCCAGATATTTATGAAAATTTTGGAGGGTCCGAGCTCCCGCGTACAATCAGCCAGCCTCTGATTTACCACTAAGCCTAGTGTGGCTGGATGTGACACTGTGTCCAGGAACCCACTGTTTGATCCTGCGCTTTGATTGGTTCAACCTTATTGGGCAGCCAAGCGGCGAGCAGCTGGGAGTCTCGCCGCACCTCAATCATCCGTACAGCCGTGAGCAGCTGCCAGAGCCGAATGGTTGACAACCATCGATGACCACCATCCAGACCAGGGGAGAAACGACGAAGGGTATTATGGGAAATGAGACTGCTGGTTGGGGGTGGCATCACAATTTCGATCATTTTCCCATACAATTCAACTAGATAGCTTCAGATATCATGTCTACCATTCATGCCGACAACGTAGCCCCAACGCTGCCATAGCTGGACTCGTCATGCAGCGTCCGGATGAAAGTACCGCAGCCGTCTCTGGAGATGCTGCAATGCATTTTATCCACAGATTCGTAGGGTATCTGGCTTCATCTGCGAAGCAATGTACGCAAGGATCCCTCCATTTGGTCATTCATCTTCAGGCCAGGATCCCAGGAGTGCTACTAAGCTTCCTCTGAGCCACGGTTGACGTCGTCAGAAAATAATCGGTACAGTGGGCTTTCCTCGTCTTCCTCAGCCAGCTGAGCAGCCACTACTATCTTGACGATATGAGGAGGCTATCCCACTCTCATTGTCTACGGATTAGTACTTCTATTGTCGGTGGCTTTGCGTGCCCTTTAGAACTCTTCAGCCGATTCCATGGGGGTTGTTGATCTGGCGGAAGCCACAATGTACAATAGCTGTCTGCGAATTGGCTGCCGAACTTGTGAACCAACTTCTTGAGGGTATTTTCAATGCAACACAGTCTACCCGGCTTCTCGGTTGCAGTACATCTGCCCCTATTTGGCCATTGACTGAGAATAAAGTCTTGTCTCAAAGAAGAACGTCTTCAATACCTCGCATAACTGCATATACAGCTGCCGGGCTATTATTATGTAGCAAGAGCAGGATGGCGGGGTATCGTGCTCCAATTGATGAATCGCGGCGTGTCCTGATGTGTTTGCCGATAGCCCACTTTGTACCTTGCCGTCCCACTAATCTTTCAGGCAGCGCGACGCGGCGAAATTCCTCTCTCTCCGCCGGCTCAACCACCAACCTCACATCACCATTCGATACAATGCCTTTGATCGATCCAGTGACCATGTCGCAGCCTGCTGGCAAGGCTGGCGCCACGCAGTCGACAAAGGCCAAAGACAGCGTCTCCCTTACACAACCTGTACCCATCATGCCCTCGTCGCAAGCTCAAGCTGTCAAGCATGTCCACCCAGTCATATTACTCTCATTCTTTCTCCTTCGGTTCAATGCTCTGGTCGCTGATCCAGTTTCAACTATGACGACCTCGCTTCCAGTGGTCCTGGCCATACAAGCAGCATACACGATAATATGCCTGCCGGCAGTGGGTTCGCAAGCAGCGAAGCCAGCCAAGAAGCTTCGACCGGGCGAAAAGAAGAAGCCCGGCTCGGAGGGTGCAGGGTCAAACATCGCCGTGGTATGCTCGCAAGATACCTTGTTTCCGCGTGGCCGAAGCTAACGAATGACAGACTACTCTTGTCGCCCTTATGCTGTCAATTGTCGCGGCTGTGGTCCTGCATGTAGTGCTTGTCCTGTTCGGAGCGCCTTTCTTGACTCACCTTCCTCAAACGTTTCTCTGCTCGCTTCAGCTGTCTGTCCTCGGGCTGTTTCCGCTGTTCTACACCCGCGGCGTGTCGAACAAGGAGTGGCTCGAGATTTTGAGTGCCAGTGCCCCCTTCGATGAGGCCTTTGGAGGCATGATAGGGGCCTCTGTTGGAGCGTGGCTTGGAGCCGTGCCGATCCCGCTGGACTGGGATCGCGAATGGCAGAAGTGGCCCGTTACCATACTGTGTGGAATTTACGCTGGCTACGTCGTGGGCAAGCTGCTTGGCGGTACTGTCGCCTTTGGGAAACGTTTCGGCTGATACCTTTACGGGACTTCGAGGCGTTCAGACGCGAACTTGCTAGGAATCAGTCCACGAGCCTTGACCTGATTACCAAGTGTCCGAGAGGAATGAGCACCAAAGTCGCTCAGAAAAGCCATGCAACATGGTCAGCAAGAGGCTCGCTCTGTGGCTCATTGTGAGAGTGGACAGCTATCAGGAGGTATGGCTTTACTATGGTAAGCTTTTCCATTCGTTTCCCGCCCCAACGACAAGATCCTCCCATGGCGTCAGTCTCTACTATCAGGCCCGCGGTGGGAGGTTCTGTTCAGCTGCTTTTCAAGTGTCATTACTCATACCAGCAAGTCCAATTCTGGGATTCTTATGTCTCCTGCTTCGTTCAGCTACCCATTCAGCACATTCAGCACGAGCACTTGAGATGTAATCTCGTCCGTTCCCTTTGTCAATCGATCCTCGTCACTGCCTATTCCTCTGTTTTCTGCGCGCATCGTCGCACATATCACTTCCTCGTCAGTTGGAGAATATCGCGGTTCATCCTTGATTGCCATCATACCTTCGAACACTTTCCACTAACAATTCCACAGTATCATCAGCCATCATTAGCCTTCAAAAGCATACGTATACAGCTACCAGCTACCTGAATCAATGCTGTTCATCTTCACGTCTTTCGATACCACCATATGACTGTCGTTCTGGGACCAGTCCTAATCGGGTCATCACGTCGTCATCGTTCCCAATATTCATGGTGTTATCATCGATGGTATCCTTCTACCAGCCCTCAAGCCTTGCTGACCATTATCATCTTCAAGCAGTTGACTTTCCTCGAAAATATGACAATCAAGAGGAGGTCTCGAATAATCCATGACTTGTTTAACCTCGTTGTAGGCGACGTGAACCTCGCCATTTTGATGAATGTCCTCGGAACAGGGGGCATTGAGCGCGACAGACAGAAGTCCACTGGCCACACCTGGTTTGCTGACCTCGAGCCTGTCAGAGCCTGTCATCCATGAGTATTACATATCAGTCGCCGCCGTCTGTCGCCGAGTACACGACAACTCCACGATCGTCACCAACCCTATCCACCACCCTGCTTTGAACTGGTTTCACACAGATGTAGCTATACCTGAATGACAAAATTCGTGAGATGTGTTCTTACTGAGCTAATGTTACTAATGTGTATGTATGTGTGTCGCTGTCATCTGCTGTCTCTCCCTATTTGTCACTATAGCCCTCTATCCTTACGCCTTGCCGTCTGTCGTTACACCTTGCCGTCAACGTTGATATGCTGTCACCCCTTGCCGTCGCTGTGGTTCTCTGGTGCGACTGTCCACCGTCATCGTCGTTTCTTACTGTCACTCGCTGCCGATATATATTTTTTTACCGTAGCCCTGTGCTGTCACTTTGACTCTCTGCTGTAGTCTTGGGGTTCACTATGGTCCTCTGGTGTGATCCTCTGCTAGAATCATCTGCTGTAATTCCCTGGAATCCACTGCTATCACTATGGTCCCCGTATGCTACTGTGGATCTCTGCTGCCATTGTACTGCTTCGCTGTCGCTATCCTCCTCTGCTCCCTTACGATCCCCTGCTGTCCCAGTAGCCCTCTGCTGTGGTCCCCGTAGCACCTGCTATCCCCGTAGTTTGCTGTCCCTGTAGCCCTCTGGCACTGTACTTAGCTACCCCCCGTAGTTTTCCTACTGTCCCTACAGTACCTTGCTGTCTCCATGGTCCGCATGCTGTCCCGTCGTCCCCATGCTGTCCCTGTGGTTTCCATGCTGTCTCTGTGCCCCTTCTTGCCCTTACACTCCCTTCTTTGCCATGCACCCTGCTGTCACCGATGCCCTCTGTTGCTGTTACCGATACTTTGCTGCTATTACCGTTTCATTATGTATGCGGGTCCTCAAGAGGTTATTTTGGACATATGGGCCATCGGTAATGGTTTTTTATTACTGTTACCGACGCTTTCGGCTATTGTTACCGATGTCTGCTGCTGCTATCACCGATGTCTTCTGCTATTGTTACCGATGCACTCTGCTGCTGTCACCGAACCCCCATGTGTCCAAAGTAGGCTCTTAAGGACCCGCCCACTTGATCAAACGGTAACATAACCAGAGCAAAGGGATGTAACCGGTGACAGTCCGGAGACCTCTTAATCAGGTATAACACAGGTTGCCTTTTGAAGTTATCTTCTTTTTTCTGTATCCGAAGATAACCCTTTTAAGATCACAGTTGCAACAGATGATATGCCATCAATTTCTAGCTACATACAGGTGCTTAGAGGCAAGCACAAGCCCTTACTTGCAGTCCATAATCTTAGATATAAGAGCAATACACCTATGACATTCCTTCATGTCCTATTTCATATGATGTGAGGCTATCACAACCTTCATTTGCACTGTAGAGGTCCAGATCATGAGGGAGACCGATGAGAACAAAGAAAAACTGGCTCTGCAAGGTTGGTAGTGTAGCTGTATTATTGCAGTGTTACATGCACTCATCATGTCTTGCGTTGATACAGACCAAGTAGAAGACACATGAGGAGAGAAGGTACTGTAAGAGGTGGTTGATTTGCTACAGTCATGCGTGTTCTATCATGTGTGTGTAGGTCCCCATCTAGGGCGTGAGTGATGTTGTGCCCTAACCCCTATCGTGGCCTGGGGGTGTCCGGCCTCAGCATGTTGCTGTCGCCTTGTGCTCGGCGCAGATATAATCACCAAGCCCGGAGTCCAACCTGCCACCATGTCACACATCTACATCTACAGAAATCGTACCTTCCTACTCGGCGATCAGCCATTACACTCAAGCAACTGCAGACCAAGGCGACGAAGTGCTTCATTTACTTTCCTGGCACCGACCTACCACAGAATCGAACCTTCCAGTCCCTGTTGTCCAGACATCAAGGCCTGCGCTCTCGAGTCGCCGAGCTGCAAAATTCGCACCTGGTACTGGTGATCTGTCACTCCACACCCAGGCCCAAATTCCCATAAATATCTGAGGACCCGGTACCTTTTTCCATCCCTCGCCCTGACAACACCACGCCTATTCTCACCCTCAACACATTCAATCTTCACGCAGTTCAGGATCTCCACCGAGGTAACGAAGTCACCATTAGCTACCTCCAGGAGTCCGTATAATCATCGTCATACCAGCGGGACGAGGAACCGTGGTACCTGATGAAGCGGCACCCTATCATGTGCGGCCTGAACGGTGGTTTCATACCTTTCCCATGTTTCAACCCCAAATCATTGCACTTCGCATTTCCAGCAACTTGAGCTTGCTGACTTCTGACCTCTAGACCTTGAGCTGTTCCTCCTCCAACTGAACCGAACCGACCAGCTGAATATTGGTCCTATCCTTACATCATCCTATTTACACATATCCTTACATTATTCCATTACATCTATCTTACATCCATCATCCCACGCACCGGCCTAGACCTTTACCGACGCTGGCGGCACCTCCTCCGAGCAGGCACAAGTAAGCCATCTAACCACGGACTTCAACAACTCCCTGCGCACCCTCGTCCCTTCCACCGACACAGCATATCACGAGGTCATCGCCGACCTGACTCCACCTGCGGCATTCATCAGTCCTAGGTTCACTACCGATACCTACGATCACACCCATCAGACATCTACCTACTCCCCAACGACCGCCACCTGCTTGGTGTACACAACGTCGCTCGACACGTGCTGATACTTACCAGTACCTCCGAGCAGGATAGAATACGGCCCTGGCTGGACTTTAAGATCCGTGGAAAAAGATTCCAACCTGTACCTATCTCCTCCTTCGACCTATCTTCTTCGTGTTGCTGTATCGTGCGTCCAGTTCTACAGCAACTCTCACTCCCGAAGAAAATCTTCACCAAGGCGGCAACTCGTTGCCATCAGCACCTGCGCCTACCAGGACTGGCACGTACCTTCTGGGGACCACTGTTCAGTACATTCACTTCGGTAAGTCACCTCTCTGCTCCCCCAGATTCCGTGGACCCGGGTTTCCCTTCCCAATTTGTGCCTGGTTTTTCTTTTCCCCATGCAGGGCACCCAACTCTCGCCTTATTTCTTCAGCCCACACTTTTCCAACCTGCACCTTCCCATCACCTACCAACTTTCTTCAGGACAACTCAACAACCTGCACCAAGGCACTGCTGCATCTTGACATACTCATTCAACACAACAACGACTAAGCACACAACATCCGTCGCACTCTTCACCTGCAATTCTTACACTTATTACACCTATTACCTATCCATTATTATTACACTTATTTACATTATCTTATTTACTACATCATCTTATTACTTACATCCATCTATCCATCTATTTACTCCTACACCTACATCACATCATCCGTCCACCACGGACATTCCGTCCTACCATCACCTTCACTCCTTCCCGACACCGCGACACCACAACAGTCAGACGCGCGTACTCACACTCCGCCACAATCCGCAGATCGTCAATTCGACAATCGTCACGATGCCGATGCAGTGGACCGACAAGGTGGACCGTGACCTGATGGTCGCAATGTTCCTCGCCAACCACACGGGCAACAAAGCGGACTTCAAGATCACGGTCCCGTGGGCCAAGGTGATGGAGAACATGGGCAAGATGGGCTATGCCCCGACCAAGGAATCCGTCTCGTAAGTCTCCCTCCACCCCAACACGACTGGCATGCACGACCGCCACCTCAGCATTGCTCATCCCACTGTGTAACAAGACCCATACTGACCTTCCCTCTCCCCCCTCACAGACAGCGATGGAGCAAGGTGATCCTCTGGGACGCCAGAAAGGAGTATCCCGAGCTCTTCACCGATGCCAACGCATCTCCGGCCGGTACGCCGGCCAAGGCGGCCGCAACCATGCGCAAGCGAGCGCGAAAGGTCAAGACCGAGCAGGTGCTAGAACAGCACGACGGCACCGCCGAGGAGGAGGACTCCGACAACTCCGACGCGGACACCAAGCCGCCGCGAAAGAAGAAGACTGCGACAACAAAGATCCCCAAGCAGGGGGATAACGCAGTCTAGCTTGCATGCCAGCACTGCGTCACCCACCCTACCGACCCATCAACCAATAAACGAGCTATCGTTAACCCTGCTTGGGGATCTTGACGGGGCGAACAGGGGATGGACGCACGATGCTGCATTGTGCAGCTCTACACTGTTGGTTCTGTGGCCTGCTTGGCCTATGAGGGCCATGAGGTTATTCGCGATGGGTTTTATAGTCACTTGCATTTATGTTGATACGCAAAGCATGGCGCTGGGTTTATTCTGGCATGTTGTACATTGACCTCTGCCCATACTATTAGACAGGCGAGGCACCGCTGCTAGGTGACCTCTGCACTGCACTTAGTTATTGATTTTCGAATTTCTCACCTCTACTTCTTTCTCGTGATTTACGTGCCTGACATGCCCTGTGAAAAATTTTCTTCTCTCTAAATATGTGCGTACCGCTTGGGAATTCGGTGTGCTGGTCTGTCTGCACTTGCGTGCGGCCCGAGGTACGTAGGGTTTGTGCCCGTTTAAACAATGTCGATGCCTATGTCGGTTCGGCGATCATGTCGATGCCCGTGTCAGCAATCATGTCATATCCCATGCTGGCAATTATATTATGTACCAGATAGATGGCGTAAGGTGGAGAGGGATGATGGTCTATTTATTCATGGTTACCGGTACTGTCTGGCTGGATGGACTATTTGTATGTGAAATGGGTGGCACGTGCCCGTGAACTGGGACTCCTGGCCATGAATAGCGGCCCATCTGTACCATGTTAGCAATTATATGATGTACCATGTTGACGATACAGTCAAGCTGTCCCAGGTTTTCCATGTTAGGAATAGTGTTACGTCCCATGATAGCAATTGTGAACACCTTACGTTAGTAACGACTTTCCCGGTTGGATGACTTCTTACCTATGTTAAACTGACCTGACAAAAATCTCCACCCGAGCCCGCATACAAACCAGGACACCCCATGTTCTAAATATTGTAGTAAAATAACCTTGAGGTCTATGAACAAGCTATCTTCAATATGTTATTTACAAGCGAATTTAAACCATAGTCTACTAAACCGTTATTGCGGTACTATTTTGCTTTATTTTATTATTCAAAGCTAAATGTAGGGTGTTTTAATGTAAATCTAGGGTCGGGCGGAGACTTTTGTCACCTTAGTGTAGCGATCACGTCCCATGTTAACAGTCACTTCATCAGCCTTGTTGTCGTCTCCATGGACAGGACTATGCTCATCCTTCACGACGTGACGTGTCTGATGATTTTCATGGTTTGTTTCTTTGATCCTTTGATTCCAGATATCCTATTCTTCCAACACCCTCTACACATGGGCTTTTAGCAAACTGTGCTTGGGCCATGATATAACTGCCATGACCATCAGCTGGACCCGGCCCATCCTTTACGAAATATAACATGACACCATCGAGATCTTCACAGCTTGATTCTTTGATTCTGGGTATCCTATCCCTCCAACACCCTCCGCACATGGGCCTTTGGCGAACCATGCTTCACCCACGATATAACCACCCAGACCAGCAGCCCCACATGATATGCCACCATCTCCATCCAAAACCTCGTCTTCTTGCCCCAGGACCGTACCCTCGACCGTCTCTTAAATGCCATCTGCCCCCCTCCCCCTCCCTCGCTATCCACCTCTTCCCCTTTCCGCCCCATCCGCTCACACACCTCTCGGAACAGCTTGGGCTCATCCGTGATGACACCTGAGAGCCCGCGGCGCACGCTCCACTCCATCCAGTCCTCCTCATTGACGGTCCAGACATGGACCGACACGCCCTGACGCTTCATGTCGCGCAGGAAGTGGCGACTGCATGGCGAGGCCAGCGTGTGCCGCAGCATGCTGAAAGAGATGTTTGGGACATGTACCAGCTGGCGTGCATATGCTGCCGACCAGCCCACATGTGTGATGGGGTAGCCAGGGAGGTGCTTCTGGCTGAGTTTTATATATGTCGCCTGATGTGAGAGTTAGCACAAGGAGGGGAGAAGATGTAAGGGAATAGGTGTATCTTGAGAGAAGACGTACATTCCAGCAACATGCCGTTAACCTCTCGCTCCACGGCCGCTTACTGGGTACCGAGGCGATGGTCTCGGCTGTCCTCCGCATGATCTCTTCAGCGTCGTCGTGCATCTGCGGATCAGGTCAGCCTTGCTTGGTCCCTTGCTTCAAGCTGTAAGAGAGCCAAGGCGGAATGGTGAATGATGTACAACAACAGTCCATCATCAAGCTAGACATGCCATGAACGCAATGACCAGCAAAGCACCCCCTCAATCCAGCTGGAACCCCTGACCATCCCACCCGCCCCACACCACAAAGAATCACACAAATCAGCAAGCATCCTCACCTTGACATCCAGCATAACCCACACCCCCTCCAGCCCAGGCTTAGCCAAATACTCCAGCAGATCCGAAAAGCGCGGCAGGGGCTGCTCCGGCCTCCGCAGTGTGCGCAGCGTCTTCAGGTAGTCCCAGTCGCGCTCGCACACCTTGGCCTCGTCGCCATAGCACCGCGCCAGCGTCTCGTCGTGGCACAGCACCACGACGCCGTCCTTGGAGAGGTGCAGGTCGGTCTCGATGGCGTGGGCGCCCGCCTCGACGGCCGCGCGAAAGGCGAGCATGGTGTTCTCGGGGGCGGCCGACTTGAAGCCCCGGTGGGCTATTGTTTGGGGCATTGGACGGCTTTGGGAGGTGCTTGCTGCTGCTGCTGCTGCTGCTGGGAAACGAAGGGTTGTCAGTGGGTTGGGTTGGCTTGTCTGTTTGTGGTGTGTGAGGGGACGTGATGCTGGAATGCTGGCTGCGAATCTGCAGGAGCAAGGTGATATAGAGGGCTTGAGGACTCACCAGGCTCGCGCAACAGCGGTGTCTGTTCACCAGACATGGCGACAGAGGAGCGTTTCTCAGTGAGGGGCAGCTCAGGGGCGGAGCTGTCTATGCGGAAGCGTTCAGAGACCATGGCTGATGCTGCTGTGGCCGTTCTCCTTTCTTTTCCTTTGTGTCCAAGATATAGAACCGGGAGTACTCGGCGCACAGCGGAGGTCGGAACTGTGAATAGGGTATTGAGTGGGTTCACTATGTCTATAGCGTCATAAAAGCAAGCCAGCACATTGCCTGACCACAGGACTTGCGACAAGGAGACGGGCGAGGTAACATAGGGATAAAGAAGACAAGACGAGAGACCAGCTCGGGTCGCAGGGTATAATAAGAAAGAGGTGGTAAAGGTGGTAACGTAGACTACTACGTTGATGGCGGTAGGCTATCACCATGCACACGCGCATCGTATGCAACGAGAACAAGAAACGAACCGGACGAATAGATGGCGTGAATCACGCCACGACTCGCTGCACCCTCATGCTCTCAGCACATCAGATCAGAGCTCGGGGGCCAACTTCTCTGTCGATGCCATCGCGGCCAACCTACCTGCAACCCTTTGGCGTTCGGTGTTTACGCAACTCGGGATGTTGTAGCAGGCCGTCCCCCCCTCAAGACTGGTATCGTTAATGACGCCACCGGTGTTAACTCGGGGATTAGAAACCTGCGGCTGTCTCGGCTTGCTGGGTTCCGATGCCGTGCATGACATGGGGCGGGCGGATCACGCCCCGGGCTTCCTTTTCTTCAATGTTCCTGTTCCCTTTCCCTTTGCCGTGTGGAACATTCTTCAACTTGTATATCTAATCGGACCTCAGTTACTGCTTTATCAGCAGTCTTATGCGACGGCGCTATGGACTTGACATATTATTCAACGACCTGGAGACCTACCATATCTCGTTGTGACTTATTCCAGATACAACTCCAGCCACCAGGTAATGCTACCTATGCATCGTAATACACAGCAGAGTACTTCTCGCATGAAGCGGGCTTTTTTCTTCGAACCTGGCCTGTTATATCACACCAGCCCTGCCTAACCCGAACATGACCAACAGCAGCCTCACGATCCGATGCTGTACAACCACACAGTCAGTCCTGTGTGCGTAGTACACACACACATACATACAGGAACACTCATGTATGTAAAGTAATCTAAAGCCCCCAGACTCAGTGCCACCGCAACCATGCCGAGGCCGCATGGCAGATCCAGGCTGATCTCCGCTCCGGGGCCATGTCTCTCCATGTGTGTAACGCGCGGCCTCACCACATGTAAGTAAGCAAGTACAACCTGTGGTGGTTACACCTCACATGGAGCAGGGCTACATGTAGCTAAGGGTTGATGCTTGAGGCTTGTGGCACGCCGGAAAAGCGATTCGGCTGGCGAGCACGTGTACATGGTGTCACTTCGTCGCACAAGACATAGATGGACAGCACACGATAAAGCCGGACAAGAGGACAGGACAGGACAGGATACGGCAGACTCGTAAGATATCCTGAATGTTTTCGTTGGCCACGATAAACAGGTATAATACCTGACTCCCATTTTCCTCCTTGAATCCTCCCTATCAGAGAAGGATGTAATGTAATCAAGAAGAAGGAAGATCAGAGGTAGATGTAGTAGTAATAGACGCAACCAATATGCTCCTCCCGGACACCATGATTCCCGGACCAAAGTGCCCCTTCCCTCCATGTATATAATCCATACAACCCATATAACCCACACCATACTCCTAGCAGAGCAAATCCTAAGTAAGAGTAAGAACTCTCCCCACGCATGGATATAAGACCGTACAATACCCAATATATACGAACGCCGCCCCTAGCAGAAAGGCCGTCTGTCAATCATGAAACCCCCGGTTTCAAGGGTCAAGCGAAACGTCGTCATAATCCCATGTTGCTCAAATCCAGCCCGTCCGATATCAACGGCCCGTCGTGACTCGTCCGCGAGTGCTGCTGGTACTGTAGCATGCCCCCGTTCTGGTAGTCCTCCCCACCACCACCCATGCTGAGGTACAAATCGCTCGCCGAGGCGTGGTCGTCGACCGAGCTGATGCTGTCGTCACTAAGGCTAAGGCTAAGCACGCTCTGCGAGCCCACCGGGTTTGGGTTGTTCCCCCCTGTCGCCCCCGGCGCGAGGTCGCCGATGTTGAAGCCGGACAGGTCCCACGACTCGGGTGACCAATTCTCAAACTGCGTCGCGGCGCTCGTCGGGGTCTCGGTCATGGACGACGACGACCCAAGGGCCGGCCCGCCGTATATGGCGTCGTAGACGTTGACCTGGCCGCCGTCCATCGCGCCCAGGAGGGCTTCCCATTCCGAGAGCGAGACCCCGCCGCCGGAGCCGCCTCCTTTGTTCATCTGGTTTGCGTGATATAGGTGCGTATGTTGCTGCTGCTGCTGCTGTTGTTGTTGTTGTTGTTGTTGTTGTTGTTGTTGTTGAGACTGGGCCATGGGCTGCTGCGAAGACGGTATGCGCGTCTGCACTGGCGACGAAGGTTGTGACCCGGATGGCGTGTTGTTGAGTGATAAGTAGTCGAGGTTCGGTTTCACCTTGTTCATTGGCGACATGCGCATCATCGTCTGCTGTATCTGCGATATCGAGAAGCGATGGTCGCGACGGGGCGCTACGTGTTCTGAGTTCGTTTCGAGTAATGGGCGTGATTGAGGGCGGTAGCTTTCAGGCCTGATGTTGGGGACACTGGGCATGGTGCTCCGCCGTAGCGTCTGCTGTTGCGATATGAGATCGGTCTCACTCAGACTTGCACCGGGGTTGCGGCCCATGTTATAAAGCAGCTTCTTCTTTAAGCTTGCCGGCGGTGACTGCCTCGAAGGCGGTGCAGCCATTGTCGTGTCTGGGCTGGTCCTCATTGGCATGAGTTGAGACGGCTCGTCGACAGTGATCAGCATCTGGGCAACCCGTTTTAAGTCGTATGTCCCAGGAGCTTTCGCCTTCTGGAGTATTTTCAGAACCGCATTGACAAGTCGCTCGGCGTCTTTCATGAGCTTGCTCTCATGTTTCAGATCCAAGCTTTGGTAAAGGAGGGTCATCCCGCATAGAACGAGGACATCGGTCTTGTTGAGACAGAAAGAGAAACACATGCTCCTCTCTTCCAGCAATTGGACGATTTGCACGATGTGCTTGCTGGACTCTCCCACGGCTATGATTGCTGGCGCAGCCTTGGCTCCTAGGTTGGAACCGACAGCCGGACGGTTGATGAGCGTCCGCACATAATAGAAAACCAGAGCCTGTAGAGGTTAGTGATACGAAGGGGTCGAGACAACAGGTGAACATACCAGTATTGGAGACCTGCTTTCAGTAATGTCCGTTGACGGCTTGTCTTGCGCGAAGTTCAGTTTGAGATGGTTCGGAAGGTTATCATTCCATTCCGACAGTTCCGTATCCAACGCTGAAATCTGTTGTAGTGATAGTTCGTGAGAGGTGGCAGCTGGATAGTTCTTCTCGAGAACCTTGGCAAGAATCCGAGATAGTCTAAACAGTGCCAGTGCACTCGAGAGTCTCGTGTACTCTCCTGGCAAGCTGGGTTGGAACCCTTTCTCGGTAACGTATTCATCATCCGTATCTGACGGAAATTCCGCGTGTATATCGTCCTCCTTTAGTAGTTTCGGAAGCCCTAGCATGGCGGCAGAGAAGCTTTGCCGGTCAGCCTACAACCCAAGCATGAACATAGAACAATGATACCACATACCAGTCGAGAGCATACAAGGTCCAGAAGACCTTCTTCCTCGTCTCAATAGTGAGCGCCCCAAAAGAAAAGCGTTTCTGGCTTTGATGTAAGCCTAACCTATGTGACAGGCCGACAGCGACACCTTTGTAATGTTGAAGGCGCTTGTAGTCTGCTCGAATGGTGCAGTACATGAGAGCCAGTACTAGGCACTGTAGCGTGTTCATGGTGTTGTCCATGATGATAGCATCAAGCGCCTGCTGCCACTGGGCCTCGCAAGCAGCGATCTGCTCAATGTCGGGTTTCTCGCTCGAGAGGGCAGCGATACTGAAGACCAGGTAGAGCTGGGCGATCTTGTGGTTGCTCTTCACCTTCTCGGTGTCGGCGACGAACTCCTCGTAAAGACGGAGAAACGTTGGTCTGTGGAGCACCGGGAAGAGGGGAGCCCATTCTTGAAAGTAGATGTTGATACATCTGTCCGAGAACAGTCGTGGCGGTACTCTCATGGACTGTGACGGCGGTTTCGCTACGAGTGGATAGCAGCCCTGGATGTGAAGGAAGGCTTCCGGGTTGAAGTCCGAACACGACTTGCCACTCTCCTGGATTTTCCGCTTGAAAGCCTCTGTTGATGTTGTCAGGGAGAAGTTGACGTCGCCTCATGATGAACTTACCGATAAACGCGCGCCCGCTAGAAGGTCCCATGAAGTACGAGTCCGAGTTCTCCACGCCCAGTAATAACGGGGATGCTTGTACGCGGAACACATCTTCTCTCGTGGGTGAGCTCCGGTCCGTCCGCGATTGTGACAATTTGGGGCTTGCAGCCGACGCAACCGACGGCTGTCTGTGGCCGTGCATCTTCGAAAGCATATCGATCTTCTCATCCTTCTCGTCCAGCAGGTCCTTCAGCTCCCTGGTCTCGTTCTCCAGCTGTCTCACCCTCTCCTCCAACGACTCGGTGTAGCCCCTCGGAAAGGCGCGCCGGCTGAGCTTGTCGCTCGTCCGGCACTCAAAGCCCACGTTCGAGCACTGCGAGCACGTCGGCCGGATGCCGTCGCACCGGATTTTCTTGCTCCGGCAGCGGTCGCAGGCCTGGGCGATGCGGCTTTGCGAGCTCGTGCCCACCTTGATGACCTTCATAGGCAGGATCCCCGGCATCTTGGCGGTTGTCTGCGCATCCAACAGGGCGCTTTGCCGTCACCAGAATGATCGTTTATCGTTCCGTTTCGTATTTAGATGCGGTACCGGATGCCGCGGTCCATAGGAAGCTCAGCGTTTCCAAGCTTCGGGAGGTAACCGCAGTGGTATAGCAACTTTCTTTACCAGGGTCCAGGGATGCCGGAGACAGTTGCTCACTTTGTCGCGCTCTGCCGCCGCACCATGCGTACAAGGCTGCGCTACTACTCCAATTCCCAATCCACTTGCCTTACGTAGAACTCTGTCGAGATATCGAAACGCGTTTTGAGTTACGACTTGTCCACGGTAGGTAGGAATGGATATCGTAGGGTCGAAATGGGTCTTGATGCAGTGTCTGGGGGAGGATGCAAGATGTGATGGGAAGGAACAGAAGGAACGGGACCACCAGTGCCCGCTTCTCCAGAATCTCAATCCAGATGGTATTCCTGTAATCAGCGGGGCTTGTCACGGTCTTGCCAATGAGCGTGGTCGAGAAACCTGGGGGGGTGCAGGGGGGCCGAGGTACGGGTATGGTGTGCTGGTAGGGTGCAGTGTATTATTACTCGGGCCCTATTCCTATTACTTGAGAGGATCACCAACTACCAACCACCACCGCTACCTTAGTCACTCCCCGTTAGACTTATTATTCCTGCCTGGTCGATCAGATCTGACGGCGTACATCTAGAAATATGTACGTATGAGGTAACCCTGTGGCACACCTCCCAACGGGGCGGATACAGAGCGGCGAGGGCGCAGTTGGACCCTTGGCGATATGCTAGTGGTTGCTCCGTCGTTCATGGCGAAGGGTTAGGGCAAGTCAACTCGTGCAAAACGGCGGTTCACCGTATTAGGTTATATGAGGCCAGTAAGATGGCGTCGCGACTCGCGCGGTACGGTATCAGTAGCATAGCATGCAGAGCACGGTATAACCCTTGGTGCGCATTCCTTGATACCAACACACCCGCGAGTGAACTGGCTGACTGGTCATACGCCAGCCTAGCTGTCTAGTGAGCTGGCTACTGTAGATGGAGGGAAGGGGGAAGCTCCCCGACCTGGATTACCCCAGGTTTCTTAGACGCGACAAGCCTGCACATGACGATAGCCCTTAGAATTTCAGCCTAGGCTCGGCATTTTCTCGCTATGTCGTCAAAGCGACCAATCGTCCTTGTCGTCGATGAGAAACGATCTATTTACTAGGGCGTATGTAGTCGCTCCTTACCACCTATTAGAAGGCCCCTAGAGCTGTTCTTGATCAGTTCGTGACGATCACTCCAGCGAGAACAGGATAATGACCTTCATAGAATCCAGAGGCTGTATACCCAGCAACGCATATAGACCAGCATCAGAATGGGTTTCGCTGGATCTCGCTCGGGTACCGAGCACTCCGTTTGAGCTAGTCACTGTCATTTGTTGTAGCGCTTGCCACCCTCTTTCGGACAGCCAGCAGAGTCGTCTACCTAGACGAACTGCATATGCAGTGCAACTTCCAGAATGCCTGTGGATGAACAGGATCATGAACAGAGCTGAACCAGTCCGGCTGCGGCAAGGTACGGAATCGCATTGCGTATCACATCGCAGCTAGTTGACCATGGTATCTGGCAGAGCATTGAAGCAGACGTCTTGCGTTGCCCTTTTGTCCAGTTTCCGAGTTTCGTTATTTGGTCCTGACGCTGCAAGTCAGCCAGGCCTGGTTTTCATATCAAAGGACGAGCTTGCGGTTCTTTCCCACTGTTATCTCACTCATGCAGTCAGTCCATGACGGCGGCACGGTAGGGAGGAAGTTCCCGTCTCACCCAGCCGAATGGAGAATCTGCATAGCTATGCCAGCTGGAAGGCTTCAAGCCGTTCCGATCTGCTGGAGATCCATTTGATCGTCGGCCAAATCGAAACAATCGAAAGGAATCTGTTCCCATTCAAAGCAAAGCTATTTCTTAATGTACCGGTAGACAGGTATCAAGTGAGAGCAGTTGACCTCCCCTGTACGCCAGAGCTGGACGGTATCTCCGAACACGCCAATTCGGTCGACTACGGTCAAGTTGGTGTCGGCCTGTCATGTTACCGATGATGACTATCTCATACTGACAACGAATTTTGGTGACGATTACTGGTAGGTGGCTTTCACCAGAAATAGCCCATCTCCACGTTCAATAGTAAGCATCTAATATCGGCGGCGAGCCGAATGCGTGTTGGAATAACGAGTCCGGTTAAATACCCTGCCTCGTGGGTAAATAGGCAAGGCGAACGCAGGGGAGTTTTGGCCACACCATCGGCGGAATTGGCACACAGCCCTACTGTAGACTCAGCGTCCACGTTGTCCCTAGTAGCACTGCCGACGTCGTCCGTCTCACCTAGCAGCCTAGGCATTGGTCAGGCTCCTCGGTCCGAATGAGCTGCTCTGAACTCCAAGGATCACAGACCGCCGCCTTGCCAATCTGCCCGATAAGCTCCGACCTTTGTTGGTGAATGAATGTGCTTGGGCACGAGGAAATGAGTTCGACGAGCTTGGATACACCCATGATCAATGATCGCCGCCATGCACTCGTGAAGCGGCCAGTTCTGATAATATTGACCGTCTATGCCGCCACTATGCTGGAGTAGCTGATCTTCTTGTCTCTCACGGCACTAGCTTGACCTCGCTAGGTAGGTTGAGATGAGAAGTCGAACTTTAAATGCCATAGTACGTGACGATAGAAATGAATGTGGCACGTAATCTATCCAGCAACTCGGGCCACGATCTGGGCCACTGCGCTAATCCAGCGGTGGCTGACGTCCGACCGTTGTTGGCGTGACGTCGCTTGGGTGAACAATATCGACGGGCAAGACAGGTGCGACGTTGTGTAGGGCGAAGCAACAGCTCCTAGGGCTGGACGAGCCAGACGGGCCAGGACGGCACGAGTCAGTGTGTGTGAAGCCGTCGTATTCGGCAACTCAGCTCAGGTCTTCATTGCCATTGGACGCCTCGGGGACGATCTGGTCGCTATTGGTAGCCTCCATTGATCCGAGATAAGCCAGCACCGAATCATCTGCAAGCAATTGCGTTCTCTGCAGAAAGTTGGAGTCAGTAACCGTAAGCTATAAGAAGGAGCAACCAGGCTTTTCCCAGATACTGTGGTTCCGAGACAAGGAATGGGGGTCTCGATCTTACCTGCTCGTCGAGAACCTGCAAGGCTCTTTTGAGGAGATCCGATTCGACAGCTCTCAAATGCGACGCCGCCTGCAGAACCTCTGCGCGAGCCAGACCCGGTATCGCATCTGACCTTTCTTCGCCAGGGCTCAGTTCTTGAAGCTGCTGCTGAACTACCTCCAGGATGACAGTGACAGCCCGAAGTTTAAATATCTGCGCCAACTCATGGCTGCCTATAAGTTCCGGGATTGCGTATGGCTCGTCTGTGATGTCGGTCTCTTGCCAGAACATGCTCAGACGGCGAGATCCATCGGTTGCCTGTAGGATCTTGAACTCCAGCCCGTCTTCCTCATTCAGGCACATGAGGTAGACGAAAGGGGCAGACCACTGTGGCACACCACTATCGTCGTCCTTTATCTCCAGGACCGGCGGCTTTCCAAAAGCGTGGAGCTTGGCTTTTGCCAGGGGGTCGTCGTCCATGGGCTCTAGGGGGAGAACAATGCTTTTAGCCGGCGAATTCGTGTCGATGAAGCCGTAGCTGAACACTGCAGCATCGGTGGTCAGTCAAGCCTCCTAAGAAAGATCGACAGATACTCGTGTGATAGAACACACTGCATACACACACCATGAAGTGGTAGATAAAGGGGGGATGCTACTCACACATCTCAGCCGCCGACTTGTCTTGTCCATAACTGATAGTGATCTCGCTGCTTTGGGGCACCCCACACCCCTTCTTCAGCAGGAGAACTACTTCATCTTTGCTGTTCTCCTCGAAATAAGCCGTGGCAGAACTTGAATGGTTGACCAGGTCGAGACAGGGTACCATAGACTCCCCTGACTTCGGCAAGTCCAGGGAGCGGGACCGGTAAAGAGCATCAAGTAGAACCCAATCACGAACCGTCACGGCTCCATCGACTGCGAGTATTTCATCCCAATACAATATTTCACTTGTCTTTTCTCGGATGGCGTCAAATTCCTTGGTCAATACCGCGAATTTGGCGGACACTGCCGACTGTTCGGGTTGTCAGTATCAACGGCCAAGGTATGTCATGCTCCAAGTCGTGATATGCAACTTACCTCAAGTGAAGTGCCCCTCAGATGAGACAACTCTGACTCGGACCACATAGTAGGGACTGGCACCTGCGTCGGTAGGAGGCTGAAGTACTGAGTCCACGGTGTCATGGCCCCCTGTCCACCTGTATAATCAGGCGACGAGCGCACAAGCTGTGTCAACAGGAACAGTAAGATGTCACCCCTAGTAGACTATCACGATGTCAGCATTTCGGTACTTATTAATATGTATATGATATATGTGCACACTGACCTGGTGGCCGGCGGCGTCTAGAAGCTGTCGGAAATCCTTATTTTCTTTGGCATATTCCTCGACGCCTTCAGCCGAAAGAACAAGCTCTTTTGGAATGGCCAGAAGTGTCGGAACCTCATAGTGGTCCTCCTCGTTGACCAGATCTCGTTCAGCCACCAAGCCGAGTCCTCGGCCCTCAATGTCGGCGACTTTGACGTCGACGAATGTGACATCGTTCAGGAGGCACCAGGCCGGCAGAGCATCCACTGGGAATTCCCCTCTGCGCATATTGGATCCGGTACCAGGCTTGTGCGAGAAGTCTCTTTGGTAGGTTGATGTGTCACAGATGGGACGTCGTGTGCTCGAATCGCCGACGACGTATTTATGGATGGCCCTCTGGATTCAACGATGGATAAATACCACGACTGACCTGCAATTGAAGCAACATTATAGGGCCCTATAAGCGGCTCAAACTGTCACTGCACGGCACCGATATAGCGGGTTCCAGCCCCCGCGCAAAGGCCCGGGGTTACCTCATCGCTAACCTTGATCTCGCAAATTCATCATTCATCACCCCACCACCTCCTTCGTACATCCCACCTTGACGACTTCTGCGCCTGCGCGAATAGTCCTCGCGCTTCTAGTCGCAGTTGCGTTCGCTACCTAACCTACTCCACGAATCACGAGGAAACAGAGCCGCCGCCATGCCTCGCGACCCCCTGATCGGCCTTGTCGGAAAGCCGTCCGCGGGCAAGTCGACGACGCTGAACAGCTTGACCGACGCCACGTCCAAAGTTGGTGGGTTGAACCTACCCTTGGCCAACGTACCGAGACGAGCCCCGACGCTGATATGAATGCGACACAGGGAACTTTCCGTACGCCTGACCCCTATTCCTACTCCTGACCTATCTTGCAGCGAGCTACCATACTGGGGTCACGACGCTCCGGCGCATTGCCCTCCACCTCCTATCTCGCCATGCCCTCTACACGTTGATCACCCCAGCTTACACTGCCCGCGGCTCCCTCCAGATTCACGACAATAGACCCCCAACGAGCGATCGGCTACCTCCAGATCCAGTGCGCCTGCGAGCGATTCGGCGTACAGGACAAGTGCAAGCCCAACTACGGCGCCTGCGACGCGGGGCGGCGGTCGGTGCCGATCGAGCTGCTCGACGTGGCGGGTCTGGTGCCGGGGGCGCACGAGGGGAAAGGGCTGGGCAACAAGTTCCTCGACGACCTGCGGCACGCGGACGCGCTGGTGCACGTGGTGGACGCCTCGGGGCGGACCAACGCCGAGGGCGAGAACACGCGCGGCTACGACCCCTCGCAGGACATCGCCTGGCTGCGGTCCGAGATCGTAGCCTGGATCAAGGGCAACCTGTGGCAGAAGTGGGGGTCCGTGAGGCGCCGCCACGTCGCCGTCAAGGCCACCGCCGTCGAGACCCTGCAGGGCCAGTTCTCGGGCTACGGCAGCACGTCGCAGGTTGTGGCGCGCACGCTCGACCGTTTGAACCTCAAAGAGCCGCTCGAGGCCTGGTCCGAGGCCACCGTCGACCGCGTCGTCGGCGCCTTCACCGACGAGAAGTTCCCCACCGTCATCGCCCTCAACAAGATCGACGACGCCGACGCCTACACGAACCTCATGAAGATCACCAAGATGCAGGACCCGAACATGGTGGTGGCCTGTTCGGCGAAGGCCGAGCTGTTCCTGCGCAAGATGGCCAAGCAGGGCTACATACGGTACACCGAGGGCACCGAGTTCGTCGACACGAGGGAGGACCTCATCGCCGACGGCGACCCGGACGGCGGCGGCCTGAAGGAGCTGGACGAGAAGAACAAGAACCAGATCGAGGAGTACCGGGACATGATCCTATTCCGGTACGGGTCCACGGGCATCGTCCAGGTACTGTCCAAGGCGGCCGAGATACTGGGCCTGGTGCCCGTGTTCCCCGTGCGCAACGTGTCGAGCTTCAGCTCGGGGTCGGATACCAAGGTCGCCTTTAGAGACTGCGTGCTGGTCAAGAAGAACATGAACGTCGGCGAGGTGGCGCGCAAGGTCATGGGCGACGCCCCTATTGCCTACGTGGAAGGGGTTGGCGGCGTCCGGGTGTCGGAGGACGCCATCGTCGCCGTGGGCAAGAACGATGTAAGCTATTGTTGTGGTGAACGCCGTCGTCTTGAAGCCATGCTAATTCAGTCAACTAGGTCTTGTCGTTCAAAGTCGGGCGCGCATAATCAAGCCTTGAACCGCCCCAACTAGTTTCAGCGCGTGTGATACCTCCGTGACTGGTCCAGTAATTTCCCACATAAGAGCTTGTTCAGCTTATTCGTCTGCTTGTAACATGACTACGTTGAAGGGGCCGGCTGACCTTGCGCAGTATTCATGCGGAACACTACCTCGTAGGGAAGCTAGGTAGGCTTTTACGATTCTCGCCGGGACAATTCCAGGTCAGAAGAGGATAGGCACAGTAAGTTATTGATGTGGATGATCACAAGTCACTTCGAAGATGGAAGAAGCAGCAGAATGGGTGGAAACGTTTGTTAGGGGTATCGAGATTCGTAATCATTATGTCCGGCAATGCTCTAGACAAGGTCCGGCTCGTATCCACCCTGGAAAAGAAAAGCCGACTGGTACAAAGTGTAAAGAAAAAAGCAGCGCAACACCCTTACGCAACATCAATGCTGCGCAATCGCCCGATGCTTGCTCACCAATCCATCTAACCCTTGGATATCATTGGAGTTGTATTAAGGGGAAGGCCAACTGTTCCCGACATTGTCGGAACGCTAGTATTGTGCGTCTTTGGATCCAGACTCATCTTCAGGCATCAGGTCCGGCCTCTCGGAGACATGTGTTACTGGCTCCAGAAGTTTCGGAAGCGGCCTCTCCAGTCAGGCTCCTGGTCCGGTCGATTCGGGAGCTGCCTGTCCTGTAAATTTCTGGCTCCGGCTGGGCATTGAGAAGCCCTCGTTCAATTCTGTGCGTACCCTAATACTTGAGAATAATGTACCTGCAAGGGAGGACGCCATGTTAGCAAGACGTAAGTAGCAGACGTTGTTGATAGATGATGCAAGACATGGACGAGCAGAGAGGGAGACGTACAGCGCGTGGATGATACCCGGGATGTAACCCAGGATGGTGAGCAGGATGTTGATGCAGAAGTCGGCGTTGCAGCCGCGCTCCAGGAAGACACCGACGGGCGGGAGGATGACGGCAAGGATGATCTTGCAGATGTCGCTGAGCAGGTCGGGTTAGCTACTGTCATCTTGGACATAGAAATATGGATGGATGGATGGATGGATTGCGCAGTCGACTCGACGGCTGCCTGCTGGATTCGGGCGGCTTACCTGGCGGTGAAAGGCATCTTGATATTGGTTCGTCTAAGACAGGTTCAGATGTATGTGGTGGTGTATTGCTGGCGTGTAGAGTGTATCGGGGCTTCGTGTGTTGGTTTGCGTGGAAATACGGTTGTTGTGTGGTATATGGAGATTGGGTTGCAAGCAAGAAATGGAGAGGAGGGGGCACGCGGTTTAAGTAGCAAGTCGAGCTACGTCGTGAGAAAGTGTGACGGGCGGGCTGGCTGGGGAATGTCGAAGTCACTACCCTGGTCCTGTTCGTGCCTTGGATTTCTTGGTTGGCTGCGATGGAGAAACTGGAGACCACCGGGAACAGCAGGTTGACAAGGGCAGCTATGATGCAGTTTGCACGAAACTGGCAGGGAGCACACTGTCACCTAGGTAGTTACATACTACTGCGTACCTTTGAGGCACTGCGTCATACATCCAGTTCATCCGCACGGCAATGGAAGCAAGCACTCCCGATCTGCACAAGCACAAGGACTGACAAGTCACTGATCAGGTTATTAGCACAGACCCGGGTCGCCGTCTGTTCATCAAGCCCATGTTCAGTTCCGTGAGTTGCCGCCATTACTCAGCCCTTGCCTCTTCCGCTACTCCCAAGGAGTGTCGCAAGTCACAGCCTCCAGAAACCTGAGAAGATGGCTGGAAGCGTGACGTCAGACTGTGAGGCGCAAGCTTGAGACTCTCCACTATGACTGTGGCTTGACGTACTAGACAGGGCCCTTAGCGTCGCAATAACCATCCTGAGCCACAATGTCACATTCCGCGGCACCGCCTAGCCGTGCTACTAGCCCACCAGCCAACCAACCTTTCGCATCTTCATTTCGCATCTTGGCTGCCAAGGAACGCGCACGCGATCAGGGCCTGCTCTGTCAGTTGACTCTCATTCTTGTTCCTTGCCCACCTGAAGCCAAGGCAAACCTCACATTGTTGCTGTGGACAACAGTCAACCCGAGGAGTCTCACAGAACCACAGCCTCGACCTCTGATGGACCGCATGACAGCATTACCCCAGACAGGCCAGACTCGACCTGCAATCATGGCCAGTGTTTCTGATGTGCCACTAGTAGTCTAGATCCGAGACCATGACATCTTCAAGGCGACAGGACGGGACCATCCACTTTGCGAAAAGCTGGCACGCGGATACCTAGATACGTTTGTCTCGGGGCCGCCGTTGTTTCTATTTGGAGCTTCCCAAGTTCAACGAAAGTTCAACGCTGCCGAATGCCGCCTTGGCGGGCACGGTACCTGCGTACCGGATATTGTTGTTCCAGCCTTTTGACAGTCTCTTTGTTATCAACTAGCTGGAGAACAGGCTTCACGGCTCCCCTGACATATCTTTCGGTAGCCTGCAACTTGGCTTCGTTTCGACAGCTCTACATCTATGTCGCTCTGCTCATTTCCGTGCAATCAACTGCTATTCAACGTCTGGCTGTCCGTTGAGCCAGGTCTTTCGCTTCTGCGATGCTATATCCTCACCAGATTGGCTGACTTGGAATTGACCCTAGGAAGGCCTTGGATACTGGATGCTCGTTCTTAGGAGTCCGTCAGAGCAGCACTGCGAGCCATGGGCTACCGTACAGCGGAATCAACCTGGCAGTATCTGGCTTCCCGACAACGCATATATTGGTGCAAGTCATGAGGTTGACGGTGAGGTCAGTATTCAACATTTCTGGGGAGATACAACCTGACTTTGTACGAGCCAGGCGGCACTGGTGAAAGGCCGGGTGGAAATATGCATCATGCTTGACTGCGCAGGGAAGTCATGCAGCTGGCATCTCCCCCGCCCACGTGACCCAGCCATGTTGTCTCAGGCGAAACATCGAACTTCAATCACGTCCTCATTGCTGAATTGGCACTTGAGTATCACCTTTGCCCATTCTTTGACATGTAGCTGCAACCCAACCGCCAGGCCAGATAATAGCGCGGTCCACCTCCGTCTTCGCCGTGCTCGGCCGGGGATGGGCCAGATTCTTACGGAGCCCGGCCCGACTCGCAATACCCTACCAGAACTACCCACGCATCCGATGGAGCTCCCAACAGCCCGGGAAGACGAGGCCTGCAAGACAAGCGGAATACGCCTACGCCGATGGCGCATCCGACAGAGCCCTGGAGATCAAGCTTGTGGGGACGCAAGCATCCATTAACGGCGGCCAGAACGCTCTGGATGTGCTTGAGCGTCCCGACGATGTCGATGGCACCATCATGTACCACAAGGGCACCCAGTGCCTACAGGCCTACCGCGATCGAATCAACCCACCACTCACGGTGGCCGAGGCCCAGCAGATTATTGTAGCTGATAATGCGGGAGCGAGGGTGTGGAGGTGGACAATGAAGCCAGAAGTTCGCAACTTGATCGAGGGAAATCATCCGGATAATCGGTACGTTGCAGGCATTAGAGACTGTGCATGCTTTCCGCGCTAATGGGGTGTTCTAGGCACCTTCTGAGGTTGATCGCAGCCATTATGATAGGCGCCGGCCAACTCAAGGCACTCGAGGACTGGGTCAGGCAACGCCCCTAAAATATCAATGTCAGGGCATACATTAGCCCTGACTTTAGGGAGATGTGTAGGAAAAAGTGCCAGTGGATAGGCAAAGTACTGTCTTCAACGGCAGAAGCGCCATGTGGTGGAGCGAAGACGTGTCTGCTGACACTGCTTACGACCTCTTACAGGTTCTCGGAAGACAGAAATGGCGGCATGCGATACTTCTATATTCTTCTGGTGCAAATCCAAACCGCAGTGTTCAGGATGATGGAGGAGGCGCCTGCTTCTGTTGTACAGTATGAACGCGCTATGACACTGGGCCTCGCGCAACTTCTGAAAGGCCCATATCGAGATATACGAGACGCTGTAGTTCAGCTAAACCATCCTACACGCCCTAGCGCCGATCTTCTGCTTCAATTACTGCAATCTGTCGAACAAGACCCTGGGCACTCGTTGAGGTACCCGATATATGATCACAGCGACAGCGTGAGCCAGGCACGATGGATGATGAGTCTAGCGCATATCGGTCACGGGATATTGCAGCAACAAGGACGGCGGAACGAGGCCCGATGGTTGTTTGCATTTGCAGGAACAGTATGGGGCCGGGATGCCGGATTTGGGTCAAGCAATGCATCAAATTTCAAACCCCCTGTGATTCCCAGACAATCGCGTAATGACAGGGCATGGGGGCTCGAGAGCGCGGGCAGAACTTGAAGTGGAATACAACGATTCCTGTCCGTTTTTACGATATTGGATCCAGCTCTCCAGGGAATACTGCTCAGCTCCGGGACTTGGCTTCTTTTTTCTTATGGGTGTCGCAGTGTGTACAGATTACTAGAGATATTAGTAAGCGTGGCGACGGTGATGGTATCTATAGTCTGCACCAGGGATCACGCAGTCGCGTCGTCAACCTCGGCGGATGCACTACACTGCTACTGCAGATTTCCCTTTCGAACCATCCGCAGCTTCCATGGGTGACTGCGAGAGGTTGTACACCCAGGGTGCATGATCACTACGGCCTTGGCTGTTTTTAAAGATGTACATTGGTAGCTTAACGAGCTTCACGCATCTGTCGCGGATATATCTGTTGGCGAACAGCCTATTCTCACGAGTTACTTGAAGTCATATTAAGCAGTGGCGTTGAGATTGAGGGAGAAGACGAACAGAGTTCAGCCATAAGCCACCAAAAAAAATCGTTAATTTGCTCAAGGTTACGGCAGAGCCTGAATTGGTTCCACAGCATCGATACCATCTCTCAATCTGCTAGGTTGGGAACACGAAGTCTCACGAGTTACTCTCGCAGATATCGAGGGGCCGTGGTCTTTAGTTGCAACCACACCCCATAAGTATCCGTCCGCGCAAGTCGAGGGTTCTCCTCCTGGTGGGACATAAATGGTGGAATAGCGCCATAGAATAGCAGTCATATTCCGATGTGCCATGCTCTATGCTTCTTCCCACTTGACCATTCCATAGATCAAAATCTGTCCCTGAATATTCAAACCTTCGATTACGGGGTGTACGGAGGCTTCTGAGTGTTCAGTATATTTTATCAAGGAAATCCCGGCCTCGTCCTTTGACTACAGGCACAACTGACGCGTTTGAGTTATTTCGCAGTATCGAATAGGGGCGGTGCCTAGAATATATCAAAACTCTCGTGCTTTAGCTGGTAGACCTCTTGAAGAAGGCGCGGCGCTAACCTTAGGAAGTCTCGAGGCGTGGTGACTCATGTTCTGGCAACATATATGACAAAGGTTTGGTGGCGCATTGGAGCAAAATGCGAAGGTGTCGGTATTTTCAAAGGCGGTATGGGGTATAGGGGTGTGGGGGCTGTATCGTCTACGAACTCCAGCTATAATGCATGTAAATGTCTAGCTTCAAGTTCTTAGTAAAGTTAGCCTCAACTAACCCTGGTGTATGTGAGAGATACATGAGGTTAGCAGTGATGATGCATGTAGCGACTTGACCTCTCCTGGTTCATTCACCTCCGGACCGCTGGGCCCCTGGTAGGGATCTCTGAACCAAATACTCTATCAATACATGTATAGAGCTCCCCCTCATGGTCCTAACAGTGGATTGTCGCGTAAGCTTCCTAAGAATCAACAAGGAACTGTTACAATAAGTCACGTACACTCTCAATGTGAAACTTTCAGAATACGTGCTCAGTGGCGTATCTAGCCTTGTTCTTGAGCAGTATATGTGTCATCCTGCGGGATCATGAAGTAGAAGGGGCGTGGGCAGATTTGAGTTTGCGGCAATATAACAATTCGTGACTGCCAACCTTCTCATTGACAGGACCGGTTATGCTCTAGTTCCTATACTTCTGCGCCACCGCGACATCTTCACTCAAACCTTGTGAAGATTTTCTGCCTTCGGTTTTCCGATATATATTAACTAACCTCATGCCCATCCATTCATTACCTTGTGTTTTAAATCACACTCCTACTACCTCTCTCCCCATCCCGCTCCTGCTACTTCGCCATGGCGACCACTACCAGCACCTCGCTACTGCCATTTCCTATAATGGACCTTCCCCCGGAACTACGGTTGGACATTATCGACGATTGCGACTTCCCCACAGTCAAGAACCTCATGCGTACATGCGCGTATATGTACAACAACACTGCTCCAAGAGTCCACGAATCCATTACGATCCGAACGACCCGCATCAAGCTTGGGAATAACATCGAAAATTGTCTGCGACTCCCAAAGATGTTACCACGCATCAAGTAGGAGCACAGACATTTATCCAACCATGTATTCATCATTACTGATAACCAGTGGCGCAGGAAGCTCTCCATCAGTATCTTGCCGCCGCCTCAAGGTGTTGCAACACCCATTGCTGAATGGGGCCTGTTCAAGGCCTTCCTAGAAGCGATGCCCCATCTCGAAGAGGTTGAACTCGACATAGCGGAAGACCCGTGGGTGTGGTACGATCTCGACTTCGGGCTGTGGTACTCCCCAAACCATAGCAAGCACGATTTGTCGTTCGCCCCCGGGTCCGAGGCGGCACTCCGTAAAGTCTGTCCCTGTTTGTTTGTTTGTTTTGTATTTATCGTGGGTGCGGTCCCTCAACAGGGCAAACCACGCCTCCCAGAGCCATTGCATCGCAAGGTTATAGAGGTGTCAGTCTAGATACATTCAGATCCGCGCACGAGCCTATCCTCGTTGTAGCGGTACCAATCTGGAGTGACCAGATGGTTTTAGTCAATACCCAAGCACGATTCCGTCAGAAAAATCTCCTATCCAGTGACTAAGCGACCCAGTGAACCTCAGTACTCTGGTGTACACATCGTTCCAGTAGCCGTTCGATATATGTCGCATTGGTGGGTGAAATAGGTGTTTGTTATCTGCTGGCGAGGGAAACCACAAGGGGAAAAACCTCGCAGGAGTGGGTGTTGTGGAGACAAGCTGCTTGGCTATCGGGCTCTGCGATAAGGGGCCTCTCCACTGTCGTGTGCTGGTTGTCGACTCGTACAAGCCGGGTCAGAAGGGGGCCATAGCAGGATTCGAACCCACTTGTTCTCGTCGCCCACCGCACAAACGAGAACACAACCAGGCGCATTTGACCATTGCGCCATACGGCCATAAAGTCTGTCCCTATTTCCATGGCAAAACGGCCTAGAGTATGTGATGGAAGGACCAGCGAGCTGGGTCCGAACGCGGTCTCTTGACACGGCTTGAGGCATGCCCTGGTATATCTGGTCCTGCAACATCCCACAATACGACTGTCCAACACGGTGGTGTTGTTGTTGTGCTATCAGCTAAGAATCTGGTCGGAAATCGGGAAAAGATTGTTGACTTCAACGCCAACCTCGACTCGATAAACACTTCTTTCTCGCCACGGAATTGGGAAGGCGGCGGCACATCTGCCTGCACACTCTAGGAATGGTGCTACCGATGACCGACAAGAAAACATAGACCGTGGTTACATAGAATCAGCAGCCTAAAGTAAACATCTCTTAGAGTTTGTTGTTCCCTCAATGCAGTTTCGACCCCATGATCAACGAAATGACATCTCCCTTACTCTGCGAATAGTGATATTGCCCTTCCTCGCCTCTGGCGTAGTATGCGCATGCTCGCGCAATACTCATGACCGCACACATACGATACCTCTAGGTATAGTCAACAACAAGGACACCGATGTCGCCGTTGATACATATCTCTAGCATTGCACCTGCCACTTCTCATGATAGCAGCAGACCTTACACCAACTGTGGAGTGCGACGCAATCGCTGGGGAGGAAGCTAGTATTGCAAGTACGCCGAGGCCGTTGGGCTTCGCGGAATATTGGTTGATATATAGCATATGCTTTTCCCTTGGGACACCATTGTGACTTAGCTGGATGGCATCCATCCCGAAATCTTACCTCGAAAAGTGTTGCGTGGGTCTTTCCATGGCAGTGACTTTGAGGCTTGCATCCGTTGGTGTTACTGACTGGGTACCTACACTCAGCCCTCATAAGTATCCGTACGCTCATATTGAGTAATATTCTATATCATTAACATGGGAGATTTTTAAATACTGGAATAAACCTACAGGAATAAGCAGCTCTGGTTCGATAGTTACTTTTAGTGCTTATTCCAGTGTGCTTGTTCCAATTTCATGAATCTACCGTTAACATCTCCCACCCCCCTGCGGACCACCCCCCCGCGGACCAGCGCGTTCTGACCCACAAACGCGTAATTCACCAACCACCAGGATTATGGTGATCCACCATCTACACCATCACTTTTGCATCTTTTTTTTCACAAAGCACACTATTTGAATCCTTATCCACTGCTGAATCTCATGATGTCATTTTACGACCGTCAAATAAAAGCTGAAGCCGCCATTTTGGCCATCCAACGCGGAGCTCCAGTCCGCTCGTCAGCCCTCGAATGGCAAATCAGTCGCTCGTACGTCAACCGACAAATCTCTGGCACCCCAACGCGGAATGAGACCAGTGCTCTCCAACAGGCTCTCTCACTGTATCTCGAACATAAGCTGGCAAGCTGGGCCCTGGGGCAAGCACGGCTAGGGTATTCTCCGGCGGTCTCTAAGTTCCGTCTCATGGCCCAGCGGATGCTCCATGCCACCAGGGATGCTCAAGAATTAAGGAAAAATTAGGCATCCAAGTTCCTGTCTCGAAACCCGGAAGTCAAGATAATAAAGTCTCGTGTTATTGACTACAACCGAGTGAATGGTGCTACAGCGGCAAATATCAACATTTTTTTCGATCAGTGTGACGCCCCTGACGTGGTTAACCTCATGCCAGCACGCTGGTACAACGTCGACGAAATGGGAATCGCCCAGGGGGTTGGGGACTCCCATTGGGTGGTCTCCGAGGCCTCTGGCAACGTGGCTATGAAGAAAGGGGTCGAGAAGGGTGAATGGATAACTGGCCTAGAGTGTGTGAGCGGATCTGGTGAGACCTTGCCGCCGCTGGTGATTCTCAAGGGGGTTAATGTACAAGCCCAGTGGTTTAGCAACCAAAACGAGGGCAAATTCACCGACTGGAGGTTTATTACGTCGCCCAATGGATAGACCTCGAATCCCATTGTGTTAAAATGGCTTCAACGTATCTTTATTCCTCATATTCGAGAGGTCCACGGCAACACATGGGTGGTTTTGGTGTGTGATGGCCACGACTCCCACACGAATGACGAGTTCCTAGCCACCTGTTTAAGAAACAAAATATGGTTGATCTTTTATGAACCTCACTGCTCCCATATAGTCCAGGTGTTAGATGTGGGAGTCTTCAATTTGGTAAAAAAGAGGTTAAAGACCTTACTCCAGGAGACGCCCAGCGGCCGTCTGGGACTCAGGCCATCTAAGGAGGAGGTTTTGGAGTGCTACGAGCAGGCCCGGAAGGACACAATGACGCTCCTCAATATCAGAATTGCCTGGAAAAAGACTGGGATTGTTCCTCGCAACAGAGCGGAGGCGTTAAAGTCGAAATATGTGATTCTGGAGGACAAGGGGGTGGCCAGGGCACGCCAGAGGGACCCTAAGGCTTCTGAGCGAGCCACAACACCAGATTTTCTCGAGATGGTAGCTAAAACCATTATCACAACACCCTCTGGAGGCCGGGCTTTGCGGGAGAGTGCTCGAAAGCTTGAAAGAAAGGACCCTTCTTTTGGGGGGCCCTCTGAGCGCTTGTTGGTGCGGAAGGCTGGCAAGGCCATGGATGTTCAGGCTGCTACCATTGCAAATCTACGGGCCAAATGTGAGCTGCTTAAGGCTCAAGTGGCTAAAAAGGCTAATACCACTCGAAAAGCAGTCAAACCAACACCAGGGGAACGATTTATCACAATGGCTAACATAAAGGAGGCCAAAATGGAGCTGAGGAACAGAAGGGTCTATAGGGACTCCGCTACAGGCGAAGAGGTCCCATAAGAGGTCCCTGGTGAAAATTTAGGGTCGGAATCGGATTCTGGGAGCTGTATTATGGTTAGAACACCACGACCTTAGTGTATTTAGCAACTGTGGTGGTTGTAGATGGCTTCATCTGAATGAGAGTGGTGTGGTGTGGAGTGGTCCGTGGGGGGGTGGTCCGCAGGGGGGGGTGAGATGTTATATGCTGGACGGGTGGTGTACGGAGACTTATGAGGGTCCAGTGTATCATCGGCATGTTTTACCCTCAGCGGATCTAAGGACGGAATTGGCAAGGCCTGTTCAATCACTTCACAGGTAAATGGGAGGAAATGTGTTTACTCGAGACTAGCTTTTCTGCTGCCTATTTAGTCTAAATACCGCAAATATTCATCGCGCGCAGGTGAAAAACAAGTACTGGAACTAGCAGCATCTAGGTAGAGACTCTATCATCTGTCTCTGGGTTGAACCATTGTGCCAGGCAGCAAAGGACTCTATGCGATGGCTGGGTGTCTTCCTGGATAGAAAACTAAACTTCAAAGATCACGTTTCCTACTGGGCCAAGAAAGCTAATAGGGTAGCAAATCACCTTCGAGGACTATGCAACACAGTCAAAGGACTTCCAGTAAAGTCAACCAAAAGGGCTGTGAAAGCTTGTGTTATTCCTATTCTTACACACGGCCTGGAGGCCTGGTACCCAGGAATCAAGAAAGTTGGGAGCTTAGGTGGGACATCAGCATGTCGCATTAAGGGGCTTCTTGGAACAATAGATGCCGTACTACGAACGGCGATTAGGGCTATCTTGCCAGTCTGGAAAACACACCCTTGACATATCCTATACTTTGAATCGCAGATTCCCTCAGCAGGAGTTCTTGCAGAGTCAATAAGACGACGTCCGGCCTCTGACTAGGACGAATAGACCAGAGACACCCTCTTGTTGGCAGGCTCCAAATACAAGCTCGCAAGAATCCAACAAGGCTACAAAGGAGCTTCCAACTAGTCCCTAACTTCCAGAGACCAATATTTACCAGGCCATTATAGAAAAAGCCCCCAATCCGTAAAGACAAAGACAAAGAAATAGAGCTCTTCAAGCAATGGCTATAAGAGAGAAACGTGAACACTGATCTTGTCATCTATTCAGATGGATCATAATTGGACGACCAAGGCACAACCCACACTGGATGGGGTTATACCATCAGGAAAGGCGGCACTACACAAGAAGTATACCGGGGAAAGGACAGACTTCTCTAAGCAGAAGTAGTAGATACTGAAGTCCATGGTGCTCTCCAAGGTCTTGTAACAGTCAGGGCAATTGGACACAGAAAACAGCTATATGTCTGCCTGGACAACACGTCAATGGTAGATGGGCTCAATAGGACTCTACCCAAGACATCACAGAACATTTTTCTACGATTTCAAGAACTTACCACAGCACACACTCCTGGAGTGACCGTCAAGTGGATTCTTGGACACAGAGATATTAATAGCAACGAAGCTGCCGACACACTAACAAAAGAGGGTGCCATGTTAGAAACAGACACGACAAACCTTCCTATAATCTCTTAGGTCAAGAAAGATCTTAAAAAAAAGGGCAAGAAAGAGTTCAACTAATGATAAAAAGACCAATCAGAACCTAGGTATCAAGAAGTATACTCACATACAGTAACTAAAAGGGACCTTATATCTTTTAAGAGAAGTACTTTACACAGATTTTTAGCGGCCAGATCTGGACATGGCGACTTTGCCAGATACTATGAACGCTTTGGATATACAGACTCGAATGATCACTGCAGCTATGGTAAGAAGAAAACACCACAACACATTTTCTTTTGTAAGAGGCTGGGAAAAAACCGGCTGCTGTCTAGGTACTCGCCTAGGACACCTTATTTACAATAGTTAGAGGAGAGGAGCATAGAATGGGCAAAATTCGTGGAGAAGAGCAAGTTCTTCTCAACAATCTGCCCCCGATAGATAGTTTTTCTTGAAGGACCAGATGGATGACCCCAAGGTCATACCGCCACAACAACGGGGATGGGCCCGTGAGCGGGACTGACTGTACTTATTATCTTGAGACCTCCACAACCCTGCGATATAGAGGCTCTGGGAGGCGTGGTTTGCACTACTGAGGAGCTACCCCCCACGTTAAATACAAAACAAACAAACAACAACATTGTGCCAGGCAATGATGCGAGCTGTTCCACCGGTCGTTTGGCGTCTAAGTGATACGCAAACTAGTTTCGATCCCTCCAATCTCAGCGCTACCATGTCCGGCGTCCATCATTGCAGCGTCCAAGCAGCGACCCGGGTGACAGCCATAACCATCAAGTCAGACCGTTATTCGTAGGCTCCATGGGAGAGCTCGCTGTTACATGGCTTGTCTCGCTGCTGGCAATTCGGAGTCTACTCGTTGGCCTTAGTCGAGCTCTAGAATCTGACAAGGCCACTTATCACCAGTCTCTTCCATGTCGGAGTGCACGACATCGATGTCAGAAATTCTTTCCGGTCTATCGGCGTCCCGGTGGGGATAGTAAAAGGTCAGATGCTTCCGGGGACCAATGATGCACAGCTCTTCAACGCATGGGCTAGCCTCGAGGCATTCTCTAGCGGCTTGCAGTCGCTGAGAGTAGTGCGGCTCTTCAGACATGTCATCCTCCCACTGCCACGGATAATAGCAAGGAATAGCTAGCCTGGTCAGGTTCTTGAGAGGGTTGAGTGCACGAGCTAGCGGACCGATTTGACAGCTGTCTAGTTGCAGTCTCAGAGTGCCTGTCAAGATGAGGATCTCTAGGTTCGGGAAAAAGCAAAACAGCGCTGGTATAATAATAAGCATGCGGCAACTGAGAACAAGGAGTTGAAACCTACCTTCGAGCTCAGACATACTGACCCGTGACGCTGGAAGCTCCTCTTCATACAGTTTCAGGTGGCTGATATCATTGGGTTCTTCTTGGTCATCCCATAAGTCAGACCATGTGCCAAGCTGCTTCGCGATGCTGTAATCAAAACTTGTCGCCTGAAGATTGGGAAATTGCCGGCCGATGAACATTCTTCTGGCAAACTCCGGTGCGCAACCTGAGATCAGCTCAGGATACACAGCAACAACGCTTGCGTTTGGATGACATAAACCCTGTTCCAACTCCTTGCAGATATCTTCGTATGCTTCGGTATCTGCAATCGATATGTAGATCTGCTGAAGACGATGCATTTCCGAAATAAACTCTACCAGTCCGAAACGGTAATCGCCGGGTTCATCGTGAAGGCGTAAGCCGGCGAAGCCCCCATGATCTTGCGGGATTATAATGCCAAGCTTCCTGCCATCGAGTGATTAGCAACGAACGTATGGCCCAAGACAAGGTCCTTACTTCACATAACCCATCATCAGCGGGTACCGCAAGCACTTTTCGAAAAGCTTGTAGATCTTGTCCTTTCCAGCCATGATATGGATGGAGGCACGCGCTCGTGGGGCGCTGGCGTCGTACATGGCACGGCAGGTGCTCATCAGTTGACCCAGGGTCTCGCTGTCGCACTCATCCACGATGGCCTGACGGAGCTCGGGTGGTAGCTTCATCATGTGGAAGGGTCGGTCCACTGGGTTCGTGATGGTCGCCATGGTTTCTTGCTATCGAGAGAACTGGAGAATGAGATCGTTAGGTGTGCGTGAGCTTGGAGGTTGGGAGTGCACGAATAATGATGGCGGATAGTGGGTGAAAGAGGTAAAGGAGAGGTGGGTAGTACGATAGAAGTGGTGGAAAGAGAGGAGTGGTGGAAGGATAGCGGCGGTGGAACAGAAGGAGAGCGGCGGTAAGGGAAAGATGAAAGGTGAAAGGCCGCGAGTTAGTTTTCTTACCAGTGAAAGGATCGTGAGACTAAACTCACTCAAGGAAGTTGCACCCTTTTCCACACCTATTGCCTCGATAATTCGGTTGGCCTCCTGGCGATTCTTCTACTTGGTTGCAGCTTGAAGAGGTGGGCTCACCGTACTGTCGAAGAGAAGGCAGGTACCCAGTCAGGAACACCAAGTGATGCAAAGCCTCAAAGCCACTGACATGAACAGACCCATGCGACACTTTCGAGGGGAGATTTCGGGGTGGACAGAGGAATTGATGGCGGCTAAGAGGCTCAGAGGCAGGAGTACCTACAGTGCCATCCAGCTAGGCCACGGTGGCGCCGTTAAGGGGAAAGTAGATGCTATATATCAACGATCTTGATTTATTTTATTATTAAGCTCTTCGACCGGAAGGGAGGAGCCCAACCCAAATACCCTAAAAGACAACAAAGAGCAGAGCCCCCGTGCTGTACGCTAAGTCGAGGCAAAGTAAAACGCCACAAATCATCTCAATCCACCAAAACCTTAACCACGGATGGCGTCCACAGGCTCAGGCCAATATTCCGGCGAAACCCAGCGACCTCGGAGTGCAAGTAGTAGTAGCTTCTTCCTTGGCGATAGCTTCACACTCCGGTGCAGTTGGTGTCCGAGGTCTGGCGGGTATTCTGAGAAGTGGCAAGAGCAATGTCAGAGGTATATATCAAACGGTGCCTCAGTGTCCTCAGCATTTGTACCTGCAAGCACTCCATAGGTGCAGCCTTGAGCATTACTCACAGTATGTGCATACTGGGGTTAAGCCAGCTACCCCTGACCTATACCTCAAGGACCTAGCACCTGCTGCCAGCTGGAGCAGTCTCCAATTCACATATCTCGGAAAACTCGCAGTTATGGCGTGAGTGTAGACGTGCGTCGTTGCAAACCACGGAAGAGCAACTCCTGATATATCAATACTACATCATCTATAACCACCAAAGTCTTCCGATCCGGTGTGATTATCCCCTGGAAATTGCATGCCCTCGCACCACAACGTCTTGGCACGCTGACGCCATACCTAAGCCCGCGCTCATTCCGGATCTACCGTCTGGTGTGAAGCTACCAACATCAGTCAAATCACAACCACAGCCCAGCGGTCGCTCCAAACTCAATACATCTCACCGATAATTTTACATTGAAATCCGTAGACGTCTGAAACCATGGCCGCAGACCCCTCGCCCCTCCCGGCCTACGTCTACAAGATCGTGCCGACGGCCCCTCCGACGCCGCTACCGGCGGAGTACCCGCTCTCGGAGCTGGACCAGAAGGACGGTTTCGTGCACCTGAGTACGGGATCACAGGTGAGCCACCATCCCAATCCCATGTCCTGTCCCTTGAGCAACTCAACTCAGGGACAAGACACTACTACCATCTGCCTCATCTATTCTCATATCCCCTTAGCTAGTCTCACATTTTCTCACACCCTCACCCTCACCCACCCCTCCCTACCCATACCTATACCCATACCCCCCCTCCCAACTCATCCCCCCGTCCCCCAATCCTCAACCCCTTACACACCCCAACTAACCACCGCCACCACCCCAGATCCCCATAACAGCCGACCTCTTCTTCGCCAGCACACCCACCCTCTGGGTCCTCAAGATCCGCTTCGCGTCCACGCCGCAGTTCCACGGCGCCACGAACTGGGACGTGCCCGGCTGCCCGCATTTGTACGGCAACTTCGGCGCCGACGACGTCGAGGATGTGAGGGAGTTCTCGCGCGGGGAGGGGGAGGGGTGGAAGGAGGCTTTGGGGAGGGAGGGGGCGGGGTGGTTGGTTTAGAGTTGCTGAATTTGGGCTGGGTTGGGTTGGCGGGTGGATAGATGGATGGGTGGATAAATGGGTAGCTTGGGTCCGGTAGGGTTGTCCGGATGTCTTTAGACGGATGGTAGGTTGGCTGTCTGGTTGGTATGCAGATCAATGACTTTGGTGAGAATGGAGTGCACGGTTCAACACCATACGTGGCTCAACCAATGTTGAAGAAGTTGTGTTATCAATAATGATGGATATGGGGCTAGTATCCTATGTATGTCCATAGCAACCCAGTAGGAGTTGCCTCGACGATGTGCAATGAGACCAACATAACAAGGATACAATAAAGCCTCGAAGGCCGGGATTAAATGTGTATCCGTCGCTATAGCATACACGGAAGTCGTCTGATGAGCTGCCTACCAGCAAAGGTTTTGCTTTTTGCTAGGAACGTGGTTTCACCAGGAAACGCTGTCCTTGATTCCTTCTCCGATCTGCCATTCCTCCTATGCCCAAGTGTCCCGTTATAACCCGAACTCCAAGCTTGGAAATCAAGTAAGAAAGCATCGCCATGGATCAGGATGCCGTCTCCAGGTCTGCGCGCTGTCAAGTCGTGTCTCATATTCGTAATCGTGGTTGTGTGGTTGCCCAAGCTCAGCGTATAGCTGTAAGCTCTAAAAGCCTGCCTCCTCCTCCAAGCTTGCCCCAGTCAAGAAATTCAATATTTCGGGCTGCGCCAGTGGCCAAAGAGCTTGCTTCTATGCCGCTCTTCCTCGTTGTCATGCTTATCGACAGCCTCGAACTGGGATGTTGGCGAGTAATCGCCGTTGACGGAAGATGCTTCGAAACGATCGATGTTTTCGGCCCCTTCTCGGGACGGGCTCTTGATGCCGTCGCCCATACCTATCGTCTTTCCCTCCCCGACCTGGACCGCGCTGTCTGTCGGCAACTGTAGCTGTGACATCGAGTGGGCTGGGTGTTGCTGGTTCAATCCCTGGGCGATTTTGCCATGACTTATCGTCCGCCTGTGCTTTGCCAGAAGATGTCTCCTTGACCTGTGCAATGCCTTGTTCGCGTCTACGTCCTCAGCCGAAATAGAAAAGCCTGGATCGACGATGGCGTCAGGATGGCGTAGAGATGTGGTGTAGTAAGCGAACGAGTCCGGAAAGCCCGTGTCATGGCTACGGCTTGTAGGACGACTGCCGCTCGCGGTGCTACTGTTCGAAGCAGTCGACATGGTGGACATGACAGACATGGAGTGTGCAGGCGTTGGTGTTCTGCGCGAAGATGGTTCTTAGTTTTGGGGAGGAGTGAGAAGGAAGGAAAGTATGCGTAGTGGGAAAAGAATTGAGTAAGAGAGTGCGGCTCAGCGCGGCTACACGGCAGTGTGTTAAGCTTTGTATCTGACGTGGTAGTGCTCTGAAGGTTTCCAGGAGCACCGAGTGTAATAAGAGGTGAGACCGTAGACGGAGGTCAGCACGGAATGCGATGGAGTTTGGAGGTGCTGGGTGTAGGTTCAAACGAGGCTTGTTGGCGAAAGCAACCGATGAAGAGTCAAAGGTGTTGGTTAGGTAGTCCAAATGGGCTTTGATGGAATAATGGCTTATTAGGACTGTCACGGTGAACTGGGTGAGGTCCTACCTCAACATGTGGCTGCCTCCACTCGGAGCGCGGCCGGCGATCGCTATTTATCTCGGAAATAGCCTGCGAGATGGAGAGCAGCCCCCAGCTGAGAAACAAGGCAACCATGATGTGAGCCCAGTTGGACATTAGATAACAATGACTGGCGGCTAGTGAGGTGCCGCTCCTGGACTTCGCCCTAGGTTCCGAACTGAGGACTGACGACGAACGAATGCCTGCTCACCTGAACTCTGGGGCTGGGGTTTTGATGCCAAGGAATGGATGCGGCTGGCACTGGTACCGAATGTTCCACGGGATGCTGGCTTGGCGAAGAACCGGGAACCGCGCGCTACTCAGTGCCTGATCCGTGCCGTGATCCGTAGCGAGATGGTATGGGGCTAATGTGGTGCCGGGGTGCCGGGGTGCCGGGGAAATTAGGGAATGACGAGTATCGAATTCTTCTTGACTCTTTGAGCCGATGGGAAATGGAGAAAGTCGAGAGAGAGAAAACCGGCGGGGGAAAGGCTTCCGAGGTCAATCAGGTCAATCAGGTCAATCAGGTCAATCAGGATATGTAGCAACTCTGCAGTGAGGGTATGCACATGGGCAATCCTTCAGGCTAGGCTGCTCTAGGTGTGAGACTGAGCAGCAGCAAGGTGTGTGGCGTGTGCCTTGACCTTGAGATGTGACTGGTGCTGACGAAAGGCGGTCTCACCACGGCCTTGCTGCATAGATGCAGGTGTCTCAGAGAGACTGCAGCGGACACTTTCCGGTCTTACCGTAACTTGCGCATGTCCAAACATGCAGCTGCCGTGGGAAGCATATGTCCATCGCAACCTCGTGGGGAATATCTGCTGGGATCGTGTAAACCAGCAAAACAACGGCTTAAGCAGATCGTGCCCGTTCAGTGGCAATTGCAGTGCACTCGGCCATCCCATATCCGAGGCCATCTCACAGGCGCAGTCGGGTAGCCGACGCCACGCAATTGGAGTTTTGAAGTGCATCCATGTCCATCCATGTCCATCCATGTGAGGATTGGATGGGTTGACGACGACGCACGCCACACACTTGCGCATAGCCACTACCAGGGTGCCAGGCCCCCGGGAAAGCGGCATCTTGCATGTGGCGACGCCAATTCTGGTCCCAGTGATGAATCAGAACCCCGCGATATGTCACAGATGAACACTTGCCAGTCGTTTGTGCCGCTGTATGTCTCGCAGTGATGTGAGTGAGTGGCAGCAAAACCACAGAGCGATTGGCTGGCAAATTTGGTTGAATGCTGGAGAAATTGTGATCCCGGTCGCTCGGAAAAGGCCCAGTGACTTCCGTAAAGTCCGCCAGCTGATGGCCAGCTGTTCTCCATCTTATTACTGTCATGACATTGGTAGTTGGACACAACTTCAAGTTCTAGATTGCAGACCTGTGTGTCTATACAGATTCTGTCTACCGATACGTCTACTCACAAATGCCCTGATCTATTGCTCGTCAAAGATCATCTTCGCCATCTTGATTTCTAGACCTAGTGGCAGTGAGCCGCCGCAGTGTAGCTACGCTTCATCGGCATGTCCTCGTAGCCAAAGTCGACACCCGCGCCCGCAAACAACTCCTCTAAGCCACGCCCATCGAGCCTTTGTCTCGCGTCACACCTGATCAGCTTCAGATTGGGGAACTGTCCGCTCGAGACGGCACGGGCAAGGCTGTGAAGGCCTGTGACGTGGTCTTGTTCGTAGTGTCTCATACTAGTGCCTGCTAGACGGAGGGACACGATGTTGGATGGCAGAAGCTGGGGCAGATAATCCGCGTTACTCATCGCCGGCTTGGAGTGTTTGTTGTATATCGTGTTGTAGCTGAGAAAGAGCTCTCGCAGAGACCCAAAGTCCGTGATACTTAGGATGGGCCTGATATGGCAGTTTGAGGGGAAATTGAACTTTCGGAGGTCGAGGTGCAACGACTTTAGTGTTCTGTGGTGACTCCGGAGGTGTCGAATGGCTTGAGCCGGCTGGAAATGGTCGCTAACGGGGGCATGGGAAAACGAATTGAGCTCCATCTCGGGCAGGGTCGTAGCCTCGTAGACGAATGTCTCCAGGTTGCTGCATGAACATAGTAGAGCCTCGAGGCCCTCTTCGCTCACCCTGCTGTGCGTGACGCGAAGTACCCTAAGATTTCTGAGGACATTGAGCGTCGGCTCATTCGAGGTGGTTCTAAGCATGTGCAAGTTGAGCGTGCTGAGGTTCTGCGCCATCTTCAGAATGGCCTGAGCTTGCTTGCCGAGGAGCAGTATTTGCATCCGTTGTTTGCTTTTCTTCACATGCAGGGCGATGTCAAGCGTTTTGAGCGATTGGCCAGCGGAATTACCGACTGCTGAAAAAGCCACAGCAGCAGGGTACTCCCGGAAAGGAAATTCATGGTTGACTTGGAGACCGAGATGCTGTAGATTGGGCAGCAGGAGCACGAGCATCTGAACAACTGCCCCTCCCAGTTCCTGTTGCCATTGGAGGGTCACACAGTAACCTGGAGTCGTCGTCAAAAATGGCTCAGGAGTCCAGTAGTCATCGATTCCCAGCGCGGCCGCCGCGTGACCAAATGCATACTCGGCCTGTTGCAGGTCGATTCGTTCTATCAGGTAATGGTTGATGTAGACTCTCCTGACCATACTAGCCAGGTCGCGCCGCTCAGTCATGGTTCGCATGAAGGCGGTAAGCCGACCATCCCACGTGGAGCGGCTCGAGCGCCGGGAATCGCCATAGCCGGGCATGAACGCGTGGTGCAGCACCGGCTGCGCTATGCCGTAGAGTCGCTTCGACGCCAAACATACCGAGAACAGCGCCTGGTGTTCCTTCAAGTACCAGGAGGGGTCATCGTGCTGCTGGTCGTCGCGACGGAAAGACACATCGTGTGCGGTTGAACCTCGGTCGGTCTGACAGTGCAGACAGAGCTTGGAAAAGATGAGACTTAAGACTTCCGTAGGTAATTCGTCAAGCATTATGAACGTTCATCAAACGTGGTGAAGGAGGAGGAAGCTGAAGCAATGGAATGAGTTCGTGGTTGCCTGCGTTGAACTGCAGTTTTTTTTAGCAGAACCTCTTTTATTGAGACCTCTGTTCACCTGTTGGCAGATGCCCCCCTCGGATTGATCACCACAGCAGATCAACTCGAGGAACACAATCATATTACGAGACCTTCCGGTCAAGTGGTTCTGCCAAAAAACCTCAATATACAAACCTTTGGTACTAAAATCAAGGATATAGAGAGCGGTCAGCCTGCTGGAATATCCTGCGCGGGTAATCAGACAGCATCGTAGCTGCCGCTTGTTTGTGCGACCTCGGATATAAGTCTTATCAGTCTATCGCGGCCTTGTTGGTAAGAAGACAGGGGGTTATACTCACCCATAAAGGGTAGTATTACCATCCTTGACACCTGTAGTTGTGCCGCTTGTTGGTGCAAGGGACCTCAGATTGAAGTCTCATTGGTCGATCGCGGCGTTGTTGGTAAGAAGATTGTGGTGTATCTCGCCTCGTGCATCCTGGGATCCAGTCGCTGGCGGCCACATCAGATCTCAAGTCCCTATCCCCCCATAATGCGTCCAACTCAACTTCGCTCTAAACCGAAGGTTCAGAAGGGCAGTTGTACTGTGGTATACTTCCTTGATCCTCCAGGAACGTCGACAAGATGTCAACACTCACGTCCTACGCGACCTTGGCTGCATACCTTCTGGGTCCCTTGGTGCGCTTCTCAGTCCCCAGACCCGAAAGCTGTAACTAACTGGTAATTCCAGATGTTTCTCGTTCTAGCTTACCGCTTGATCACCGATCCTCTGAAGCAATACCCCGGACCAACTCTGGCCCGGTTTACTGATGGCTATGTCGGCTTCCATGCTGTGCAAAAGCGGCTTCATATTGCCACATATGAGGACCACCTGAAATACGGTACCGTTGTAAGGCAGGCGCCCAATCGGCTCGTCTTCAACACGGTTACAGCTCTGCATGGTACGCCTCCTTCACTGAGGTCAGCCCCGGCATCTCTGACAGACGCAGACATCTATCTCAACTCCCGAGTAACCAAGAGCAAGGTGTACCTGCAATCTCTGCTGAGCTCTAATCAGCCCAGCATGTTCAACGCCCTGGACAGGACGGTCCACAGCCAGAAGCGACGAGCCGTAGGACAACTCATCACCGAGCGCTCTATGCGCTCCTTTGAGCCCACCATGACGTCGCAAATCCGTGTGTTCATGCAGCAGCAGCTTGCATCTAGTCAGAAAGCTGAGGTCGTCAATATGACGAGACGATGTCAGCGACTCGCCGCCGACATCGTGGGACACCTCGCCTTTGGGTACGAGTTTAATACGCAGACTGCAGACACGAACGCCATCATCCCCGCTTCCATGAAATGGAACAGCTACCGCATCAGCGTGTACATGGCCTGGCCGTTCATCCGAGTCGTGGACCCCGTCGTGCGCTGGTTCGGCCGGAAGCAGATCCCCGAGTTCTTCCAGACGCTGCGAAAGATGATCGGCACACGCATGAGCAAGCGCAAAGATGCGGCCCACGACATCTACGACGTTGCGTCCGAGGAAGTCACGGACACTACCAGCGGCGAAAAGACAGCAGGGCTCCAGGGCTCCGACCTATGGTCCGAAGCCTCCTTCTTGGTCATGGCAGGCGGGACCACCGTGTCTACCCTCATGAGCTCCGTCTTCTTCTACCTGTCGCGCCACCCCCAGGTTTACGCGCGCCTAGCCTCCGAGATCCGGGCTGTCTTCTCATCTGGCGGGGAGATCGCCGGTGGTGCCCAGCTCAGCTCCTGCAAGTACCTCCGCGCCGTGATCGACGAGACGCTGCGCGTCGCGCCCCCTACTACGGCCACGCCTTGGCGTGAGGAGGACGTCTATTCGGCCGCGCTGCCGCCGTCAGACGAGCCGTTCGTCGTGGACGGCCACCTGATTCCGCGAGGTACTGCAGTGGGAGTTTCCCTATACAGCGTTCTGCATAATCCGGCGTACTTCCAAGAGCCGTTTGCCTTTCAGCCTGAGCGATGGCTGGCGCCAGAAGGCGGCAAGGAGGACAAGGACAGCGAGGAGGCGCGGGCTCTCATGCGCCGCGCCTTCGCGCCCTTCGCGCTGGGCGATCGCGCATGTGCGGGAAAGGCGATGGCGTATCTGGAGACGAGCCTAACGGTTGCGAAGACCCTGTGGTACTTCGATTTCAAGACCGCACCGGGGGCCGCTGGCAAAGTGGGAGGAGGGACCCCTGGCAGGACGGATGGGCGGCATCGGGCGGATGAGTATCAGCTGTATGATATCTTCACGGCGGACCATGATGGGCCCAATCTGGTATTCAGACCTCGCGGGGAATTCTGGAAGGAGCTCGAGTGATGATGTGAGGGACTGAATGTTGTTTAGCTAAAGCTGGGCAATGTTGTATGCCAGTGGGCATAGTATCTTCCCTGCCGCGGTAGTGCTTCCGTTCAGGGAGCAGATTCTCTAGTGCAGGTATCCTTGCTAGATGCATGAGACGAGGGTGAAAGAGACTGCAGCGTCGTCGTCGGAACTTCGCATGTGCGTCGCACCTTATACGTATGAGACCATCAGGTCTTTTACAGAGCTGAGCTGAAATGGACGACCCCTCGCTTCAGTCTGAATTGGTCCACCGGCGCTGGAAGAAAAGCCGAAAGAAGCTCAGCAGGGGTAATTAGGGTTTGCTGACTGCGTGACTGGTCTTGACTAGCAGCATCACTGGTACGCAATGTACTATGAGAACTGCGCGTTGCAGCATTCTCACCTCTCTGCAGGATTGCTCGCCGTAGGACTGCTTGCCGGAGTGGGGAGATTGGGAGAGACCGGCGCGGGAAAACACTGGGATAGAAGGGGTGACCTGCGAGACTCAGGTGACGGGTCTAAATCAGTACGAGGGGCTCATGAAATGGTAAAACTTTATGGAATGTAGCAGTATTAGAAGTGGGATTTGTTGTGGTTGTATTGGGAATGATGCTGGAGAACAGATTCTCCAGGTCTGTCAGTGGAGTTGATACAGTGGCTCCCTACGGTGCGTAGCACCTGCCCAACATATTCGAAGTAGTAACCACCTGCAGGCAACTGCCAGGCTGCACAATTCGATGTGGGAATTGGCCCATGAGTCTGAAGAACTACTGGTTGGACTGATGAAGTGAATTGCCAGAGCCTGGCCTGGGAACGGTGTTAGAAAACCTGGAAGCAATCTGGAAAACAAGCTGGAAGATCCGTCACTGGAATAGACTTTGCGATAGGTAGTGTTCGGCAAGTCGGTCTCAACGACGTCACACGCAAGAGCCCATACATAGTCGGGAGATCCTCGATCTGTTCAACGAGACCAACCTCAATCAGGTGACAAGAACTCGCTGCATTAACCCTCCAAACATTGATACTCAGGAATCAGGATACCCAGCAAACCGCCAAACTTATCGGTAGTCTCGTATCCATCGTGACAACCGGAACGCCGGCGCTAGCTATCTACCTGTTCAACCTGAGTAGTTGACTTTACCGTTAAGTGACTAGGCTAGTGGTGGGCCACACCGTTACACTTGCGCCTAGCCCAGCGACGGGGCTCCGAACTGTGACTACATCCAATGTATGACGACCTACAGCCGTGAAGTTATTCGAGAGACTTTACTCACATCACCGACTCACCTGCTCCGCCATCCAGCCAGCCAGCAGCGGGAGCGGAGGGAACCCCATGGCCCAGACGCGCGCGGCCCCATCACACACCACAACCACCACCCAACGCGCTCCCATCACAGCACCAGACCCGCAAGGACACCACCACCAACCTACCATGGCCAACACCAATACCACACAACGATTCTCACGCCTAGACCAGGCGCACGAACTCGCCATGGCCAGAGCACGGCAGCAGCTGCAGGTCCTCGAGCAGGAAGCAGAAGCCGGCATTAAAAGACTGCACCACGAGCGGGAGATGAGGGAGGCGCGGGAGAGGATGGAGGTCCTGCTGGTGCATGAGAGGGCGATGGCGGAGGCGGATCGGAGGCTTGAGAGTTTGGAGTTTCCTTGATAAGGGGTTTGTTTGTTTGGTTGTGAGACGGATGTGTCGACTGTCTGTACTGATGACGGGATGGTAGGGGGTAGTGTACAGCCCAATGAGACATATCCCACACTGGGTATATATATCACACCGCAGGGCTGGCATAGGTAGCAATTTGAAGTTCAAATGTTTTTGGTTCATTCGCTAACCATCATACCACGTTGTAGTTGTAGATATATAGTACAAATGCAAGCACTACCAATACAAGCGGCTTCAGCTCGGAAGCTCAGCCAGCAACAGACTCCCAACATTCCCACGCGCATTTCTGATCCAAATTGGAAATGTATATATGTGTAGTCCGGTTCGTCTCGTCGTCATCTCGTTAAACAGAGCAGCTCCCAATCATTAGGTGTCCCTGGGAGAAAATGAACCACATTAGAACTGGTCCGAAGCTCATAAATCTCGGAGCTTAAGAGTCCCTGAGAGGAAAACAGCCACGTTAAGATGCGTCCCTGTAGAGTCGAAGAATCAGAGACGGTGGGGGCCCGGGGAGAAAAGGTGGTATCATGGGGGTCAGGGGGGTCATGGGGGAAGGAGTATGTGCATAGTGGGGGGTTGGAGAGGTTCGTGCCCCTTTAGAGTCCAAGAATCAGACACGATGGGGGGAGACGGGGTGGCATCATGGGGGTGTGGTGGACGAAGAAGCATGTGCATAGTGGCAATAGTACGTACAGTAGAGCCAGTGTCAAGTCGCCGTGAATGCGGGCCTTGAGCGTGACCTCGACCTCGAGATTAAGATCCAGCCGCAACTTGAGCGTGTCGCTCTTGCCGCCATCGTCGCCACCTTGCTGCTGCTGCTGCATCTGCTGCTGCTGTTGCTGCTGCTGCTGCTGCATCATCTGCTGCTGCGGCATCTGTTGCTGTTGCTGCGGCATCATCTGCTGGTCCTGTCCGCCCTGGGACGTCATCTGCTGCTCCGGCACCTCCTCGAGGTCCGTCTTTCGGTTGCGGCGGCGGCGCTGGCGGGCCGGGCGCGAGCGCGACTGTGAGGTCTCGGCGCCGCTCTGGGAGCGCTCCCGCACGGGCGGGTTGGGTGCGGGGGACTGGTCTTCGGCGCTGGACGACATGTCGACGGTAGTGTATTGCTGACTGTTGAGATGCGGAAGTGTATATAGCGGTATAGTTGTATCAAACCTGCTTCGGTCGTGGTGATGGATGGGTATTTGGTGAACTCAAGTCATGTATAGATGCGGACGAAGACCCTAAGCCAAGCTACGGCAGGGCGCGAGGCTATTTGTATCGGCGACTCGCCAAAATAGGCCACCCATCCCACATCCTGCAGGTCGACGGTTGTCCGTTCTCAACGTCACGCATGGCGCAGATAGAAGAGAAATCCTGATTTTGTCTGGGTCTGTCGGTCTGTCGCAACCTGTTGGAACCTTGAATGGAGGGGGATCGAGGTGGGTGGAGTCCCTTATTACATCATAAGCCCGAGGCCCGTTGGTTTCAAGACACCTGCCCGCCAATCGTCACCAATCTAAGGCCCGTTGTCCCGCTTTTACCCATGGGCTGACAGGACTGGACCCTGATGATCTAAACCCCCATACTTGTGGCGCAGTCGTGGCTGGAGCGCTTGCTGCTTGCACATAAGGTTTAAGTGCATGCATCGTTACCTCATATCCCGCGGCTGTCAATTAAGTGTGAGGTCAAGTGTGAAGATAGGAGCCGGCAATTCCGTATCAAGCGATGATATCAGACAATCGAACTGCTTTGGGACAGTAGCCGACTATCTCGAAGCCGAAAGAAGGATCCAGCCAACGACAAGGGGCAACATTGAAGTGGTGTGCTTATGACGAGTTACGAGGTTACATGAGGTACAATGCCAAGTTCTCAGGGCTGCCAGGGGTCCAGGACGGGAAGCTGCACAACTTGCCTCATATGCATGGATGTCTATGCCCCGCCTGTACCAGAGCAGGGGTATGAGGGGCTCACACAACCAACAGGTCAGAATATTCCTATGTAGATATCATCATAAGTGCTTCTATGCGGCTCGGAATATCCAAAGCTCACCCAAGCGCCGGTTTTGGTAACATCCACGCCTGACCTCAGCTTACGTGTATTCTAGGGTGGTCAGGGGTATGCGCCAATCTCACGTCGCGAATGCCGGTCTCCTGCCAAAATATTCGTTAGCCGCTATCACCAACCTGACCGTCGCCAACCAGCTGTAGCGAGAATGCCTTGAAGGAAGCCCCATCCGAAGGACTAGTAGGGGTCACTTCAACAGCATCAGCAGTAATTATGGGGGAGATGAGCTCGCTGACGACCCCAAGGTCGGCTGATGCTTACCCATGCTTAAGACCCATTGATAAGTACGGATCTGCTTATGGTCCCGAACACCTTTTAAAGGGAGTGCATAAGCACTTGATACCTCTGCCCCTTCTTCCTTATATCTGTTCCGTTCTTTCTTACTCACATCTCAAGGATCCGTCATGTCACTAGCAGAGAATCAAAAGCGCACGGCGCAAGCGTTCGTCGACGGCTATAACGAGTGGACAATCGAAGCCCTCATGCGGCCGCGCTCAGACGACTGCGTACACGCCAGGCTGCCGGCCTCGCTGAACAGACCAGAGCGGAACAACGAAGCTTACACCACGTTCTTCCAGCCGCTGTCTAAGACGGTAAAGGAGATGAAGGTAAGCTACTGGCAAAACGACCTCCAGCATCCCGTATCCCGTCTTCTCCTCAGTTACAATATAATGAATGCTAATCAGGAGTATCTAGATGATCACTCAAAAGATCGTCAACGACACGGAACAACACATGGCTGTCTTACATGCTCGGGGTTACGGCGAGACACCTGTCGGGCCGTACAGGAACGAGTACGCCTTCTTCTTCTACTTCAACGAGGAAGGGACAAAGGTCGTGAGAGTGGAGGAGTTCGTGGACTCGGAGTTTAGTAATGGGTTCTTCGCTAGAATGCAGGAATACATGAAGGCGCAGAAGGGCGAATAGCACTTGTGACTATAGGTATGTTACCAGCCTCGGAAATGGTACCAGTAGTGGTAATAGTCGGGTAGTTGGTATACACAGTCGACACATCCGGCGGACGTGTAGCAGCGATATGTGCAGTAATAGGTAGTTGACGATGGTATGTATGTATTATGTGCCAGATCTCCGCATATTGCTCCCAGAATCCCCCGCTCGCCATGCACCCCATGCTAATAAGAACCTCACCCAGTACTGTATAGTACCTCACAATCTATCACCTCCGCCCTATGAGTTCGTCCCATGTGAACGATGCATGTCGGACAGACCCTCCCGCGCAGGTTTGCTTACTGCGCTACCTTCGAGTTCAGATATGTGCTTGAAGTTCGCTGCGGCGGGCCGCTCCTGCATCGGCATGAAGTCATTACCGCTGAGCTCCGATAACATCGAAGTGTGCCGGCTGTGCACATCGCGCGGTGCCCATGACCCCGACTCTGACTTCAGACGGTTCGACGCGACTGCGAGATTGTTCGGGTCATCGGGGTTGGTGATTCGCAGCGTAGTCGCTACCGGTACCGGTACCGGTGTCCCTACCGCATCTAGATGGGGTCAGCTTGTCTGCCCCAGGCGCGTTCTCCTGAGATGTCCACCGTCCGCGAGCTCTCACCTCGAAATAGGACCTGGGGCTCCTCTGCTACTTCGGGTTGCCTATTCTCAGGCGGTCGGGCGTATCCCTGCTCCAGGCGGGCGTTTTCTTTCCGCTTCCACCAGAGGTATGCTCCCAGCACGGCAAGCAGGATTATCACACCAGCCATCGTGATCCCGACTATCAACCCAGTCCGAGACGTCGAGCCGCCGTCGGCCTCTGCGGTCTCTGTCGGACTCGACGTCGGTGTCTTGGTTTGTGTCTGCGTTGTCGAGGTTCCAGGGATCGGAGAAGGATAAGGCCAGCCCGTTACGAACTGCGATGCGTTGCGCGATTGTCGCTGACTCTCGCCGAGATCAGGTTTCCCGGTGCACATCCCTCGTTGCACGGATTGTTTTTGCAGCAGCCTATGAAGGGCGGGTTGGAGTACTGGCAAGTATACCATGAGTTCTCGTCGTAGGGCTCCTGACAGCTCTGCTGGACTAAGTCGCCGCCTTTCGAAGCGACGAAGCTCAGCGGGTGTAGCTCGTCGTCGGGACATTGTCCACTGAGCGCCCCGGTGCACGGATCAACGCCGCAGCAACCGATGAAGCTGTAGTCGTATTGGAAAAAGAGGTGTAAGACGCCTCCAAATGGGCAAGAGAGACCGAACTCGTGTTCAGGATCCATGGTGTTGGTTGTTGAGGTCGAGCTGAAGCTGTGTCGCTATGTCGCGTTGTGCTCAATGGAGCACCCTCCCATTACGATTGCGTTTTGTATGCGAAAAGAAGAGAGGACGGTGTTTGTCACCAGGATGGATCGCGGTCTGAAGTCAGGGAAGTCAGGGAAGTCACACGTGCAAACATTCACACAAAGCGCCTTCCTACTACTATCCAGAGTCGCACACCGCAAATCCCAATTGCGATTCCCACTCCCTCCAAGGTGCCTTCATGCTCAGATTCAGCCACATATTGTAATATTCCAGACGAATGGGACAGATCATATCTGCTCGTCTGATGCGCGCCGTTGGCTACTCTATCGTTCCTTTGAGAGGGCTTGGCCGTGTTGGTCACCGCCAGCCCCCCAGCGCAGTGTCACGGGATTTACCCCACGAATAGCTCAGGTTTCTATCATTAAACCTCAGTGATTCATTGTTGGTAAGGGCTTAGATCTTGTCGGAAGTAGGACGATCCGCTAACATTCTCTCCCTTGCAGGCAGATAACCCCGGCCAAGAGCGTGACTGGTCATATCTCAGCTGGTTACATTACCATTGGTGGTACGGAGCCAATGTCCAATAGTCTTGTCCGTATATTCACTATTGAATATGATTGACATTCTCCTCTTTGACGTTTTCATACATGTGGAACTCGTTCTCTCGTCATCTCGTTCGATCTGCTTATGCCGCGGCGGCACCCATCCGCTGTGACATTCATTCGTTTACCTGAGATCGACCCTTCGCCGAGGCACCCCTATTCCGGCTCAGGATGGCAGCTGGCCCCCTTTCCGGCTCAGGATGACAGCAGGTCTATGCCCGGACTTCGACTGCGCAATGTCCGTTTTCAACCGTCCAGGGAACACCCTCACCAACGCATTGGCCTGGGTGTTGTGACATTGGAACCATCATCGCCAGCTGAAGTGAAGTTCAGCCGCAGCATCTGTTCCTCTGACCTGGTCTGCGCTCCTGAGGTCGCTTCTTGGCATCATCTGTGGGCCAATGTGAGATATCGCGCTTTCCGGTTTGGCAATGAGGAGCTGCTTGGCCAGTTTTGAGCTACGATATGTCAGCATGCCATTCCGGGTTGTTGCCCCAGTCTCAACCTGGTAAACGAGAAAATCGGCAGAGTGCTTCAGGACGCAAGCGACAGCAGTCTTCCACTCCTCGCCACTGCCCGTGGTCGTGCTGGCGAAGGCCGGATCTCTTGCTTGATATCTCATCACTATAAACAGCTAGCTCGGCATTGCAGCCAAATGGCCCGCTGCTACGAGGACGCAAAGCGACTGAGACTGCATCGTGGTACGCCAGGTATGAAGCCTCACTCACATTCCATACTCCGCGACGGATGTGGCCAACAGCTCGCGAATATGAACTGACTCGGAGATCTGCGGGAAAAACTTGGACGGCGGGCAGATCGGACGGGCTCAAGGCTCAGATCTGGGTCACTTCAGTGCCCATCAACGCCGAATTATTCGTGTCTCCTCGACGACTGACCGACTTCGGCGCCTGTAAGTCTGTCGGTAACCCGGGTGAGCCTGGTACGGGGTAGGGGGCATCATTGCGGAAGTCTTACACTCTCACCATGCCAGCCAGACGAGGCCGTTTCTGGGTACTGATTCACTGCCATGTCGACAGCCATCCAGTGTGAATCACAGGCCCCATCTAGGCAGCTTCACTAGTATCGTCGAAGACCGATTTGGCAGGAGTTGAAACGAGGCTTCTAAAACCCTCGGGTCCGGCCTCCGGGATAACCTCTCTTGAGCGGCCGGAGAGCGAGTGGCTGGAGCTTGCCATCGACTCGCGATCCTTGAGTTCAGGACACACAGCTGGGCCAAAATATCATACCAAGGATCTTGGATAGCTCAAGAGGGAGGCAATCTCTCACGGCCTTGGAGACAGGTCTTACTGGAGAAGCAAGCACAACATCGTACCCAAGGCCCATGGTCCTTCCTGGCCTTGGAACAATCAACAGAACTTCAGAAACGGTATCTAGACTTCGTCAAGTCGATCCCGCGCCCGCCCAGCCGATAGTTACGTCCGCTTCGCTGTCTGTCCATGCTCCTGTCCCTGATTAACCTCCATAGCGGCCCGAAGCAGGCTGTCGTGACGAGCGACATCGCGAACGATATATAAGTAAATATTCAGGACATAATGTATTACGGTGTGAACACCAAGCCGCCGACTTTGCAATCTGACATGCAGGCTCGGGGGTATTGGTATACGACGGTTAAAAGGGGACTGTACATGATCAGGGCGGGTGGCTAAGGGCTTGGTGAGCGCATGATTATATTTGCTGAATAAGTCTGGCATGAAGGTAACAGCGGAAGCCCGTTAGGTAGTCTGGTAATCACGTTTGCAGGTCGTCGACGTCAATCCCCCATGTTCGAAACCCCTATCCTGAACTTAGTCCATGATTTGGGTGCAGCGTTAGGCATGGTCCGTCTGTCCATCGTCCAGCATCAAAAGTGCGTTATAGTCACTCATCACGAAGTCTCCCTTTCGCGCATCCTACATTTCCTACGAAAAAGAATCCTTAATCGCGGAATTAACCCCCTTATAATGAGCAGTTATGTTCTGATAAGCTATCTCCCGAGCCGATTCCACCGACACCGAGGTCATGTGGCTATTCAAGATCTTACGTGGATGAAGAGGGGCGTACGGAGACTTCGAGAATTCTGCGTACCAGTCCCACGGTCTGACATTGCCGCTTTCAAGACTCATGGTATTATTCCGTCACTGATGTTGATAAATGACCTCCATTAAGTCTGCACGGGAACCATGCATGTCACATTGATGTTTTAGACAGCATACACACATCGAAACGCTACCCATGGGCCTACTCGTTATTGTTCATCCCTTCTGGCCTGGCCGAGCGATATTTTGAAAATGTCAGGGATTTCAAGATCATAACGAAAGTTGTCTTCAGCGAGTGGATGGAGTTAATGACACTTTACTAAGGCAATCCCCACGGTCATCGAGCCCATGCCCATGAGGAAACCCAACAGCCAGAGTCTACCTCATGCTCACGCTAGGTGGCACATCCTCCCCCCGCGTGCCCCAAGAGCTTTCCACCGGTCCCAGGACGAGTTCAAGCGTACCGCCCTCAAGAAAGAAGCTATGCGTAAGGTAGTTCTTCGTATACACCTCGCCATTAAGCTTCGCACTCTGAATGTAGATATTCGTATACGCAGCATCAAAGCCGACGCTCCTGATCGTCGCCATCTTGCCCGTCATGCCATTAGTCAGACTCACGGAACGGAAGAACGGAGGCGTGATGAAGTAGACGTCCTGCCCGGGATTCGGGAAGATGCCCAGCATCGAGAGGGCGACGAACGAGCCCATGGCGCCTGAGTCGTCGTTCCCGGGGATGCCGGCCGTCGTCGTGTTGAACTGGCTCGGGATGTACGAGTGAATGCGCTCGGCACTCTTGGCTGGACGACCTGCGTAGTGGTACTGGTAGACCGTGAGAAAGGCCTGCTCGTCACCTATGTAGAGCAGTCCGCTTTCGTGAAGGTAGTCCAAGCGACTGACGAACGTGTCTGGGCCGCCGAGCGTTGTGATCAGAGCCGCCATGTCATGGGGCGCAAAGAACGTGTACAGCCATGAGCTACCCTCGTACGTCTCATGACCGTTGGTATTGAGATAGCACGAGTCGAAGTTGAGCAGCGGAGAACAGAATATCGGGTCCTGGAGCCCAAAAGTACCGTTAAGATACTTTGGCTGCGCGAAGCCAGTGAATCCGGTATCCGTGCCATTAATATCAGATGCTTGGCCTTCTTCGTACAGGTTGAGCCAATTGCCGGAACGCTCTACGTATTTCTCGTAGTCATCTTGTTTGCCCAGTGCCTCCGCCATCTCCGCGATGCAGAAATCGTTGTAGGCGTATTCCACTGTTCGGGAAATACTTCTCGTCATGACTCCATTTCCGTAAGGATCGAAATCATCAGCCGGAATGTACCCCAGAGTTTTCCAGCTGTACAAGCCACCACGACCCTCGAGGTCCCAAACTTGACTACATTATTAAGTCAATATTGTCGCATGTGAATAATTAATCAACTCAGAGGTCAAATCGCCTCTAACTAGAGATATTTTGGATAAGGGGGAGATTACTTACGGCTCAACCTCCGCATCCTTGATCAAAGCCTCGTACCCAGTCACCCAGTCGACATCTTGGGTGATGTTCTTCAGGTACGCATCAACCAAAACGACGTCGGCGTTCGATCCGCCCTGAGTGAAGCCTTTGCACAGGGACATCCTGCAGTCTGGAAGCCATCCTTCGTGCCGATAAATGTCGATCAGAGAGCGGATCATCAGGGTTTGCGAATAAGGGTCCACCAAGGTAATGAACGGGTGTATGCTGCGGAAGCTGTCCCAGATGCAGTAGTAGGAGTCATAGTACGGCTCGTCGCTCTCCCAAAGCGGGTTTTCACCCGTGTAATCCTGCGGACTGATCATCGCCCTATAGACACCGCTCCAGAAGATGGTCTGCAGGTCGTTCATTGTAGTCGCATCGTTTATCGCTCCTGCGGTATCATTGGAGATTGTCGCATCGATGCTTATGACCTCGAGCTTATTCTTCCATGCCTCTTCTGCTGTTACTAGGGTGTCTTCAAAGCTAAAGTTTGGAATCTCTGCTTCGCCATTCTGGCAAGCCTTCTCGGAGCTGATGAAGGATAATCCAACGCGGGCCATCACCTCGCTGCCACTCTCAACCTGATCAAACCAAGCATAGGTCCCTGCAGGCACGGGAGGGCTGTTGTTATCTTGCTGTACAGTGATATTCTTCGGCTCGCTGCCGCCTCGATTATTGATAAACACTCCTGTATCTCGAATAGGCCCCGTTCCTTGAACATCAGCACAGAAGTGGAGGGTGTATGTGCCTATACCAAAACTGGGCTGGAAGGTTCCTGTTCCTGTCATCCGTCCCGAATCTGGATCAACGGATGCTGTGCCATTGCTGCGAGTGTCAGGCAGATCGGTCAGGTCGACAATGATAAGGGGGCTCAGGGAACCGTCCACGGTGGCATTGCCAGTAGCATTACCGAAGAAAGTGAACTTGTAGAGAGCAGTATGATTGGAAGTGGTGATTTCAGCCTTCACGCCGTTTTGAAGCCCAATAGAGAAGTACCCAGGTCGAGCTGACACACTGCCCTCGACAACTTGCACGAACCGCTCCGTCTTGGGGAAGATACAGCCATTGATGTCGTCGTTGTTGCAGCCTGGATAGACAAATAGGGGGAAATTGCCAAGGGAGGAGGCGCCTCCAGTGCCGGAATCATGCATGTGAGAGAACCCACTGACTGGACTACCGTTTGAAGCATATCCTCCTTGGTTATCACTGGTAGCGTCTGCCACAGCTTTGGCCATGCCTGAAGACCATCAGCCTAGCTTTTGGTATAAACACGAACAAGGGACAATGTCAAGTGTGACATGTAGGCTGATGAACGTGTGAGAAGAAGGATCATGGTATCGGGACTCACCGAAGGGTAAGGTCGCCCCAGCGAAGACATGACCTGGATATTGTTAGGCATCATCCGTATATAATTGTGTGTTCGGAGAACCGTGACATACCGCCGTTTCGAGTACCAATGAGGGGATCGACGAAGTAGTATCCATTGGCAGACTTGAGCTGGCGAGACGCGGCTACGTGAGATGCCCGGAAGGAGGCGAATAACGCAATACAGGTCAAGAACGACAGAACGGCCATTGTGAAATAAGCCGCCGGGTTCAATGCGACTGCAGTCTGTGGGGGCTAGAAGCCGGTAAAGATATCAAGTCGGCTTTTCCGGTAGTGAGGCAATGTATAAGGGAGACACGTGAACAGGCAACAAGAGTGCTCCTTCCCAAACACAGGTAGTTGCCCAGCGTTCAGTGGTGTAAGTCGATTCGACTCACGCAGAAACCCACACTGGGATAATTGGCCAAGGTATATGGCTACTTGCCACGGGAGGAGCGGAGTGACCGAAGATATGCTGTTCCGCTGCCACTCCCATGGCCCCGGTCCAGATCAAGAGCTTCTTGACCTCATATATTACGAAGGGCAGCCAGCACCTGCGAACTTGGCATGCAGAAAGTGAACTGCGGGGTTGGTTGCGGAGAGAGAGGAGACACAGATAGAGAGCCTGCTTCTCCGCAGCTGTATAGCTGTATACGTGCATGTAATACGACATCGTGGGTGTGGAGAGGGGGTGACAAGACTGCAGAGAACCTCGATGAAGGACTATACCCAAGGAGAAAGGCAGTGATAACACAATTGTGAGACCAATGCTGTATCAATACCGTACATGTATATGAGGTAGAGATCAAGTGATATTTCTGGCAGATATTGCGACTGACTCGCATTGGTTGGAGAAGTTGGACTCTTCGAGTGTGAAGTGTCGTCGTTGATTGCGGCCAAGGCATCGTCAAACGCTCTGCGGAGCATGTTAATCATGTGGAGCATCTTCAACTCATACATATCTCGGGCCGGCAATACTAATACAGTAGGGAGCCCTCTGGTGAGACCACCAAGAAGCCACCCGTGGTCTGTAGACTGTAGTCCAAGAACAGGGCAACCAGCCTGATTTCGCAAACTTCATCTTGACTCTTGAGAGTTAAAAGGGACCCACTGAGAGAAGAGGGCCCACCTTCAGGTTCCCGTCCTTATCGGGACTCGACCTTGCGCAAAGCGGAAATACCGCCTTCCGCGATTCGTTCTGATTGGCTCAATTGGTCCCCGCGCAAGAGCTGGGAAGCTTGCAGCAGCGCAGAGGTGCAGCCAGCAGAAAAAATATTCGAGGCTCGAAATTTCAAGACCGGTCAATTGGCATCACGAACCGCCAATTCACCCACCGCCCACCACCAAATACGACGACACAACCACGCTCCCTCAACAGTCCACATCCCAGTCTTGCCCCGAAACCAATAAAGTCGCAACACCAGACAACTAGCGAGGGCCACCCCACCTCCCTCTCTCGCACACACATCCGCCGCAATGGGGTCCACGAAGCCCGAGAAGAAGGAGAAGAAGGACAAGAAGGAGAAGAAGCACAGCGAAGCCAGCGACGGCGTGACCAAGCCCTCCAAAAAGGACAAGAAGGAAAAGAAGGAGAAGAAGGAGAAGCTCAAGCACGCCGTCAACGCCGCGCTCGACGACCAGCTGCAGGCCGACGCCGAAGCCTCCTCCTCTTCAGTAGCAGTCGCTGTCGTGGCCAGAGACGAGTCGGACGACGAGAAGAAGGACAAGAAGATAAAGGCGGCGCTGGTGCCCGTGGTCGGCGCGCTCGTGCCGTTTGCGCGGCCCCTGGCTGACGAGAAGGGCACCAAGAAGATCATGAAGAGCGTGCGGAAGGGTATGTTTTGTCTCTATCTGTTTCTTTTTTCTTCGCCGTCTTCCATCCCATATACAATCTCTAGCCCGGTTGAGCGTGGTCAGCCCACAGGGCCTCGTCTTGGAATTCCCTCTACACCGTGCCCGGGAGAGTGAAATCAATAGCTAACAATCCACCCCCCCAAAACAGCGGCCAAGAACAAGACCCTCAAGCGCGGCGTAAAGGAAGTCGTCAAATCCCTGCGCAAGTCGCCCGCCGCGGGCCCGGGCAACACCTCCTTCCCGGGCGTCGTGGTGCTGGCCGGCGATATCAGCCCCATGGACGTCATCAGCCACATCCCCGTGCTGTGCGAGGACGTCAACGTGCCCTACGTCTTCGTCGCCTCGCGCGCCGAGCTCGGCGCCGCCGGCAGCACCAAGCGGCCCACCTCGGTCGTCATGGTCACCGAGAAGCGCATGGGCGGCGGCGGCAAGAAGGACAAGGATGGCGACAGCAAGATCGCCGAAGACGCGGAGGGCGAGGAGGACTTCGCCGAGGTCTACAAGGACCTCGTTAAGCTTGTCGAGAAGGAGACGAGGGCGCAGCTCAAGTTCTAATCTGGCTGGTTTCGTTCGTGGGTGACGGTCTGTCCTCGTTGGCGCTGCACTGGTCTAGATTACCTAAAACTAGACTGGGTGAAAGGCGGCATGTGGTATCACCTTCGTGGCGCCCCCTGATCTAGCTGGATAGCCTTCAAGGAGACACACACAGTCCTGAACCGCCACCCTTCTGCCGGCAAGGTCGTCCTAGAAACATCTAGGAGGTCATCATCGGTGTATTATACATACACGCAAACTGCTTCGGTTCGACTACATAGGTGTAGTCTTTCGGCGTTGGGGGAAAATAGTCATGTTGCGTTGCTGGATGGAGATGAATTGATACCATTCGAATGAAGCTTATGTCCATGGTGGCGGTGATCATGACATCCGTCTAAAAAAGCATTCTCGAACAGCATCTCGTTGGCGCGGCTGTGGTAATATACCACTGTCTACTGTGGTGATATACAGCTACTATAGTTTTACACAGCTACTATGGACCGTGGTCCTAGGGGGTGCCGATACCAATGAATTATCGAAGGTTGCAGGGATACTGAAAAGGTTGATCACGTGGTAGTTGAGAAGACTTCGGAAGTGGTTGTTGTTCGCAGAACAATTTTCCGCTTCTATAGCGTTGAGGCATCCCTGTTGGATCAGGAGGGCTTTGGTTTTGATAGACCAAAATATGTAGTTTTCGGTGCCCTTGAGCTGAGTCTGTTGGTTGAGTTTGAGGGAGGCCATGATGAATATTCGTCGAGATATCGAAGAAAAGGCGAAGTAGAAGCTGTTCTGGGAGAATTTCTGAAGGGAGTAGTTGTCGTATGAAAGTGTGGATGGTATAGGCAGTTGTAGAATGTCGAGGAGATGGTTGTGGACAATTTCCGTGAGCGTGGAATGGATATTGAGTTGTGTGGAGGTTGTGGAAGTTGTGGTAGTTGTCGAAATTGTCAAGAGATCAACCCAAGGTGGCTAGTCCGGGAGCTCATAACGTTTGCGACATGCGTGCCATTGGGCATCTCGGAAAGTAGCATGAGCGTGTCCTCACACACAAAGAGGTATAGCTGAGATACTCAACGGACCGCCAATCGATCTTTGGAAGGTAGTTCTGATGTGAGCAGGAAGCAAGCACAGTGTGCCACGGGGTCATTAATCACTAAGACCATATCACGAGCAGAGAGGTAGGCATCAGGTGTGATGAAGATTATATCAACTACTTTACACAGCTAAGCAGCTTATGCACCCCATCTCTGATGGACTCCCACCGATCCGGACTTCATCCGCGAACGAGAAAAGAAATTGCTAATAGAACACAGGATCGTCCGGTCCTCATTACGTCGTACGCTCATGCCTTCGAACCGATATTTACTCGAAAGGGTTGGTGCGGGTGCCCCACCAGGTGAGGAACATCGACAGGCCGACGGTCTCGAAGATCTTGGCCGTGGCGCTGACGGCGACAGTATCGGCGGCGCGCTTCTCGGAGAGCAGCTGGTTCAGGTACTATGGGCGCAATGTTAGAGGGGTGGAACTCGATACTGGGGGATGTGGCAAAGACGTACGGTAGGAGCAGAGGTGGCCATGAAGATCAGACTGCCGAGGTAGGCAGCACCCTTGTAGCTCAGGGTGCCGGTGGCGTTGATCAGAGCGCCGACTCCGTACGACTGCAGAGCCGAGCCGACGAGAGAAGTGCCCCAGGCGACGGCGGCGGAGGTGGCCTCCTTGGACTGGATGAACTCCTCCTTGGTGTTGGCAACCTTGGCGCGCTGGTACGTCTGGCCGAACAGAGGGGTCATGACTGCGGCGATTGAGTTAGTGAGTCCATCTCGGGTGGTTTTTGTGGGCCCAGCCAAACGGGCTACCGGGAGGACGTTGGAAGCTTACCTGCGAGCTCAATGCCATGGTTGAAGATGGTGCCGAGGGCGATGGCCGAAGGCTTGACGGGGGGAAGGTCTGCAGATATGTGTTAGCTGTGATGGACGACACGAGTGAGGACATTGGTGCAGTTGAGGTCAATTCGCTAACAGAGAGCTCCAAGAAGCTGCTCATGCTAGCTATTGCTCTACTGCAGCACAATCGAATGGTATTGATCTTTCAGGATGAGGAACTCACAGTGCAGAGACATGATGAGGAGTTTGTTGGCTGATAATTGATGAGGGTTCGGTAGGAAAGTGTTGTTGAGTTCGTGGAGGTGATGACGGTAGGTGGTTAGAATTGGGTGGGCGAGAGGCACGAAGTCTTTGGGGAGAGCTGGTTTTATAGCATGGGTACGCGCAGATGACGAAATGGCTGGCTTCCCGGGCAGGCCCAGTGGACAGGGCAGGAACAATTGGAATGGGATAATCCGGGGGGCCTTTGTCGCTAGCACATTACTTCATGCGTAAAACCTGCTGTGATCGTGATTCACATTTCGTTTTGCTTGCTGGTCGAGTCTACTTCGGTACATCCAGTGACTTGGCGTGGAAATGGAAGCTTCGCTGGTTCACTGTGACGTCATGGACTTGGGGGGCTTGTAACCCCCGGGCCATCGTTCTGGGCCATTCTGGGCCCTGAAACTCCTCTCCCCGGCCTTCACAGCTGCAGGTGTGGCTGGAGCTGTCATCCACGAGGTGCAGCTACAGGCCTTCAAGCCTCCTGGTCGTTACAGCCCGATACATCCAATGTCCTCCCTGTGACTCTATGAGTGGTGACAGAGGCCAGGATGTGTGCTGCTTTCATGAGATGTTTCCCAGTGCGAACTTGTGGCTGGGTGAGGCGTAGTGCCAACCGGGTAAGGCCGCTGCTATGGAGATCCGGGAGTCCTATTTCGCTAGGAGCAGCAGCTCCCTGGTGGGTGGAGCCTGGAGTTGCGCTTTCCAAGGTAAAAAAGGGGAGTCGGTAAGCTTGCAAGGCCACCGCTGATTGGCCTTTTCCGCAACCCAAGCTTCAAAGTCAACGTAACTGGACCTCGCATCACCGAGCAGCAGAAAGGGAGCTACTATGACGATGCCCACACACTGGGAAACTGGGCACAAGGTGGGAATTCACTTTCCCATCGTGGTCCATTGTAGCATCACGTCCCTTTCCACTGCTCTAACAAGCAGAACTTGTCGAGTAGAGCAAGGTACCGATGCCATATTTGGCCATGTCAGGCCCGAGATATGACCGTATGCGGTTGTAACCGCTCGCCTATCTGGGAACATACCTAGTACCGCGTGGTCACTTGAAAAGTCATTGGATACGCTGAGGCAGAAGCGTGTTGGGAAATTATCAGTACCCTTGGACGTTATGATACAGGCCTACCAGAGTGACCAATGACCAACCGCACCGCCATGACCAATTAACACCTATTTGATATATCCTTCACCTCCTTCCTTCGCTTCTCGCCATCTTCAAGTCACATGCTGCCCGTCCTCTCCACCCCTCAAAGCAAGAAGCGCTCTAACATCGGAAACGTACTGCAGTCCTTCCAAGAGAGGCACCAGGTGTAGCAAGTCGTTATCTGTCGGGTCATTGATCCATCCTTGTATTGGGATTGCATTGTCTGCATTATACCAGAGTTAGCAAGGTCAAGTATACCAACATCTAACATCCAGGGATTCCCCTACCTTGGTGGAACATGTAGCTCAGGGGACTGTTGTCCAGAATCATGACCTTGCTCAGGTCCGGTTCTATCGAGCTCAGATCCTTGATAAATGCCCCGTGCCGGAACGTGCAATGCTGCCGGTAGTATCGTCCTGAAAAGTACTTCCTTTCCGATTCCAACCAGTCGATCACCGGGTCCGCATACTCCTGTACCGACGCCGTGAAGATGACTAGGTTGAACCACTTGCAAACCTTTGCGACCAGAGTCAGCAACCTGGGAGGACACGCATACATGTCAGATCATAGCAAGGACCGTACCTTTCGCAGAAACTCGTCGCAGTGCGGCCTCTTGTGGACATAGTATAGGATTGGATGCTGCGGCCCCAATGCCGCCTGTCCTCCACTATCCGTATACGTTGTGTTCAACCGCACTTCGACCATGTGTCCCGAGCCCATCCGGCCTCCTTTAGACATACTGTGTATCAGTGTCTCGTCCAGGTCTAGTATCAACGTCTTGAGGTGTTTCGGGTCGACGGGTTCGTATGGAATGTAAGAAGGCTGTCGCCGTGGTAGCAGCGGCCGTGGAGGAGCGGGAGTCTTCGGGTACTTCGTCAAGGCGCCGGCAGGGGATGTGGGAGACTTCAGGTGCGCCGACAGGTCTGCGGACACATCGCCAGTCCCGCTACCACTGCCGGCACTGGCCGACTGCGACTTCTTGTGTTTCCGCTGTCGCATCGCATCATCGTTGTTCAGTTTTATCCGTATTGACCTCCGTGCGGGCGCGATCTCTTCACTGGGCTGCGCCGACTTGGACCGCGCATGGCGACCGGAAGATCCGGAGCTGTGACGATCGCCCTTCGCCCTGCTACTCATTTCCGATTCCGACTCGGACGACAAGCCCGACGACGAGGACCCTGACGACACAGCAGGCCGCGATGCTGTAAAAGCATGTTTCCCACGAGCACCTTGGCTAGCACGTCTAGAGGTGGATTTGTTCTCGCTCTGCTGGCTGACTTTTTCATGGTAGTCGGCGGCGAGTTTGCCCGTATCACCGCCATAGGTACCAAAGAGACTCTTCAGTCGACGTAAAGGGGCGAAGTTTCCTTGTTCGTCGTAGATGAGGGCAATCAAGTAGACTCCGGGCGCCGCAATAGTAGACAAGACCCAGTGGACGGAATTGATCAGCCCGTTTGCTATGCGCCTCGGGACTACATGCCATGAAAGAGTCCGGGTATTTGCGTCCTTGGCCTCGCTCTTTTCCAATAAGGGTGTGTGCTCGTCCGCGCCACGCGAATAGTCTCGACCGTCGCGCTTCGCGAATGCGTGCTCGTTCGTTTCGGAAGTCGTTGCATCCTTGTCGGCGACGGCAGTCTCGTCCGAGGGCTCGGCATCTTGGTCGGATGGAGACACAGCCAAGCCAACGTGACTGAGCGAGTTGGATCGTGAAGGGGCTGGACTGGCTGTCGGGGAGACTCGCGCGGATATTATGTTGAGTGAGTTCATTTTCTTCTGGTCGACTTGCCAGCCATCAAGCCTCGACCGCGTCTGCCAAAATGAAACAGGACTAGGATGACGTGGAAATGAAGGCGATGCCGAGTTTAAATACAGCTAGCGATGGCAGAGGTAGGTAGACAATGCAATACGAGCCGGCCTCCTTCCTGCGCTCAGTGCTGGCTGGGCTGCGGGTCGCAAGGATGGGAGTGAGGACAGCTGACGATAGGGACTCGTTCGATGGGTGACCGTTGGGGGGATCTGGGGATCTGCTATCTGCCTCGGTTGGGGTACAGCCAACCGTCGACAAGGTCCAATTGTACAGGTAGCTACGATGGCTACACTCCTCGTTTCGAACTCAGCGCTGCTGTAGTCGCATTTTCTGGGGGTATCTGAATCTCGACAGGTTGCGAAACGCGATGTCGCGAAAAATGCAAAAAGCCAAAAGGTGTACAGCTACGGGGTCCAGGTAGTCTTTGTCCCAAAAAGTCCGAAGGTTCGATTGATTGAGGTTGTCCGCGCGAAGACCCTATGTGGCGCGCTACCTGCCGCGTCGCCTATTGCCGGTACTCAGTGCTGTTAGTGCTCCGATACAGTGAGTTCAGTGACGAGTGAGAGGCGGCTCTAGCGCCTGTGCCGTAGCCCATGACCTTGGGACCCTGCTCTGGAGTATGGCCGACCCCGCCATCCGAACAATCGGCTTCTTCCATTTTTTTCATGCACGGCTGTGACAATTATTTTGAGTCACACCCAACCGACATTCAGAAACGGTGACTTATTGTCCAAAGCTCTGACCTTTCCACCAACTCACTCCCCATTTCTCCGCCTTCCCAATATTCCCCAGATAATCAATTACTTCTGCCACACATCGCGCAACTACGTCTCAGCACCCGCCCAATAGAAGCACAGCAGGAGGAAGGCCACGGTACCATTCTTCCTTGCGCCTACGCTGATCAGCAACACGCAAACACCGCCGAAGTCTCTCTGCGTGCGGTATCTTCGTCTTCAAGCTTTCCGACGCCGCGATGGCTCCTCCGAAGGGGGGCTATGCCCCCAGCTTGGGCAAGTTCCTTGATACCCTCAAAAGCCGACCAGTCAACGCTTCAGTGGAATCCCTCATATCGTAAGGGCAGACGTCTAGCAATGACCTGTGACCACCAGGCTGACTTCTGCGGTCCAGACTCTTGAAGAGACGGCAAATCAACGGCTCCGAAGCCTGTGCCATTGCGACTGCCCACATCCTCCTCCAAGTCGTAGCGAAGGATAAGTGGTCCGACGTGAACGAGCTGCTGGGGCGCATCCAGTTGGTCGGCAAGAAGCTTGTCGCATCACAACCCCGCGAGCTGGTTATTGCGAATATCGTACGCAGAGTTCTGGGATTGATACGCGATGAGGCCTCAGAAGACAGGAACGACAACCCGAGCGACTCGTCCCCAGATCACCGCGACCCGATGAATTCTCCTCTACCTCCGGCAGCAAGTGAGGCAAGCTCTCCCACAAGGCCAGTGCGGCCTCCTGGCGCATTGGCCCAGCTTGGGTCTTTTGCTCGCACCCAGTCGATGTTTAACCTCCTTTCCGACCCCGATTTCACATCGCCTCCATGGTCGAATGCGTCGACTCCTGGCGCGACACCTGGAATTGCTTCAGGTGCATCAACACCGTTGGCACATGGGCAGACTACAGACGTACATGCGTTTCGATCTGAAGTCATCGACGGAATCGAGGAGATCATGGATGAGATCAAGCAGGTAGACGAGCAGGTCCAGGCAATTTCCGAGATCATCATTCACCCTGGAGACTATATACTTGTCCATCAACCATCCAGAACGGTTCAGAAGTTCCTCACTCGCGCTGCTTCCAAGAGGAAGTTCACCGTCTTTCTCGTAGTCGACCCATCTACGACATCGGCCGCCGATGATGCGTATGCGCCCTTCCGGAAGTCCATGGCATCAAGTGGATCGATCGTGGTCACCGTGATGAATGTTGGCCTCATGGCTTATATGTCGAAAGCCAACAAAGTCATCTTGGGGGCCAGGGCGATAACCGCTAAAGGCGGTGTCATAGTTGACGCCGGCGCTGCGGCGATCGCGCGAGCCGCACGAGCGCAGGGAAGGGCAGTCGTCATCCTCGGTGGCGTGTACAAGATCAGTTCGGAGAACAAGTTTCAACAAGAAGAACTCATCGAATGGGGAGATCCCTCCAAGTATGTCAACTTTGCGGACGGCGCGATGGTGTCGCAGGTCAAAGTGAAGAGCGCGGTGTCTGAGTTCATCCCCGGGGGCGATATCGACACCTATATCACGAACCTGTAAGTCGCGAATCCCAAGCTGAGCTCCAGGTTGACACGTTGGGTTGCTTGCTAACATCTGTGGCCAGCGGCGCGCATACACGCGATCATCTGCACACGATTCTTACGGATCATTACAAGGAGGAGGACATGAGTTTTGATATCTATGGAAAAGGTCAAAGGTGATTGAGGCCCCCTGGGGAGGTGACGAATGAACGCGACAGCTTGCAGCGCTCCCAACGCGACCACATACGATGATTGGGCACTGTTCGCTGGTTACCTCCCGATGCAATGCTCTCTTTTGATAGAGGCTATGTGATCGACGAATAGTCCAAGGCTACGGCACCCGGCAGCGATGGTTGAGTCATCGCTAACCCCTGCCGGGGCACGTCTAGCAGAGCGTGGCCGCGTCACCCTGCAGGCTGGCGTTCGCGACCACAGAGCCGTGGGACGATGTCATTGGGGAAGGGCTGATCAGCCCTGGACAGCCGGGCGAATCCTCCACGACAACCACTCAGAGCGTCAGATGCTCCACGGCCCGGGGAGCTACTGGCTTCGTCAGTCTGACCACCCCACGTTTTGTAGGACTAGCGACCGCGGCGCCGGGCTTGGTGGCTCATATAATCGGGCTCTTGAAAGTTGGCTGAGACCCGAGTGAGCGACCTGTGTGAGAAGGACATTGCAGCGACTGACTGATGTTAATAAAATGCCTCCGAAGCCCGAATCCCATCATCTCGTCTTACCTACCTCCCAAGTGACACTCACTCTTTAAATAAGCCACCGCGACATGCTTAACAGTATGCTTCATTGACATCATAACACAACGTCCGTCACGCAATCTCGCCGGTGATTCTGCCATTGGCCAACAATAACCCGTTTCATTAGCTACCTGTACCTTCTTACCTACTGGGTAACATTACATACAAACCAATATGGAGCCTCACGACGTACCACCTCCACCGTATACGGAAACAGATATCTTCTCCCAATCAGCGCGATCACCCGGTGGCCGGAACAGTTTTCATGACGACGATGCATCAATCGCCGCCTCTTCTTCCCGCAGCAACATCATCTACACGCCACCCGAGACCCCTCGAGAATCACACCACAACTTTGGCGGCAGCGATGAGTACCAGACCACTGCTTCGGCGCAAGCCTACTTCGAAGCTCGCCCTACGTCACGGCGAGCACCCAGGCAAAACCTGGTCATCTCACTAGCCATCACGTCAGATGCCACGCCCGAGCAATTCCCATATCCCGGCTGGGCCACCGAGCGCGAGACAACCGAGCAGGACTGGCAGACCTTTGTCAACTATCTCCTCCCAGACCATGCATCAAGGGCCAACTCGCATATCATCGACCGCAAGCTGCGGGCGGAGGCCGGTGGTGCGCCGTCCTCGCCATCTGGTCGCGATCTCACCGGAGCTCAGCTAGACCGGCTTGAGAAATCGGCTCTGGGGGCCTCGGATGATGCATCGGTGGACGTCGAGACCACCATCCGCGAATGGAATGACGGCTTCTTCGAGCCGCGGGGCGTGACGATCCGCCGCGCACCCTCGACTGCTGCTTCGCCGCGGATGCCCGGGTCGTGGGATGGAGCCCCGGCGGCACCTGTGCTTTCAACCAGGGACGCAGACGCACAGCCGCAGTCCCAGGCCCAGCCTCAAGCTGGAAGGTCGCGATGGAACCCCTTCGGCGTGATGGAGGCTACGGGCCGCGGACTCCGCATTGGGTCTCTGCATATTGACGGTGATCGTGTGGCGATCGGCAACGCCTTCCAGGCAGATCGCAACGGTGTGCGGTGGAATGGGCAACCTGTCGGTCAAGCGGATCACAGGGGCATGGACATGGGCCGTGGCCACCGATGGGAAGACGATGACTTCGACGAAGGCGGCCGAGGCCGCGGTCGTGGCTGGGGGCGTGGACGCGGGCATGGACGCGGGCATGGACGCGGAGGACTACGACGAGACCACTCCGCCAGCTCCAACACCAGCACCTCGAGCTCATCTTCATCCTCCGACTCCGAGTCCTCCATCGGCAGCCTGCCCGACTGGGACGACCTAAAGGACACACAGCTCCCGGTTACGAAGCAGTCCATCACATCCTGGCTCTCGCACCCCGAGCAGCCAGTGACGCGGGACATGGTGAAGAGCGCCAAGGCGGACATCAAGGCCGCGAAGAAGGCGCCGCGTGCTACGCAACAGCACCAGCCCTCGCGCGAGGAGATCCGGGAGCTGCTGGCGCAGTTTGAGAACCTGAAGCGGCAGCAGAAGGGCGGGCGGAAGGCGATGCGCAGGGAGAAGAGGGCGGAAAAGAGGGCCCTCAGACACGGACGCAGGACGCAGAGGCATGCCGAGAGGCGGGAGCACCGGGCCAACGGGCGGGAGCTTCGCTGCGCTGAACGCGAGGTCGGACGGCATGCGCGGCATCATCATGGTGGTCGTTCTCATGATCCTGCTGGTGGTCCGGCCCCCTTCGTCAACGGACCGGGTTTGTTTGGTGGTGCTGGTCGGCAGCATGCGGCGCATTCTCCCGCCCCTGGACTACACCCTCCTCCCGGCATGCACGCAGCACACTCGTCCGGCCCAGACGCGGTCTTCGGGCCAGGACGCTCCGGCGGCCCGGGTTTCTTTGGAGGACGAGGCGGTCCGTTCGCTCGCGGCGGCCGCGGCGGCTGGGAGCAGCGCGCACACGACGCAGTGGCCCGAGCCAGGGAGACTGCGGACCGCAGCGGCGCCGCGGCGCGGGCTCATGCTGCTGAGAATGTGGTACGGAGCCAAGCAGTAGCGGCTGAGGCTGTTGCTCGGAGCCAGGAGCAATCCCAGCGGGCCACTGCGCGAGGTCAAGCCCATGCAGACCGGGCCGTTGCTCGAGCCCACGCTCAATCTGCCCAAGCCGCTGCTCGAGGTCAGGCCCACGGAGCCCAAGCTGCTGCGAGAGGACAAGCACAAGCCGCTCAAGCCGTGGCGCGCGGTCAGGCAGAGGCCGAGCAGGCCGTTGCCCGAAGTCAAGCCCAGGCCGCCCAGGCCGTGGCGCGCAGTCAAGCCCAAGCAGACAGGGCCGTAGCCCACGCCGCAGCGCAGTACGGCAGCCCATACATGCCCAGCCTACCCTACCCCACCAAATACGACACCGCCAACGCCCTCGAGGCGCAAATAGCCACCAAAGCGCAGTCCCTCTCTGCCCTACAGGCCCAGATCGCGCGCGAGCAGATCGCAGCGGCGCAGCGGGGCGAGGGCGATAGTAAGGCCGCGTCCGGTGAGTTGACGGAGGTACAGGGCGAAGCCGAGGCGCTGGAAAAGGAGATTGAGAGGCTGGGACGTGATGTGGAGGGATTGCGGCTGGAGGCTGATGAGGAGTTTGCGCGGAGGTTGGAGCGGGAGGGGCGGTGAAGAGGGCTTGGCGGTGAGATGTTTGGCAGAAAGATGAGAGGGGAGGAAGGGGAGAGACTTGCGTTGGGCTATATTCAGGGGCTCGGGTTGACAAGAGGCTGGATGGGCGGGTGAATATGGCTGCGATGTGGATAGGGGTAGACAGGGGTTGAAGGGTGGTCTGCTGGGAAGACATGGATGGGTACTTTCGTGTGATGACTGATAAAAAACACATTTCCCGGTATCCTTCCATATACCAGTCTCGCTGAACACGAGTGTGATTGAACTTGGCAACCTTTCACAACTTTTGATGATGCCGATGTACTTCATTCATTTCTTAATTCATGATAGCTTTCGGCCCCTATCTTTTTGTCTACCCTACACCCAATGCCTCTCCTGTTAAGACAACCGATAAGCTGGGCTAGAAGTCTATATACGACCTTAACCCGAGTCAAAACATCCCTGAGCTTGTGCCGGTACCACATCCCGCAGCTCTTTCCGGCTCATCATACAGAAATCCTGTCCTAGCCGCTCTGACTCTCGTTGTGTACCGTCGCAAGGGGCTGCCGTCTAGAAGACGGCGAAGGCCGAGATCCGGACTGTTTGCACCCCCGCTACGAGTGCTTACTCTCGTCCTTTTCCACGAGCGCCTGGACGCCGAGCGAGCGGCCGACCTTGACCTTGCGCTTGACCTCCTTGCCGCCGTCCTTGCCGCCGCGCACCGCCAGCGTCTTCTTGTTGTCGCCACCGTCCTCCCCGGCCTTGCCGACGTCGCCCACGGGCTCGCCCTCGTCTGCATCGCCGTCGTTGACGTTGCCCTCCTCCTCCTCCGCCTCGGCGGCCTCCTGGATCTGGTTGCGGATCGCCGACAGCTCCAGCCGCATGCAGTAGGCGTCCTCGCCGTCGGCGTAGTACTTGGCCTCGCTCTTCTCGTTGTCGAAGCCGAGCGTCTTGGTGTACAGGTGGATGGCGGCTTTGTTGGACACGCGCACGTGGAGAGAGACGTACTGCGCGCCGAAGGTCTCGACCATGGCTAGTTCTGCGGTGATCACATCTTGTCAGCTGGCTGTTCCGGGAAGGAGGAGTGTCATAGGTAGGCTATTTATAGTATGGGGAGGAACGTACGAGCTTGTCTCATGAGCTTCTCAGCGATGCCCAGCCTGCGATGCGTGCGCATGACGGACAGAGACGTGATGTGGCCGTGCTGGACGCCGTCGGCGGGCTCCTCCTCCATCTTGGCCAGCACGTAGCCTACGATCTTGGGGTAGTCGTAGGGTGTCTTCTTGGGCCGCGACACGTCGACCGCCACATAGCTTAGCTGCGGCCATGATAGCGCGTGGTACAGGTAGTATTTCATGAAGTAGTTCTCGGGCAGGTTCTCCAGGTTCGCATGCTGAATCAGCGGGATGTCCCGCGCCTCGAGTCGCCGGATATCCATGTTGGGGGGTTGTGCTGTTGGTTGAGGGAGCCCTTGGTTGCCCCTTGTTCCTCTTGCTATTTGTCTTTGGTAGGCAAGCTCCTTCGTGGAAAGTCGAGGACTCGGCTCGTGGTGGTTGCGTGTTGCTCGGCGTGAGTTTCGTGATCGCCAGATGGAAGGGAGCCGGGAACGCAGGATGTAGCTCGAAGCTTCAATTGTAACCAGTGGCAGCAATGGACCGACTGGAGAAGCTCGGATACCTAGCGGGATACGTTCCGCCGAGACCCACCCCTTGTAGGTTCCAATTAGCGCGGGGCAGTTCCACGTCAAATGCAACCTCCTCGAACTTCACGATAACTGCGGGGCATTTCTGTTGGCGGACACGGAGCAGAATGAGAGGGTTTCGCCAGCAATGCGGGCTTGGGGTTGTACGGTGGTTGGGATTGGAGGAACAATTACTGTTTTTAAAGTCAGACTTGTAAATATCAAAAGTGACTGTTTGGCTCTTAAGGAACTTACCATCTCTATATCAACACAGTTGATCACGAAAATCAACTCCCCCTCGTCTCTCACCACTTACACGAGGCCTCACACTCACAACCCCGCAGGATGAATCGAACGCTCGAAGGCAAGCTCGCCATAGTGACCGGCGCCTCACGAGGTATGCCACTTCCCAAACCTCACCCTCGACCATTTCATTTCTAACAAAAGCCCAGGCATCGGCGAAGCCATAGCGAGGAAGCTCGCTTCCTATGGCGCGAACATCGCGCTCTGCTACACCTCGCCCTCCTCGGAATCCAAAACCGAGGCCCTAGCAAAAGACCTCGAAGCAGCGCACAGCATAAAAACCGTTGTGCTCCAAGCAGACCTAAGTACGACGGACGGCCCCCAAGCCCTCATCACCGCCCTCCAAATCGCCACCGACGGCACCCCGCAAATCGACATCCTCATCAACAACGCCGGCGTCGCCCACAACGCCCTCCTCCCCTCTGTCAATCCCGAGCAATTCGACATTAGCTACCGTACCAACGTTCTCGGGCCCCTCTTGTTAACTCAAGCCGCGGAGCCATGGCTCCCGCACGACCGCTCCGGCCGCATCGTCAACATATCCTCCGTGAGCTCCGCGACGGGCTTCATTGAGCGTCAGTACATTTTAGAGATTTTGATTACCCCTTATTACCCAACTCTCGAGACATTGATTTACCCCCTTACCGACATCTCTCTCGAGAGAGAGAGCGAATTGCCTGTTCCAAGTTCTAGCCCGTGTCGTCAAGAGCCCCAACTTGCCCCTTACTCCCAAGACAAGCAGCCCATATGTTACAACCCAATATTTCCCATCCAAACCTCCAATAAAAGCAGTACCTAAGTAACCAACCAACTAAACCAAAACCCCGAACAAAAGAAAGCGTATACGGCGGCACCAAAGCCGCCCTAGAAGCCATGACCCGGACGTGGGCCAGAGAACTATCCGAACGCTGCACCGTCAACGCCGTCAACCCGGGCCCCGTCGCGGGGCCCATGTACGCGGCCAACACGGACGCGTTCAAGCAGGAAATCCGCGGCTGGATCGAGCACACACCCCTAATGCGGGCGCGCGAGGGCGTCGACGACGACGCCGTCGTCGAGGAGGCCCGCACGGCTGCGGGAGGTGGAAGACCGGCTTATGTACAGGAAATCGCGGGGATTGTGGCTATGCTTTGTGGTGAGGATGCGGCCTGGTGTACGGGGCAGGTTGTTTGTGCTAATGGGGGCATGATTATGCATTGATTGATTGGAATGTGATGTTCGAGCTGTGAAGATCGGGTAGACGTGACGGTGATGCTCGGGATCCGGTCCGAGCTGGTTGACACGAATTAACTTCTATGAGTTGTTGATAACCTTATTCCGGATGCGTAACTCATCAGTAGTTGTGCATGATAGAGCCAATCGATGAGCAGTAATGTGATGGTTATTCCAATATGCTGTCATAGCTTCATAATGCCAGGCGGTCTTTCATCACACTGAACCCTCTCAAGTCTCCGTACATACACGTCCCTTCCAGCAATCAACAGTATATTCATCAAAACGGAATAAGCACACCGGAATAAGCAGTTGGATTTTTGTTGGCCATGCTTAACGGTTATTCCAGGGTGCTTATTACAAGGATATAGAATACCCCTGAATGCACACGATCCTGAGAACGGGGTGTAAGGTACGGAGACTTATGAGGGTTCAGTGTACCATGGTAAGTTAATCAGCCAATATGAAAGTCACCATATGAAAACTGATGCAGTTGCTTGAGCAAATCTCCATCAGGATTCTCGAGCAAGCTACATACAACATCTGTCTGATTGTAGACATGGCAATCCTTGGTCTTGAAACTCACTTTCACAGGCTTATGTTAAATCCCAGCAACCCGCCAGCACTCTTCACTCTGAGGCAAATCCTAGAGCCTCCCTTTTGTTGTTGAACAGATCCCATTTCATCTAACCTGCCAAACGCCAATGCTGCAATGCTGATCATGACCTTCTGGAGTAGACGGCTCATTCTTTCGGCGCCGTAGCTTCGGAAACCGTTGAGGCCTCGGTAGTGAGTGGGCCCTCCTTCTCAATCAACTTCTCACGGATTGGTAGGCTCTTGACATTACCATCCATCATCTTAGGCAGCGCACCAGATCCCTCTCCCTTTCCTCCCAAACCCACTGCTTTCTGGGCAGCCTCCGCAGCCTTTTGCGCAGCCTTCTTGGCCTTCTTTTTCTCTTTGTCCTCTTGCTTCTTCTTTTTAGCTTCTGCTTCGGCGGCGCGAGAAGACTGAGTTCCTCCATACAAATCCTTCCATTCCTCAATCTTCTTCTCGTCTATTCTTGAGAACAGATAGGCCGCCTTGCCGATCTTGTGTCCGGGCTTGAGTACGCTGGTATCAAACTTGTTGGGGATGAAGGCCAGAGACGTGTTTAGCTGCTCTACAATGGCCCGGGCAGTCGCTGGCATGTATGGTGACGATACCGAGGCCAGAAGGCTGCATAGGTTGAGCGCGAGACCAATGACTGTCTTGACTCTCTCCGGGTGGGCCTCAAAGGATTTGTTGTCGAGTCGGCTCTGCAATAGCAAATTGCCATGGGCGCTGATCTCAAGCAGCTTCTTGACACCTTGCCTCAGGTGCACCGCCTCCATCAAGTCATTGTATTCGCCTAGTAGAGTGTTGATCTCGGATATCCACTTAGGGAAATCAAAGCTGTCGTCAGTGTAATCGGCTGCGAACTCGGGAACAGTGCCTTCACATTTCGAGTTGACGAATTTGATCACACTATAGGTCTTCGTGAGCTACAGGGCAAGAGATAACGACTAGCCTGGACTTACCGGTTCACAAAGTTGCCAAAGTTGGCAAGGAGCTCACTACAATACAGTGTCAGTAGGTATCCCATGGATCCAATAGGGGCAGGTAAGAGCCTATCTCGGCATTGAAGCCATGGTTGACTATACCGTCGAGCCCGGGTGGGGATTGGGTCATGCATAGGAGTGAGGGTTGAAAAGAAAAGGGAGGAAAGGACAGAATGCGTACTTGTTGTTGACTGCGACAAAGTCCGACCAGATAAACTGAGAGTCACTGGTTTCAGGTCGAATGGATAGAAGGTAATAACGCCAGACGGAAGGCGGTACCCCTGTCTCTTTTGCGCTATCACCAAACACGCCTACACCTCTTGACTTTGAGAACTTGGTGTTCTCATAGTTCAAGTATTCTGTCGTGCTCAGGGTGTTGAGCTGGGTCCACTTGTCACCGCTGCCCATCTGGGCTCCTGGGAAAATGACGGTGTGGAAGGGCACGTTGTCTTTGCCCATGAACTGGTAGAGCTTGACGTCTTCGGGCGAGCGCCACCATTGCTCCCATTCATCGGTGTATGTAGCCGTAATGGACTAGTAGGATACCAAGTCAGTGTGTAATCATCATGGACTGTTAGAGGAGTACACACTGGGTAACCAAAGCAAGCATCAAACCCTGAATGTCTGTCGTCAGTAATTGAAATGCCCCCAACTAGACACTAGGATCTCTTACAAACATAGATCACTGCAGCAAGCCAGAGTTAGCAATTATACCAACTACTCTTTTGGGAGTGAATGTGTTACCCTTGTCGCGGAAGCCCTCCAGGGGGACTGGGACTCCCCACTTGAGATCTCTCGTGATACTCCGGCCCTCAAGGCCTCTAGTCAACCAACTGTTGGTGATGCTGACACCGTTGAGCGGCCACCCTCCCACCTTACTCGACTTCTCGAACCATTTCTGGATATCTGGTTGGAGCTTGTCCAGCAGAAGAAAAACGTGTGTCGTTTCTCGAGGAACTGGCGTCGAGTTGTCGATCTTGCACCGCGGGTTGATCAGCTCGAAGGGATCCAGCAGGTTTCCACATTTGTCACACTGGTCACCGCGCGCATCGTCGTAGTTGCACTTGGGGCAGGTTCCTTCGACGAATCGGTCGGCCAAGAAGGATTTGTGTGTCTCGCAGTAAGGTTGCGTGGTAGTACGTTCCTCTGATGTCTTGCATTAGATCCATTGATAGCGGAAGACAGTCCATTATCCATACCTAGGAGTCCCTTCTTATGGAGCTTGAGGAAGACGTCCTGCACGATCTCGGTCTGCTTGGGATTCGAACTTCTGCCAAAGTGGTCGAAGCCAATCTCGAACCAGTCGTAAACCTCCTTGTGTTTCTTGTGAAATTCATCACAGAGCTCCTGGGGTGTTTGTCCCGTCTCTAGAGCCTTCGTCTCGGTGGCGGTGCCGTACTCGTCAGTTCCGCAGATGAACAGGGTCGGTCTCGATCGCAGCTTGCTGTAGCGAGAGAACACGTCGGCACTGAGAACGGAGCCCACGACATTTCCCAGATGAGGCACGTTGTTCACATATGGTAGGGCGCTCGTGATGCTGCATTTCCTGTCTTAGCCAGCGTTCCCTGGAAATAGGTAAGGCTTAGGACCGTGCGACGGCTTACAGGATGTTCTCCTTGCCCTTCTCGGGCAAGATGACGTTTGGAGCGGCCATGGTGGATTGTGGCAGGGGTATCGGTCTATTTCATGCAGAAAGGATACAGGTACAAGGCGCGGCGGGCCTGTCGAATAAAAAATGTTTGCGCCGCGATGTGGTGAGTCACAGGTTGAGGTGAAGGAGTCAGAGTTGGGCGCACCCAAAATATTGCGCCTGGTTGCGCTTGATGTACTGAGGTGGGGGTGGGGTTGGGATTGAATTCTGGTGGCAGTTTGCTGCTGCCCCTCCATCCATGCAGGCACACGGACCCCTGCATTTTATACCGTAGCCCAGAGCTCACTTGAACAAGACCCAACTCACCCTTCACTCGGCACTGCTCTAATTGAGATATAAGAAATTCACAGGCTTCATACAATGACTTTAATAGTCGCGACTATTCACAGCGATTCAACAAATTCAAAAGACAGTTGCTGCACATCTTGAGGCGAACCTCAAAAGTCTTGGCAACAACACTCGCCACCATCCACCATGGCTTCGGAGGACATCTTCGGCGACGTATTCAACCTCGAAGAGCAGTACTACCAAGAGGGCTACGACCAGGGCTTCAAGGACGGCGCCGAGGCGGGTAGGATCGAAGGATGCTCAGTCGGACTAAAGTCAGGCTTCGAGAAGTTCCTCGAGGCCGGCCGCCTACAGAGCAAAGCCCTAGTCTGGGCAAACCGGATACCCAATCTCCAGCAGCAGCAGCACGAGACAACAACACCAACAGCAATAACGGAAGCTCAGGCCGACAATAACCAAACCGGAAGTAATGAGGATACCTCCGAGGAGAATGCAGCACGACTTCTGCCGCCTATAAACAGCAACCCGAGACTGGAGAAGAACCTCACGACGCTGTATGCGCTGGTGGAGCCCGGGACCCTGTCGACGGAGAATGACGACGAGGCCGTCAACGACTTTGATAGCCGGCTGAAGGGCGCCCAGGGGAAGCTGAAGATGATCGAGAGAGCGCTGGGTGAAGGGCCAGCTGGGAGGGGGCCTGCGAGCAGGCAGCCTGTGTCATCCCAGAAGAATGAGAACATCGAAGATGTTGGGAGGATACCGCAGCAAAAGAAGGCGGCTGGAGCAAATGACTGATACACTCATCTCATCCCCCATAAGTCTCCGTCCAGCATGTTTCTCTACTGACGATTAGATTCCAACGCTATATCTGGTATTACAAACGGAATAACTAGCCTGGAATAAACAGCTTCGATACAAAAGCCATGTTCGATGCTTATTCCAGACCGCTGATTGCGTTTATAATACCTAGGTATGCCCCTAGCTTACTGAAAGAGGGGTGTACGGAGACTTTTGGAGGTTCAGTGTACATGGTGTCTCGTTGATAGAGGGTTCAGTGACGCGTATAAAGCACTGGTCTCGCCATGCTGGTTCATCGAGGCATGCGCTGCGGAATAGAGAAATCATATCAAGATCCCTATATCACGATGCCATACATATGAGACACCAATACGCCTTGAGCATTGCTGTAAAGTCTTAATCGTAGGGAATCTAGAGTGTCTCCACTCCGTATCATATGTACAATCGCACCCTCCTGGCACTTCACTTCACCTCACCCACTTGCGCTCTACTTGAAGTTTCGGCACGGGTACCTGTAACAAGTCATTAGCATAAGCCACAAGAGCACCACAACCCCATCCTGACCCCAGGTGGAGGGAATGGCAAACTCACTCTTCAGGATAAGAATTCTCCTCCGCCAGCTCGTACTGCTCGGCCACCCACTTGCCCTCGGCGCCGCGCATGCGGTGTCCGCTCGGCAGCGGCGGCAGCCCATCGACCAGCACATCATCCTTCGCCACACCCACGCTCTTCTCCAGGAACGCCGCCAGCCCGCCCTCACTCTCGCCCTCTTCTTTCACAGCGACCAGCTGCTTGGCGCCGCTCTCACCAATAAGCTCCTGCTTCGGCGCCGCCGCGCTGCCCAGCTGCAGCAGCCCGACCGCGTCGCTCTGGTTGACGTAGCTCAGCCGCGGGTACGACCGCCGCCCGTCGCGTTTCCAGTAGGGGTTGTCGGCGATGTCGCCCGCGGGGGCCGTGACCGGGTCGTCGTAGCCCAGCGGGTCGAGCCCGCCCGGCGTCGGGTTGCGGTACCACGGGTTGAGCGGCACGCCCGACGAGCGGTTCGGGTCCACGGCGAAGACGCGGCGGACGCGGTCCCAGATGCCGGTCGATTCGAGGGTTTGTTTCTGCGTGGTTGGAAAGAGCTGGGTTAGGGACGTGCCGGGCGAGTGAGTGTGTGGCGGCTTTGGGATGGATGTCTGACGGTTCGCGCGGGCATTGCGCCGTGGACTGGTGCTGGAGGTGGACTATACGTACCTGGCTGAGGCTCACGACGCCTCCTGCAGCTTTCGCTACCGCTTTGGAGGCCATGGTGGCTGTTGTGATGAGGGGAGATGGTGTCCGAGGTTGTCGTTGAAATGGGAAAGTGAGGTTGTTCGGAGGTCGAGACACATTTGGGCCGAGCTTGGATTCTCCGAGGTATTGCCGCACTAAGATAACCCCCTTCCAAACATAAAGGTGAACAGATCTTAGAATCCTTTGTCACTGTTCGCTCATGAAAGATGGAAGATGCTATGAATCTGGTGACTTATTTCAAAATTAATGCATAATGGCTAGGTTCTGGTCATTGGCATGTTTGTCCCGTTGCAATGCCTCGGCCATAGCCCACGCCTCGCTTCTCCCTCTAGAGGAAAACCATCGGCTATCCAGATGTGACTATGCCAGGTGGTCATGTCTGACCAAGGCGAAACCCACAGTCTGAACACTACGCATTGTCGCGCAGTCCGCAGAGTGAGTTTCGTAGTGAGCGAGCGTTCGTTGCATGACTGTCTCACAGGCTGTTCCTAGTGAAAGGTAGAAAAAAGGAGGATTGGGACGGATTATAGATAGCCATCCACACATCCCCCTACACAAGACTAGCCTCGTAGCTCGAGCTGAGTACCTTAAGGCCTTGGGCGGCGCACTGCGGGCGTCGTGAAGCCCAGAGTCTGGCACGAGCGACCAAGAGAAGACACAAACCGCACGAAAGCGAATATGGCGAATGATAAGTGCCCCGTGTTCTTTGCGCACGCTGCACGCCAGTCTATTGATATACAAGGTCTTGTCTACACGTCACAGCCCAGCCCATCCCCCATGGTGTTCAATATCCGCCAGTTCCGCAGAACTCCCTTATTCCTGGCCCTCGAACTCGGCTCGGCCCTGCTTCGAGTTCAGGTAGTGGTTTCTAAGTATCAAGCGTCAGCAAAGACAGTCCCGTAATGCGCTGTACCCCAACTGGGAACTGGATCGAGGTTGAGTGGTTGGTCCCATACCGGTCAACAGCCCACGTCATGACGTAGTAGAAGAACACCATCGGAGGCGCGACGTAGAGGACCTGCGTGCTGAATCGGCGCCAGGAGTTGAAGACGGCGTCGTGGGCGGCGCCCGCGAATGGGTTCTGCTTGTTGGGGGACATGGCGTAGGTGACGATGCCCTTTTGCTTCAGGCTGCCTGTGATCGTGACTAGTCAGTCGGGCTATCTCTGGCACGCATGAGTAGATCCAGTTGTTGATATCGTAGGTAAATCGAATACGCGGTGGCCTGCGAGTGCTCGCCCGTCCTCTCCATCTCGGGATCCGAGGTGTCTCGCAGGGTCGTACGTATCGCATCGATATCGGTTCCCATCGGGTGACTGGATTTGTGTATTGGATGGCACTCACCAAAGGCACCCCAGTGACCGAGATACCTGTTCCAAAAGCGTCAGCATGACCTCCAAGAGCTATAGTCCGACGTAGGGAGAGAGGGCCCTCAATTCCCAGAGAAAAGCCGCAGCTCCTTTCAGAAAGCACTCACTTTCCATATTTGCCGAGCGGGGTGTCGGCGCCGCCGGATCTGAGAGCTTGAGTAGGTCGCATCGTGAGAATAGAGGATCAATTGACGTGTGTGGCGGGCCAGCTGAATGTTGCAGAGGTCGTGGTGAGAGCAGAGAGTTGACGATTGGGATTGGATTCGCGACGTCGAAATTGAAGATGTTGCCCGTCTGGAGCACCTGTACGGAAGCAGTTAGCGCCCCTGGCCAAGTGGCACTGTGGACGGCAGCCCAAAGACCGGGGAGCTGAGGGGACCCGCCTTAAAGTTAACCCGTCAGTGAGAGCCGCTGCGAGCACCCGACGCCTGTGCGGGTCATCAACGACGATTGCTCAAGCTCGACTTTCCTAGTCCCAAGAGCTCCATCCAGACGAAGCAGACCAGACCACCAAGCAGCAACACCAAAGCTCCGGACTCTCGACACCCTTCCCACCTCGCCTGCTACCCGTCCGAAGCACCCCGCGCAGAAAAGCAGGACATAAGAGGGAGACAAAAAAAGGGGGAAACCAAACCACACACACACACCCAAAACGATAAGCAAGCCAAGATGGAAGGCGCACTCCGGAACGTGACCCGGTTCGCGATCCCGGCCTTCATCGGGCTCAGCGTCGCGCAGTCGAGCATCTACGACGTCAAGGGCGGGTCGCGGGCCGTCATCTTCGACCGTCTGCAGGGTGTCAAGGAGACCGTCGTCAGCGAGGGCACGCACTTCCTCGTGCCCTGGCTGCAGCGCAGCATCGTCTACGACGTCCGCACCAAGCCCCGCAACATCGCCACCACCACCGGCTCCAAGGACCTGCAGATGGTCAGCCTGACGCTGCGCGTGCTGCACCGGCCCGAGGTCCAGGCCCTGCCCAAGATATACCAGGTGTGTTTTTGTGCTGTTTTCTCGAACCCGTCCTTGGGGGTGCTGGGGAGCTGGCTGTCTAGGGCTGGGGAGTTGAGAGTGTAGGGGGGTGACTTTGTAGGAAGCATGGGCAGAAGAGACAGGACAACGACGAAACTGCAGTATACAAGCTTGATACTAACCTCTCACCCTTCCCAGAACCTCGGCACCGACTACGACGAGCGCGTCCTCCCCTCCATCGGCAACGAAGTCCTCAAGTCCATAGTGGCGCAGTTCGACGCGGCCGAGCTGATCACGCAGCGCGAGGCTGTCTCAAACCGGATCCGCACGGACCTGATGAAGCGCGCGGCCGAGTTCAACATCGCGCTCGAGGACGTGTCCATCACGCACATGACCTTCGGCAAGGAGTTCACCAAGGCCGTCGAGCAGAAGCAGATCGCCCAGCAGGACGCCGAGCGCGCCCGCTTCATCGTGGAAAAGGCCGAGCAGGAGCGCCAGGCCAACGTCATCCGCGCCGAGGGCGAGGCCGAGAGCGCCGACACCATTTCCAGGGCCATCGCCAAGAGCGGCGACGGCCTCATCATGATCCGCAAGATCGAGGCCAGTCGCGAAATCGCCGCCACCCTGGCTACGAATCCCAACGTCTCGTACCTGCCGGGCAGCAGCAAGCAGGGCGGTGGCGGTGGGAACTTTCTGCTCTCGGTAGGAAGGGCATAAGGGGTGAGGAGGCGTGGCAGTGTGGCAGTGGGGATGGGTCATGGAGAGTGTTTCCCCAGAAAAGGGGAATTATGTGTATAATAGCAAAATACCGCCCGGTTCTCCACTTCGGGATCATGAATAATATGTGTCACTACTATAAAAAGAAAGGGGTGAATCATATGGCTCATGCCAACAAGGGGCTCTTGGTGCTGTTTGTTCAGGCTTTAGTTGAAGGACTATAGTGCTGCTTCTATTTGTCTCTGTAATAGAACGCAAAGTAGCCTGCTATAGCATCTCATCTAGTACCTTAGTTATGTCTCAGCTGTCACTTCTCTGTTGATCCTCTAGACCACAGGGTCTTTCATCACCGGCCAGCGCAGGGGGGCTCTCCCGTCTTCCCCAGGTCACCTTATCCATGCTTCATCTGACCCAGCGTTGGACACAGTGATTTGTAGTTGACTGAGCCAGTTCTTGATCCGTCGTCATTGTGACCACCCCTGAGTCCCGGCCATTGTGCAAGTCATCAGGTCCAGCTCATGCTGACCTGGGACCCACCATCTCGCCGTCCAGGATGTACCACCCCTTCAGCCTCATGGCCTTCCAGTCGTCCCGGACCTTCAGCCGGACCAGCTCGCCCGCCGCCCGCGCGTCCTCCGCGCTGTCGTGGCCCTCCGGCGTGCCTTCTGCAGCGTCCATCTGGATCCTGCGGCCCAGCATCGTCTCCATGAGCATCTTGAGACCGTTCCGGACCGGCAGTCCGCGTTTGTGCGGGTACAGCAGCACCGTGTCGATGCAGGTAGGGTGGATGAGGCGTGCGGCATTGAGGTCGTTCTCCAGACCGTGACCGATGAGAGGGGTTGTGGGGCTGATCAGGGAGAATAGGAGGTCTCGTGCTGCTTTTGGGGAGGGGGCGATCTTGAGAATTCGCTGCGGCGGTTTGGCAGGGTCGGAGGAGGGAATAATGACTGGTCTATGGTCGTCGCCTTGCTTCAATTGCTGGCCAGTGAGCATGTTCTCGGCTGTCACACCAGAGTATCGAGTGTTCAGGTCCAAGGTCTCACCCACGGGCTGGACTAGGACGTCGAGAAGCTCTTCACCATCGGGCCAAGATACAACGGTGATCCGGATGAGCTCGAGGCCGCAGACGGTGTAGCCCATCTCGCAGTCGAAGCAGACTGCTCGGTCTGCCGGAACATTGGGGTTGGGCGGCGTCTCGGCAAAGTTCAGCACTGCTGCAAGTCTCTTTGGATCTGTCGTCTTGAAGACATGAGTTGGTGATGTAGTACAGCCACCGGACTCATCCTCCAAGCTCCGGTGACAACATCGGTATTTTCGTTGAGGTTTAGATCTGTCACCAGGTGCTCTGTCCATGTAGTAAACCTTACCCGGGTGGTGGGTGCAGGTTCCGTTCGACGCCAAGGCACCATCCTCCTCTCTGCGACCTGGAAACACCTGAAATCTTCTCGTGCATCGGTCGCATACTTCCGTATTTCCTGATGCCTTTACAGCATCCCGAGAGGCCTTGATGTCTTCTTCTGCGGGTGGAGCGGAGACGTAGCCGTATCTTTCCAGTCCTTCTAAAGGCCAGACCAATCTGTGTAGGAAATCAACCTCCTGAGCCGGTGTGAGGCCCGTGACGATGGGCTCGGGCGCCGCCGATTCCGGCTTTGTGCCTTGAGAATCACCAATGGCTTTTGCTCTCTCATCCTTCCACTGTGCGACAGACATACGCTTGTATGTCATGATTCTGTTCTTGATAGAATTACCGTAGATGACCGGCTTCTTAATGGCGATATCTTGCTCGTCATCTAGTGTCTTCGTGATGACCTCCTGATCAGACAGCACCAGCTTCTTCTCCTCGTCCGTAGCCACTTTCTTGAGTTCGGCGTTGAGGCGAGCATACTGTTCATGGAGTGCCTTGACCAGGCGAACGCGGATCTCGTGTCCAGCAGGAGACTTCTTTAGAAGGCGAGGATTGAGGGTCTCTGTCTTCTTCGGGGTGGGTTTGGGCGTGGGGATTTGCTTGGTGGTGGAAGGCGACGCCGGAATGCTAACTGATTCCTGGGCCGTGGAAGGCATTAGCTCTGGTTGGCCGGGTTTCTTGGCCGATAATTGACGTCTCAGAGGAGGGGGAGACACTGGCTTCTTCTCGCCTGCAGGTTTTTTCGGAGGCATGCTTCTAGGGTTGCTTGGAATACTCTGCTGCCACTGACCCGATGGGATCTGGGGAGTCGTAGAGGAGGAGGAGGCCGCCGAGCTGACCTTGATGCGCTTCCTCGGCATATCTTGATCAGCAGGCGACAGCGACAGCGAATGGATTTTGGCGGAGGGCTGCTCTGTGGTTTTGGCGGAGGTGGTAGTATCATCCTGGTCCCGTTGGTGCTTGAAGAGACACTGGAATGCGGTACATTGCTCGCCTGCAGGGCAAGGCAGGCTTTTGAGTGCCGCAAGCGAACTGGCCATTTTGGAGTGGTGCTAAGTTCGGACGAGACAGAGTGGAAGTGAAGAGTCAGATACAGCCGATCGCGGAGTATCTATGGTGCACTGTGTTTCATGAAGTTTGGGTGTTATGGCTTCACGATGTTGGGATGATGGGATACGGGGTCATTCGGTAAGACTTGCAGAGAGTCTGAGATGTAAATGATGAGCTGTCAGAGACTCAAAGACGGCGTGCCACCCCGGACTGAGACTGCTACGTTGGCAGCACAACACGGTATATGCAGCTTTGTTCTCTCCCTTGGAGGTGTAGACTCTCAAATATCTTCGGATGCCTTCAGGTTCTACTTGTTCATATCAAAACGGTGGTATGGTGGTGAGCTGTAGAGATGAGCGGGAATGATGAAGCTGTAAACAGTGGCACGCCTGAGGTTGAGGAAAGACAAGGCACAACCCATGTCTGATCAGTGATACCCGGGTAGATCCGATGCAGGTGCTATCAGTTACCCAATCATTATTGCACCGATGATTCTCCGTGACCCTGTCATTCCCCCGGGCTGCACAGGTTCTAAGAATAAATCACCTGCAACCGTGACTCTACAAACGAGCAGTCATCAGTCATCAATGCTGTGATTCTCCTATCCAGCAGTCATTGACAATTTGCAAGTTGGGATGGACTGGATATGACCGGTACTTACTCTGGATCAACTTTAGCCTCTAGAAGGAGAGAACAGCCACCAGCCACGCAGAAAATGGTCTCCTCAGCATATCTCTTACATCACTGGACCTGCCCAACACCAAATCCGCATGCAACGGGACTACATTCCTACTTACAGGTACCTATTGACCATGATGTGGTTGAGATGCCATGAAAAAAAATTGGAAGCAAATGAGTCTGAAGGCGTGGCATGTGTTCCAATACGTGTGTACTGTTACCTTATGACCAGATCCGGTGCTCCTCCAATAGACAGACGTCTCATCCTCCCCTTGATCAACTGTTATTGTCATCTCAGTGGGCCAGTGGCCCCCTTTGCATCCATATGAGGGGACATCATGTCTTGTTCTCATAGGCCTGGTTTTATCATCTCCTTGATTTTTCAAAGCAATTATCAAGACTCAGATCCAACGGTGTAGTGGCCAAAAATCGTCGGATCCCGGTGGTTCGTCCCGCATGCAACTATTCGCCCAGACAAGTAATAACGTGCGCGGGTAATCGTCATCACTCATCGTGCCTGCGTCCCACGTCCTCCTGAGCAGCATTTAGGCAAGGCCCAGGCCACGTTTCTCCCGCCAAATCCCTGCAAGCTGCACCCTCGCACTGCTTGACGGCGCCGAGTGCGAGTGCGACACGCTTGGTGTTAAGGCCGCGGAGGTATCATATGCCCGAGCCAACACCTTCATAAGAGTTCAGCAGGTACCATTCTGAGACCAACCTCGAGGTCTTAGTTGTTGCCGATTAAAATACCTAAACCACGTCGAAGTGTACGTACTAGACAGTCCAATACAAACTTTTGCTCGAAGAGACGACGCGCCATGGAGTTTACCGGTGGCAGCTTATCGGCAGACCATCTGTGCGTGGTGGTTCATGGGGTACGGTTACCCCCTTGCTCGCTGGCACTCCCCGGCCACATGCCCACATTGTACTTACATGGTCAATGATCATCGTCAAAAGCATGGCATTGCTAACACTTCCTCCTTCAACTACAGTTATGGGGCAACCCGAACCACATGCGATCGGTCGCTAAGGCTCTGCGAGCCGCCCATTCCGAAGACGAGCTGTATCTCCTCGTCGCGAAACGCAACAGCGGCAGCTTCACCTACGATGGCATCGAGCGGGGCGGCGAGCGCGTCTGTCTCGAGATCGAGGAGGAGCTGGAGAAGATCAAGAGCAAAGGTGGCAAGATAAAAAAGCTCAGCATGGTCGGCTATTCTCTAGGAGGACTCGTCGCCCGCTATGCCGTTGGACTGCTGTCTGCCAACGGTGTCTTGGACCAAGTGGAGCCAGTGGTATGAGATGCGCCCGCTTCCTTGACGTGAAGCGTTGCAGCTCACGAAGATATGTGTAGAACTTCACGACCTTCGCGTCGCCGCACTTGGGGGTACGAGTGCCCTCGCGAGGATGGCACAACACAGTCTGGAACGGACTTGGCGCGCGGACTCTATCCATGTCAGGACGACAGCTTTTCATAACCGACAACTTCCGCGACACCGGACGACCGCTCCTTGCCATCCTTGCCGATCCCGATTCGATCTTCATAACAGGGCTGAAGAAGTTCAAGCGAAAAATACTCTACGCGAACGTAGTGAACGACAGGAGCGTGGCGTACTACACGGCGGCAATCGTCAAGACAGATCCCTACACCGACACGAGCCGCGTCAAGCCCAATTACGTTCCGGGGTACGAGGATGTCATACTTGACCCCAAAAACCCGGTCTCACCCCTGAATCCAAAAAGCGAACCGGTAACGCTCGGCTCGGTCACGTCAGAGGGCCTATTCTACGCCAAGCAGGCGCCCCTCGCCGTCGCGCTCGCCGTCTTCATACCCATCGGCATCGCCGCCTTCCTGCTCAACTCAGTCGTGCAGAACCTCCGCAGCTCGCGGCGCATCCGCCTACACGAGACGGGGCTCGCGGGCATCGAAATCGAGAAGTACCGCATGCCAATCTGGATCAAGGATATCCGCGGAAAAGTCGAGGACGTGTACGAGAATCTGAACGCCTCCCAGGGCCAGTCGTACCTGGTAGACGGGGCGTCGGACGACGAGGAGGGCGATGACGCGGACGAGACCGAGATCCTGGCTCTCGAGCGCCGCCAGTCGCACGCGCAATCGCCGACGCTGGCGCTGGCGCCGTGCCAGTTCGCCATGATCAACGCGCTCGACGAGGTGGGTTGGCGCAAATTCCCCGTGTGGATCAAGAAGGTAAGGCACACTCATGCTGCCATTGTCGTGCGCATGGAGAAGAAGAGCCATGACGAGGGTCTTGTCGTCCTCGAGCACTGGCTCAAGGAGGAGTTTCTCATGTGATACTTGAGTGCATGTGACACTTGTAGCTTGAGTTGGAGTCGGTGGGCGGTATAGGTGCAAGCAAGGGGCGATCTGGTAGGACGGAGTTATAGACGTGATTGGCACTGGGGGAGGCGGCATTGGGATGTCCTGTGTTTATAGAAACCCGGCATAGGGTTTGGGCCATGACGGTGTATAGATATATGCTGTTGGGGATTTATCGTAATTGGGGTGTACATGTAATTGGACCTTAGCATCATAGAGGAGTTACTTTTTTCGAATAGAATTGGAACTCTCTTACTGATCGTCAACCCTCACATGTGGGAATTCACACTTCTATAGTTCATGGTGGTATGCTCGATTGTGTCTTGCCGAGCTTTCTGTTAATATACTGTGTTATCTAGATCATACACCTACATCCAATGTCTATGGAGGCTGCGCCTTTGCCACGTCTAGATCTTGGTGTACCGCAAGTAAGGCTTGACCTCCCTCACCTCCCCAAACTTCTTCTTCGCATCCGCAGTGCTCACGCTCGGCGGCACGATGACGTCGTCGCCGACCTGCCAATCAATCGGCGTCGTGACGCCCTTCTTGTCCCCCGTCTGCAGCGAGTCGATTACCCGCAATACTTCGGCCGTATTTCTACCGGTACTTGCGGGATACATCATAGTGAGCCGAATCTTGCGCGCCGGGTCGATGACGAACACGGACCGGATCGTGAACGCGATCCCCTTCTCGTCGATGTTGCTCAGGTCCTGTTGGTCCACCATGTCGTACAGGAACGCGACCTTGCGGTCCGCGTCGGCGATGATCGGGAATTTTAGGGTTGTGTTGGAGACTTCGTCGATGTCGGCGATCCATCGGCCGTGCGAGGACACGTCGTTGGCGGATAGCCCGATCATCTTGACGCCGCGGCGCTCGAAATCCGGTGCGAGTTTCGCGAACGCGCCTAGCTCGGTCGTGCAGACGGGCGTGAAGTCCGCTGGGTGCGAGAATAGGATCGCCCAGGACCCGTCGAGCCAGGTGTGGAAGTCGATCTCGCCCTGGGTGGTTTGGGCCTTGAAGTTGGGGGCTTCGCTGCCGAGGCGGAGGCGTGGTTGCTCGCTGCTGGCGGCGGTGGTGGCGAGGAAGCGGCGGGTTGGGGGCGCGGCGTGGGTGTTGATTTGGGAGGGTGTCGTGGGTTTGGCGAGGGCGAAGGAGAGGCGCGGGGTTTGTGTAGTTGCGCGAAGGGCGCTTCGGGCGCTTCGGGCGAGGATTCCTGCCATCGTTACGGTCGTGTGAAACTGACGACTTCTCGAATTGAAGAGAGAAGTGGTCTGTTGCAAGGTCGGTAATCGACAGTTAGGTTTTGTATGAGGCGACAACTTTTATCGGAGCTGTCGAGAGCTATGACAGCTACCCTCAAGCGGGCTGACCGCCACTGTGGAACCCGTTTGCAAATCAAAACGTCACCAGCTCCGCGGACCCCTGCAGGAACATTAAAATAGTGGGCACATCATGCAGGGTCCAGTCGAATTCGGAAGCTTCCAACCCTCCGGGGCAATCCATTACACAACTGGCTCATCGGCTTTGTGCAACGGCGGGTGTAGAACCACAGTTCCTGTCAAGACAGATTTGATCACTCATCCGTCCCTGTCAAAGACGATGAGGTCTTCGCGGGTCTCGCAAGAGACGAGCAAGCTCTTCGGCGCCGTGGCCCAGCCGGCGTCGCCACCGCGGCGCACCACCAGGTCCTCCTTGTCGCGCTTCGCGTACAGCAGCGCGAACCCGTCAGCAAGCACCGACATTGAAGATGCGATTCCCGATGTTGCGTCTTCGGCGAATCGCAAGCGCAAGCGAACGACAGTCCTCGCTACCGCGACTCCGACTCCGACATCTGCCTCGCTGAACCGCCGCAAGGTCAAGACGGAGACGGTAGAAGAAGAAGAAGAAGTCGACATCAAACCCGAGTCTAAACCAAATCCCATTACCGCCTCGAAGCGCCAGCGCAAGCCCGCGCGCAAAGCCACCGACCCCAAGACCGGCAGCACGACCACCACCGCGCCCTCCGACTGGGAGGAGATCTACAACACCGTCAAGACGATGCGCCAGCCCGGCGGCGCGGCCGCCAACGCCGCCGTCGACACCATGGGCTGCGAGCGCCTAGCCGACCGCGCCGCCCCGCCGCGCGACCAGCGCTTCCAGACGCTCATCGCGCTGATGCTGTCGTCGCAGACCAAAGACACGACCAACGCCGTCGCGATGCGGCGCCTGCAGACCGAGCTTCCGCCGCACTCCCCGTCCGCCCCGCCGGGCCTCACACTCGAGAACGTGCTCGCCGTCGACCCGGAGACGCTGAACCAACTCATCTGGGCCGTCGGGTTTCATAATAACAAGACGAAGTACATCAAGGCTGCTGCTCTGATATTGAGAGATCAGTGGGATGGGGATATCCCGGATTCTATTGTAGGGCTGACGGCGCTGCCGGGCGTGGGCCCCAAGATGGCGCACCTGTGCCTGTCGGCGGCCTGGGGCCGCACCGAGGGCATCGGTGTCGATGTGCACGTCCATCGCATCACGAACCTCTGGGGCTGGCACACGACGAAGGGGCCCGAGGAGACGCGGCGCGCGCTGGAGGCCTGGCTGCCGCGCGATCGGTGGCGCGACATCAACGGGCTGCTCGTCGGGCTGGGGCAGACGGTGTGTCTGCCGGTGGGGCGGCGGTGCGGCGAGTGCGAGTTGGGGCTGGGGGGGCTGTGTCCGGCCGCGGAGCGCAAGAAGGTCGTGGAGGGGATGCGGGTGAGGGAGAGTACGAGGGTTGAAGTTGGAGAGGGGGAGGGTGTAGTTGTTGATGTGGTGAAGGAGGAGATGGAGGTCGTGGAGGGGGAGGTTGTGGTTAACGAACAGGTTAAGAAGGAGGATGTGGATGTCCCGGGTAATGTGATGGTAGGGAAGGAGGAGAGTGAGGAGTCTGTATTGAAAGGGGTGGATGGGCCTTCACTGAAGATTGAAGAGGATGATGCCGATGCTGGGCCGAGCCGCTCGCGATCTAGATTGCGGAAATCAAGGAGGACATGACGCCAGTCTATCTATCCGTTTATGATCACGTTGGGATAGGCATCTTCCCCATTCACTACTAACAATGGAATCACAGATACAGCAAAGCAAATGAGCACAAGTCAACGAAGTATGTTGTGTGACGGCTCTCCAATTTGGGAGACCCAATTGGGGCTCGTATTTATGTACAAAAAGGCAGCGGACAAAATCGAAGGGGACGAGAAACCGACTCGCTGTCGGTCGACCTCGTCCTATAGGTCCCATCTAGCTGCCGTATGGATGATAGAAACTTTCCCGCCATAGAAAGCCTCGATATAATGCTGCTCACAGACTCGCGAAGAAATGATCGCATCCCATTCCACCTGCGCCACTGCAGACCGAATGTAAAAGATGCATGCCCGAGAGCCCGGAAAAGCCGCGGAATGTGTAATGAAGATGACCCAGACGCCATGCGCTTAGAAGAGGAAGGAGGAGGTGCTGGTGGTGGAGGAGGGAAGAGTGTGGCGTGATCCGCTAACGACCGTTGACGCAAAGCCAACGGCTAGAAGGTTGAGGTCGGGGTCGATTTGGAGGAATGAGGTGATGTTTGTTTATTTGTTTGTTGGCGGTCGACGATGGTATACTCTCGTTCTGGTTGCGGAATCGAGGGAATCGTTGGACCGAAGTGCAAGAATCTGAATGGCAGAATTCCCGACGCCGCTGGAAAGCGTTTCTATACGCCCCGGATGACCTGCGTGCGTTCGGACTCGAGCTGCGCGGCGTTGCGCTCATGCGACTCCTTCTTGCACTGTGATTTGCAACAAACAACGAAAGTCAGCGAGTCATGTTCAGGTCAGGCTAGGTCACGAGAGCAGCATCTGTATCCAAACCGCACTCGCCGATCACCTCGGCCAGACCGACGAGCCACCACTGCGTGGTGACAGCATCGTCGCTGGTCTCCCGGGCTGCGGGTGAAGGTGAATGTACTGGGGCTTGGGGTGGTGTGCTGCTTACGTCTTCCAGACCGGTGCACTTGTGGTCCTCCAGCAGGCGGTGCTTTGCGCAGTAGTGGCCGTCGCAGAAGCCGCAGTCTCCCATCATCGGCTTGGCGGCCGACCTGCACTCCTTGAAGGTGCAGCGAGGCTTGAGAGAAGGCATGGTGAGTGGTGATGGGTAGTGACGGCGACGATCAGGTGAGTCGATGTGCTCGAGATGCGGATGTGTCTGACAACGAACGTCTGGCTGATTGTCTTATTAAGTGACGGGAGAGTGTCTTTGTCGTCGAGAGAGGTGATGCACCGGGTTAGTTGTTTCGGTTGTTGTGTTGGGAGTAGATGAATGAAACCGAGAGGAAGAAGGAAAGGCAAGACCGTCTGCAGCTCGAGGGTGGACGTGGTCAGCAGGTCTCTTTTAAATGAAAGAAGCTTGGGTGCCTTGGGTGCTTGGATGGTGAACCCGGTGGAGCAAGGAACCTAGGGAAACTAAACGCCTTGACCAGGCACGACAAGGAAAGGCGAAATGAGAACTGAGGCAGAGACGGAGATGCGAGGCGCAGGGTGCAGGGTCGAGGGTGCGGCGGCAGATAGGAACATTGAAGTATCATGGATGTATGATGGGTGACTTACAGTACCGGTACAAATGGTCGGGTGCCGTGTCACAGGGTCAGGCGCTGGCTGGTCAGGGTAAGGTCACGACTCGCTGGCAACAGGCAAATGGGTCAGGCAGACCAGACCGGCAGAGGAAGGCAAAGGAAGGCAGCGGACAGGATTTCGAAGATAGAAGATAGCACAATACGACTCTGACTGACTCCCCGATCCGTGGCTTTGTGACGTTGGCTCGACTACTCTACTACCTAGTCCGGCGGCAAGGATCACGGATGGAACTATGTCGAATCGGCATCTACTTCTACATCTCCCACCCAAGGTGTGTGTAAGCCGGGACGGAGAGACCGGGTGGCGGCTAACGACTATACCACAGGCACTTGATCAGGTGGACTGTAGTTCCAACGGGCTAGGGCGAGGCGAATCTCAGTCGACGAGTCAAGAATGACCCGATGATGTGTAAGATGTAAGAACAAGGGCAAGGCGTCTAAAAAGGACTGGATGGTAGGTATTGACGCCGCGCGGGCCCGACTAGGTACAGTACATAAAGTATGCAGTGCACCTGCAACGTTGGCCGTAACCCGATTCGATATGCTTGATCAAGATTCCCGATGACGACGGTTTGGCGAGGCTCCGAAAGCGGGAGGCGACAGGATGCGGCAAGGGTCCAGCTGCAAGTTCCAACTGGGGATTGTGGGCAGATATATGGGGAATTCGGGGTAAAGTGCAGTTAGATCAACATACCTATGTCATGTGCCTTGAGAGTCTGGACAGGATGTAATGCTTTGTCTACTGTTGCAGTGTTGCCAACTTGCCCGGCTGAATCCGCAGACAACCCGTTGGTTGGCATGTGGATACCGATACGGGTGTTGGGAGCAGCAGCCGAAGCGTGAATCTAGAGGTGGGCGGACTCGCGGAGAAGCGGAGCGAGACGGGATTCCTGGGCGTACCGGTAATCTGCGAGGGTATGAATCGCTCTAATAAACAGCTGCACAGCCAACAGGGATAACAAAGGACAAGCAAGGTATTACCTGACCTGCTCCTGACAAGTCGTCGCATCCAAACGATACGAGACCTCAGCTGCTCAGTTTAGGCAACGAGAGTGTTTCGTAATCGGTGATAAAGCCTGCGTCTCCGGGAAACCACGTAGCCGTGGGATGCAGCCAAGTCCCGACAGACCAGCGCACAACTAACCGGTCGTTCGCTGGCTGCATTCGGCAGCTCTTGCGCAAGGCGGATCGTACTATTGCCAGATCTACTGCATACAGGAAGATGGTGTCGCCGCCCAAGGCCTCGCTGGTGGGCTGTTGTGGTCAGATGAGCGATAAGGATCTCGGTCTTTATCTTGGGAGACATGGTGTTCAATGTTCCAGTTTGGCCGCTCCTCTCTTGGTCCTTGGAGGTTGGTGGTTACACCGCCGACGCTAGGCTCCTGTATCAGGCGTACCTACCTGAGCCGCACAATGGAAGCGCAACGTGTGGCAATGAAATGAATAGGAATGCTGAGCTCGATCATTAAATTGTGACGGTGTAAGTGATCCTGACCTAAAGAAAGAACGACAGATGTAAGGAAGGTGCGACTGACCGGGGGAAAAGGCAAGGGTATATATCTTCTCATAATTCTTGGATTTCATCAAGGCAAGATGGCCGAGTTGGTCTATGGCGCCAGGTTAAGGTTACCTTAACTCAATATCCTGGTGGAGCAATCCGCGTGGGTTCGAATCCCACTCTTGTCACAAAAGTTTTTTATATTTTTGTTTGCCGTTTTCAATGTATGCAACGGCTGTCTTTTTGGCCTTCCTGTAGGCAGAATTACCTAGTTGTGCGGCATCATCCTTTTTTGGTCAACTTAACTCTTATTTGATGACATTCTTGACTGCTGTTTATTTTTAGGAGCGTGCATGGCTGACGCCAGCGACTGTGGCGGCACATTCCTCTTTGCAATAAGCATCGTCACGGCTCCAATCTAAGGAATCGTGTATCGTTATACATCGTTTTCTTGCTCGCAAGGTTCCAGAATGTGTACTGTTGCTTCCGCTGCGTGAGAACTCAATTCGCAGGCTCTTGGTTTCATGAGTCCGATATGGAAGTAAGTAAGCCAGCATCACGCTCCCTCAGCAGTACCTAAAGTCCATTAGTAAACCCCTTACACTTTACCATTGTGCAGCCGAATTGTACTTCTGCCTACCTTACCTCTCTCACTTGCAATCTGGATCGTATTAGCCCTCTATCCTGCGGAGAACCGTAGCCAGCCACGTACGCACGCATGCATGCAGGGTGTCACGTCTAGATATCTCACGAACGCCTATAAGCTCGGTACGCAAGCACGCGATCTGGCTTTCTCGGCCTGCCGCATGGAGATACAGGTGGGCGAAACTAGATGTGGTTGTGTTATATGCGAGCTTTGAATGCTACCCGTGGGAATCTACCTTACAGATCCGGAAACACACAGGCCGGTTGCACCGATTGTGCAGATTCCAGCTTTTGAAACACCCGTAAGCTCGACAAGGCTGCTAGGTAGCACGAGACTTTCGGCAATGTCTACCTACGTGTGGTGCTAGTGAAATGGTAAATTGACAGGAAAAGGCAGGATTGGTAGGCTATGAGCCTTGAGGCCGACGGAAAAGCAAGACTCGACAACGAGACTATCAGGTGTATCATTCATCAATTTGCCCCCATGACTCGCAAGGCTTTAAGTACAAGAAACCAATGCCGGCGCACAGCAGCAGACAAGAACAATCCGAGACCTTCCTCACTCCTTCATGGTAACGACGCACCGAATGCAGTCTCCTGCCTTCATCTGCTCGAAAGCGGTGTTGACTTTCGACAGAGGTTCTCGGTGGGTGATGAACTCGTCCACCTTGAGCTTGCCCGCCAGATAGTCGGCCACGAGACCTTCCATCTGCGATCGCCCCTTTACGCCACCAAAGGCACAGCCCTTCCATACACGACCAGTCACCAGTTGGAATGCTATCAAAGTCGTTAGTAGGAGTGATGAGGGATACACGTTAGTCCACCGGGGAACTTACGGCGAGTCGCGATCTCCTGGCCAGCAGCGGCAACACCAATGATGATACTCTGACCCCAGCCCTTGTGGCAGGCCTCGAGGGCAGCACGCATCACACCCACATTACCAGTGCAGTCAAACGTGTAGTCACAGCCGCCGTCGGTCATCTCGATGAGCTTGTCTACAACGGACTGGTCGCCCAGCTTGGTAGGGTTCACGAAGTCAGTTGCGCCAAACTTCTTCGACCACTCCTCCTTCGTCGGGTTGACATCGACAACGATGATCTTGCCGGCCTTCTGCATGACTGCACCCTGCACCACCGAAAGACCGACACAGCCGGCACCGAAGATGGCGACGTTGGATCCCTCCTCGACGTTGGCTGTGATTCTCGCAGCACCGTAACCGGTGGTGATACCGCAGCCCAGCAGACAGGTTCGGTCCATAGGGGCTTCTGGCTGGACGGCGACAACGGAGATGTCGGCGACCACGGTGTACTGGGAGAACGTCGACGTTCCCATGAAGTGGAGGAGGTCCTTGCCCTTGCACTTGAATCGCGACGTGCCGTCAGGCATGACACCTTTGCCCTGGGTGGCTCGGATCTTTCCGCAGAGGTTGGTCTTGCCGGACTTGCAGAACTTGCACTCCATACATTCCGGCGTGCTGTTTGTGCGACATTAGTCTGAGGCTGTGGGTAAATGGGCAGCACGCAAGCTAGGGATCACCGTACTATAGCGCGACGACGTGGTCGCCGGGCTTCACGTTGGTGACGCCCTCGCCCACGGACTCGACGATACCAGCGCCCTCGTGTCCCAAGACGATGGGGAATGCGCCTTCTGGGTCCTTGCCCGACAAGGTGTAGGCATCTGCGCAAGTTGTTCAGCTAGAATTCGGACTTGGTTCGGCATATGAGCTTGGCGAGGTATAGGTACCGGTATGGCAGACACCAGTGTAGTGGATCTCGATTCGTACTTCGTGCGCTTGCGGCGGCGCGACCTCGATGTCCTCGATGCTCAGGTCCTTACCGGCCTCCCAGGCGACGGCGGCCTTGCAGGTAATGGTCTGTAGGGTCAAGAGAAGGACTGATTAGCTGTGTAATTGGAGCAGCTATAGGAGTGACGATGCGATGCGCGGGGTAGCGGCAACAGCTCCGGATGCGACATGGGGGAGACGAACCTTGCCAACGGTATCAGCCATTGTGCTTGATCTTCAAAGAGTACTAAGTGGTGTAAGATGATGAAACGACGCAGTCGAAGCTAGGGGATTGGGTCCAGGACTTTATAGTTGTTCGTCACAAGAAACGGTTTGGTCTGTAGGTTTCTTTGCGGAGTTGGAGTTGGATTCATACTCCTCAGCTCCAACCCCACCATTGGATACTATCATGCACTCGTTTTGAGGTGGGGAGGCCAACACGGCAGCTGGGGCAGTAATAGTACTGATGTCATGCGGGCTGTCATGATGACTTGCGACCCGTGGACCCCAACGCTCCTAGACTCGGAGTCGTCGGTAGGCTGCACAGGTATAGACTTCGACAGGCATGTGGTACCGGCAGTCTGCTCGGCTCTCATTGATTTAGATGCTTCTGCCGTGTGGATTCATGCGATATCTTTCGGTGTCGAATAGCGACATGGGCAGACTCGGAAGGTGGTGGACGAAACTCGGAATCTGCTGTCATGGCTCTTGCGGTACCGGCGTGAGTCAACACGTTACCTAGTCCTGAGAGAGTGTAGTATACACTTACGTCTCTGACTATGGGATTCTGACTGGTCCCTCGCATGCGGTTTCGATGGCTATAGACATGCTGAGAGATTCTTGGTAATGTCCCTAGTCTGGCCAGCTCCTCAGGCCGTACAGTGTACAGCTCTGGGGGCCGTCCATGGTGGTGCGATCTGTGTATTGAAGAAGAGGCTTGGAATATGGCAGGATGGGAAGATCATGCGGAACTTGAGTTACTATGGTAGTAGTGTGCATTTTCTTATGTACACGATTCTCAGGTCTGAGAACCCTGATGGCTACCTCCAGTCCTCCATCCGCTTTCTGACTTGGGTGACTTCAAACGGGAGCATAAGGTAGAGGTGATGTTATGATGAGGCTCACTGTAATAGAGCAGTTATATGCCAATACAGGGGGTAGGTGCCTGGGCGCGCTATGTCCTGGTCCGTGCACAGGGCTGCTTTGAATTTTGGGCTGGTGCTTGGCGGGCCGCGTCTTGCTCTAAGCTTGACACTTGGGAGCTTCACTGATCGCGACCTGAATTTCCGTGTCCCTAGCTCCAAGGGCAGCCATCCCGCAATCAGCATTCAATCGACTGCAACTCTCCTCGCGCGTGGTTACTGAGACTTGGGACGTACACTGATCTTATGGACCACTCTCTCGATCCCTACCACCGTTTGCTGCGCATCCAACTCCGAACACCTTCGTCGTATGCCCTCCACAGCTCAGCTTCCATTCCAAGGAGCCGTGCTTCTTCACCACCGCCAACATGTCATTCCGCTTCTCGAATATGACTGGCTCCCCCTCCACCCCGGACCGAAACGCCAGGAAGGGCTCAACGGCGTTTGGGTACAGTGTAGATCATCCGTCCACGACGCCTGCTGGCCCTCCTCCGCCCTCTTCAGCCGGATCCTTCACACCCGCCGGCGATCCCTCTCCCTCCTTCTTGCAAAGCTCCATTGGCGCAATGACCGGCAAGCCGAAAGCCCCCAACTTCGGCCGACCAAACCTCCGAACCTCGGGGAAGTCAACCTCCAAAGGGAGCAACGCGCCGCTCGGTCGATCTATTCGAGGGTCTGGCGCCCGACAACCGTCAAGTCTCAGCAGGGAGTATCACGCGGAAGATGAAGAAGAGGAGGATGAAGAAGACGATATGCCAGTCAATCGCGCGGGGACGTTTACTATGCCTTACGATGATACGACGGAGGGCGAAGATACCGAAATCGACAATCAGGACGCGGCAGAAGACGAATACGAAGACGAATATGAGGAAGAACAGGATCACGAGGCTGAGGTGGAAGCTATGATGCAGGATGAGATCGAATACGATGTCGAGGAGGACCTACTCAGAGAGCTTGCGGGCGAAGAAACCTGCCCAGAGCCGTTTGGCGACGGCGACGAAGATCTCATGATGCTTGCAACCCCAGCTGCGGACGCGCGAATCAGAAGAGAAGCTGACGACTTATTCCGGGCATCCTCTATGCGCTCTACAGCTGCTCCCAAGCGAGAGTTCAAGTACGCAACACTTGCAAAGGATCTCTATGGTCAGGGGGACTTCGCAGAGGTCCTCGAGCCCGACCATGTCATACTTCAGACAGAGGCCGTTGTCGCCAGGCTTTACGACGAGGGAGTCGGTTCGGAGGACGATGAGGAGAGATTGGACAACACGTTGTCGCAAGCCTGCGTCAGACTGGTCAATAACATTTGGACACCGCACACGGACAGCCTGCCCAAAGCTCACGAAGAGCACGCCGCCAAGGTAGGGCCGAGCTCGCATGCACCGACGTTCGAGAAAGCCATGTTCCTGGCCAACCTTATACTCCGCATACACCATACGCCGCCACTGCGGGACGCCTTTGGAGGATCCAGAGACCTGGCGCTTCCAGCAGTTCTCTTCCAATGGCAGGCGGATGAACACAATATTGATGGTGACCAAATGGGTATCATCTCGCGCCATCCACCAGCGCCTGCCACCCACGCCTTGTTTTGGCAAGCCGTCTTCAATGCCCTTATTCGGGGTAATGTGGGCGGATCGGCCAAACTGCTGAGAAATGCTGGTTGGGAGGCTGTCAAGAAGTCTCCTCGAGGTGAATCATCGTACAGTGGCCAGGCATTGGCAAACATCAGACGTGTCATTGAGGATCTGTGTCAGGTCATGGAGATATGTCCTTCGGTTGCCAGCAAGAGCTGGGATATCCACAGCAGCGACTGGACCCTATTTCGTCTGAAAGCTAAAGCGGCCAAGGAAGCTCTTATCAGTTTCTCCGAAGGCAAAGATCGATCACAAATGGCACTTACCCGTTCCAAAGAGTCGGACTTTGGCGACTCTTCCAATAGCAGACCGTCGCTCGCTGGCCTGGCACGGAAAGCCGAGAGTCAAATTCCCTGGGAGATATACGAGAACCTGCAATCGCTCTATGCAATCCTTATTGGAGAGCCAGATGCTATACTTGCCGCTGCTCAGGACTGGTGCGAGGCGACCATCGGGTTGTTTGGGTGGTGGGACGACGGCCATAATAAGCGGGATGGTGCATTATCACACTCGAGGTCGCTACGAATCACGAATCAACCTACCGGAAGTAAGGACTTTTTTGAGCGCATGGCATTGTCGCTTCAGACGGTGACGGAGTCTGACTTCCATTTCGACACCTCCGATCCGGTTGAAGTGGGCGTCGCTTGTGCCTTCGAAGGCAATGTTGAGGGCGTAATCGGATTTCTTCGACTATGGTCTCTTCCTGTGGCCTCAACAGTAGCCGAAATTGCGTCTCTTGGACGCTGGCTTCCTGCTCCCGAACCACAGAACCTTATCAGCATGAGCGAGTTCGACAAGGAAGACTTGGACTTGCTGGGCATTAACCAAAGCAGTGCGCCCGATGAGAAGGACGGGATCAAAGATACCACATTGATCCACTATGCCCAGAGCCTCAGAAGTCGCAAGCACATTTCCGGCACCACTTTGCGCGGCAAGGCTGATAAAGAGGGCTGGGAGCTAGCTGTTCAGGTTGTTGGGCGGATGGACTCCCCTGAACGATCAGAGCAAATGGTGCAAGACTTGCTGCAAAATGTCCTCAAGACTCTCAATGAGGATTCCCGTGACACTGCTGACAAGATCTGGAGACTCTTGAACGAACTCGGTATGATCAACTTCGCCGAGGACACAGCAGAGGTATGTCTTCACTGCAGTATGTCGTGACTGGTCCCTCACTAACAACACGCAGACATTTGGCGATATACTAGCAAGAGACACCTTCCGCTTTGGCGAGACCCTCTGGTATTACGCTTTAGCACACCGCCCTGGGAAGGTCCGAGACGTTCTCAATACCCTGATGTCCATCTCCTTGGTGGAATCTACCACCTATCCTCCAGACAGAGAGCTGGATGACTCCCTCCGGGGGCTTCTGAAGGAACGAACCACAACCTTGGAACAATTCGCGAAGCAAGATCTCGAAGCAGCAGAACTACTCGGCAAGATGCTCAGTGGATATGCGACGCTGAGGAACTTCTATGAGCTCCGTGATGGAGACGGAAAATCAAATCAGAGATCAGTGTCGCGCCGACAACAAGCTGCGACGGCTTTGACCGCCGTGATCGCTAGCGCCGACGACAATATCCGAGGTGGCCTATATGATGATACGCGTGACGCAGTTGTCAGCGAGGATTTCCTACTCGCACTGCTGGGCGAGGCGTCCGTTTTCGTCGGCCAATCACCACCTGTAGTCAGTCTCGAGCAGATCGATACCCTTTTAAAGGCCACTGAGGATATTCAGACCGTAGGAAGCAGGGTGTATGCGGCAGCTGACGAGTTCTTCAAGCTAGTCCTAGCCTCGGGGCAAGGGAAAGGATCCACACCAGCAAGCCTGTTGGGCCAGTCGACCTCCTCTCTGGGTGGAAGCTTCATGATGACAGGGAGCTCAATGATCGCGTCACAGCTCCACCAGTCCGTGGTGAAGAGCGGCATGATCAAGGGCAATGTCAAGCGGGCGTGGGACTGGAGAGCCAAGCTCTTCGCGGGCAGCAGCTCTGCCGACGTGCTGAAACAGATTCGACTGGGCTTGACGAGGGATCTGGCCAACCTGTGGCTGGAGCAGGCGGACAGTGTCATATTGTAGGCACCTGACTACAACGTAATCAATCATTAGGGGCTGTGAGAAGAATGGGCGTGGCATTGGAATGGCGTTGAGCGACTGGAGACCATGTAACGAGTCGTGTAATACTACACCTGACGCATAGTTGAGGATTTGGTGGCGTCCGCATCAATGGATGATTGACTTCTTGAGAAAGGCCCCCTTGTGCGGCGTGGGTGTCTCGCGAAGGTCGTAATCGGAGGCTCTACTATGGATGTGTACGGCTATTGAATGATCATTGGCGGTTGCATCTCTAAAGGTCTTCGACCTCTTCCCGTCTATGAGCCCTTCGTCTCTTCATTTCTACGCTTTTCCTCCGTTTAGCTCTTCTAGTCGAGTCTCGACCAAAACTGCAAGTGTTGAGCGCAGTGTTTCTGTTCGCAGCTCATGTCTTACATGTGTTCTACGTCTTCGAACCCCTATGTCAAACCGTCACCCTTAAATATTTCTGACTGCTGTTACGTGGCAACGTTTCTGGGAGTCAACCCCTGGAGTCATCTAGGTTAGCCATTGGACATATCAAGCTGAAGTACGTCGAGGCCTAATTGAGAACCACCCGAGCAGCAATGACGAAAACATCGGCAATCATGAGATATAAACATCGAGTACTATTATCACAGTAGAGAAAATTCTACGAGGCCTAGTGGGCGTAATGATGGATCCAATGCAGTTGATATTATGGCATGAGACGTTTATATTGACCCAACTCGTTCGTTACGAGGGGACTTCACATCTTGAATGTATGAAGCCCCAGCCTGCAGACATCATGGCAAATGACATGCTTGGGTGTACTTATATGAATGTCTGGAAATATATGACATACCTGCAGTCTAGTTGTGATTAGAATCAGCCAAAGATGCTATACATTAGTCAGTGGAAAGGATATTCCGGCCTCGTCATCAGACTCCTCCGATAGAAGGCTCAAGGGCCAGCTTCGGTAGTATAGAGGTTCGGCGTATAGTAAGTGAATAAGTGGATCGGAAGATGGGCTCTGTGGGGGTACAGTAAGCTATAAGCTATATGCGGCTTTTTGGACATCGGAGACGTTATATATACCCATACATGATCAGTGATACGGCCCTCCGAGCGGTGGAAAGCATCTGAACATACCTGCCAGCAACATTGAAGTATACACATCCCGTCACGCCGCCGCCAATCAGCCGGGAACAGCCAGCCCATCATGCCGCCAATCAAGTCGATCCTCTTCGACTGCGACAATACGCTCGTGCTGTCCGAGGACATCGCCTTCGAGGGCTGCGCACACCTCTCCAACGAGATCCTGGAGAAGCACGGCATCGCCACGCGCTACGATGGCCCGACCCTGATGCACGAGTTCGTGGGTTTAAACTTCCGCGGCCTGATGCAGCGCCTGCAGGCCAAGCACGGCTTCACCATGGCGGCCGACGAGGCCGACGCCTACGTCGACCGCGAGCTGGGCGCCATCTGCACGAACCTGTCGGAGAAGTGCCAGCCGTGCGAGGGCGTGGACGCGGTCCTCGAGAAGCTGCAGCAGGAGGGCAAGTACGGAATGGCCATCGTGTCAAGCTCTGCCATGCCCAGGGTCCAGGCCAGTATCAAGAAGGTCGCCCAGGACAGGTACTTCCCTGATGGGACTGTGTTTTCGGCTGCTTCGTCGCTTACGCCGCCGTCGTCGAAGCCGGATCCTGCCGTTTACTTGTTTGCTTGCACGAAGCTGGGCGTGGACCCGGGGGCGTGTGTTGCTATCGAGGACTCTCGATCAGGTAAGCCAATGAGAAGATACTGCCTTTGAAGCCTAGTTCTTCAACTGACCGCTTCGAAAGGTGCCACGGCAGCTAAGAATGCTGGTATCCCTCTCATGGGCTACGTTGGGCCTTACATGTCCGAGGGCGGCAAGGAGAAGCAGGAACAGATGGCCAAGATGCTTATAGAGGAGTGCGGCGCTATTACCATCATGTACCACTGGAGCGAGTTCTGGGATAAGCTGAAAGAGGTTGAAACTGCTGCATAAGCGTCCACTTTCTGCTTGTCCAGTTGTGTTTTTCTGCGGTTGAGTTCGATGCGGATAGAGTAGATGCGACACAGACCACCAGACTTGTAAAGAATTGGTTTAGATGGTAGATTCATAGACCTGGAGCTATAGAGGAGGCACTCGTTCTCGAGAAATAACTCTTAGTTCATCCTTTCTATAGAATAGCTTGAGTTGGTCACAACCTTATGTGTGGCGTATCACGATCACCTTATCCCTGTTCTCGTTTGCTGCACGACCACAAGGCATCTGAGCTTCTTGCAAATATCCAGAAGCACTTCCTAGCTTGCAGCTATGATTCTCAACATCTAGAGTACTAGAGGAGAAGAGTCCAACGACTCCAGCCACTACATTCCTTAGGAATGCCAACGCATGACGGTGCAATGACCAAGGGAGGATCCCCTCTCCCCGTGTATATTTGCCGTTGGGTTGTGCGTCTGGTGCCCTTAAACCTTTACGCGAAGCCTGAAGCCAGTTTGATACACGCGCTGCCAGAAACGCAACATTACACACCACAAAGCACCCACAGCCCGGGCCAGTTCAGGGGCTCTCTAACGCCCAGAATCGCCCCTGCGATCGGCCCGCCCGACAGCAGGCCAAATGCTATCATGCTAAGCCCATACCGATGCGTGTGCCGAGCATCTCCTTTTCTCGCGTCAAGGGCACGAAGCACACGGCCGGGAGAGAGACGAAAACGCCACTGAAGAAACCGACAAGCACAACCAAGAGGATCAGGAACGGTTCGTGGTCTCGGACGGTGACCACATGGGGCCATGATATTGAACGGGCCGGTGATGTCGGATAAGGCGCTGGTCATGATACGACCAAAAGTTGAAGCCGCGTTGAAGATAGACACGATGTAGAACGCCGGGCATCAGTCGTCCGCGAGTTGGAAGCGTAAAATGAAAGGTAGGACAGTAGCGTACCGATGCCGATAAAGCCAATCAAAGTGGCAGCGACAAAAAACATGAACGGCCCATCAACAAAGGCGGACCAGTCGATAAAAGCCCTGAGTCTCTGAGGAGGAACACGCATCCTCATAACAGCCAGGGGAACAAGTAAAGAGCCTAAAGCAACAAAAACCAAGTACACGAACCGACCAAGCAAATCCAACGCGGACCAAAAGCTGGTCTAATACGATAGGGTAGATAACGCCTCCAACTGAAGACCCCGACGAAGCAAGACCAACAGCAAGACCAAGTCTGGTACTGAAGTACGTAGGCAGAATAGAAATGCACGGGACGAATAGGCACCCTGTTCCGATGCCGATGCAGAAAGAACCCTTGAGCCAACAAGACTTGCCAATACTCTGAACAAATGCTTAGGAGTATGTGTCCAGCCACGACTCCGCACGAACCGACGACCAGGAGAGTCCGGAGGTAACCCCTATCATAAACAGGTCCAACAAGAGAGCTAACCAGGAGGAGAAGAAACGACTGGACAGCGCCGATCTACGATATGTTGGAAGACGACGCCACGAAGAGATCGTCTGACTTGTAGTACGTCTGGAATACACCAAAAGTGTTCAGAATACCCCAAGAATTGAAAAACAGCATGAATCCTCCAAGAACGTGGAGCCACGCCAGAGACCCGCCGTTAGGAGGCAAACTGATGTCAAGTGCTTGGCAGGTGGCATTCTGCTTGGAGGTAGGCTGGGTGAGTTGGGTCGAAATCTGGTGCGTTTCCTGCGACGAGACATGAATTCCGATCGACGGCGACAGATGATTTTGCTTGTCATCGACATTGTCATCGACAGCCATCTTCGCTTCGAAGCAGAGTGAGAGTGATGACAATCAGATCGTGGCAAACCCAACAGGGAAATGGTGGGTAAAAGAACCAGTTATCTGGAAAGCTTTGAAGTAAGGGATGGGCTGAGAAGCCGAGCGACGGTGTTACACTTGGATCCGATGGGTTGAAGACGAACGACACAGCAGGCACAGAACGGCAATGGGAGGGTATGGGAGTATGAACGAAAGAATAAAAGAGACAAGAACACAGGGGCTGATGTTGGGAAAGCTGGATAATCGGAGGCCGCCGGAAGCGTCCCAGTAAAGTCCCAGTGGCCTGGGTTGTTCTGTTGCCGTACTCTTGCTCGGGGTCTCGGTTTGGTAACAGGGCACATGGTAGTTCTGGAGCAAACAAAGAGGCTGTGAATGCGACTCAAGTATGAATGGGTCACATTTTGGAGAGTTACTGATGGTTTGGTTAATGCCGCCCGCTGTAAAAGTTGGTGACCATACACGTTCGTAAGCTCTTGCTTCCTTGTCCTCCTAAAATACTGTTCGGCTCCTAGTCGACCAATCTCGGCGTTTCATATAGTTCCGGGCACAGGTACGTCTGGATGCTCAATCCTGCCTTGCTGGGATCTTTCTTTGCAAGTCCAATGAAGGTGAAGATTCCCGGCTTCTCATCCAGCTTTCGGTGCGTGCTAGCCGAGCTCAGGGTTAGACTCAAGGACCAAGCGGCATGCCGTTAAGGAGAGAGAGAGAGAGGGATTTGTACTCACAGGCTGCCCCCTACCAAGTCTTGGATTGACTTGTCGCCATCACCCCAGCCAAACTTCTGACGCCATCCATCGAGGCTTCGGGCCACCACGGCGTCGTTTGCCGCAAAGTTGCGAGCATAGAACGCCACTTTCGGAGCGGGAAACGGATGCTCATCGCTGATGGCAAAGTACACAGTGGTCAGCTTACGTCGACTCGCTGTTTCTAGTCCCGGACCAGAGCCTCCTGAGCCTTGTTCGAGCTGGGCTTCCGCACCACTTGCTAGAACGTCAATAAACTGTCGGTATTCTTCCTTGGCACTCTCCACACCTGTAATCCGACCTCCTAGAGTAAAGTAATCCCAAATGGCATCGAAGCTGGTGCCAGGGCAGCGAAGGTAGATTTTGAGACGGGCCTTGTCCGGTGAAACGAAGTCAGTGGCCAGGAACATTGCGCCGTTCTGCCATTCTTTTGGCTTCGACGCCAGATACTCCTCGATCATCCGCAAAGCAGAGAGGATGTTGGTACGTGAGGATACGTCAGGGAGCTGACGGATGCTGGCACAGATGACCTCGAAGCGAGTCTTCCCATGAGCCGCAGCGAGGAAGCAGGGAAGGAAGTACACTTTCCCCATGATGGGAAGCATCCCAGGCTGTGGTGTCTCGCGGGTGATGTCAAACCCAATGAGGAAAGGACTCATGTGCCCTGCATGCGCCACCAAATCTCTCTGCCGTTGGACATCGAGGTGTGAACAGTCCATGTACTCTTTGAGGGCCTGGTACCATGTATCATCGAAGACCGGGGCACGAGCCGCGAACGAGGCAATGGCGGCGTCCGTGACGGCTGGGCTCAAGGGGTTGGCCCACTCCACGGGCCGCAACTGGCTGAAGTCGACCACGAAGCGCACTTCGGGATCCTTCATGGAACCTTTGAGCTCGAAGCTGTCTGGTGCATGTGACGTCGTGTTAGTGTCCAGAACCCTGATTTGTGAGGTTACACCCCAGTCAGAGCCTCAGTCAGAGCCTCATTATGCTACTTACTGCAGAAGGTTAGTCACTGCCAGCCAGAAGAGATTGATACAAACAAATGCCAAAGATTACGTACCATTCATGGGTCGAGCCGTCCCAGACCCAACTCTTCAGGTTTGCTTCATCGCCAGCGTTAGGGTCGCCACCCATGAGAGGACAAAGGTTGTCCCTATAATAGGACATGAATACACGCTGGGTCGTCTCAGGATATTGGGCGGCGTGCAACATGTTGGCAAGGTCGCGACCTGTCGTTTTCCACCAGTACTGCGAGCCATCACTCATGGAAGCAGCGCCATCAGCTGGCGTGCCCAGCTCCAGGAATACAGGTGATCCGTCTGTCATGTTCGCGGTCAGAAAGAACAGGTCATGTGGATCGGAAGTTATTGTGATAGTGTGGAATTTAGGAATGGTCTGTATTGGAAGGGGAAGAAGGATAGCTGACGGGGGTACCGTCTCCCTTAAGTAGGTTGGAAAGGTACCTGTCTATTGGGGTCACGATGGACAATCCCTTGGCGATAATCGGTGAGCAATCCTGCCGACTATCTGCGCGAGAAATATGGTTGGTGAACACATCTTCAGCGGTGACTCTTACCTCGAGAGGCAAAGTCTCAGACTGTTTGCAACATGCACAAGCTTAGTCTCCTGGATGGAGGGTCACAGCTCGTTTCACGATGTCTTCGGACGAGATCTTGGGCTTGACGTAATGGGGATATAAGTTCCGAGGGACATTCGAATCCTTGCATTCAGTCTGCGGATACGTACGTGTCTGAAACCCTTTGATAGCATCAAAGTAGGCGGCTTACGTTGAGGTAGTGCGAACCAAACACCGGTGAGTACAGTCGTCCGAGTTACTGGTCCTTGTCACCCCCCCTTCATCTCAACGACACCGATCTCTTGCAGCCAAACACGGTGGAGTCCCCATTGTCCCAGTTGACCGCCAAACCGTATCGATTGGATGAACCGACCATATCTGCCCTGGTGATTGCTGTCTGTTTGTGTACCGCCATGTCCTGAAGTTGACCGCCTAAACTGACAACGCTTCGGTGAATGGGCGCATTGAACCAGGAAGAGGTTCAAGCTTGCCAGGAAATTTAATATCAATAGGGTCGAGGTTCTCACCTCTGATGCTACTCCTCTGTCTCTCGTGCACCTCACTCGTCTCTGAAGCAGCCACACCCGGCACCATACCGTTCGGAACCACTTGCCCTCACCGCGATCACTACACCAAGACTACATCACTTGACAATCACTACGCACCGACTCCACGATCCTTGCCGCCACGATCATGAATCTCTCCGCCTTTCTCCTCCTGCCTCTTGGCGCCCTTGCCACGCCTACCTATGGCAAGGCCCCCATCGCCAAGCGCTACGACAACGCGGTTTGGGCTCCCGGCATAACCGGCGCCGCCTACGACATGTGCGGCACCGCGGCTGCCGAGAAGGTGACTGATGGCTTCCACAGCATGTTTTGGGACCACGGTTGCCAGGACATCTTGAACTGGTCGTACAATAACCAAGGCGAGTGGGTTCTGGACCGCACAACTGACCCGACCGAGTACGTATTCCGCAGTATCCCACAGTTAATGCGTCTTTGGCCCTTTTTCCCCGCTGGTGACATAGTGCTGACAATTGGATATAACAGCGACGACAACTACCACGTTCTGGCCACCAACGGCAGCTGCGCCTTCCTGGTCAAGAATACCGAGCCTACTAGTGTTGGAAACAAGGATGTGACGGACATCTTGACCTTCATCAAGAACCGGGATTCGCATCTCAATGATTCTCCCCCTATCGAGGAGAAGGGGTCCTTCCAGGGCTGTCAGTTGAACAACACAGTGGACTTCTGGCTGCGAGATTCCGATTTCTGAGAACTAGGTCATACCTCTTGGGGATACAGTCACATCCCCGCTGATTCGGTTCATTGCGACTCGATGCCGGGATTAGAGGAAGGAGGGGGTTCATAGTGTCTCTCTAGTCAGATCAACAGAGATGCCTTCAGGCTTTGGAAAATGGATGGAGTTTCCTTGACGTGATTTCAACCTAAGTTCGTTGATAGCCTGTCACCATTACTGTCGCGTTCCAACTTGAGGCCCACCGTGGATCTTCTGAGAGGCGCCTTGATGACTCTAGCATATCTATACGGCCACGTCACGAGCGGTATAATGCAACGACTAAACAGGTCTGGAGCAAAATCCTTCGCATACGATCCTGCCCCCTATCCTGGCTTATTATATCAAAATATCTACCACCAACGACTCATCTTGCAATACAGGCGCAGTGTTGGAAACTCAGGAGAAGTGTGTAGCGTGTCAACATTACCGAACTGAATACATACTCGAAATTTTGTTCGCCGCGCTCTTGCGGTGGAAGCGGTTGCATCGAGCGGGCTATTATCGGCGCCGGTGGTTTTATAGCATAGCTCGTATATGGTACGGAAAAGCCATCTTGCATTGCTTTTAATGACTTAGTTAACATTTCTCTCCACAACAATGGTGAACATGACATTGTTCAGCTGAATGGCCTCACAATGGGCGAACCCAATTGTCCCTTATATTATTCAGGGTGTTTGGTTTCCTCCAGCATCTATAGACTAAGCTAAATGTTACCAAAATCACACGATCTTTCTTGACCGAATTACGCATACAGTCAAGCCGAATTAGCCTCTATTCGCACCAAGACTATTCCGCATCAAATCACTCTCGCCTGCGCTTCAGACAGATGACCTCTAGTAACCAACCTTCAGCTACAAGATATGCGATCATTATAATGCTGACTGACATTAGCTTATTATGTACCAGTGATAAACATGCCTCTGGGGTTCCTTCACGGTCCTGGGATCAACAATTCGAGGGCCAAACCGTCCGACCCTGCCACGGAAATTGCCCGACGACAGGCCATGCGGGCGAGGCTCCCGTTCAAGACCATGCATCTGGTGGTCAGAACCCGAAGACGAAGGCCGAGCGAAGAAAGGACAAGAAAGCCGCACAGAAACCGGCCAAAAAGGAGGCCAAGAAGGCAACCTAGGGAAGAAAAGAATATCTTCATCTTGGTCCTGTTAGGCCACGCTTGTCTTTTGACAGTCACATATGGCTTTGAGGCTCCCAGAAAACATAACGTAGCTATAGATGGGTGGCCACAGATGGGTGGCAGGTCCTGGATTTGCCACCACGTCATAAGCAGACGAGATCAATCTATTACATGAACACAAAACCGAGCCGTGCAGCTTCCTTGAAGCCACTTGCCTAGGGGGTGCACAAGCTATGACTAGGCTATAAGGGCAACTAAAATTTGACGATCAAGGTTACGTCTGGCTTACCTAGCACAATAGCCCATCCTCACTATGTGGTTTCCTTGCCAGCTATTTTCGCCGCCACAGCTGCTCGCAACCCAGCCGTAACCCTCTGGTATACCGACCTTGGCACACAATAATGTTTGTGGCCTGGCATACCCCAGACTGGCTGCGGAAGACCGATATCGGCACCATTGTCAAGTAAAAGTTCCACCATCTCCAGTCGTCTCAGCTCCGCCGCCAACTGTGCAACCCTTCCGCAAGAAAAGTGTATCCTTTCCCGTTGTCGCCAGGGCTCAACGTGCCCGGAACAAGCCCACCGCAAGTCATGATAGCCGATGTTTGCGTCCGCCCCGTGTGCGAGCAGCAGTCGAGCCAGCTCCAGGTTGTCGTGCTTCACCGCCCGGACGAGTGGGGGAGCATACTCTTCCGGTTCCGACTCATCGTGAGTGCCGAAGGTACATCCAACCCATGGAGGATCCGGAAGAGGCCGATCGGATAGTTGAAAGTCGCAACAGACGCCGTGTTCCAAGAGGACCTTGACGATCGCAGTATTCTGCCGGTCCACGGCCTGGCCCAGGGCCCTGGTTCCGACCACTCGGTCCGTTTTATGCGCGCTCCTGGCGAGGAGTAACGTCACGAGCTCCAGATTTTCCTGCTCTGCAGCCCACTGCAGCGCTGTTGTTTCCGTACTAGAGTGCGTTCGGAATATTGGGATGTTGGGGTCCATGCCGTTGTCTAGCAGTTGCGAGACGGCGTGGTTGTCTCTAGCTAACAATGCCGCCTTGAGTGCGTCGCATTTTCTGGGATTGGGTGAGCATGTGAGACAGACTGGACTGCGAAGTATTCTCTCCTGCGGCCGGCGTGGTCGGTTTAGACATTGCCTGTTCAGCTTCGATTTGCTGTTCCATTCCAGCGAACTCATTGTGCATATGGAGGGGGCGTAGGGAGATTGTCGAAGGCGGGGTCTTTTTGGTTTCTGGCTTGCTATCGGGCTCTGGTACTATGGCTGGTCCATAATTCGATAATCCAGTCTCATAAAAATGCTCTGGACGCGGTGCGAGATACGCTTCAGTCTCTTGTGGTAGATACCCCGTTTCTAGGAAATATCATAATGGTCCTGGTCTCTGGAGACGCGACTGAGAAGCCAAGGTGCAGAGATGTTTGGGGAGAAGTGGTAGAGAATGTTATTGGCGGCGAGCGCGGGATTGTCGACCAACATCCCGAATTCAGTGCAGCGAAAGTGGCCGCGGAGCTGGCGAAGAGGGTCATATAGGCAGATGAAGAGGGCCAAACAGGCAGACGAAAGAGCTAAACACTGTGGTTGAATTTGTAGAATCCTCCGTTTTCCGTTTGCCAGGTCCTCAGAAAAGGAAGAAATGCCAATCCAGCAGGCACGCTGCTCTTCCTTGATTGCTTGAACTTACTATACACATCCATGAAGGAGCCAGGCTCTGCAGATGAGCCCTTGAGCCAACCGGTATGCCCAAGATAACCTGCAAAGAAAGACCCGACTTGGTTGTTGATCGCTGGTCGGACGCTCGGACACTCGGTGCTTGGATGCTCGGACGTATCGGACGCCCGGAAGGCACGACGCAGGGCTGACTCGGCGCACCAACCCCGTGTAGGAGCCAATCCTCAGGGATAAAACATGTTAGTTCGGGTTATTCGTGTGTTCCATCGCCAGTGTGCGCGTCATCCCTTTCTAAATCCGTCCCAGGTTATCATTTGCTCTGCATTTAAGGGAGATAAGTTGTTATGGCCAGACCAGCATCGTACCGGGCAAGCGCCGACATGACGGATTCCCTGCCGGGTGACAACCCGTCGCTGGAGATCACCCAAATGTACAAAAAGGGCGGGTGCCCCTGACAAGACCTCCAAACGACCGGAATCGAAACTTCACTGCGCGCTTGAATGAATTTACGGCTAAGCGGGAGAGAACCTGAACCCCATTTCCAACCAGGTCCAGCCTCGACACTGGCAAACGCCGCCGACCATGGCCTCCGAAACACGAGTCCCCGTCCTCATCGTAGGCGGCGGCATCGTGGGCCTCTCGGCCTCCCTCTGCCTCTCCCAGCAAGGCATAAAATCTCTCCTGGTGGAACGCCATAGCGGCGGCTTTATCCATCCCCGGGCCCGGGGTGTCAATGCGCGAACGATGGAGGTCTTCCGCCGGCTTGGCATCGAGGACCGCGTCCGCGAAGCCGGCGCCTCCCTATTCAAGACTTACGGCATATACTCCGGGCACTCGCTAAGCGAGGTCATCGAGGCGCACCCGTGCAAGGAACGCAGTGGGGGGCTGCCCACCGTCAAGCTGCTTGCGTCGCTGAGTCCCACAAGTGGCGCGTTCGTCACGCAGGACATGCTGGAGCCGGTCCTCGTGAACATCGCGAAGGAGCGTGGGAATGAGATCTGGTTCCGCACAGAGTGCGTGGATACTGAGCAGGATGGCGACGGCGTCACGGCTACGCTGAGAGATCGCGAGACCGGCACCCTTTCAACGGTACGCGCAGACTACCTCATCGCGGCCGACGGCGCGGGGAGCCCGATCCGCACGCGTCTCGACATCCCCACCGCCGGCCGCGGCTCGCTGGGCCACCTGATCAACATCCTCTTCCGTGCGGACCTGCGCCCGCTGGTCCAGGGGCGCGAATTTTCCATATGCGCCATCGAGCGGCCCGAGGTTAGCGGCGCCTTCGCATCTATAAACAATAGCGACCGCTGGGTCTTTCAACTGCTGTACGACCCGTCCAAGGGCGAGACCCCGTCCGACTTCCCGCCCGAGAGGTGCACGGAGCTCCTGCGGCTCGCGCTCGGCCTGCCGGACGTGGAGATCGCCATCGAGAGCACGCTGCCCTGGGAGCCGACGGTGCGCGTGGCCCAGCGCCTGCAGCACGGCCGCGTCTTCCTGGCCGGCGACGCCGCGCACCAGATGCCGCCCTGGGGCGGCCAGGGCGCCAACTCGGGCGTCGCCGACGCGCACAACCTTGCGTGGAAGCTGGCCCTGGTGCTGCGGGGCCAGGCCGACAGGGCGCTGCTCGAGACGTACAGCGTCGAGCGGCAGCCTGTGGGCCAAGTGGCCGCCGAGGCGTCCGGAGACATGTCGGATGCGCGGGGGCTCATATCGATGAAGCGGACTCCGGCGTTTGTTTTGCGAGTTGCCCGCATCGCGCGGCTATCGTCCGGCCACAGCTACTCTTACCAGAGCAGAGCCGTTGCTGCTGAAGATACCTCGCCGCTGGGCGGCCTGACGTGGCGGCCGTGGACCCTGCCGAGCTTGCTGCATTGCATCGACGGGAGGCCAGGGAGGCGGGCGCCGCACCTGTGGGTCGAGCATCAGGGGAACCGCGTCTCGACCCTCGATCTGTTCGGCAAGAACTTCGTGCTACTGGCGGGGGCGGAGGGCGCGGCGTGGATAGAGGGTGCGAAGAAGGCGTCCGAGGCACTGGGCGTCACGGTTGATGCGTATCGCGTGGGACCCAAGGGCGACCTTGTGGTTCCGGAAGGCCAGCTCGAAGCTGCTGCGGGCATCACGGCCCGGGGCGCTATAGTCGTTCGGCCGGATGATTTCGTGGCGTGGAGGCAGAGGAGAGAGTCGAGTGATCCTCACGCCGAGCTCGCCCGGTTGTTGAGACAGGTGTTGTGTTTATGATCGTGGACTCGCTACCCTCTCCGCTTACCTACTATGTTGTGTTTCGGAGCCAATGATGGTGATCAATGGCCGGTTATATCCACTCACATCAAAACTAGATGTAAGCGATATGTGTTTACGAATAATACCCTTTGGAGCAGACATCAACTTGATAGGTAAGACTGTCCTCATATCTAGTAACCCGGTAGTGGGCGTTTGTTATTGCGTTGAGAATACATTAAGGCCAGATGTAGTATTGATGCATTGCCAGGCCCACCGCAGCGTTCATCTCTGATCATTATCATCCCTCTGGAAGTTCTGTTCCTTTCGACTTGGAATAAGACAATCCAAGCCTCAGTAGTGAGTTTCTATTGGTGGCGAAGGGGGATGCTGGACTCTACAAGGTACGCAGTCACCCTCACCCTCAACGCCTTATGGCCCTTCCGGCTCACCAGCGACTATTACGAGTCTCCAATGCGGCACAGACCGCATGCTCTGTAACTCTGACATGATGATTTCACGATCGGTCATGTCGACCAAGTCCATTGTACTCTGAATTACCTTCGGCTGACACTACAGTAGCTCCATAGATCTGTCTGCCAAGACGGGCGGACGGGGGAGCGGGACTCGGCAGGGGGGCAGGATAGGACCCCGCTCGTGAGGATATCCTCGAGCCAATAAGAGTGCTGTACCTGATGCGGTAACCCGTAACGGCGGACGATCGACCAGTCCAGGGCTTGTGGCGGTGCATCGTGACCTCATCGGACGTCACTCAGTCCCAGAAGCTTGGAACCTTTGGAACGATCCTACATACGGGGTACCCTGTCACCCTCACCCCACGGTTTCACTGAACGCTGCTCAAGATCTCAACATGCGACTGACCGAGCTCTGCCATGCTCCAACGCTTCTTGAGGCAGCACATTACTACTACACCTTACCAAACATAAATATCGTGCCATCATGTCAAAGTGGAAGGTGTTCTCTTCGAAAGACAAGGAGAAGGAGAAGAACAAGCGCAAGTCCAATGAGACAAACCCGGACCTCCTAAGACCATCCGACGACTCTGCATATGGCGGCAGTGAGACCAATACCTCGCTGAATACCGAAACCTCACCGATTGCTTCTAAAAGCCCAGTCCCAGGCAACTCGAGCAATGGCGTCAATACGATAACCAATACGATGAATGAGGGTCCATCATCGTACACAAGCCCGACCATCAAGCGCGAGACGCTCCATAACCCAAACACGGGACAGACTGTAAGCATTGGGTCAATAGTATCACATCCACGTTGTCAGTTGACTGACCTGAACGTTCAGACAACGACTACAACGACCACAACCACGACCACGACAACTATCACAGGGCCCAACGGAGTCACGTCCACAGTCGAGGAACCTCGAGGGGCCACTGAGCTACCAACTGCTATCGAACCTTCCTCTCAGGAACCACCGGACGAAGGCATTCGACCCCAACGGCGAAACTCAGAGACTCCAGGAAATAGAGTCATCCCACCCCGCGATCCATTACCGCCTCAGAGTCCAGGCAATGGAGTTCCCGACATACCAGATCGTAGCGGCAGGCGGTCCTTTCCCCCGCCGCCTCCAGTGCCCACAGACAACACACCTCCCATGAATCCTCGAGCGTCATCACGAAGCCCCTCCAGGGCTACTGGGCAGAACTACGCATACCCAGGACGCAATCGGCCAGCGGAGGAGAGCTACGCGACGCCAGAGAAAAAGCAGAATGGGGGTTCTACATTACAGGACCTGAAGACGGTAGCCGCTGGACTCCATGTAAGTAGCTATACAGCTCGATCTGATTCTACCACTTACTAACATGTCTGTCAAAGGGTGCCGGTGAAACTCTCCGCGGAACGCTAAACTCGACCGTCGACAAGCGTTTCCACGGCCCCGACTCAAAGGCCATGGAGAAGAACCAAGCAGCGATCGAGGCCGGCCGATACGAGGTCGCGAACCGTCGTTTCTATAAACCATACAGGCCTGAAGACGTCGGACAGACGGCCGGCGAGCAGCCGCAGGCGGCGCATAACGGGAACCCAGCGCAGGGCTCGCCTCCCAAACAGCAGCTGCAAGATGAAGCCTCGGCCGCCGAGGGTGGACATGCAGCGTGGACCGACAAGATCCCGAGTAGGAGACTTGGCAACTTCATCAATGTCAGTACGAGCCGCCAGGCGAGCGGAGAGCCGGACCTAAAAGACCCGGCGGCACCGCGGGAGAGGTCGAGGCTTAGGAAGCGCAGCGGATCTGGGCTGGGGACCGTCACAGAGTGAGTTTTCCCTCACCCTCCACTCACATGCTTCTGGGTGGGTGCTTATTGACAGGCAATCCAGAAATCCTTTTGGCAGGTGAATGCGGTGGACCTGGTGTTGTGGTTTCTTTCTTTTCTGGTTGGTATTCACGGCGGATGGGGCATGATACCAGGCTTGCTAGTCGTACGAAACTTGCAAGATGTAAATATAGGGATGGACTTGGGGGTTTTCTACGAGGGCACTGGTCAAGGTTGTCGCTTTTCGATGGATATACTCAACATCGCGGGGCTCCTTTCTGAATATACGCGTACTTCGTCGGGCTTGGTTGGTAACTTGGTCTCTGTATATTAGCTGGCTACCCTCAGGGCTCAGGCTCCTATATGTTTCTTCGCAGTCACGATGGGTTGAGTCGAGTGGATGATCATTAATGATGAATATATATTAAGGACCGTGTGTATTTATGCAAGCTAAAGGACTGACGTTATGCTTCGAGTGCCGAAAACGCAAATAAACCCGACCAACCCTATAACATCCCCGATATGCAAACCCTTCATGCTCCAAGTCAACATATAACCCGCAACCAATGTGAGAGCCCCGCCACTCATACCGGGCAATCACGCACTCACTCAGTTACCCGAATAGCGGTTGACATAGCAAGTAACCGACCCGAACCCGACGTGGTTGGTGCTGATCTCGGCGGGCTCGGCGACGGTGAACTCGGCGCTGCCCGTGACGGTCCCCGCGGGCTCGACGTCGCGGTACTTCTGGCACGCGACGTACTTGGCGTCGATGCCACCCGCGCCGCTGTCGGCCACGATGCTGATGTTGGACACCAGCATGTCGGTCGTGTCCTGGTACAGCGTGTACAGCGGGACCGTGATGCGGTTGGTCACGCCGGCGTTGTTGATGTCGCCCGTGTAGACGTCGAGTTGGACGCTTAGGGTGGTGTCCTGGCGGGTGTTGGATTGGTGGGATGGGGCGGCGATGGTGCCGGCGGCGAGGAGGGTGGCGGTGAGGAGGGTGGCGGCGTACATGGTGATTGAGGTGTGGTTTTTGTGGTTTTTTGTTGGTGGTGGTTGTTGTTTGTTTGTGAAGTAGCGACTTGTGATAAAATGACTATGCTAGTCTTTGACTTTGAGCGAGTGACGAAGATGGATGTGTGTGTTAGAATGCTGTTGATGATCTGAGTGATGTGGTGAGTTGGTCAAACAGCAATATCTAGAGATTTCGTCCGGACTCTTATATATAAGTCTAAAGCGAACTATGGAATCCGTAGCGCTTATTCTTCGCCCTGTGAACATCTTACGTCTGGTACGATCTGCGAGCTGTGCCAGCTCAGAGCTGACGGTGAAGCTGAATACGAGGAATGACCTTGCGCACGCTGCGGCTGGTGCGCTGTGGCGATGCTTGGGGAACTACTAGCTGACAGTGAGTTAGCGCTTATGATCGGAACTTTACCTAGTATGCATATGCCACTGCGGGCTGTGTTCGCGTCTATGGTACCGGTATACAGCGCTTATTAGATTTGGGTTTCTTCTGCCGTATCCCCGGACCCCGGTCTTCCTTCAGTAACGTTGCCGCCGCGAGAATCGGCTTTCGTATCCGCCTGCGCGCGGCTATGCCACGAATGCGGGGGATCGCCGCCCTGACCGCAGTTTCTCATGGCCATGTATTGGACATTTTCGATTTGTCATTACCAGCTCATTACCGGACACGAAGGCGACGCCGTCTAAGACATCTGATGATGGACACGTACGAGAGCTCATAGTGTTGAACAGCGTGTATTATGGTTCATCTGGTTGATAACGTGTATTCTGGTGATTCTCATTAGAGTGTGTGTTTCTGAAGGATCTACTGTCGTAAGCTGCAGGGCCCGAAATTGCCCTAGAGGCCCTGTTGGTGCACTGCTACTTCCCTGAACGCCACTTTGGCTTGCGTGCCATTTGACACATAGCAGAAATCCGAACTAATTTCGCTATAGACACCGACCAACCGTTCTGTTTTCAAAAGCCCATTTCTTCTTGAATCTTCTGTCAACTTACGTCTTTTTATACGTGGATGGTCTTTGTTTGGGCTTGACCGCGAATGATCATGACACTAGCTATACTGTCTGATGATCTGCCGCAGCGCCTCAGGTCTGTGCTTTGTCTCTTGAATGGGTAGAACTGCTGCATTCGATGTCCCTGACCTGGTCATGCTTACCCCAGCACTAAGGCTATACGGAAGGCACAAGTCAAATGATTGCCATGCTTACAACTGCACTAGCGGCACGGCTGAGTAAGTTAGTATCCAAGGGGCGTTGATCGAAGCTCGAACATTGCCTCTTCTTACAGCTCACGAGATGCCTCCGCCTACGTACTTCAACCAGCCAGGTGCTCTATGCGAGACAAGCTCTACATTGAAGGCTGAACACGAGATCAAGATCTTCTCGTATGTTCCGGTCGCCGCTGAGAATGTACAGGTATTGCGAATACACGTAATAGAAACCGGAAACAGGAGCGGCCTCCCTGTGTACTACGTTGCGGTTTATTTTCATCGGAGTCGCCGCGTGTGGTTGCTCACCACCATCATCCGTAAACTTAAGGAACGTTGTCATGTTGTAGGGAGGGCATTAACCTCGTGGCCCTGATCGCCTGTCGAGGGACAACGAGGTACTTCTTTGTGGAATATAGGGGTAAGCTGTACAAATCAAGTACCTAATACTCCACAATCGTTCATCGCAGAGCAACAACGTAATGAAGGATATTGCTCCGCCGTCGATCCAAATCCTCGTGAACAAGCCTTTGTTCCTCTTCCCTACGAATTGACATATGGTGGCTGAATGCTGTCGTATCCGTCAACATGCCCGTGTCCAGCTCCTTCAGATCGACCTATTCAAGGCCCTCAGGTTAATGGGCCGCTTGTCGTTCATATGCACCACTAAGCCTTTACCTGCGCTGGCAGCTTTGCAACCACTCGTCAGGGGTGGGCAATGGTCTTCTGCCGACGAAGACACCACAGTTCTTGCAGAACATCTTCTCCCACGCTTTCAACCAGCCAGAGGAAGATGTTCTCCTCGCCTTCCATGACCAAACCTAAAGTTTGGGCCCGATGAGCTATTTTTAGCTGCTTTGGATGGTTCAAGACGCCTAGAGTAAGGCTTAATAGGGTCTTCCAGGGCGTGAAGATGCTGGTTATGCGAGCGTACCAGTATGTCCGCAATGAAAGAATGTTCTGCCAGGCTGGAAGACTTCGAGTGGCACTGGATGCAAGCATTTTATGGATAACCGTAACGGGCTGAATGCACAGAAGAACCGGTTGGGTGACATGCTTATATTGAGGGAAGAGGGCGTGAGTGTCCGAGATCTGGCTGTGCTGTCGTGTAGCCTACTGCCAGTAGATACGTATGTATGAAGCCTGATGTCACCCCTTTGGGAGAAAATCAAACTCTTGTTAACATGAATATTCTTCCATCCCTTTAGTTGACCCCCGTTGCAGATATCCTTCCAAACCAGCCCTTTTTGGCGGACAGCCGTGACCTAAACCCTGAATGTTGATTCCTCTAAGGGACGGTAGGCGGGCAAGAACACCAACAAGCGCACTCAGGTTGGAGAAGTGTGATGAAGGAAGAGTTCCTGTTGTCTGGCAGGGGCCAGAGACGTGGTCTTATAGCCCTGGAACTGGTCGTGGTATGGCCGGACGTCCGGGCCTTCGGATGTCCGGCGGCGTCGAGGCTAGCCCCTATCATCGACGCTCCCGTCTTGACCCGGCCACCCGGCGGCTAGCCTAAACTCTATCTGCGCCGGGGATCTAAACAGATCTACGTCACGACTCACAGGCAGATCGACTTTAAGTACCAATGCGCAACGCGTCCTTGCCCGTCTCGTCTCTTCTGACAAGCTCACCACGACACCCAGCAAAACACCATATCAGATAACAACGAAACTGCAACCCATTCCATAGCCGCAGACGTCGACAACCCCATCAGTATTCTTCCCGAGCCCCAGACTGCAAGAACCGCAACAATGGCCTCCTACATTCCCAACCTCTCCCGCGACAACATCTCCCTCTACCTCGTCCCCGTCGCCTGGGTAGTAGCAATCATGCCCCGCTTCTGGGCCGCCAGCAACTACAGGAAAGCCTGCGGCAAAGACTTCAACGCCCTCCAACCTCGCGACATGGTCTCCCAAATCAACTTGGACCAGGCGATCGACTCCAAGACCAAAGGCCGTCTCCTGCGAGCAGAGGCCGCCCAGCAGAATGGCATGGAGAACATGGGCCTGTTTGCGGGTGCCATCGCCGCTGGCAATGCTGCAGGTCTCAGCCCGGCGACTCTCAACGGGCTTGGGTTGGCGTATGTTGGGCTTAGGGTGGTGTATAACCATATCTACATCTTCAACGACCTTGTACCGCCGTTTGCGAGGACGGCGACCTTTTTATCGAGTGTTGGGGTGTGTTGGGCTATGTGTATACAAGCCGGGAACAAGGCGAAGAGCTCGCTCATCTGAGCATCGGGAGAATGTGGTTCTTGGCATGGTATGACTGAGATGGTAATTTCAGACGTGGCTATATTCGGTAGCCCGTTTCTGTACATGTATGTATGCTAGATGGTGCAATCGAAAAGTACCTCGAGAAGCTCTACGCGGACACGGATGAGGACAGCAGTTACTCCTGGACGTTTTCTTCGCCCTTAGAAAGAAATACAATTGCATACCAACGGTACCTCAGAGAGCACGTCTCCTTGCGCAGCGTTCAGTATAATCCCATCTTCTCTGTCCCACTCCAGATTGGACATGCATCAGTGGCGGTTGTCCTCAAGAAGATAGACATGGCTAATCGTGGCATGGAAAGCCGCTTTTAAGATTTGCTTCGCCAAAACAAGCAGGATTACTAGCGATACTAGAAGACAGGCTCAAGAAGCCTCTGGTGCTCTTAGCCTGCCCGCAACGTTGGAAAGTATGAGTAGAGAAGGCCCGCTTGTGATAGCACGACAACAACTACTGGCCGGTCTAGGATCCGACTATATGCAACTACTTGAGAGCTGGTAGACTACACAAATGGAAATGATGGAAACGTGAGCGGCACGAGGATCAGCAAGAGCAGGTTCCCGCCACTTGCGCCACATGCCGTGTAACGCTATGTTCCCATCTTCTTCTCCAACGACAGTGCCAACCAACATGCAACATGCATGATGCAAGGACTTGCAACCAACGCAACCACACAATGCCGTGTCAGCATTGCTATCCGTCCAGTCAATTATAAAGAGTCTTCCTATTTGCACCTTACTGAAATTCCTTATTTGCACCTTACCTTAGTCAGCCAGCTGACAACCACCTGCCACCAAGCCCCTTACCACCATTACTAAAGCTGCCAGCTTCTAAAGACATGATAATCTGAAATTATATGGCATCTATACCCGAACCCCGATCGTAATAGCCATTTAATTCGGCTACCGTAATCCAGCTATAACGAACATGGTAATCTGGAATTGTATGGCGTGTACACACAAAACACGATCATAGTAGCCATCTACCCTGGAGAGCGACCTAATTAAACGCGACCAACAGTCAGCTAACTGACCAGATCTCCGCATCTAGCTATAAGGGCCATGGTGATTTAAAATTATATGGCATCACCACACAAAACCCGATCGCAAGGGCCATCTAATTAGGCTGGCTAAGCTATCCATTTAACTGCAATCAACGTATTTAGCTAGGACGGACATAATGATCTAGAACTAAGTAGCATCTCCATACAAAACCTGATCGTGGTAGTCATTCAGCCCGGCAGATGGGCTGCAGCTAGCCGCTATAAGTGGCTACTACAATTGGTTGCAGTTGGCCAACAGGTAGCTAACTAAAGTAAGGTGCAAATAAAGAATTTCGGTAAGGTGCAAATAGGAAGACTCATTATAAATTAACAGCCCCGAGCCTGCAACGCAAAGATCACACTTTGCAGCCAACACACGATCCCGGTTCTCGGTCAGCTCGGCATCTTCCACCAACACAAGTCCAACAGCAAAACAACAAAAGACCAGATGCAGAAGCCCATCATCTTGTTGGCACACGGGGCTTGGCACCCCCCGACACTATACGCCTCGCTCAAAGAGGCGGTCCAAGCTCGAGGGTATGAGCTGCTCGTCCCCGAGCTTGCAACCATGGGGCCTGAGAAGACGAGTATAAGCTGGGCCGCTGACGTCACAATGCTTCTCGAGACAGCCGAGCCGCTCTTCGACCAAGGGAAGAGTGTCGTACTTGTGGGCCACTCATACGGTGGCATCTCCGCCTGCATCGCGACACGGGGCCACGGCATGGACGAGCGACGCGCCGTGGGAAAAAGGGGCGGCTTCTGTCACCTCGCCTTCCTCTGTGCATTTGCCATGCCCGCCAAGGGCATGAGTGTCTTTTCCGTATCTGGTGGTAGTTGGCTGCCGTGGCACAAGGTCATCAAGCCCGGGAGGGGACCACCGCAGCAGCTCTTTGTCAATGAAAAGGCGCGGGACCTTCTGTACAACGACCTCTCTGCTACCGAAGCTCAGACTACCTTCGACAGCCTGGTGCCCTGCTCGTACGAGGCATTCACTACCGGCGTCGACTTTTCTGTGGCCGACGTTACGATCCCCAGAACCGTCATCGTCTGTGAGAATGATGCGTTGTTTCCACCCCATCATCAAAAGGCACTTGCAGGTGCCTGCGGCTAGGATGTCAAGCAGGTCAGCGTCAGTGGGGATCACAGTGCGTTTGCCAGTGTCCCCGGAGAGGTTGCAGATGTGTTGGTTCGGCTTGTGAAGGAAGGAGTGGAGGAGTGACACAGGATTGCAGATGAGAGCCCTCCGGCAGTACCCTTCCATTCAACCGCAAGGCTCAAGTCTTCTTGTCGATTACAGTCACTCTTTACCTACCGCTGTCTCGCATACCTTACCGCCATACTTCAATCTGCCCTCCCCAAGTCAGCAAATTGAAACTGCACCGGAGTCGTCCCCATCTGGTCTTAAAGCGCTGCAACATTGTTACATCACATCTTCAAAGGAAGCCATCCATCGGTGCAACGTGACACACTTGGACCCAGATAGAATAGGAATGCTGACTGGAGTGACTATGTCCACTTCCAGCCCTCTAGATCCAGTGATCTGTTTATAAGGGAACAAGGGGTCTTGAGCAGGCTCTAGGTTTAAAGGCAAGGCTTTGCGCGTATTGTTGAATGGGAGCCGGAGATAGACACCGGAAGATCTCCAGTGGGGCAGAGACGCACAGGGCATCTGACCCACCAAGAAGACAGATGATCAATCTCTGCACACAGAGCAGAACAATCAATAGCATCAATCAACATCCGTGTGTTCAACAGATGCTGAATCAACATCCGTGTATTCAACAGATGCTGATTGATTCTATTGATTGTTCTGCTCTGCGTGCAGAGATTGATCATCTGTCTTCTTGGTGGGTCAGATGCCCTGTGCGTCTCTGCCCCACTGGAGATCTTCCGGTGTCTATCTCCGGCTCCCATTTAACACACCCCCCCAGGAACAACTCTTTCCATTGGGGTTGTTCCTGAGCATTCAGTCTGTTGCTCTTTCTGTTTAAGGTCATCTTTAAGTTCTTGTAGCTTGCCGGCTGCAAGTCTCTCATAGATATCTGTCAGCCTCACTTGCTCCCTGAATGTCTTGAACTTTGGTGCCGGCAGTGCCTTGGTCAGGCCGTCTGCAAGCATCATTCCACTCCGGACGTACTCGATGTCTATCTTCCCATTGCGTTGAGCTTCCCTTAGTCAGTGATTGTGGATATCGACGTGCTTGAGCTTTGTTTGAAGTGTTTGGAGGTCCTTCCGCACCAACTTGATGGTCTGTTGGTTGTCACACCAGATCCGGAGAGTTGGACAGTCCAGGGATACGCCAATTTCTCTAAGGAGCCGTGAGACAAACATCACTTCCTTGGCTGCTTGAGTAAGGGATAACAGTTCTGCCTCTGTTGTTAAGGTTGTCACTGTGTTCTGTTTGTTTGCTCTCTAATCAATGATGCCTCCAAATAACTTCATGACATATGCTTATGAGCTCTTTTGGTCAAGGCAGTTGTCAACAAATGATGCATCGCTCCATATTTCTAGCAGATCTTTACCCCCTAACTAAAGAGCAAAAGACCTGGTGTCCTTCAAGTACTCTAATAGATGCTCTGTAGCAGCAGCATATAAATTGTTTGGGTTGGTATTAAAGCGTGAAAGCCGAGAGGCAGCAAAGGAGATATCGAGTCGTGTGATCACTGCTGCGTACAGGATTGATCCGATCTTTTTTTGGTATCTGTTGATTGAGGCTGGCGAGGCAAGCTCGTCACTTGGGAGAAGTTCTTGAGGCTTCATGGGGATCTCTGGGCACTTCTTGTTGTGGTCGATATGGTTTATAATTTTATTGATATATGAGGCTTGAGACAGCCAGATGAGCCGCTGTTTTTGGTCCCTGATGATCTCTATCCTTAAGAACCACTGTAGTGGCTCTCTTCCTGTCAAATTATAGGTAGCTTTGAGCTTCTTTGTGACTGCCTTAATAATGTTCTAATAGTATCTTTTAAAAGCTATCATAATATCATTCACATAGAAAAAGATGATCATGCCATCCTTTGTGAAGCAACAGGGTTTGTGAGCGACTGGTTTGAAGTTAAGGTCTGTAAGAGTTTTGGTGAAATGCTTCTGCCATAGCAAAGGAGATTGCCGTAATCCATATAGAGCCTTCTTTAGCAAGAGGACCTTTCCTTGTTCATGATGCCCTTATGGCATTTTTATGAAGACTTCCTTTTCTAGGTCCGTATTGACAAAGGCGTTGACGGCATCGTATTGGATGAGCTCAAGATTGAACCGGGCTGCGATTGTCATAAGGCTCTGAAAGATCTGCCTACGAGAGTTGATGCATAGGTATCCTCATAGATGTTCTTATTCTGCTGGTCACCGCGAACCATGAGGCGTGCTTTGCACTTGCTTAGGAAGCCGTGCTTATCAAACTTATACTTGTATACCCACATACAGTCCAGGATTTGGTGTCCATTTGTTGCTAATTTGTCAGTGATTATCCATGATCCCATTTCATTATGGCTGCTGATATGGTCAACCTCAGCTTGATGCCACTCAGCCTTGTAGAGATAATTTTTGACACCTTGTCAGTTCTTTGGCTCTGGTAGTAATGATTGTTGATGTATCTTCCTTACTTTTGTAGGTATTGAGGCTGGGCCGTGATGATCTCCTTGGTGTGATGGTCTCCCACCAGGGCGAGAGCCATAGGTTCTGTACTTGTTATACTTGGCTTTGCTCACCGGCCTGCCATTTATCAAACCAACAGGATTGGTAACGCGTCTAGCATTGAATGCTGCTTCCTAATTCCCATAGCGATTTCGTATGGCCTGGGCGTCCCCAGTTGAAGGTAACGAGCGGGCATCTAACCCTTCTTCTGCTCGCCGGGAGCATGATGCTCTGACCTGGCCCTCCACAGGCTCTCTGATAATAGCAGCCAGTAGTGCTGCCGCAGGCGGAGGAGTGGGTTCTGGGGTCAGGTATGGCTCAAACACGGCAGATGTATAGGGGTAATCAGTCCCTTTGCTACTATTTGTGTTGGCTTTGTCCTGAGTATTTTCTGTATTATTACCACTCAGGTCCATCTCATCTCTATCTGGGTGCTCCTGTATTAATCTGCTAAGATCTTTATCTTCCTGGTACACTAGAATGTCCTCTAGGATTTTGGATGGCACCTCGTGTCTATTTAGAAATCGTATTAGTTGTTCTTTGCTGACATGCAGAAGGTCGTCTTTGAGGTTGCTCAAGTCTCCTTAAAACATCTGGTCCTTATCTGCTATCATATCACGCATAGCGTAGACCTTGCTGGTTAATGGGTTCCAGACCAGATAGATGTTGGTTAAGTTATATCCCACAAGATAGCCAATCCAGGCTTTTGGGTTCAGCTTCTTGAGGCGGTCCTTCTTCTCCTGTGCAGTGGCAGTCATTGCAAATATTTTGTAGCCATATGCTCATAGGTGTGTATGCATTGGTCTGCAGTCAGGGGTAACTAGGCCGTCTCGGAATGACAGATATTGGAAGAACATCTCATATGGGGTCTTCCAGTTGTGGTGCCAGGATAGTGTTCCGTTGTGGAGATACACTGCTGCAGTATAGATGTGACGCCAGAGATATATTAGAAGCTTGGCTCCGCTGCGCATGGCAAGAACTTTTGCTTTGATTATACCTCCTGAGTGTTCAGCGCCTCTATTTTGGTCTTGGGTATGAGGTGCAGAGGGCTCTGATTCGGATGTGATTGTCTTTGATGAAGTCCTTAATGTCCTTTGACTTGGTGAACTCATTGTCTGTTTCTATGGCCTCAACATTGATCTGGAACTGTATTTTTAGTATACCGATAATGCTTTAAAGGGCGCCAATTATGTGTTCTGTAGTTCTCCTTTTCAGGAAGTATGTCCACACGTATCCAGAGTATCTATAAGTGACAAACATAATACTCCAGTAGCCATCGGAGTCCTTCTCAAGGTCAAGGAAATCAATAGACAGGATGCTACCTGGCTTGGTTGACGGTCGGTCGCCTAGGTGTTCTGCGTATCTGTTTCTTGATTTTGGCCTTGCCACACCCGTCACACTGAGCAGTAGAGGGACCCTTGATTCTCACTCCTCTAGCATGCTTTGTAATCTGGGCGATTACTTCACGGCCAGGATGCCCTAGTCGCTAGTGTGTTACGAACCAACGAGGCGTACAGGGAATGAGGCCCGCTGGCAGGCCCAACAAGATGGACAGTAACTGGAAGAATCCGGGAGAACGCACGGGCTAAGGAAACGTCTAGGTCACGTGATCAAGACATCACGTGATAGATAGCTTGGATAGCGAGGTTATCCAACATATCTAGGATAGCTTGGATAGCAAGGTTATCCAACATATCCACCCCATCAGTGAGGGAGAGATTGGATATATAAGGATGGACATTTCCTAGCTAGACAGATAGACAGTCTCTACCTCGGTGATCAATCTAAGCATCTTAGCCAACCCTGAAGTGGGAGAAATCTCCTGACGACTCGACTATTCAGTGAACCCAGTTCAGACCAAGCCCCAGCATCTGAGTGTCTTCTAGTTGACAGAAGCCTCTATCGTCTTTTGTGTTGACTTACCTCAGAACATAAACCCTATAGAACCCTTTAGCCTTATAGGTTAGACGGCTCGTCACATAGTGCCAGAGGTTCTCGTCACCCTTGTTTGGGGCTCTTTCTGTTCTGGAATTGATCATCCTCCTCCGCAGGGCAAAGGACGCTTTGGTTTCGCCAAGGGGTATGTCCTCCACAACCCATTTCCCAAACTTATCCATGAGTTTGAACACCACTGAATCATCCTTTCGTCTGACACAGTTATTAGGAGATTTGTTGTCCCAGTAGTATCCAAGCTTTTTGAGTTGTCATAAAGATACAAGGTTTGTTGCAAATCCTTCATAGAAGGCGACTGTCACGGCGAGCATACTGAGGAGCTGGGACATGGCCGGCAGCAAGCAGCTATTACTCTATTGACGAGAATATCAAGACTAGAGAGGAAAGGAAGAGAGAGAGAGAGATAGGTACAGTGGGAGGTTGCCCCTTTAAGGGGATCCTCTGGTCAGATCCTTCCCCTATTGGGAAGTATCCGCTTGTCATGTGGGAAGGTCTGTGCAGGCCGTCACAAGATCAACTTCATCAGATGCTACTCAAAGGCAAGGAACGATGGTCTAATAGTTAAAAATTGTTAGGCTGGCTTCAGAGCTACTGGCAATTGGCCTATTAACCGCAGAAAGGAGTTATTGCATCTAAAAATCCAACAGAATAAGGCCGCAACCCCTGAGCCTGAACAGGTTGAAAGTTCAGAACCTGAAGACTTTCGGACGCCCAAAAATAGCCGCCAAATCATGGATATGGGCAAAAACAAGTCCCCAACCACTCGGCTAAAGTTACGCAAGGTTACGAATGATTTTGAGAAGCAATCAGCAGAGATGGTGCTGAAGGACTAAAAGATCAAGAGCCTGAAGGCCGAACTGGTGTCAGATTTGAGCCAATCGTCAGAGTGAAGTGTGTGTGTGTATTCTCTCTGTCTAGAGTGTCCTTGTGCGACCTTGCAGTTTTGTGCCAGAGGGGGCTGGATCGGGACGGAACAACTAGGTTCCGTTGTCTACCTGTCAGGGTGCCTTTTAGGCGTACCTTTAATCTAACAACTGGAGCGTATGCGCCCTAAAAAGCGCAGAAAGATCCCCAACCCGAATAAACGCTTCAAAAATATCCCGGATATTCTGGCAGCTAGTGAGGAACAGCCTCAAAGAGGCCGCAGGGCCACGCAGCCAGTGGTTATTAAAGATACCACTGATGAGGAGAAAGAGAATGAAAGCTCTGATTCGGAAGAAGAAGAGGAGATTGTAGCCCCTAGAGAGACCCGTTTGGGCCAAAAGAGTCGCTGGCCGGCTAGACACGATAACTAAACCGCCATAGACGACTAGATTGCACATTTTAACAGCCGGAAACACCATGAATTGACTGATTTCGCTGTAAGTGAAGTTGTTGATGTTTTGGTGTGTGGCAGTAGATTTTGCAGTCCGAGTGGTGGGGGTGGCCGAGTGGTGGGTGGGGCATGGTATGTGCAACACAAGACGACCGTGCAGATAGCCATTCCTGGGTGTAATACGCCACCATGCACTCCTGTACCCAACCTACATCTCCTCCAGTAGTGTCCTGAGTCATCGTCGGCTTTCGAGCTCCGGTGGAATGTTCTTCAGGACGCCTCGAAAGCTCTCGATAACAGCGACCTTGTCGGTCGTTGCAGTTGGCTGTTTTGGGCCCCTGTGACAGCTTCTTGAACAAGAGTTCACAATCCTGCTGCAGGTCGACGTCTGTTCGGCGGATCAGTTCGTGGCCCAGATCCCCAGTGGCGGCTTCTCTATCTGAAGGTCTGCGACTTTGGGACGGGGGAACGGATCGCAGTTCCTTGAATGTTCGCATCGGCGTTACTCTCTGATGCAGAGCGCATGATCCTCGTCTGGGCATGTCTGAAGGGCACTGTAATCATGTATGGCCTCAGATTGATTCTACATTATTGCCTTCTGTGAGGTTCACGGTGTACGAGCAGCAGCAAGTGGGTCGAGGACCGGAACCTCCCCCCCCCCCCCCCCCCCTTTTTCGATTGCCCCTGAGCATCCAATTGGAAAGCGCAAAGGGCAGCGCTGAGCAGGCCAGGCTTTGTACTCATCGCCCCAAGTACCACTCGGTGTGGTATTTTCGTGTGAAAAGAGTTCTCTCAAATATCGCAAGTTTGGTTCATGAGTCGGTATGATTCTACGAATGTGATGTGAACACAAACTGGCAGACTGGCAATAACGGAGGCTCCATCCTTCCCGAAGCATTCACACCGGCAAAGTAGGCACCGTGCACCCTTAATAAAATAGCCAAGACCGGATCTGGGATGGCGGGTTTGGGAATTTGCAATGGTTGGGTATGGGGTTGCATCCCCTCTGCTTGGGCGGCAAGCTGACAGGGGCTGATTGGGTGAGACGTCACCGTGAGAGGTGGGAGGATTCTTGTGTATTCCGTTGCGATGCAGCCACACAACAAGCTTTCTCCTCGCTTCCCATGGACTTCATTGATGGCAGACCTACGACCAAACTTACCAACAATCCCACCACACCAAGACAAGACGGGGCCGGGTCATTACCGTCTACCTCTTACCACTTTCTGAAAGCCCATCCCCTTGCAGCAACTCAAGACCGCCACGGATGCTAGAATGCGGTTCTCGGTCCCCTTCTTTGGCCTAGTCGCCTCTCTCCTCTCCACCGCCCTCGCATACGAGCAGTGGTCAGCCTACAAAATACCAGTCGACGAATCACCAGCCGAAAATTCACCAGACAGCGAGTGGAATGCCGAAGAGTGGACCGCCAAGCTTTACGCCACCAACGACTGCAGCGGAGACCCGATTGGCGACGGCGTGACGGCGCCGACGCGCGGCCCGTCGTCCATCGGCAAGGTGATCGACGTCGTGGACGGCGTGGCGTCGGTCTGGCTGCCGGAGCCCCCGGACGGGGAGTCGTGGAGGACGTACCGGGGCCGCGCCGTCCACTACGCGTGCGAGGGGACCCAGCTGGGCGCGCGGCACGCCGGCGGCTGTCAGCCTGTGAGGAGCGCCGGCGGTGGCGGACCCGATGTCGGTTGCATCATGCCGAGCCGTGGGATACATGCGCGCTAGCCTGCCTGATTCTTTAAGTGTTCTTATTGCTGCGAAGGGAGGGAGGGAGGGCGTTTGGCGATGGGATGGCACGGTTTGATGAGGGAAGCAACTATGCATAGCAAGGCGCTGGGCCACTGGCGATGTATCCTTGGCTGTGTATTACAGCATAAATTGGAGCAAGGATTGCGTTCGGGACTCCAGATGAACTTCCAGACTGTCATTGCGAACAGTCAGCCAGGCAACGGAGCCTTTGAATCTGGGATCGCTATGTCGACTACCGGGCTGGGAGAAGAATTGAGGTCTACGACTATGACAGTAAATGTAGACAACTCGTGTTATTGGGGCGAAGCCTATGGGAACGGGAACCCTAAGGTCGGTACTCCTAGGCGACATATAACCCTTTACAAGCCGCAGGCTGTAGCAACCTCGATGTAGTATTGTGTGCATTCTGTTATGTCTTCCGCTTCCGACCAGCGAGTATCCAGGTGGGTCGAATAACTCACGGTATATCTACAGGAAAGCGCCAGTCGTCAGTCCGTACATGATCCCCTGCAGCTGTCTTATTTCTCGATCGCAACGTTTTCCCAACTTCGCCAGTACCGCTTCCCTGAACTCCACATCCCACTCGTCCACACACTGGCGAGACAGACTGGCCTGCTCAAAGCCGACGGGGTATATTCCGCTCATCGCCCAGTCGATGAGCCACAGCTTGTCGGTGGCCTCGTCGAGGACAATGTTCCGCGGTGCGATGTCCTGGTGTGTGAGTACGAGATCCTCGAACTGGAACCTTGGTATGTCTTCGAAAGCCTGCCGTAACCGATGGCATACGTCTAGCTTGTGGTTGTACCAGTCCTCCATCTCCTCGAGGTTTGCGAAGGGGCCAGCGCCGTAATCCGTGAACCACGGTCCGTCCCATGGTGAATCACCCGTACCTCCGACAGGACCTGGCTGTATTTTGTTGAAGGGCTTTGACTGCATGTCGTCTATCCACTTCGCCACTTGTGTGACCACTTCATCCCGCCTTTATTCGTTGAGTTCAGGCCACGCATCGTCCAATACACGACCCGGAACGAAGTCCATGACCATATACCAACCTTACATGTCAAATTCAAGGTGGTTTTCAAGGGGGCCACGGAACATTCGATGCACAGTAGGAACAGGAAAGCCCTGGCTTGCAGCGAACTTCTGGTTTTCGGCTTCCCACTGCGTCAGGCAGGCTCCCCCCTTGAGTACGAGGTGTTCCGAGATCCGAACTACCTTGCTGACGTTGATGTTGTATATGATAGGCGCCGTTTGGAAGAGGCGCATGAGATGGTCGTCAGTCACGCTGGCTAGGTCTGCGGAACCCGAAGCACCCAGTGGGTATGGCTGCTCCCCCATCGAGTCCTCAACTGCGCTCGAAGTTAACAGCTACATCAACAGTGACACGCAATACCTCAGCAACCATAGACCTCTGGGGGGGGGGGACTATATTGCTGTGACAGTATATTGGGGTGTGATGTGACCCAATAGCTCGACTGTTCACTTGGGGACCTCAACGACTCGTTTGGTAGGGGGAAGAAGCACTAACTTACGTCTATCCGACATGGCCAACGATTAACGAAATGGTAGTTCCAGCTTGTTCCGAAATGCAAGTGGCTTGCTTATATGACCAACTCGAGAGTTTGCTGTGGATAAAGTCGTTAAGATGTATACTTCGCGCGTATTGGTGATGGGTCGAGCCGCACGGCATCGAGACGAATCGAAGTATGTATGTGTATGCGCCGGAGGGTCCCTTCCTTAAGGCCACCGAGGACACCTTCGTGGATTCCGACTTGATGGTCCGGCGCTTAATGGGGTGGATAGCAAAACCCACTGAAAAGCCTCACGTCGCCAAGCTCCAATGGACCCTAGCATAATAGGGGGGCCAACATCACCAAGTTAAGTGGGGCGCAATTGCAGCTGGTCGCCAGCCGTTGGCCGACCGAAAAAGGGGTTGATTAGGTATACAGCGTAGATACTTCATAGCTAACTAAAAAGAGAACAATGTCGCCCTCACATTAAGCATCGTGGTATGTATCAGATTGAATCGTATCATGAAAGATGCAATAGAGTAATTATCTCGTGCTGTCTCCATGAAGACCATACCGGATGACTGTAAATCCACCGCCCCTGAGGCCTCTTTGAGGTGTATATCATACCGCCCAAGCCTCGCATCTTCCAGTATTACCGAATTCAATCTGGTGACATGGGCGAGTCTCCGCGTTTGGGTATATGCCCCCCATCTCTCGTGTCTGCTTCTCCCCAACCCCAGGTACCAATTCTAGCTTCCTCTGTACGTCGTGTAGCTATAAGGCGCCAACAGCAGCGGTACGTGGTAATGCTGTCCCTTCTGCACCGTGAACGTGACCAGAACCTCGGGGAAGAAGGTGTTCTCGACGCCAAAGTAGCTCCCCGTGTCGAACCGCAGTGTCCACGTGGACTTGTCCTCGACCTCGCTCAGCACGTCCTCGAGGGAATATGTCGGGACGTCGCCGCCGGAGTGGGCGCTGGAGTAGGGCAGCCAGGCCTTGATGCGGCCGTCGTCGTCGGTCTGGGACTCGAAGGTCTTGAGGGGGGCGTGGCCGCCCTCGAGCTTGACGCGCACGGCCTTGGCGGGCTTGCCGACCGAGGTGTCGAGGATGTGGCACGTAATGGGGTCTTTGTCGTCTGCCATGGTGGCGGTTGTGTGTGAATTTGCGTGGTTCGCTCGCGGTAGTCGGAGACCCCGTGGTAGTATGAAGCGAAAACCACAGATACGGACGTCTCAAAGGGTAGATGAGCCTGGCAGCAGGTGAGTTAAGTAGGCGTTGCTGGAGCTCGGGGAACGCGATTTGAACGTCTTCAAGCTGTGAGTGTACATCGACGAGCTCAGTAGGACATAAGACGAGTGAGGCGAAGCTCTTGGTGGGGCGGTGGATGCAGCTGTCGGCAACCGTGTAGGATGATCGTCTTCCACTGCGAGTCGTATCAGGCGAGTACGAGGTAGGCAGGTTGCTCAAGCACCAAGGGGTGTGACAAGTGGAAGGCTGCACATGGATACCTATTCTCGGGGGCGGCCGGCCGGCTTCGGTGCTTGCCCCAGGTGGAGCCCCGCCCCCACCAGCACCGGGTCAGCGCCTGGCTCCACTGGGGCTCCAGCCAGTGGAGAGGCAGAGGGGCAGCTCGGTACCTCATGTTGATACCGTGACACCAGTGCCACCGTATGATGGAGAGAGAGGCAATGTTTTTATTTAGCAACAGACCTCGCAATGATCATCTCCCTTCGACTGCGTGCGTGGCTGATCAATGATCAGTATCAAGAGTACCGAGAGCTGCCACAATCCCTCAGGACCCTCATACGCCTCAGTCGGTGTTGATCGGTCGGTTAGGTCGGTCTCACCGGGACAGTGGACTTCGGGGCCATTTGGGGCTGAAGATGGGCGACGTTGTACTATTCGGGAGCACAGCACCTGAAGATGTGACATGACATCTAATAATAGCCTCACGCAAACGGCAGCCTGCGTAGCACATGTACGTAATTCGATGGTTCGTCCTTCCCACAGAAGATTGTGTCATTCATGGCGTACCTTAACATGTACAGTTGCTCAACATTACCTAATGCTCAAGTGTGATCATTACCCCTATGTCAGAGTTGCCAGCTCGGGCACCGAAGGTATATGTAAGTTAGTAGGCAGCCACTTTCATGTCCATCACGCTCATTGATAGCATTGGACCTCACTGCCCAGCTACTCAAACTGACGAGACAGCACCACTACCAAGAGTAACTACCGGTAGGCACCCGCGAACACCAACACCATTCTCCTCATACGTTCAGTCTATGCAAGTCAGATGCGGGAGGTGCCGGGCCGCAATGCTAAGATCAATTTGGATGGATGGGTGTCCCAGCCCAACTGCCGGCTCTGATGGCTCGCTTTCGACTGCAAGATATCGGTTGGGCTTGGTCAGCCCATTGATTGTGATGTGACAAACAGTCTTTTCCCCATAGCCCCCCTTATCAAGCTGGCTGACATGCAATACTACCCTAAAACGCATCAACGCTTCTTGCCACTCGCAGTATTGAACATGGTTGCTTCGATGTCTTTCCAATGTTGTGGCCAGTGTACTCTAACTAGCTAACAAAAACCAGCATTGCCGCTTCGGAACCGTCCTGCAAGGCCAGTGTGGTCCGTGACTGGCTGACTATGGCTTGGGGGCCATAGTGGTATAAGGCTCGCAGTGAATGTCGGTGAAGCTGATATTGACAGCCAGAACAGCCGAGTTTGGCCCCCATCTAGCATGCCCCAGCCATTGGATGTTGAAAGAGAATTGAGGAATTCAGACCTGTTGGACGGCAGGTTCTGCCAGAACTGAGAGCCAAGCTCTCGAAGCAGAGAGACAATGGACTCGTCGTGCCCATGGGAAGATAAGCAATCTACAAATGAACGGTCTAGAACTTCCATGGTATCTTTGGACTACGGTAGGCCGCACCGGGTGTTTCACTGGAAGACGGCAAGAATCACTGCTTTACATGCTTCAGCTCGCGCCCTGGTGGTCATGATGAGTATATCTACAGAGCAGAAATCACCAGCTGCATCTCATGAGACTCGGATGGCGACCAAGAAAGTCGACTAACTAATCACAATGTGTCTTTTGGTCTCTGTCGAGATACCACAATGGACCTCGCAGTACAAGGCCCTTACGTCCAACAAAGACAAGCTCAAATAACAACAAAAGAGATAGCATAATGCATTGTAAGAACCTAAGGCTTCGATGTCAAAGACATTGTTTTAATGAATACCGGTTCAATAAACAAGGAAGGCCGTAAAAGGAATCTGCCAAGGTGATACACATACATAGTGAACGAAACACCGCCATCGATCGAGGGCACCTGAAGGTGTTTCATTTCTCACTAGCATTCCGTTTCAAATCAAGTCTGTTGCGCCTTCGCAAAGCCGCGAGTCAAGTCTGCTCTATTTACACTGGTTGTAATATTAGCATAGACCCGAGACTCGCGAATACGTATCGTCTTGAGAGACGACGTAACGCGCAACCGATGTCTGAATCTCTGCTTTTCCCCTCTTCTACTGCCTCCTCTTCTTCCTCATCTTCTTCCTTTGTCTCTTCTCCAGTCTCTTCTCCGTCTGACCTTTCTTCGTCCTTCTTTTCTACACGGGAGGGCGACGCCAAGCCCAACAAAGATGTAACGCAGACAGGTCTGGAAATTGCAGGCCATAGCGTCGCAGAGCTTGTAGGTTTTATTCTGCATGGCTCAACAGCCAGAGTCCAAGGTATGGAGGGTATCATCAAGCACATGTCGGATTGTGCTCCAGATAGCCCAGGCAAGAGCGACCTCTGGACGTTTCTCATTTGCGTCGACCAAGCCTTTTTTTCTGAGCGTCTTTTGGAAGCGCACGGCGCGACGGTAGACCTCAACGTGGAGATGTACAGTCATGAGAAGAACCACGGCGTGACGCAGTTGGTGTCGAAGGGCGATGATCGGAGCCTGCCCCGTCTTGTCATCAGCATGTTCGGGTCCCTCCAGCGCGACATGAGCAAGAATGTAACCCTCCCTGCTCTCTACTGTCTGAAGCATCTCATCCACGAGATGGTCCACGCCTTCATCCAGCTCTACCACGACGGCCGCGCGGGAGACGACGTGCACATCAATGATGCCAACGACCCGGAAGGCCCGCGGGCAGGGCACGGGCTGGCGTTCTGGGCGATATACAACCACATCATCGGTGTTTGCGAGTCGTATGATCCGGTACTTGCGGGACTAGGCAGCGCAACAGAGTTGCCCTATATGTCCGTCAGGGATATGCACACGCGCAGGGTTCGTAACGATATCAAGGCCCTCAAGAAACGAGTAGACAAGCTTGAAAGGAGTCTGGAGTATACCGCTGACGTAGCTGAAAGCGAGCTGGAGGATAGTGACACTGAGCCAGAGTGGGATGGATCAGCGCTCCGTCGGAAGCGGGCTGTCCGTCTCCAGGCCGAACAGGAGCAGGACGAAAGGATTCGTCGGGTTCGGGCTGATTTTGAAGAGGGCCGGCAGAGGCAGGACGAGAAGCTCCGCCAGGCGCTGGCGGCTCTCAAAAGGGCCCAGGAGGAGCGCGACGAAGTGATGCTCTGGACGCAAACCACCCTTCGACGAATGCGAATTGTGCATGAGAATCACAATCTCCAGCTCCGTCAGCTCTATGGGGATCTTGAGGAGGAGCGGGCGAGCCGGGGGATAGGAGACGCGATGCTTCAAGGATCTCTGACCGCCATTCAGGAGGACCTTTCAGCGCGCCGAGCGCCTCCACGGCGGCAGCGGCAAGAGACGTCCTCCTCCTCACCTTGGCTTAAGCTTTTGGTCTGTGTCGGGGTAGCCCTTGTAGTTTTATGGTGATCATGACTGAATGGGAAAGTGCGGTTTCGGGTTGGATACCTCTGGAGCATGCCCGTCGGCCGCTTGGATCTTGTCCACATTTGGTATCGGAGGAGGTAAGTATCTAGAATTGTTTCTCTTCGTTTTCTGACTGTTGCATGGTAGGTAAGAAAGGTATCTTTAGATGGATTTCTTGCTTTATAACTATGCAGCAAAGCATGCAATATTCGGAATTTCCAACTTACCTGAGAATGATATCACTGTGAACGCCGACATAAGGTACCTAGTCAGTCAGACACTGTTGTTGCCGCCCCAGTGATAGCCCCAAATCTCCAGGTGGGCATGGCTGGGGTCATCTTCATCCTCTCAACCCAGCAGGTTGAGAGATGGTATCGACCTTGGAATCAATTCAGGCTCTGCCGCAACCTTGAGCAAAGTAACGGTTTTTTTCTTGGTGGGTGATGGCCGAACTCTGTTAGTCTTTTTTCCCCTTAACCGCAACGCCAATATGGCTTTAGCGAAACCTTTGTCCTTCCTCCATAGTTTACGAGAGCCCTATATAAATAAACGTGTATCCTCGCACGGAAATCTCGCGATGATGGCTGGCATAGGCTGGGTAGTTCAAGTTACCCCTGAACCCCTGATAAAAAACTAGGTACCGATTACGTAGGTACCCCGTACCCCAGGGAAGTCAGTGCACAGACCACCTTCAATGTAGATTCCAGGTTGGAGGCAACCCCACCATCAATGACGCCGCGGGGCACGAAGCTCGACCTCTCCTTGCCTGCTTGCCTGCTCTATTCCTCAATTTCACCCTAATAATCAGATCTGCCTCCCTACTTAGATAACCTGCTTCTACTCGATTTCAACTGACACCGTTCTCCCGTTCTCCACTGCTGCCCATCATGTCCGCAGCAGTAATTTCCACCGACGACGAGTTCGAACCGAGCCTACAGTCGATCCTTGACCAGAAGACGCTGCGATGGATCTTTGTCGGCGGTAAAGGTGGTGTAGGCAAGACGACAACCTCGTGCTCGCTCGCCATCCAGCTCGCCAAAGTGCGCCGGTCTGTCCTGCTCATCTCGACCGATCCTGCACACAACCTCTCGGATGCCTTCTCGCAAAAGTTTGGCAAGGAGGCGCGCCTGGTCGAGGGTTTCTCGAACCTGAGCGCCATGGAGATTGACCCCAACGGGAGTATCCAAGACCTCCTGGCAAATGGCGACGAATCCGACAACAATCCGATGGGCGGTATGGGTGGCATGATGCAAGATCTGGCATTCGCTGTGAGTATCCACGATGTGAAGAAGGCTTGCGCTTACACTCACGATGTACAGATACCCGGCATCGACGAAGCCATGTCGTTCGCCGAAGTCCTGAAGCAAGTCAAGTCGCTATCCTACGAGACCATTATTTTCGACACGGCACCCACGGGTCACACACTGCGCTTCCTTCAATTCCCCTCCACTCTCGAGAAGGCTCTGGCCAAGGTCTCCCAACTCTCCAGCCAATATGGACCCCTACTGAACGGCTTCCTCGGCTCGCAAGGACAGCTTCCCAACGGACAGAATCTGAACGAGATGATGGAGAAGCTGGAAGGCCTTCGCGAAACGATCTCTGAAGTCAACACGCAGTTCAAGGACGAGAACCTGACTACCTTCGTCTGCGTATGCATAGCCGAGTTTCTCAGCCTGTACGAGACGGAACGAATGATCCAGGAGCTCGGCAGCTACGGCATCGACACCCACTGCATCGTGGTGAACCAGCTCCTATTCCCAAAGGCAGGGAGCGAGTGTGACCAATGCAATGCGAGGAGGAAGATGCAGAAGAAGTACCTGGATCAGATTGAGGAGCTCTACGACGAGTTCAACGTTGTCAGGATGCCGCTCCTGGTGGAGGAGGTCCGCGGCAAGGAGAGACTCGAGAAGTTCAGCGACATGTTGATCCACCCCTATGTACCTCCGGAGTAGGGTTTGGCAGCGCTGTAGGGATTCAGGGCAAGGCAGCATTGGCGTTTTGTTCTTTGCTAAGACATCATGATGGATGGGTAGTCTTCAAGTATGTGACGAACACTTTCAAGAAACTTGGTTCACGAGCATTGAGCGGCTTTCAAAGCCAACTGGACTTGTATGTGCCATTCTATATCGGCCGGTCGCGATGGTCGCATGCTTTGGTTATGGATGGTGTCTTGTTTGCATGGCGTTTGAGATTATGGCTTACAAAGATTGATTCTCGAGATAACAGCACTCTCCACTCGACCCGATGTCACCTCATAACCGATCTAGGATTCCGAACGTCGGAGCTGCGACGTCGAAGGCATTACTGACTACCAAACACCATGGTAGAACCGGGGTCTTATTGGCCTAGGCGTTCTATCTCATTGGCATTTGATGTTGGCGATGGGGCCTATGGAGTACTCCGCGGCGCACCTAAATAGGCAATTGGACTCTTTTTGGATGATGACTAACAACTGCCAGGATTGGAAGGGGACCCGAGGCCCAACGGAGTGAATATCTAACCGCGCAGCGCTGAATTTCTAAGCGGTATTCTTCCCATCAGGGGTCCCTGGTGGGTTTGCAGCTGGACGAAAGGTTTGTCAGCAAGGGGTTCGAGACATGAACAGCAACCTCTCTTCATTCTTTATGATCCTTACACAGCGCTCATCCATCTCAACCTAGACACAGAAGCACAGACTTCTATCTCACCCAAACTCACTCCCGAGGCCCTCCAACATGCAGCCTATCAAGATCTACAACGCAGAGCCCGGCTCGGGGCCGAACCCCTGGAAGACCGTCCTCGTGGTGGAGGAGCTCGGCATCCCGTACGAGACGGTCTGGGTCAGCTACGGCGACCTCAAGTCGGAGCCGTACGTCTCGCTCAACCCCAACGGCCGGGTGCCGGCCATGGTCGACCCCAACACGGACGTCACGCTGTTCGAGTCGGGCGCCATCATCAGCTACCTCGTCGACACGTACGACAAGGACTTCACGCTCACGTACGGGCCCGACCGCCTCGCCGACAGGTGGCTCGTGCAGAGCTGGCTGCATTTCCAGATGAGCGGGCAGGGCCCCATGTTCGGCCAAAAGATGTGGTTGTGCGTAGCATCATCTCGCGTTCTTCCCATTCATACATACAGACCCCCTTCAAATTGCCTCGATAGTCTTCTCTTCCTATAGACGGCGCTTCGCTGTTGATAACCCCTGAGCGAACGCCCGGGCAGTCGCCCACGTATCCTGCCTGCAAGGATAATTGCTAACAACCAAATACTCATAGTACGCACTTCCACATCGAAGAGAACGTCAAATCAGCCCTCGGCCGCTACGCCACCGAGGCCAAGCGCATCGTCGGCGTCATCGACGCCAGCCTGCGCAAGCAGCGGCAGAAGCAGCAACTACCAGCCAGCGGGCCCGTCTGGCTCGTCGGCGAGCACTGCACGCTCGCCGACCTGGCCTTCTTCACCTGGGACCTGACGCTCTTCGCCGGCGCCCTGCTCCCCGAGAACCCCATCGACGTCGAGAAGGACTTCCCCGAGTTCGCCGCGTGGCACGGCAATGTGGCGAGGCGCCCGGCCGCCGAGAAGGTTGTCGCGATGCGGCAGGAGGCCCTGAGTACCAAGAGGAACACGGCGGCGACTGTGATTGAGGCGCAGGCTGACGGCAGGAAGTTGTCTTGAGACGGACGAACGACCTCGGACGGGGCGCGTTGTTGTTGTTGTATACTTTGGTTTCGTCAGAGTGTAGTCCAGATACGTAGTTAGTGTGTTTCATAATACTTAGAGAACGGTTCAACAAATTGGTTCAACAAATTGGTTCACAACTTGTCGCTCTGTGTTTAGAACCAAGACTCTAGAAACCCAAAAAAGAGAAGGACAAAAAAAACAGAATGTCAGCCGCTAGGGGAATCAAACCGCTGTGCCTAAGAATACCTTTTGAGAATACTTTGTAAGAATATTTCGCTAGGCCGTACCAGTGCGGCTACTAGACAAACCTTTTAAACTCGTATATATATCATGTACCGTTGTAAGTGTAGAAAGGAACGAGTGGACAGGTGCAAAAAGTGCGCAAGGTGGCTTAACTAGTAAACTCTACGAAAAGAGAAAGGGGAAAGAGAGTACCTTGTTAGGTGGGGAGAGCCAAGAATAAAAGAAGAATATTTCACTCGCTAGAGGAATCAAATCGCTGTTCTAGAATAACAGTTGGACCCGTCTATATTGGTCTTATTCGTGTATATAGGGACGCTCGGCTAGATGGACTTCCAGAGCTCGTTTCTTCCTTAGAGCTTCCAACACACTTGGTAGTTCACACCGTTCATACTGCAGAGGAGGAGATCAAGACTAAGAGTAGAAACAGTGGCATCCAACGCTGGTCAAGACATATCTACGAGGCACATATGAAGAATCACAACGACCAGATCAACGGTATGTACGCATCAGGAGACTGCTCGGAAGATCATGATGACGAGACGAAGTGAAGCGCTCTGACACTGTAGACATACAGTTGAGGATCAGCTTGGGATTTACTCCAGCCGGCGACCACGTTCCAAGCATGCTTGATCTTCGTAAAGTCTGTTCATTCACTCTTTCGCCACTCGTCTTTTTGTACAAGCCACTGCAACCTAACTAGCAAGACGGGCAGCTGGCTAATCTATAGCTTTCATGTACCGTAATTGTAATAGCCACGCTTCCATGTATTTTCCGGAACTCCATATGACCACACACGCACCCGGGCCACACCTTCCATCGTACCCATCATCACTCATCACATCACTCCCCACCGATCAACCCGCTCGCTCACTGCAAGCCCGACACGCTCCAGATCTTGATCGCAGCATCCCCACCGGTACTAGCAACCTTCATACCGCCATCGACCCAGGCCACGCCGTTGACGCCGTCCTTGTGCGCGTTCAGCGCCTTGACTCTGCTGCCGGGCTTCGCGAGGCTCCAGACGAAGACGTTGGTGTCCAGCGCGCCGCTGACGGCGTGCGTGCCGGCGTCGTTCCAGGCGATGCTCGTAACCCGCCCCGTGTGCGCCGACCACCTGTCCGTGGCCACCTCCAGCCCGTCCGTCTTGTATGCGTGGATCTTGCCGGCCTGGTTGCCCGCCGCGAGGAGCGAGCCGTCGTTCGAGAAGGCGAGGGCAGTGATCTGGGCCGTCGAGTTCTTGGCCTCGCTGGACTGCGTCAGCTTGTTGCTCGAGTCGACCTTGTACAGCCGGACGGCATTGCTGCTCAAGCCAACTGCGACCACCGACCCATGCGCTGCTACGGCTGTCGGCTGCGAGTCAGAAATTTCCATCTTGCCAGCGAGCTGGTTCTTGACGTATATCTCCACACCGGAGTTCGTTGCAACATATACCCGGCCATCGGCGGAGGCAACACCCTTGGGCTGGGCGGAGAGTTTTAGAGAATCGCCCGCGAACGTCTTGGCAGATTCGTCCACTATCCGCAACGTGTCGTCCCAGCCAACACTGTATGCCCTGCCCGAACTCGACGCGAAGTCGGTGACTTGGTTCGTGTGGGTTTGTCCGTCGACAACCGTACCCAGTCCCGAGGAGACGTCCCAGCTGCAGACTCTGCCGTCAAAGCTTCCCGTCAATAATGTCTGACCTTTGCCACCAGAGCCTGCAGCCATAGCTGTGATGCTCTTGTCGTGTCCCTGGACGACCTTGATTGGCTCCGAGCTTCCCTCTGTCAAATAGTTGAGATCCCCGCTGAGACTCAGACTGATGATCAGACCATCGCTACGTCCGTGAGGCCATACGACGCCCACTTGTTGATCCTGTATACTGACACCACCATCTCCACCAAACCTCCAGGTATGGGTAGCTGTGCCCGCTTCCACGTCCCACATCTTAACAGTCTGATCCGCACTCGCAGTGACGAATCTCTTCGAGTCCTTCGCCCAGCTTACGGCAAATATGCTGCCAGTATGCTCACCCTCGCCGATCGTCTTGGTGGGCTCACCAGTCTTCCCGTCGTATAGTTGAATCCGCTTGTCCGCTCCGACGGTAACCAGTGTGTTGCCGTCTGGAGAGAATGCCGTTCCCAACACGAATCCTTTGTGGATACCCGCCGACTTGGAGTTGAACTTGAACGGAGCGCCATGGAGGAAGCACATGGCCATATCGTCGCTCACGGTGGCAGCTCGGAACGGTCTCATGGGTCTCATGGCGACAGAATTGATGACCTTCGAATGACCAGACACCTCTCCCACGCTGTTCCCGCTATCAGCGGTGATGCAGTGGCCGAAGCGCTCACGCCCATCGCCCACCGCAATGATGCGTTGCGAGTCGCCATCCCACGCTATGTCGTTTATTCGTCCGGAGATGATGTGGTACTCGCCTGACATGAAACCCTGTGTCAGCCTTGTGTATCGAATGACTTGACGCCTAGTGTCCGGTACCCTTTGTGTTGACAGCTTCTAGAGAGTCCCATACACGGACCGAACCAGAGACATCTCCACTGGCAATATAGAATCCGCTTGGCGAGAATCGGGCAACGCTCGTCTGGGCGGTGTGGCCTGTGTACTGTTTGCTATTGGAAGGCTCGTCGATCGATCGCACAAAGAGGGATTTTCCAGACTTGAATCGTTAGTCTCGTACATGGCTGGGTCCGGATGCCGCCATAGACACTTACAGCATAAGCTATCCTTTCGCCTTTCGCGTCGGTGGACAGCTGGGTAGGCTGTCCTCGAGTTGTAGCTGGCGAGGCTGCAAAAATCTTCTCGATTGACACCGACATGGTCGTGGATTGGATACGAGGCTGATGGCTTGGTAAGGGTTGGATGGAGACGTTGGTGGCCTCTCTGCGTGAAGTGATAGGAAGCTGTCGACGTCAGGGGCTATGAAGCATTATGGTTGTTGATGGAGGGGCACGAGGGGCACATTGAAACGGGCCTGGTCAGTGTTGCGGGGCAGCGAGACAAGCTGGCGCCAGGTGTGGCTGAAACGCTACGCGTAAAGGGGAAAGGGTGCTTCATGCAGGCCAGCTTCGTATCGGACAACCTCACCGCAGACACCGTCACGTCACAGGCCAACTTACCCGCCATTGCATCGGTATCACTCAAAATGACTGCTCTATCAGGGAGCGAGAACACACGATTTCATGAAAACCCCAAGTTTATTCTGGGACTATGTTCGCCTACTCTACGAATCTTTTCTGTGAAATGCATCGCCTGCATTAGGTATAGGTGCGCAGCCGTCGTCATGCGAGCTGAACCTCCACATCCCAAGTATCAGCAATCATCCTCCAGGCAAATGAAAGGGGATCTGTCAGTTGATCCTGATATCAGAAGAAGTATGCAACGTGGTCTTGATTGGACTGCGAAATGCCGTCACGCCAAGTGCCGTTGTCGTGCGTGGACAATTACCACGCAACCTCACCACCACCAGACCAGCCTGCGTCGCCAGCGGGAGCACTGTTGGCCGCAGCTTCAGCCATCCAGTCGTCATTGACCGGTCCAGCATCAAAGCCAGCCTCAGCTCCGCCGCCGCCAGCGCCGAAGTCGTCACCTCCACCACCCGTACCGAAACCGTCGTCGAGCGGGGCGGGCTCCTTCTTGCAACGAACCTTGGTGTGGCCCATCTCGTTGCAGTTGCTGCACTTGACGCGGCTGTCTGTTGCTCTGTATCAGTCAAGCTATCACCATGGACAGGCCTTATCAGCAAGACTTACAGTCTCGAGGCTTCGGGCAACCTCGGCTTTCGTGACCGAACGCGTCGCAGTTGCGGCATTGGACTTTCGACATGTCCTTGGGCTCAGTGCACTCTCGGGAAGTGTGACCCTCCTTGTCGCAGTTGCGGCACATGATCTTCTTTTCCTCGGTGCAGTCCTTGGAAGAATGGCCCTCCTGACCGCAATTGTAGCAGCCTCGAGAACCACCACCCTGGGGACAGTCGCTAGAGTAGTGACCCACTAAATGATCAAGTTAGCTGTTGTCATGCTGGTCCTGGAGATCGGGAAAGACTTGCTCTCGTTGCACTTGCGACACTCGACATCCGGGCCTGCCTGACGCGGCTCGGGGCCTACAAACTGGTCAGTATCGTGCTATGCCAAAGCAGAACACCAAGATACGTACACTCCTTGACCTGATGTCCACTCTTGCTGTTGCGCACAAAGTAGGTTAGCGACGGGTCAGAAGGGCGACAGTTCGATACAAACATACCCGCAGTTCTTGCAAGCAAACTTGTCAACTCTGGGAGTGGAACCTTGTTGTTGTTAGCACGTGTTTGGGTATAAGTAGGAGGTACTGGTCTCACAGTCGCGGACACGGTGGCCAGTCTCGTTGCAGTTGTAGCAGGTGATCATCACCTGCTCCTTCTCCATCTTGGGCTCGGTGCAGTTCTTGGAGATATGGCCCAAGCCATCACAGTTGGTGCACTTGGAGAGGCCCGAGTTGACCACCTCGCCAGCATCTGCGAGACGCTCGATGTTGTCTTCCGGGGTCGGCCAACCCTCGGCCTCACGAGGGCGTGCTGGCTTCGGGTCGAAGCGGTAGGTAACCGAGTACTTCTTGCCGAGATTTCCCTGGAAGTCCATGTTCGTCAAAGTCGAAATCATGGAAGGCTTCTCAAGCGCGATCAGGTAGAGATCGATCTCCTGGTTTCGGAAAGCCGCCTCGAGTTCAGGGTATGTCGTCTGCGGGCAGGCCTTGATGTACTGCTGCACAGCCTCCTTGACATCGTCCATGTCATGCTCCTTCGTGGCCTCGCAGATCTTCTCCCAAGCGACGTCAGCATCAACGGTTTCGACGTCGGATCGGTCCAGCTTCCGAGCACTCTCGCACTCAGCGGCTGAGTGACCTGATCATTGCACATTAGCTGACTTGCATGAGTACTTGAGAATTTCAAACGCTTCTTACCCTCCTCCTGGCAGTTGTTGCACATCATGGGCGGCTTGTCAGGACAGTCCGCGGCCCGGTGGCCTTCCTTTGCGCAAATACGGCATTCTCCCGTGAACTCCTGGGGAGGAGCAGTAGGGCAATCACGGATCATGTGGCCTTCCTCGTTGCAGTGGTTGCACTTCATAACTCGGGGGTTGGTACAGTCGGCCTTGGAGTGTCTTCGCAGATAGTGTTAGATGGGATCTATGGCGATATGCAGTGGTGCGACTTACCCGTCCTGGCCACAGTTGAAGCAAGCGCCGAAGCCGCCGCCACCGCCGCCGCCGCCTCCACCTTGAGCGCCATCGGCAGGAGTATCGAATTCGTCTTGCACGTGGAAACCGGAAATGCCGCCGTTGAGATGCGAGGTGTCATCGCCAGCACCGAAATCTCCGCCATGGTCACCGGTGTCGCCACCATCGTTCCAGGCGGCAGGTTTAGTCGAGCCTCCCCAGCCAGACATCGTGATCGAGAGTGAGGATGCTGTATATTTTGTTAGTATGATGGATTGTTGTGCTAAGTAGGAATCAGTGGCGCAGTGGGACTTGTTTGTGTTGATGGAGAAAGTAAGATCGCACAGTTTGGTAGGTCAACCAGGTGTGTGTGGAACAGTTCGTCCTGGGTTGGGGGGCCAGAGACGTAGGAGGGATTGTTTAAGATTGAAAGGGAAGGTCGGACTTTGGGGGTGCAAGCAAGGACATGGAAACGAGGCGGAATGGCTGGCGAATCCATGCAGGTGATGCAGGAGTTCAGGAGGCTGGATGCGTGCAGAGATGCAGGTGTATAGGCATGGAAGGGTTGCATGATAGGATCAGGCAGGCAGTCTCACCGGATTGTTGGGTGTCTTGAAAGGCAGGTAGCTGACCCGCAGTGTCAGAAGAAATTGTGATGGAGAGAGGGGGGGTGGTGATTGAGAAGATGCTTATTGATGAAGTGAGGGTCGCAAGCAGAGGAATACCCGTGGTGGTGCGTGCTTGTATGTGGGTTGGATGCGTGGTGGGTGGTAGGAGGTAGGAGGTAAGAGATCAAGGCCGCAGATTCAGACGGATGCCTTGGGGTGCACAGGCCACTGGCGAGGGGGAGTGGAAGGAGCGCAAGGGAACAACCGCGTATACTTGGAAGGAGAGACACGCCGTTGATGGTGAAAATTGAAGAGGCGGCAGCAGGAGGAGGACGAGAGGCGGGAGGGCACAAGATGCCGACGGATCGATCAAGAGATGTTGAACTTACTGTTGGTAGATGGAATGAGGTTGCGAAAAGCAGTGCGTGATACTGAACGTATCAGGAAGAAAATGCAAAAGGCAAGATGCAGGTCTCCTTGGTTGCGTTTGTTGTTGACGGCTTCACGTCAGAAGATGTGAAGACCTAGGTGGATGTGGGTGGCTGGGAGGAGAGAGAGTGGGATGCAGAAGAACTGGTGGGAGGAAACAAATTTGTAGCTGAGCGAAGCAGCTAAAATTGTTGGTGCCTCAGTGGTCTTCAGGGCATCCAGTTCAGTAGGTCGAAAGAGTGTTGGGAAGGTGCGTGTTGCTCCAGGCAGGTATCTTAACTGCGTTGGTTGCCCAGGTGAAGTTGCAGATGTGCACGTGGATTAGGGGGAGCCTTAGGTAATGCACCTGCGTGCTGCATGTAGGTTAGGCAACTTGCCTTAGGTACGAACGAACCACCTCTGCTTCTCTATGTACTGGATGTATAACCTACCTCTACGCTCAAAGCTGTGTATGTGCGCCGCGCCTCTTTGTTTCGTCTGCAGCCCGAGTACTGCTTTATGATTATGCCAGAAGCTGCAGGCACTTGAAACCGGGGGGACAGTATGCTAAGGTATAGCTGAATGCAAAAGAGAGGTCGTTGGCCTCATGCCACCACTTCCAGCCGAGGCACGCAGATTCTTCTTGTAGCTGAGGTACCTTGTTTAACATGATACACTGAGGATAATACCCAAGCCTGGGGACTTCCTGTTGGACTAAGGGGTGGCATGCGGCATCGAATTATGGTATCAGGGGTGGCATGTAGGTATGTCATTGGATTTTACAGCTGCTTCTATGCTCATTTTATCGACCGGACAATATGGTGGATTCTACTTGACCTTGCGGCATACGTACCGGCTGCGTGTACCTTAGAGTGTTCGTCTATGATGTTGCTGTTGTCTGCATGCAACCTTCGAAGACTGCTTAGCCTCGAGGGCTTGCTGTGCAAACGAAACACCCCGAGAGTTCGCTTCAATATCGCTCTTTGAAAGAGGCCACCAGGTTCTACCATCTGAAGCAAGCCCAGCCAAAGATTATCTGATCCTCATACTCCGTGTCACGTATCTATCGACCGATCCCCCTATATGTGGAACCCACCGGCTCTCACATGAGTATGTAGGCAGCCGGACGTCCATGGATTCCATGACATAATGAACCACAAGAAAACACACAAGATCTAGGGCTCGCACGAGCTTCGTATTTCGGGACGTCTAAGGGTCGATGGTGGATGGACCCTGAAAAGTCATCTGATATCTCGCACGTATCTCACATGGTTGTGAGTCTCTCCGGACCACAGGTCATGGACCCTACTCCGACTGGACGGGTGCAAGCTCCAGAGAATCAGCAAGACTCGTTGGTCTTTTTACCACAATTCCATCCTTTAAATGTCGGAACTTGGGACCGGTAGTATTGGAGCAAGTATGGGAGAAAGGGGCCTGTTCGCACTCCTTCGGTTCCCAATAGGTCACCCCCCTATCTTGGATTGACTCATGGAGTTGCCAATCAAGAAGCACCTAGCGGAGAGTTGACAGGTTTACCGGAAGATAGGAGACATAGGGACGAGCAAATGTCCACAGATTGCTCATCTACATACATCCCACACCGGCAGTCGTGCCACGCACCAGCATGCCTGTCTATCGAAAGGCGACATGAGCATCCACACAGCCAGAACGGGTTGTAAGACGTGCCGCGGCTGAGCACCTGCAGCAAGGAATAAATATGCAGCCAGGGTAGTAAGGCTTACCCGGAGTCCTGGACCGCATTGCCTGCCAGAGAGATGGTGCTCGGCTGCCTTATCACCGAAACATCCTTGAATGATACCTACCTTCAAACGCGGGGGTGATTGTCGCGATTCCAGAACGAATAGACGACGTCAACCCCGCTGATCATGATGCGCGCACCCGGACGAGGGGATGGCATTGGATTCTCCTGCTGCTTCTAATTCCCCGGTGTCAAACAGCTTACAAATGACTTGAATTTGTGCAAGATAGATACCTACTCTGACTTGGTCAAGCGCTCTTCTATATAACCCTTCTACAGAACCCGCCGTAGACAGTCCATCCATCCACGCCCCAAACCTCACACGAACACGAACACAGCAGCACCGACCCCGAATCAATCAACATGACTGCTCCAGCAGACCTCCCGAAGATGACGTACCGTTTCCGTGAGTCGCATCCCCGAGGCCTGCCCCTCCTTTCCTTGCGGGCCACTTGGGTAATACCTAGATGCCTCAAGCTGGGGTTTTGCCGTGTCTCGTGGCTCGCGGAGCATGGTCAGACCAGGTCTATTCAGATGCAGTGATAGCTAACCCCAAAATCCTGCAGTGGGCCGATCCGGCCTTCAGGTCTCGGCCATCTCGCTCGGAGGCTGGCTAACATATGGAGGATACACCGAGAACGGTAGGCACCGTCAACGTCACTAAATTGCGCCAGTCAGTCAACACTAACTTGCTGGCTCAGAGAAGACATTCTCATGCATGAAGGCAGCGTATGACAGCGGCGTCAACTTCTTTGACTGTGCCGAAGGCTACGCTGGTGAGTAGACTCCCACCAATGCCAGTCGCCGTATGTGTCTGCCTTGGCCACGAAGCTGATGCGTTAAAATATAGGCGGAAAGTCAGAGGAGGTCATGGGCGAGGCGATCAGGAAGTATTCCTGGAAGCGCAACGACCTCGTCATCTCAACCAAGGTATTCATCTTCCCGGTCTCCTTTCCCGCCACCAACCACACACCGAGACTGACACTCCGACCAGCTCTACTGGGGCAACGCAAACGGCGACAACCCGGTGAACAACAACGGGCTCAGTCGCAAGCACATCATCGAAGGCATGTCCGCCTCCCTGAAGCGCCTCGGGCTCGACTACGTCGACCTGATCTACGCGCACCGCCCGGACCGCCACACGCCGATGGAGGAGACAGTGCGCGCCTTCAACCACCTGATCAACACGGGCCATGCGCTCTACTGGGGCACGTCGGAGTGGAACGCGGACGAGATCGCGACGGCGTGGCGTTTCGCCGACAAGCTGGGCCTCATCGGCCCCGTCATGGAGCAGCCGGCCTACAACCTGCTGTATGTACATTTTCGAATCTATTATTGCCCCTTCAGGCCATGTCTCAGGTGGCGAGTTTCCTCCTCTAGCCTGTGTGAAGAGCCCTTGCTCCTGAGACACGCATCCCGACTCTTTGTTTCTCGTGAAAAGGGGTGATTACTGACTCTAATTTGCTACAAGGCAGCGCGAGAAGGTCGAGAAGGAGTACGCGCACCTGTACCGCGAGGTCGGGCTGGGCCTGACCGTGTTCTCGCCGCTGCGCCAGGGCATTCTCTCGGGCAAGTACCGGGACGGCGTGCCGGCCGACTCGCGCTTCGCCCAGGAGCAGGACGCGTTCATCGCCGGCTACTGGAAGCGCACCGGCAAGTACGCGTGGGACGGCATCATCAAGCAGGTCAACCAGCTGCAGCCCATCGCCGACGACCTGGGCATCAAGATGAGCCAGCTGGCGCTCGCCTGGGTCCTGAAGAACCCCAACGTGAGCTCGGCCATCATCGGCGCGACTAGCCCCGAGCAGGTCTACGAGAACGTGGGCGCCGTCGGGGCGGTCGACAAGCTGACGCCCGAGATCATGGACAAGATTGACGAGATCCTGGGCAACAAGCCGCCGGCTATCGTTGCGAGATTTGATTGATCGCCAAGGAATTCAGATGAAAAGGAGAGTGCGGTCGATATATAACGAGCCTGTACAGGTCTAGATACATAGAAAGGGAAAGACCCCAAGAATAAACGATACATCTCTGGTAGCCTGTTTTATGTTCTATGAAAGGCATTGACGAGATGTTCAGTATGAACGCTTCGAAACTAGACATGCAGAGGAGGCAGGTCGAGACTACGTGGTACCATGTAACTTTTTCCTCTCTTTACAAACGAATTTTGTGACTAAAAACGTTGGGAGTAGCGGAGCTTCTCGTTCTTGAGATCTTATCTAACGCTTCCAATTATGTTCGAGATATCCAGTCATAAGCAGACTTTTCCGGGTTCCGTTAAGAGGCAATCAAGTACTCATCGAGCGCACCGCCAGGGTTAGGTACTTACAACGATAGGAATTAGTCACATCACAATACTGCAGGTAGTACTCGAGCAATGGACCGATCATTGAAACCAATGGATGTGCAATAAATTACTGGTAGACTTCGTAATGAGCGAACTAAACGCCCGCGAAATGTCTACGTATCATAGAAGTACGCATGAAACCCTAATCCTGACTCAGTGCTGACTTTCATGTGTTCGCCGCACCTCCGACCGTAATATCCCTTCATGTGTGGTGCGCCCACACTTACCTTACGCTGATCGTGGACCCTCCAAGGTCGACGGCCACTCCAGCATTTGCTTCAGTCGCGTGTAGTTGTGTTTCGTGTCTGACCAACTGCCATCTTTCTGCAGATCAAACCTGACGAACTTTGGAAAGACGCCACGGACGCAAACCCGCTGTAGGGTGTTGATCTTCGCGTACGTTATGTAAACTACTGCTGCATGTCGGCAGTCTTCAAGGTCGGGCCATCCACCGATCGCGGAACCCTGGTGGGAAACGACGAGGCGCTCCAAACCATTGAACGAGCCGAGCGCTTTTGCCAGTTCCTGGGCAAGTAATGAGCGGTTCATTTGTGGTCACGGTGCCGAAAGGGACGTAACTTACCTCGACCGCGCGCATTCGCGACTCTCTCGCTAAATGCCATCGACCGCTAAGCCTGAGTTCCTTGAGGCCTGGACAGATCCGTCGCACATATGCTACCTGGTGTTCACGCATTTCGGTCTCCCGATTGCCGAGATGGAGAGACTCAAGCTCGAACTTCGAGACATAGAAGCCGTAGCCATAAAGGCAATGCACGAAATCAGCATCGTAAAGACTTAACGTCTTCAGGGTGGTCGTTGCGCAAGATTTCAGGATGGCATCTGGGGGGGAGTCACCTCGTCATTGTAGGTGTCTTAGTCTCAGGCTCTCCTTGCGCATTAGTCTTGAACTCGTCCATCTGTTTGAGGTCGAGTCCGGTAAGATCAAGGCTCAATCCTTCCAAGTTAGGCAACTTTCGAAAGACGCGTACGATTGTGGCTGGCAGGTCTTCCTCCTTTGGAAAATGTTGGGCTCTGTATGCAGGATCACGGGTTTCCGCATCCGTGTCAACTGTCAACGACGGATAGCTAAGAGTCATCAGGTCAGTATGTGCAGCATCGAGCAATGTACCGTTCATTGGGTATACCTTGCTTCTCGTTGAATCCAGTTAACCCCCGCCTGAATGAGCTGGCCGGGAATGAGCCGAACATCGGGTGCCTGGAGGAACCCCTTGAAGTCTGCCATCAAGTGTCTTTAGGATCCACAAAATTCCAGACGCTTCAACGGAAGGCTGTTTCGGTCATCGCGGGCGGGCAAGTGCTCGCCTTTGAGAATGGCGTACCGGGCCGCCTTACAGTAGAAGCCAGCTTGAGTTGAAGCTTCGGTGGCAGGTGCGCAATTGCCTCGAGGAAGACCTCGTTAGGGTAAAACGGGATGATTCTCGTGGTGCCCGCGATGTTGATGGGATGTGTTGCAGATGGTCAAGATACGGGCTGCAAGGAATGTCGAGTGGCGAGAGGAGTAATACCAAGAGCGTCGACAAGAGTACCAAGATTGGGAGGAACTGCGGCACCGACAATGTCACCACTAATGAGTCTATTGAGGAAAGTTAAAGGTTGGGGTGGCTCTCTGTGCTCGTAAGAGTTAGTGGCATGCCTGGGTTGTTTGCGGTCGAAGGCTCGCAGCAAAGGACACAAGAAACGAAACGAGGGTTCTTGCCTTGCCATGCGAGTATTGCTTGTATGAGCATAGTGCGGGGTGCTCCTGCAGTTATGAACATTCGTAGGATGTTCCTGCCGTTATAAACTAACACTGACCATCTGAACCTGTACGACAGAGCGATCAGAAGACTGCCACAGGTACGTAGGTAGGTAGGTATGTTACCGTGAAGTGAAAAGACAGGTAGACATGGAGGGACGGATTTGGATGAACGTACCCGGAAGAACGGATCTAAACGTATGAAGTTGAGAAGCCTACTTTGATTTCTCGTCAGAGCTTAAAGATTCAGTACTTACTGTTGTGATCATGGAAAGTGCAATGCAGGTCCATTCCAGGATGAAGCTCGTAATGGGATCGAGAAGCCGAGAAAGAGGTAGTAAGGATCGAGAGAGCAATCTGGCTTCCGTATTAACGTCAGCCAGCCTCTGCCTCTCCATCTCGCAAACAACTTCACCATACCTCTATCACCTCTCATAGTGGAACCCCCTCGAGCCATCATGGCCTTCGCGGCTATCCGTTGGCAGCCGGAGTCATGGCCTCGCCTATAACGTCCGATGTCAATGTTTGGGACCCGCCCGTTAACACCCTGGTATCCCTGGTTTGGACGACGTGCCGAAGCGCCAACCTCTCGCGACTCGCCAGTCATTCCCCAGGCTGAAGGGACGGAAAGCCAGACCCGCCTGTCAACGACCTTGTCATGCTGCAGGGTGGGCATGTCCAGCATAGCGACCGTCTTCTGAGTGCGCTCATCATTACCACCACCGAGGGATCTCGGAGGCGCCATCATCTGTCAATATGATCCGCCTGTCAGCGTTTTGAGATACCTTCAGCAGATGTTGTCCAACGGAGACCCGCCAGTCGACGGCTCGCTCATTACCGAGACCCTCACCGCTGAGAGGGAACCGACACCCACACCCCACACGTTGGCATATACAGCGGTAGGGGACAACGCAATCCTCGCCTTGACGGAGGCTTTAATAGGCTTCGAGAGCCACAATGTATGTAGCATCGTCCTTGAGACCTTGGTGGACTCGCTGCTACGCAGCATTCCCACAGTTGTTCAATACTGCAACCAACCAGCCAACCAACCAACCAGCTCATTGGCGAGAATGAAGGGCCCACAGAGGTGACCCGTCTGCCAACGGGCTTCTCATTCCAGCGAGGATGATATTGGAAGACGAGATCCTCCGGCTGACAACTTCTATGGCTCCTTCTGAAGAGGAGACTTTGGAAGACGAAGAGTTGTGCTTCAAGCCGTGCTTGAACAAGTACAGTAGGTAGGACTGTACGTCGAGATGACGAAGGGGACTCACAGGCGTTATGTAATCTGCGAGTTGAAGATAGGATGTGGAGAATGAGGCATATGCCGACCTCGAACTGGAGTCTCACATGCCTAGTGCCACGTACAACTCAGCTCATGCGCGTTCGGAAAATAAAGAATCTCGATCCGCTGATCTCAGCTCGATGTGGGATGGATTAAACAAGAGTGTGCTCAAATTTCGGTGTCAACGACGGCGATTGAGTTTCACCATGGAGCCAAACGTCATTCGCATTCCTTATTGTGGTGTGTGCATTGCCATAGATTGCCTCGTGGCTTGCGCGTTCAGGCATCGACGCTGATTCAATGGCTCGCTGGGAGCGGAGAACGGCCACGAAGTCGAAGATCTTACTGCCTTTAACAAACAGAGTGTCCAGCCCCATATCACTTTTACACGCACACACACACAAAATTCTGAGCTGGTGCCAGATACGACCAAAGTACGTTTTACAACGATTACGCTCCTAAACTAACGTCGCGTGTATTATTCCATATGTTCCTAGATACCCTTGATTTGCTAGCTATCTAGGAACATATAGAATGATATATACGACGTCGGTTTAGGAGCGTAGTAATTGCAAAGCGTACTTTTGTCGTCATTGCTGCCAGGTTAATGCGTAAGGTAATGAACCTCGGCATCTTTTAATAACTATGCGATAAAAGTACACCTTATAACCATTACGTTTCCATATTAACGTCGTAAATATTTATTTAAGCATGTATTAATAGGTACGATCTAGGGCTATTAGTATATATATATATATCGATATGTGCGACGTTCTAGCGGTAATAACAACTTTAAATGCCGTACCTTTATTATCGTCGAAAAACGTACTTTTAGGTCGTCGTGTTGAATACACGGATGTTGTTGAATACACGGATGTTGATTGATGCTATTGATGGTGTTCTTCTTCTACGTGCAGAGATTGATCATCTGTCTTCTTGGTGGGTCAGATGCCCTGTGCGTCTCTGCCCCACTGGAGATCTTCCGGTGTCTATCTCCGGCTCCCATTCAACACGTCGCGTGCCAGCTAACTTTGTGTGTGTGTGTGTACAAAAAGTTAATGTGGGGCTGGACACTCTGTTTGTTAAAGGCAGTACCAACACGCAACGGCAGAGAGGGATGTTCCATACTGAAGGAGCCAGGGTCATAGCAAAACAGGGCTGTATTCGACTAGTGACATCTCGAATTCGACGCTGGATCGGTTCGATAACCGTGAGTGTTTACTACACCTGGGCATTACCTGGTTGCAGATCTTTTAAGAAACCAGATTGTGAATTCCGCACCCGACGCAGTGGGCTACAGTCTACTTCTAGCTCCATCAAATAGAGACTACAAATGGTAAGTGTGGCTCGTGCGTCCGCCAGGAGAATGGATGGAGCCTCCACTGCACGTGCAGGTGGTCCAGGCAGGGGTTCAGGGGTTGCGGGGGCGCTTTGTCGGAACATTACTTGCCAGCCACTCTGTTTTCGTCGACCCGACACTGCCCCACTGCCCGCCATCCCACGCACACCAGCCACCCACTTCCACCGCGTGCCGTCGATCGGCTGGGATGCTCCAAGTTGCTTTGCTGTATGCCCTCCATCTCCATCCAGCTGCAGTGAATCTGCTTTCTCTTCGTTTCCAGCTGCAGCCTTAGATCTTTTCATTTCTCTTTTCCTTTGATCTCGAATCCACTCTCTTTGGGCGCGCATCATCGTCATCGTCTGGGTCTCAGTTGCCAGACTTTGGTGGGGAGCTTCATGTCAATAAAGCTGCAAGCAGAGTCAACAACACATTGAGCTGCACCTCGGTCAACAACCACAGGTCCGGCGACTCGACTCGACACCACCAGTTCAACTGGGATACAACAGAAGTCGGACACACATTCCCGCCGGGGCTCCGCAAACACAACCGCCAGCAAGATGGCTGCCAAAACAAAGGTATCCAACCCGCTGAGCGGCATGCACACGGCCGGCATCTTCTCCGACATGAGCGTCGACGGTCCTGAAATCGGCACACTCGTGCTCATCATCGACCGAGCCAAGAACCTGCCCAACCGAAAGACCATTGGAAAGCAGGACCCATATTGTGCTGCGCGATTGGGCAAAGAGGCCAAGAAGACCACCACAGACATACGAGGTGGACAGACGCCGAAGTGGTAAGTACTCGACTTAACACTACAATAATAACAAGGCATTGTCTAACTTCTTTGTGTCCGCCTTCCAGGGACCAGGAACTTCGATTCACCGTCCACGACTCGCCCGACTACTACCAATTGAAACTGTCCGTCTTCAACGACGACAAGAAGACCGACTTGATTGGCGAGACATGGATGGACCTGCGTGACATTGTCGTGCAAGGCGGAGGGCAGAGTGACCAGTGGCACACCCTGAATTGCAAGGGGAAGTACGCCGGTGAGGTCAGGATCGAGGTCACATACTACGACAGCCGGCCCAAGCCCGAAAAGCTAGCGGCAAAGCCGCGACCTGTTGCTTCGAACCCTGAACTGCACTCGCCGGGTGCAACACTGGGACCCAGACCGCAGGTCAAGCGACGACCCTTGCCGTCCGATCCCGTCACCGGACAAGCTCCCTCGCCGTCCGTCTCAGAGCGCGTACACAACCCACCGAGACCACAGCCGAACCCTCCAGGTGCCTTCGTCTCCAGCCAATCACCCCTCCAAGCTGTCGAGTACGGGACGCCCCCTACGCACCGTCACGGCAGCCATCCCGACCATTACTCCCCTGCGCCGTCTGCCGGGAGTCTGTTCGGGACGCCACAGCACCGAGGGGATGTCAGAAACGACCATTTCCCCAACTACGACCATGATCCCTTCGTTCAGGCAGCCTCACCGCATGGAGCGCGCTCGTACAACTCTCCATCATCACCAGCACATCTTCTCCACCAACCAAGCGAAGACGATGACCGCCCCCCGCCCCCTCCCGCTCACCGAGTCAGTCACAGTAGCGGGAACTTGCACGAAATGATGCATCGTGGTAGTGTGGATATGCACAAGGCCACACCACCGATGAGACACGATGTGCTGCGAAATGAAGCACACCGAAACTCAGTTTCGTCGCCGTCATCGTCCTACCCTGGTCGACCTGCGTACCGACCTTATGATTCGGCGCCCGACCTGCAAAACGCAGCTCCATATCATGAGGCCGATGCGGCCCATTCTTCAACTCCTCGACACCATTCGAATGACTCGGCCTATGATCCTCATCATCGATCAATGCAGCCAACAGTCGAGGATGTTCCCGAGTCATGGACACCGCCCAATGCAAGGGCCCGGGGTGGTTCACGAGTATCGCAATACGACGAAAGAGAATACAACCAGGTGCCGAGTCCGGCTCCTCTGAACTTGGGCGGCCGCGGTAGCGCTGCATCCGAGAGCCACAGCCTCGTGCAACTCCAAACCCGATATGATACCAATGGGTATACTGCGTCGCCGTCACCGGTGTCTCCAGCGGATTACTCTCATGCCTTGACGCATGTTTCACGCTCCCACGGTAACTTGGTTGACCATTATTCGAACCATGCTAGTGAGCTGGACAGCAATCCGACTCACAGCTCGACTGACTACGATCTGCCGCCGGTTCCTCCCAGCCTAGTTCCTGGAGTAGACCCCGCCCTTGCTCGCCAGATTTCAGATCGATTCCAGCAGGAAAGACACCACGAACGTCGGTACACCCAGCCCGCCCCAGTCAGCGCTCCTACTAGGGGTCGGCAGCACAGCGAACCGGCTTCGCATGAGATCGTCCAATACTCACCCCATGTTCATCACTCAAGCAACTCGAGGTCTTATGACAGACGTCCCATCAGCTACTCTACCGGTCCTAGCACGCCAGCAGGGTCAGCACAAATATCGACATCTCAAAGGGTGTCTCCTAAGCCTAGCGCAAACCATACGATCAGGCGCAAATCCGTGAGCCCAGCACCCCCTCCTGCCGATGCACGGAGGCTATCAGGTGTGCCTTTTGGCCCCGACTCATATGATGCGTTGAACCCGTCGGTCGCATCGTCGAAAGAGGTGAGGAACTCCTCGGAATATACCAATGCAGATGGCAAAATAGTAACTGCTGATGGACGAGAGATCGACCCTTCGGATCACTTGCCTATGGATACTTGGGCCCCGGAACCAGAGCCCAAGAAGCCCACGCCGTCAACGGAGACTCGATCACGCCCGACGCCCGCCGGTGCGCAGCCTATGCCACCTTCTGGCCGGCGCCAGCTTCGCATAGCGACTCGTCCGCAGTCCATGGTCGTCACACCTTCCGCCTATACAACATCGGAAGCTGTACCGTCTCCTCCTGCAAGCACTGGGCGAAATCGCTTACAAAAGAAAATGCCGCGTGCCTCAGCTCTACCGGCTCCCATCTCTGCGGGATCAAGTCCGCTCGGTTTAGCGACGCCACACCAGCGTAACAGCACTCCACCACGAGCTCTCGTCCGCGCCAGTACCTTCGACTACGAGAACCACGGCCCGCCGTTTGAGAGTGGACCTGGATACTCACGTGCGGGATATGGTTCGGCCCCGCCGGTCCCGGCCAAGGTGCCCATGATGAGTGGTAGCTTGGTGCCAGCATCTGGAGCCCCACGGGGAGGCGACGAGTGGGCGCTCATGGAAGAGATGAGCAGAATCGACATTGGCAGTGGACGGTCGCGCCGCCATGGTCGGTACTAAGCCTGCCTAAAGATTGCCCAGACGAAGTTGAGACGAGTTTAATGATCGCTTTAATGAGATGGCACTGTATTATAAAACGGTTAGAAGGAGTCAGGGATGCTCCGCCGGCCTCCTGCTTCGCATTTCCTTTCGGTATACTTGGGCATATTGCTTCTACTGGGTTCGTGGTACAGGTTTCGTTTCTGGCTGTGGTTTATATTACAAGCAGGCGCATGTGGTGGAGGATGTGATCAAGATATGAGCCAGGGAAAGTGGAATGTTCATGTTGTACGGGACTGTTTTGTATCGGTCTGGATTCCAGTCCAAGGTTTAGACATGTCCTCAGTGTATTGGAGGTCTGGAATGGGGGATTATCACCAGTGGAGCTGGGCTTACGAGATACCCTGATACAAGAAAGTATACAATTAGCATTATATCATCACCCTTCTTGAATGTGATACTCCTCCCCTGCTGTAGAATGAATCGTGTGGCTTAGGTTACTGTTCATCTCAAGTGGTTGTGCTTTGAAGGGAAAACTGTTAATTTACTACCGTTCCGGCGGCAAATTATTGAAAACCGAATATCTAGAACTACATGCAATGACGAGAACGAAATCGGGTACTACAGTCACCCCCCTATAAGTCTCCGTCCACGGACCTCGAAATTTCTCTTGACAGGACGTAACAGTGGAATAATGCCCTGGGAATAAGCATGTTGTATCTTCGTGGGCCATGCTCAAGGCTTATTCCAGAGTGCTTATTCCATAGATCAAAAATACCCCTGGACTTTTGAGACCTTGACAGCGGGGTGTACGGAGACTTCTGATTCCAGATGTATGAATGAAATTAGATTAACTGTCGCCTTTGTAGAATTACCTGCGGCTTGAAGCCTTCATGGGAACACACAGACAAATGAATAAGCATGAACGACATGAAGTCCAATGTCATCACAATCTTCGATTCTTTCACAATATCAAACCAGTCGATCTTCAGAGCTAGCCCACAGCAGGAAACCCCCTGAAGTCAGATTCATCACCGTTCTATTGCCCGTTTCTACAAGTCATCAAACGGCATCTCTCTCTCAGTCGCTGACCCCTTTCTGCAGCTGACACCTTTTGAATAGATGTCTTAGAACGCCGGCGAGGTTATCCGTAATCCAGATATCAAGACATTCCGTTCCAATCCAGAATGCCAAACAGTTGTTTTTCCCGTGACCAGAACGCCATCGCAATGCAAGATAGCTAACGACCTAGCTGCGCGACTTTCCACTACTCCTATTCTTTCTCCTCCTCCACAACCCGTTACTTCAATCCTGGTCCAAGGTAATCCTAATCCATGCCCAACAGCAGACTGCCCAGCATGCCGCCCGTCTGCGTGGCCATCTGCGCCCTCTCGACCTCGACCTTCACGCGCCGATGCAGCGCCTTGAAGCCGGCCTCGAGCTCCGCGCTGCCGCCCACGAACTCGGCGTACAAGTCAAGCAGGTGCGTGGCGACGTCGGCGCAGATGCCGAGGTAGCGTGGGTCGATGATGTGCGTCTGCACCCACGTCAGCACGGGCTGGACGGTGTTCTCGTCGCGGCCCTCGAGGGCGTCGCGCAGGCCGCTGCGGTGGCGGAGCGCTATCAGTACCGTGAGCACCGTCAGGGGGCTGTGGTCCTTGGCCGAGGGGTCCAGCACGCGGTCCAGCGCCTTGCCGAAGCGCCCGTGCCGCAGGTCCTTCTGCCAGGCCGTCTCCCGCTTCGGCCGCGACAGGTCGTTGGCGATCACCACGTCTGCGCCCTCGCCCACCATGTCCAGCCGCTTGGTGGCGCCCTGCCGGCGCTTGCGCTTGTTCTTCGACTTGTCGTGCGCGGCGATCGTGCCGGCTAGCAGTGCGGACATCTCCTTCTCGCGCTCACGGTCGCGGGCGGCTTCGGGCCCTGATAGGCGGGTCCGCAGAGAGAGGACGCCGGACGCCATGCCCACAGCCAGATGCCGGTCGTCATTATTGGCACCAGCGGTTACTACTTGCACGGCAAGAATAGGCGACGGGTACTTGGCGCCGGCGACAACATTCCAGCCGGTGGTCTCGAAGATCTTGACGTGCCCGTCGAGTGCGCCGGATACGAGACGGCGACCATTGGACGCTAATGAAAGAGAGGTGACGGTCTTCTGGTGGTTGGAGATGATATGCTGCGGCTTAGCTGCCACCAAGTCGAGCACTGATATCTGGTTTCCGGCGGCGGCAAGGACGGTCGTCCCGGAGGGTAGAGGCAGGACATCTTCCACAGGCGCAGCGTGCTTGAATGTCATGACGGCCGTCTTTGGTGTTCGCGGATCCCAAAGTTTGACGGTCGTATCGTAGCTACCGGAGACTAGCATGTTGGACATGGTTCCCGGCATGAAGCATCCTGAGCGGACGTAGTCGCCGTGACCGACGAACGTAGAGGTGCTTTCTTGGGAGGGCAGATCCCATAACCGCACGGTCTTGTCGTCACTTGCGCTCATGAGAGTGGTGAGATCGGCTGGTGAGAACTTGGTCGTCCATACGGGCTGCTTGTGTTCGGTCCACGTCTTGAGAATCGCCCTGCTCCCTATGTCAAACGCCTGTATTTTCCCGCTATCGTCACCAGCCACCATGATGCGCCCGTCTCGCCGCACATCGCCACTGCGCGCAATGTCGCCAAAGCGTGTGATCGTCTTGACTAGCTTCCTGGTCCTTATCGAGTAGATCTGGACCCTCAGACCTGTGGTCACAGCAAAGTAGTCGTTGTTGGAGGCCCCTAAGGCGGTCGGGTTCGCGGCCGGGACGGTGATGTCTGTGACGGCAACTTGCGTTGGCGACGGGAGGATGAGCTGGTTCTTGAAGGTCTTCCAATAGCGCTGCTCAGCTGTTATGGGAGAAGGCCCCGAGGGCAGCTTCAGCAGTTGAAGCGGTGCCACCTCTGCCGCCATCTTTAATTCGTTTGTTGAAACGTTCGTGCGTCGCTGCCAAACGGGAATGTTGCCAATTGAAGTTTTGGACTTTTTTCTGGGAGGCCAGACAAAACAGCAAGTCCCACCGACGATCAGAGCCAAGCTAACCGTTCTTAGTGGGGTAGGCTGCGTATCGATAAGCACCCCGAATATGACAGTGTGGCTGGTGCCATGCAACTGCATCACAACGGGAACAGTGGGCCCCTTCCCTTGATTGAGCTGGGCCTCGGCAAGTCTGACAGTAACAAGCAATAAAGATGATACCTTCGCTCCTCTCGCATCCAGAGTTCTAGGATGGTGATATATCAACTTCCCATCCGTGTCTTATAACAAACAGCATTAGAAACAGCCAAAATGGCTGAACAAGGCAAATACTCTGGGCTCAAATACTTTCTCGTCTCATCGCCATCCGAATATGTGGTCCATGTTGAGATTAACAGGCCAGCCAAGCTGAACGCCTTTCTCGAGGCCATGTGGATTGAGCTTCGCGAAATATTTTCAAGACTATCGCATGACGAAGATGTCCGGGCCGTCGTGTTCTCTGGCGTAGGCGACAGGGCGTTCACAGCAGGTCTGGACGTCCAAGCAGCAAGTCAGGATGGTGCTTTGAATGGTGACGGTGGTAAAGACGGAGCGAGGATCGCGACCAGAGTGCGCCGACATATCCTCGAGTTCCAAGACTGCATAAGCCAGATCGAGAAGTGCGAAAAGCGTACGTCTCTAGTATGCCCCTCCTCTGGAGCGGGAAACTGACAATTTCCCAGCTGTGATCTGTGTTATGCATGGCATATCCATCGGCCTCGCCATCGACATGTCTTGTTGTGCCGACATCCGGATATGCTCGAAAGACGCCAAGTTCGCTGTCAAAGAGGTCGACATCGGCATGGCTGCAGACATCGGGACTCTGAGTCGGCTGCCCAAGATCGTTTCGAGCTTCTCCTGGGTGAAAGATGTGTGCCTCTCCGCGAGAGGTTTCGGGGCCGACGAGGCCCTCGCCGTGGGCTTTGTCAGCCAAGCTCTAGAGTCCAAGGCCAAGGCTGTCGAGACTGCGATCGGGATGGCATCCTTGATATCCACCAAGAGCCCAGTTGGTGTGCAGGGCACGAAGGAGATTTTGAACCATGCCAGAGACAACACCGTTGCAGACAGTAAGTACCAACTGTACTTGAAAAGGGGCGATCCGGAAACTGACATATTTAGGTCTTAAATACACGGGCGTATGGAATCAAGGAATGCTACAGTCAGAGGATTTCAAGGCGGCACTCATGTCTGGGATCAAGAAAACCAAACCAAGATTTGAGAAGCTCTGAGACCAGGGCGAGGGAGCAGATGGGTGCGGGTGAGCGTAGGGGGTTGGATGGGCAGGGGGTGGTATACTTCGCTCTGTTCTGCAATAACTGCTTGCCTCGACATCGAAGATACCATGATCAGTACGGTTGAAAAGGTCATATTCACCAGGCAGACAGGAGCCGTGGGGAAGTGACCAAACATCGAGGGACATGTAACACACTTAAAGTCATCCCCCCAAGTCTCCGTTCGACATGCCACCATCCGGTCTTAGGACATCAGTACCATATTGATGTTACTGGCATAAGCATCCTGGATTAAGCAGGTTTGATCCAATTAGCCACGGTTGATGCTTATTGTGCTTATTCCAGTTATAATAGATACACTTTTCGCTTTCTCGGTGAGGGGTGTATGGAGACCTTTGAGGGTTCACGGTAGAAACGGGATCATCGAGCGGGAGCATCAGTACGGTGTCAGTGGCATTGACCTAAATGTCAAGGGGTATCTCGGTTTGTTTGGATTCCTGCTATGAAACAAACCTCATAATCACTGATGCGCCGCTCGTATGATTTATGAAGGCATTACTCTGGGCTGGAGGGCTCTGAATCCGATATCCCGAGACTTCTCTCGCGTCCGAGTCGCAACGGTCATGCGATGGCAGCATGGCAGTGATTGCCTTGGTTGATGTGATGAGAGATTCGACTTTGTTCCTCATTTGACATCCGCGTCCGAGTCGGAATCGTTCTCGACAATGGGCACCGTCTCCTTCAGACGCTGTAGAGGGTAATAAGTTTCTGCTCACACACGAACAGGGACAGGTCGCGTACCTCTTCCAGCATTTCCTTAAGCCTTTGTACCATCACGTCCTTGATCAGCAGGTGCGACTCATCGAGGTCTTCTATGATGTAGTCGTTCTTCTCGCTGTCGATGGCGATGATGATGGACTTGATGGAGGGGTCGCACTCGACAAGCGTGCCTGGAGGCGCAGTCAGTGAGTGTGCTCAGCCCAGAGTCAAGAGAGGGACTAGGTAGGCACCTTTGATGGCTCGAACCATCTTGATAGCGCTGCCGATGGTATCGTATGTCGCCTTTGGTCAGATGCAGTGACGAATAGCAAGGCGATCGGCAATAACAAGGTGTAGAGTTCCTAAATGTGAAAAGACTCCTAGCAATTGACCGTCTCAATAGATGAAAGTCACCATTCTTACTCGAGTGGCGTTCTTTGGGATATCGTGCAATCTTAAGCTAGTAGGTTGTGGCTGTGCTTATGCAAAGTCTCTCTTATGCACGCATCTGCATCTGATACGTTACACATGTGAAATGAGGGGAATCTTTCTTACGCCACGGGAACCCCACTCGCCCGGTCTGGCCTGGCAAGCCTGGCCACGTCGTCATACCCGCCACCGTGACTCCCGAAGATGCCGGCATTCCGTACGGGGAAGTTGATGATTTGGAAGTCTGCTGCGCGGAGGTGGTGATTGGAGCCTACGTAATGCAATGGGCGCCATTCGCCATTCGCCTCATATTTGGAATTCCCTTTCGTATTACTCCTCAGATATCAATCGCCCAAAACCTACATGCTGCCCTCCACCCGTCAGGTGCAACTTCCACCCGTCTTCCCTCTTGAGATCTCTGGTTGCCTGACAACAAGATCACCCGCATCACCAGGGCGCACTGGGAATACAAACCCCTGGATCGCCAACTCCAAGATTCAGCTGTGGTATTGACCGGAATTGATCCCGGGCAACGCCACTTCGATTACCTCACACTCACTCCATCAATCCTCAACGGCTGTCTTCGTGGTGCACAAGAAAACGTTTTGGTTTCGACCCGTTTCACTACATCTCACACCACTGCTACCAAAAGAACGTGTTAAAAAGGATTTGGATGACCGAACCTTTTACTCAACGTCTGGCATAACCATTCCGCATCGGCCACCATTCCCGAGGCGATCGACTGATAATACATCCAACCGCAGCCTTTTCGTTGCAAATCGCTCACCCTTTTTCTGCCAATTTCCGACAGACGAGTCTTGCAACATTGCCTGAGCTCGAAAAGTTCGAGAAGTTTTCATCAGAAGAGTGGTTCTTGGGAAGATAGCCACCAAACACGCACCACCGAAGATTGACGTTTTACGGCCCAAACAGAGAGCACCTAAGGAAGGTAGCTCCCTGTGCAATTCCGCAAGCATCGGCCTACAGTGACCTTCTTTCAAATCAGCTCAGCACTGGTCATCTACCAACATGGGTCCCGGCGATGGAGACGACGGAGGCGACGACGGAGGCACCCAGTACAACCCTTTCGCCTGGGTCCTCGTACCTATCCTAGTTTTTGGTCTCATCGCGGCGCTGCTGACCTGCTTCCGCTACCGACGTCGGCGCAGAATGCTTGCCGCTTACGGTCAAAACGTGCTAGCCCAAGACATTGAGGCCAACGGACAGAATCAGAGACCGCGCGGGCCGGGGAGGGGTAGGCGAGTCGGCCTGTTGGGCATGGGAAGTAGAGACGAGGGTCTGAATGAGCTCGGCGAGGCGCCTCCTGCATACCAGACTCAGAAGCGGCCAGAGGATGTCGAGCTGACGCCGTTGGAGAGCGTTGCTACCCCGGCAGTCACGGCCACGACGGAACGAGCGGGGATGAGTGGTGGTCCGCCTGGGTATGAGGAGACGACGGGACAGAGAACTGGCACGACGACAACCTCGGAACCGACGACAACCTCGGAACCCGCGGCACCGCCTCGAGCGGTATTGGCTTCGAGCTAGGCTCAGTCTTTTGACGAACTTTACGGCCGATATCGAACGTATTCGTTATTTTCGAGCAGCTGCGACAGCCGTCGTTGTACAGGATCGTCATGGGCGGGGAGGTTATTGGTACAATATACCCTGAGGGTGATGGATCTCACGGAGTCGGGGTTCAGCTTGCATACAGCGCTATGAGATACGTATTTCAGGGCGCGTCGGAAGTTGATATACCATTTCACTCTTACTGTAAATTTTGCTGCATGGCGTTAGGCGTGGTCATTCTTGAGCTGTGATCCATAAGATTATTACACCGTCACCACTCTCTACATAACAGAACACGCTTCTGGGTGCTTTTGCTAGTTCTGTTCCCATTCCACCAGCACCCACATCATCGGGGGTAGATACGAACAGTTTCCCGGGGAAAGGCTTCTAAGCCATTAGGCGTTTGCGGGATGCGTGTCAAACATGATGTGCGACCTTGTTCACGACAAACATGTAAGTCCATCAGTATAGTCAGACTATCTAGGTAAGTATCACCGACGGCTATTAAACTTGCATCTACAAAATTAGGCCTCTCTCACTCTGAGGGTTCCAAGCATTGTCAACTTGCTGGTGATGTCGGAATTGGGCTGTTCTCATAGAGTGGCTTTGCAAAGCCAGGGTATACGGAGGGAACACTTCTTACACGGATGATCCTGTGATGTGTGAGGTCCAATCGTGCCGATCAAGAATGCTTTATTAGCCGCCTCTTTCCCTGCTTCCAGGTCCTTTATTAACTCGATATTTCAGACTCATGCCTTCAGTACCCTGTCCTTCAAAGTTATCACCCCTTTGTCAATGGGTCCAACGCGAGAGGCCCAACCGCCCCTTCAGTAGCACCACCTCCGTTCCCAGCTTCTTGATTATCTACGAAGCGCGAGCGCGTATGAACTCGTATCAACCATTCTGTAATCTTTCATCCTCAATACCCGTGCCTCGTAGATGATCTCATCTACGTCGGGCATTGCAACTGCCTCCTCCTTTGTTTACCAACCAGCGACGATGTACATACTCATAACAACCTTCTCATCACTGATGCTGCCCAAGCGTCAGCATGATTAGTAGCAAATATGTCTAGCAGCATCTTTTAGAGTGTTTATGAATCCTAATGTCACGGCTAGAGGTGAATAGAACTTGAGTGATCTCATGTCATTGACTTCGATAGATAAACTTCATGACAATGTGCGCCATCCCAAACCCATCCTTCCTATAACGATGGTATCAACGCTTTACATCTGGTTGAGGCGCTCTTTGGCGCTCTCCTTGGCCTCTTGGGAGACGTTGGGGTTATTGACAGTGCTACAGATGGGTGTTAGTAACTTGTGGCAGTGGGACAATGTAGGAGAAGCTTACGCCTTGAGGCCACCAGCAACATTGCCAGGGTTCTTGTCGACGTTGTCACCAGCACCAGCGACTGGAGGCGCACGAGTTAGTATGGGGTCGACGAAGCGAGTGGGAAGAAGGCTCCGTACCATTGTCGCCGTTGAACTCGTTGTCGAGAACCTCCTTGGAGTGCTGCTTGGACTCCTGGGAGGTGTTGGGGTTGTTCAGGTTGGCCTTGTGGCCGCCGGCGATCTGAGCTTCGGTAGGCATGATGGTAATAGTTGAAACTTGAGGACGTTGGAGTGAAAGTGTGTTGGTTATCTGAGGCTTCTTGCGTGCTGTGAGAGTGTGTGTGATGTCTGGATGATGGAGGAGAGTGTGGTGGACGACGATGGGAATAGAGCTGCTTCTTATACACGAAGCCGAACCAGTTCCTCGCAGCCAATTCGACTTTCACTCGACAACCTCAAAGAGCTCCCCCACACATTGATGGGGCTGGTCACTTCGCACCATACCGACACTCCACGGTGGTGACGACAATGACCCAAGCACGAACCCAAGCCATGATGGTATGACTCGAGTTGAGCCCGCAAACAGCAGTTCAAATCTCAGGCGATCTACAAAGGAATAGGAGGTTCGTGGTCTGAGAATCGAGGGTGATGTACACGACTTCAATGAGGTTGGGGTCGTGACGTGATAGACACAGACAGTAGTATGCCTTTGCACCGAGTGATGTGTACTATGACTCTGCTATTTGATCTGGTCATCCATCTTGTGACGCTATGCAGCTGTTTCCGTTGTGTCTGATGTGCCCTTGGTCTGCACCTGGTGGTGACCGGGCAAGGGATCTGCACCGGAACAGACCTCCGGTTGGCCACAAAGCCACGATGCGCCGTCGATTTCCGGGGTAGTCCCACATCAGCCGGGTCGAGCCTTGCTTCAACCTCATAAAACTAAACATTGTTCGGGTTGCCGGTACCTGGCTAGACTGGAGTGATTACCATCGGAGACCGTAACTCTGTTGCGGAGTCCAGGAGGACGACATCACCAACTACATCACCACATGTACCCATTATGTCTTGCTTCTCGACAGGAACAGGAAGGAGTAGCCGGCTGGACTCGTTCCGGCTTTGCGAATGAAGCTGACAGAGGCGACACCTCCCGCCAAGCTCCGTATGGTGGTTGAGTTACGAAAAGGCGGTTGTCACGGAGTCAGTTCCCCAGTGCTGCTAGCAACATCGAAGTGCTAGTTCGGATATGGCGTTGGCAATTAAGTTAGTTTGGCCTAACGTCTAGAGAGTCAATTGATGAATCATTGACTGGATAGGTTCCGCCCAGCAACGAACACAATGACCGCGCTGGGGGCCTTCCTGGCGGTTCGCAACGGGGGAGCTGTCGACGATCAGTCATTGTAGGTACAGGACTCGGCTGGCATCGAAAGGATCGGTTGCTTCACGGTCTGGAGGCAGACATTGTCGGTTTGTCTGGCCTATGATGTGTTAGGTTTGCGGTGGGCACCAACGTCCTTCAATTGTGGCTTCAGTCCTGTCAGCCTCATCAAATCTATTTTGGCAAGCCACAGAGGCGTTTCCCAAGCCACAAATGCGTCGAGCCACGCCACAGCAGTGCCATTGATGCGAACCGTGTCTGAAGGCAGAGCGCTCCAACAACGATCACAATCCACAATTGCAATTGTAAGCACGAAATGGCATCATCAGACACTCCATCGCAGCCCCCAGCTATCAACTACGTGGTTGGTTTCCTGCTGGTCGGGATCGCCTGGGGGCTCACTACGCCCTTCATTCGCCGTGCGGCCAGGGACCACAACCCGCCGGCTCACCCGCTTCTCGCAAGAGACGACGTGAAAGCAAGCTGGCTCAAGAGCAAACTGTACGGCGCGTTCTTCGCGGTGGTCGACCTCCTGCGGAATCCGAGATACGCCGTCCCGCTGTTGATCAATCTCACCGGCAGCGTGTGGTTCTTCCTGCTCATCGGCCAGGCTGGTAAGGTCTTCTGCAACGGCGTGCTTCGGTTGCCCGTGGCTTACCTTTTATGTTTAGAGCTGAGCTTGACTGTCCCGATCGTGAACACGCTAGCTTTCCTATTCACGGTGCTCGGCGACTGGTGGGTCGACAGGAAGGTCATAAGCCGGAGTAAGTCCCCCTGTCTCCGAGTGAATGATCTGAAAGGTTGCTGACCATGTCCTAGATACATGGATAGGGATGGCATTGTCGCTGTGTGGCATTGGATTGTGCGTTCAGAGCAAGTCGGGCTGATGAGCTATGGTATTCCTTGTACGAAGGGGTCTCAATTCGGCAGCAACAGTATGCCTTTTGCATGTGATATAGGAGACAGCCCCCCTGCCACTCTGCAAAGAGTCCGAGGCTTGAGCTTGATAAGGAGTCCGAGGCGTGTGAGGCCATGATATCGGTTACAAGCCGAACAGCTCGTCAGCTCTCTAGGCCAGCTATGCCCACGACAACGACTTGGCTCGATCAGATCGGGACTGAAACCCATCCTCTGAGAAGGAATGACGGTTCCCCGTTGGTTCTAATGCAGCTATTTATATAGCTTGGCTTCATGCTATAAAGCAAACGCGTGAAGCATACCTAGCGTATTCCTTCCAGCACACGACACACGCGTGTCCACAGTCAAACGTCGGCGAACTTGGCAATCAATTGACAACGAAGTGCTCTCGATTCTCAGCATGCCTGTGCCACGTTTATATAGGAAGCACCGATTGCAGGGTCCTCAAGCGCTCTGACGTTTTAGTAGAGACGGGAATATTAAAGCACTACTCGCCGTTTGATCGGTGGTCCCGGCACTACGACGAACACGTGGTACATGCGCCCAAGTAGCGGGCGAACATGGGGTTTGTTCGTTGGTGAGCCGGATCCCACGATGCAAATGGATGGGTGCAAGCTTGAAGCACATGATCTAAAAGATCTAAAAGAAGGTCAAGATGTTTTGAAACGAGGCCAGGGACAGGCCTGACAGGCCAAGACTCGAGAGGCTCTGGTGGGGTCGACGGGTGTTATCGCGCCACCAACGGCAACTTCCTCAACTCAATCTGGTATCGGCCAGATCGCAGGAATCCCCGAGCTCCCCATACTTACCCCTTTTATTTCCTTTTCCCAGGGCCTGCTGCAGGTCGAATTCCCCACGGCGAGCAGATCGGCAGGCACTGAAGATCGTTTTCGGTCAAGAACGCTCTTGGCGCAACTTGGCGCTTCTGTTTCGCCAATGACGCTTGTCTGCATCGTCCAGGAACCGCAGGGATGCCGCTGCTGCAATCTCCATCTCTCCTTGCAGTGCAACCTCGACGCCTCGTAACGGGAAATGTTGTCTTGGGGGTTCCACTCGGAACCGGCGGCTGCTCGACGTGCAAGGAATGCTGCTTCCACAATGTCGAGGTCAAAGGGCAGTCACGACTTACGGGTCACGGGTCACGGGTCACGGACCTGCCCATGTTGGTGTTGGTGTTGGTCAGAGCCGTACTTGAATAAAGATTCCGTCGCCCGCCGTCAATTACTTTACCTTAGGTGACCAACAGAAGGTTCGGTCAACTCTCCCGTCTTCTTCGGCCCATACACGTCCTGCCCACGGCGCCTTATTACACTCGTTCATTCGCCTATCACCTTCCAACAATCGTCAACATGCGTGCCTCCACCATTCTGACTGCCCTCGCGGGTGCCAGCTCCGCATCGGCTGCGGTGATGAGGCTTGCAACTACCTCCCTCAGGGCCCTTAGCTACGACTGGGCTGTCACTGGCTGGAGTGCTGGTTGCGCCAGAGCCGGCTGCTACTACGGTTAGTTGTCTAAGACTTCTTGGTAGAAATATCGTCGAACTGACTTGGAATGACCAGACTTCAACATAACCGGCGACGCAAACACCACAGCCAAGCCGCAGCGTCCTGGCTTCAAGGCTTACTGCAGCGGCCAAGAGGGTGAGGGCTACAGGGCCTGCACACAACTCGACAGTGAAGGGAACGATGCCGAGGTCGTCGCAAAGCTCTTCCCTCACAACATCACAGCCAATGGCACATCCAGCCTACCACACATCCAGGTCAGCCTGAGATATACAGACCTGGATTCTGCGTGAGTGGCTAGCCCCAACGACCGAGACATCAGCGCGGGAAGAGGCACGGCTAACCCGTATTTCAGATCGACGTGGTGGAACTACACAGGAGACGCATATGCGCGTTTCAACCAGTTCGTGGCGCCGCCCATGAACTTCTCGATCACGCCCGACGAGGTCTTTGGTGTCGCATAGGTGGCTGTCGGTCGTTTGTACGAGAGGATCTGGTGAGTGTGGAAAGGGGCGTGGTTTCGGAATGCACTCAGGTCGGGAATCTGCATGAGCCGGGTAGCTCTCGTGTTACTGGCCTGAGCTGGATGCCGTCGGGAACGGGCATGCATGGCCGAATACGGGAGAATCGGTATCGAAACGAGCCATGATAGTCAGTCATACAGTGTATGTTGGGACATGGACATCTGAGCACCCGCCATTGAGAAGATGATCCATGGCCATCTGGCTGAAAACGTCTGCATGATGTACAGCATCTTCGAGCAGCTCTGACATAGGTAGGTAGCAACTTTGCAATGATAATGCCTATCTCTAAACGTTCAGCTGTGCCGGGTTAAATATGCCTGTCCGCAACACCGAGACATGAAGCCTGAGTTGTCATACAGTTCGATTGCACCTCGGTCAGGCCTTGCCCATGTACCTCGGCCAATCCACGTACTCTTGTACAACCAGCGCAGGCAAACAGTTGAACTTTCAACCAGAGCCTGCTTAATAAGTGCCAGTGTCTCGGGATATATCCCGAGTGCTCGAGCCTGCTTGGGACAAGATGGATGGGGCCAGGCGCAGTCGGCGTTAAGTGAAAGCGTTGAGGATTCATTTGGGTGCCTAATGCGCCTGCCCGACCTTACGCAAGTCATTGTGGCTTGTGCAGGTCCGCCAAGCCGCCATTACATCAGATCTGACCGACCCAGCCAGATTTCCCCCGCCCCCACCAATGCCCAACCACATTGGCTGACAGTTCAAGCAGCCCGCAAGCAAGCAAGCAGGCAAGCCAAGAAGGCACACTTCCGAGATTCCGCAGCGCAAACATTGCCTTCTGATCAGAGTAACCCTCTGCTTCCTACCTAGCTTTTCGTAGTCTGCCGAGACATAGACGCTTCCCAGGCAACCGTCACTGTACCCGACTACAAGCAGCCGAAGGTCCTGCTTGAAAACCCCTCGAGGGACCAGTACCGGCCAATTCGGCCCAACCGAAAACCCCCTATTAGACCCGACAGCGCAGACCGACCAGTCATGAATGTCATCAAGCTCCAGAGGTAAGTCCTGTTACTCGAGGACCAGGTCGGGCCAAGTCTAATGAATGCGAACAGGAAGTATCCTCAATTCCAGCAAGGCGATATCTTTGCCCTGACCGACGCCTTCCGCAAACTCGATGTCGACGACAAGGGATACCTCGACGAAGCCACAGCAATCAAGGCTACCCAGCAGAGCGAACGACAACCGTACGATGTTGTGAGACAAGCCCTGAAGGAGGTTGAGCTCGACTCTTCCCGTAGAGTTGAGCTGGAGGACTATGTGGGAGTAAGTTACTCGGGATTGTATTAGTGATGCGATGAAAGGTGTTGACACGTTTTCCCAGCTGGTCGCAAAACTTCGCGACTCTTCTCCGGCCCAAAAGCGCATGAATACCGGCGGCGGCGGCGCAGCACCTTCAGGAGGCGTTGTGTCTCAGAGAACAGGCGGACATGCTTCCAAGGGCAGCGTTGGCAAGATTCACGTCCAAGGTTCCAATGCCAACACCACCCACACCATCAACGAAGATGAGCGCACCGAGTTTACCCGCCATATCAACGCTGTCTTGGCCGGCGACCCCGATATTGGAAGTAGGCTGCCGTTCCCGACGGACACCTTCGAGATGTTCGACGAGTGCAAGGACGGCCTTGTGCTTGCCAAGCTCATCAACGACAGCGTACCGGATACCATCGATGAGCGTGTCATGAACGTCCCTGGGAGGAAAGTCAAGAAGCTGAACGCTTTCCACATGACGGAGAACAACAATATTGTCATCGAATCCGCCAAGGGTATCGGCTGCTCCGTCGTCAACATTGGCAGTGGAGATATAATCGAGGTCCGTGAGCATTTGATTCTGGGCCTGATCTGGCAGGTCATTCGAAGAGGTCTCTTGGGCAAGATTGACATCAAACTACACCCCGAACTCTACCGGCTACTGGACGAAGATGAGACACTAGAGCAATTCCTACGTCTCCCTCCGGAGCAGATTCTTCTGAGATGGTTCAATTACCACCTCAGGGCAGCTGGATGGCAACGCAGGGTCCAAAACTTCTCAACCGATGTCAAGGACGGAGAGAACTACGCAGTTCTGCTTGCGCAGATCGGAAAAGACTATGGCTGCACCCGAGCGCCGCTCCAGACCCGCGACTTGCTGCAACGAGCCGAGGAGGTTTTGGTTGACGCTGACAAGCTTAGCTGTCGAAAGTTCCTCACTCCCACTTCACTGGTCGCGGGAAACCCCAAACTCAACCTTGCCTTTGTTGCGAACCTGTTCAACACTCATCCATGCTTGGAACCGATTACTGAGGAGGAAAAGCAAGAGGTGGAAGATTTTGACGCCGAGGGAGAGCGAGAAGCCAGAGTGTTCACCTTGTGGCTCAACAGTCTTGATGTGCAGCCCGCCGTGGTGTCCTTCTTCGACGATCTTCGAGATGGTACTATTCTGCTGCAAGCCTACGACAAAGTCATCAAGGGCTCGGTAAACTGGAGGCATGTGAACAAGAGGCCCTCGCACGGCGGCGAGGTGATGAGATTCAAGGCCGTTGAGAACACCAACTACGTTGTCGAACTTGGCAAACAGAATGGCTTCTCACTGGTCGGCATACAAGGCGCTGATATTACCGATGGGCAGAAGATGTTGACACTTGGGCTCGTCTGGCAACTGATGCGGAAGGATATTACTTTGACACTCTCTGCTCTGGCACAACGTCTCGGCAAGCGGGAGATCACAGACTCCGAGATGGTGAAATGGGCGAACGAAATGTCCAAGAAAGGAGGGCGGAACTCAGCAGTTCGCTCCTTCAAGGACCCTTCGATCGCCAGCGGTATCTTCTTCCTAGACGTGCTCAATGGTATGAAGAGCAGCTATGTCGACTATGACCTTGTCACCGCTGGACGGACTGACGACGAAGCATACCTCAACGCCAAGCTCAGCATCAGTATCGCGAGAAAGATGGGTGCAACGATCTGGCTAGTCCCTGAAGATATCTGCCAGGTCCGCAGCAGACTAGTCACCACATTCATCGGTAAGTGTATTTCCATAACCACTCAAGTCATGATCAGGAACGAAGGCTAACACAATCACTTATCAGGTTCGTTGATGGCCACCCACGAGAAGATGCAGTAGATCGATGTTTTGTTCTCTGGCAGGGAGTAGAAAAAGGGGCTGGGATACTGGAAAAGTCTCGGGGGTTTATTATGATGATACGTGTGACTGTCAAGTTTGTTCATTAGCCTTCATAAGTTTCCAATTGCAGCTTTAGAAGTTACTCGCACAGAGAGGTTTCAGGATCTCATCTTATTGCTCTGCTTCTTGCTTATCCGCTTGATACGTAAGATTTGGCTTTGACTCCAATGCAGGCGGCGAGCCAGAAACGGGTATGGCACGGGCCCTACCGATACACGTACCTGCAATTGTATATATGTGTGTGACACTGCCCGAGTGGGAGCTCCATCAACGACAACAGCATCATTAAGTCCACTTTTCCATTGATTGGCTTCTCATCGAATCGTCAATCGCCCTGGCAGATCTGTCTGGGCTATTTACATGCTTAAAAGGCTTATATACGCCTCCGACCAGACCGACAGCTGTCAGCAAGGGAGCCGCCTGTTGTCCTGTGAAGTACCTGCCTGTCGGATGTGACGGGACGTCGTGTCGGGTCGCCTTCGGGACCCGACAGAGCTGGGTCTTGTGAGCATTGCAAGCCCCGTACCGGGCTTCTCGGTAACTTATCGGTCCAAAAGTGGCAAAGAGCCTGAAGTATGCAACTGTATTAGCAGGTCATAACGCCATCTATGAGTTCACTTATTTTCTATGCTTCAGAGCCTGGGTTGCAGGGCGATCATGCCTACATCTTAACTTGTTGGGGTCTTTAAGGCAAGTGGCTGTTCCCCATCGGCTGGGTGGTATGAGCAGAGTCCCAAAGTTCATAACAAACGTAAACTGAAATGTCGCCCGATAGACTGCATTCATTGCAACACTTGGCCGCGTCACGAAATCTTGCACCTGATCATATTGTTATGCGTGACTATCCCATAAAGTCTACAGGAAAGATACTCAGAACGGCTACGGACAGCCACGAGTACCAACCCATGGATAACAGCGGACTACACGCCAACTCATCAGTACGGGAATGGAACTATCTGTCTGGTCTAGAAGTCTAACGACCCGAGTATATTGAGAATATCTCATGTGTCACGAGGCAGGGGAGCCGTCGGATATGGATCAGGTGCAAATGTTTGAGAAGCTGATCAAGTGAGCAGCGACTTTTCCATCTTGCCGGATAGGTATAATGTGGTGGAATAAATGACTGTCGTCTTGATCCAGATGCGAGGTCGACGCCCTCTCCAACGAGCTCAGGTGCAAAGCCATCTCGTCCTCCCACGGCTAACCCAGCTCACTACCTGACGTTCCGCAACCACTACGAATACATCGTGCTGTCGACCATGGTCTACGAGCTGTAGTACCCGCGCCCGGACCGTATCGGCTGGTCGTACGTCGCTGAGAAGGGCGTCAGGATCGTCGGCGGCATCTTCGTTATGGTCATGGTCATGGTCTCGCAGACCTTCATCTACTGTGACGGAACAGGAATGCAGCACTGCTACCGCTACACTACAGAAGTAGAACGTTGTCAGGCCGAGCGCTCGACCGTCTGCATCCACTTATATGGCTAGTCAGAGCCGTGACATCTACCCCGTCGTCATGCGCACCGTCGTCATGAAGGAGCTGGGCCCGTCCACGGCGCAGCGCTTTCGCGAGCTTCCGTGGTTGTTGAGTGATCTGCTGTTTCCGTTTATGATGGAGTGTCTGGCGAGTGCTTGCTTGTGACGTTTTGTATTGCACGGGAGAGAAGGGGACTGCTGGATGCTGATGCGGGTGTGGTCTCTGGTTGGCGTGGTACCTTGCCTTCCTCAATGTTCTCGCTGAACTCACATATTTTGCCGACAGGCAGTTCTTACCGACTGGTGGAATTCGGTTAAGCCAACCATCTCCTTATCCAAACCATCCAGCAACATCACCCCCCATTCACACAACCACGCAGGAGACTAGCTAACACAAAACCATCAATGACTAGTCTCCTGAGACCAGTTTGCATGGAACTGGAACCGCCGGTGCACAAATTCCTGCTGCGGCACGTGTACCACCGCTTCGATCTCGTCGCTGCGCATCGACAAGCACATGGCCGCGGGACCCTGGGAACATGATGTTCTGGGTCGGGGATTTTTATCGAGCCTAGTTCGCTTTATAGGTTGTATCTTGTGCTGTGATGGCCGGATCACAGGGGGCGGCACTGGCATTGGGACGGATCGGTTCGAAGTTCCGGTTTATATACAGCAGATGGGAGGCTGATCAAATCCCAGCCCAACCCAACCCCTGGATATAGGGGGTTCATCATTACTATACGCTTATCTTGAAACACACCACAGCTAATGCCTCAACTTCTTCAAGTCTCCAAAGGCATTCCACGGGATATTGACGCCTCCTGGTTTTCCGTGTACCTGCCCCTTCCATATCATATAAGCCGCAAAAAACGTGACGGTCTTAACAGAATGAGCCTCGGATGGCCTGCTTTCTACCACATGTGGTCTGGTCTTAGAATGTCCTCAGACCGAGGACGCCCAACGTGTTGGCCAAGAGGGCCCGTCATGGTGACTCTCATCCATGGCATATGTCCCACCAGTGCTGTGCCTGATGTTGCGCTGTTTTGTGATATGTGCATCGGCTCACGAGTCGCAGCCCTGTGAAGCTTTCGCCTGAAAGATGGTGAGTGTAGGAAAGTAGCCGTTCGAGGTTAGGCACCATATGATTACTAAGAGGAATGATCTATAGGTGTGCCTGCTGCAGAGATCGATAATGGCGCACGTCGTCTCAATGGTATGTACCTCATGTAGTCGTACCTTATTCACTGACCGGTGGCATTGTCATCTGATCTTACAAGCTTACCAGCTCGCTCCGGTCTGCGCTACGCGCAGCCCAGAGAGTAGGGCCAACGCATACCTGGAATCACACGCTCCGGGGCTTAACAGTCCAGCTGTCAGAATTGAGCCAATCGTCAGAGTAAAGTGTGTGTGTATATTCCGTCTGTCTAAAGTGTCCTTGTGCGACCGTGGCAGTTTTGTGCCAGAGGGGGCTGGATCGGGACGGAATAACTAGGTTCCGCTGTCTACCTGCAAGGTGCGTTCTAGGCGTACCTTTGATCCAACACCAGCAGTATCAACTGTACCTAGAAACGGGTGGCATTCGTACCTAAAAGCAAGTACCATTTATTTAGAAACGCTACTTTGCAGCGAGCTAGGCGACGCCGCTTCTTACGGAAGCAACTTTGCTAGCTCCGATAAAAATATCATGTAATAGCAGCTATAATAGCTACAGCACGCATACGAGCTTTATTTACACATTTTAAATCAATTTTTCTAACGGCGATATAAATAACAAGTTTAATAATTTAAACGGCTAAATAAATCACTTTTTATATAACGTTTTTATATAAATTTCAATTAAATGCATCTAGTCACTATTTAATTATAAAGGTAAACTTTTAAAAACTTAAAGTAAAATGAAAGGGTTTAATTAGTCAGTTTAATTATAGCAATACATTTATATTAAAGAAGACTACGATTAGATTCTGCAGTTCCGTTAAAGAAAAGCTCGGACCTCCAATCATTGTGGAGGGATCAACGCATGGGCCCCCATTGTCCCCGAGGAAAATGTCACAGCGCGCAGGCTAGTGCGAGTAGCTCTAAGCCTCTAACCGGGCAGGTGCAAGGGGTTTTAGCCGGAGATCTGCCAGCTCGAAAATTTACCCTCGGTTTCAGCCAGCCAACCCATTATCCCAACCTTCTCAAGAACCATACATTGCGTTAGCAGGTGCTCAACCATCACGATTGCCTGCGCGCCTCATCAACTCCCATCGTTGCACGCCTGGGTCGAGCACTCTTTTGTCTCATCCGATTTTCTTCCTTGATTTCCCAAACCACCACTCTCCTCAACATCATGTCTCGAGGCGGAACCACCCTCTACGTGACTGGCTTCAGCCAAGGCACGCGCGCGCGAGACCTCGCCTACGAATTCGAACGGTATGTCAACCATCCTCGTCGTCGTCCTCGTCGTCCTCGTCGTCCTCATCGGTGAACTCGATCGATCGTCCCCCCGGATGCGGAAGCGGTGTCCGATGTCACCTGCCTCCCACCTCGTCCTCCTCCCCTCCGGGCCTTCCGTCGCCCTCGTCGTTCTCGGCTACGTCGAGTCCTCGATATCGCCGTCTTCTCATCTGCGCTCCCACCTCCCTCGTCCTCCATACCTATCTCAGTACTTCCTATTCCTCGATCGAGCGGTCGGTCAGCATCCCAGCTTGCATCTCGCGATGCCGCCTGCCTGCAGTCGCGGGATCCCGAAGCTCAACGGAGCTGATGCGGAAAACAACGAATATAAATTGGAAAGTCCTCTATCATTTGCGGGAATGCTGACCTTAACAATCCAGCTATGGTCGACTTGTGCGCTGCGATATTCCCGCACCTCGCAGTGCCAGCAGCAGGCTGTAAGTTGTACTCTAGTATTGGGTGTCATTACTAAGGCTAACACTGGGAGCAGGTTCGCCTTCGTCGAGTATGAGGATCGCCGCGACGCAGATGATGCCTATCACGAGATGCACAACAAGCGCATCGGTCGGGACGATCTTCTGAAGATCGAGGTAAGCTGAAATGTGCCAGTACCACCATTATGAATCGTTTCTCTAATAACTCCACAGTGGGCCCGCACTCCTCCCTCGGCCTCCTGGCGATTTGATTCTGGTCGCGAGGAGCCTCGTTCGTCCCGCGACGGAACTCGTGATAGCGCTCGCGATGGCGCTCGTGGTGGCCGCGGCGGCGCTAGATCACCTCGTCGCGGTCGATCGCCTTCCCCTCGTCGCAGCACGCGCGAGTACTCACCGAGAAAGGATGATCGCCGTGGTGGTGACCGTGACAGAGACCGAGATTACGACCGTGAGCGCCGTGACACTCGCGATCGTTCGCGCAGCCCGGATACTCGCGACCGCGACCGAGACGACCGAGACGACCGCGACCGACGTGATGGCGGTACCAATGGCGATGACCGAAAACGTAAGCACACACTCAAATTATCCACCTATGCCACGCTTAACTAACATCTCCTCTAGCCATCGACAGCCCCCCTCCTCAGCACGACGACCTGGATGTTGCGGACTGATTAAGTATATCTGAGGGATGAGTTTGCAGTCTTTGGTTTGCAGTCTGGTCCAGAAAAGTCGTTTCGTTTGTCCCTGGGCCTCCAATCTTGCTGTTTTCTCTGGGCCGTCACTCATCATTTAGTATCGACTCGACCGATCGATCATATCCCGCGACCTGGGGAGCTACATGCGGACTTTCAGGCCGAAGCGATGACACCTCTAATAATGCTGGGATTCAGTCACTTTCTCGTGTGTCGCCTGAACACTTCGACAACGGCACGTATGTACATCTAGGTAGTAAATTGCAGTTGCATACTGTGTCTCTATCGTGCCCTGAAACTGTGCTTAGACACGTTCGCTCTGTGAAATCCTGCCTCAAAGTCTTCTGGCGTGTTGGGGGGCTGACTGAATATGTAAGCTGAGATGGAAAGGTTTCACGACATGTTCAGCTTTCAGCTGTTGGCATCAATGTATCAACGGGCGATTTTACAGAATAGATCATGAACGGTAAGTGGTTTTGTAGAATTACTCAACCCCCGACGTCTGATGAGGTCTACTGTCGTGAAGCTCGGAATAGTCACCTTTTAACAATCTTGGCCTAGGCTCTGTAATACCATGTTCTATTGGTGGTATTCGGAACAAGTACCCTCAAGGCAAGTTCTGCTTGTCCAACTGCCTTCCGTATCCCGACCCAACCCGCTCATAGCACCGAACACAACCGAGTCGTCCGCCCACATGGCTTCTCATTTAGCCAATCCGGCGGACTGGGGGAGCAGCTGGGGAGCGAGCAGCGGCCAACCAGATCGCTGCTAAATCCGACCTGGTTGCCTGCCCGGGCTGAGCCGCGTAGAGAATATCCCATCTGGGCTGCTGGGATCCTGCAAGTCTATTTGCAGCGCCCAACTGGTAATACCGGAATCCTTCCTCATGTATGGTCGCGTCATCTCTGTACATGGGTCTGGGAGAAAGGTGTTCTGTTCAGTGTTGTAGATATCTACCTAGCTACATAGCACACAGGCTTCCATTGTGACTGATCTCGACCGACGTTGATTTTTGACTAGCGATCGGCATCCGTTCAAAAGATCGACAAAGAGGCCCCATCTTAAACCGCATTCAACGTTCTCCATCCGATCAGCGATTTGACAAGCCGACAAGACCAACAGTTGCGACAACACCCGGGGACTTCCACTTGCCTGCGTTTTCCTTGTCGTTGGCAGCTATTGTGTCAATTCAACAGCACCTCGAAACATTTCGAGCTTTGAACCTGGTGACGGCGGCGGAATGCTCTGACCAAGGCCAGGTGCGCAGTTGCCAGAGGTCTCTTGACAGGTGAGCATGCGCCCTCCCAGTTCCCCGGCTAGCTACATGTAGCTGGAGACAGACAGCCGGTCCCGTCCAAATTTTCAAGGTTCAAACCGTCGGCCGATTCACTCCCGTCATCCAACTTCCTGGACCACCCGCACCACCAGCACCAGCACCACCAGCACCACCACCACCATTCCATTCTTGTGGGCCAGTTCTTGCTTGCTCTGTAGTTTCTTGCCTTCGACAGCACGACTTCACACATTCGTTTTCACTTTCTGCCCGGAGCCCGTGCTTCTCTTGGTAGCGTTGCGACTTGGCGGTTTGCGTGTTGACATTGATAGTCTCCATCAGTCCTTGAACCCTGCCGAGCGAGCCCACGGTATCCACGAAGCATCCACGAGCTACCTAGCTCTACGCACCCCCGCCGATTCCATGACCACGACCTGCCTATGTTAATCCTCCATTACTTGTGTCACGAGCTCGACTATGTCGCCCGAGCCGCTGAATCGCACCCAATGAAGATCACACCGTCGCTGTAGCCGATTACCAAACCTCCGTACCGTACCATCATACTCCTATAGACACCAGCGTCGGGAGCTCTCCCTATATTCGCTGCGAGAGTCCCTCTCCTACCTGCGTTTCGTGCGACAAGCACCCCGCCCTCTATACCTCGTCGCGTCACCGACTTCCTTTACACGCCCTTGACTAGTGCTTGAGTCCTCAGAATGACGACTGTACGTTGCCTCGCCTCTCGCTTGCAATAGCCCAGCTTCCGAGCCATGGAACCCTGAAGTCGGAGCTAATACCAGCCTTCACAGAGCCCGGAAGATGACATCAAGGCGAAATCTGCCCGTGCAAAACGGAATGCGCAATTCAGAGAGTTCTTCTCTCAGCCGTTCGCCTCCGCCTTCTGTGCCGGTGGTGTGGCCGGTGCCGTCTCCCGAACTGTCGTCTCCCCTCTCGAGCGGCTGAAGATCCTCTTTCAAGTCCAAGGCGCCGGACATACTGAATACAAGCTAGGGGTGGGCAAGGCGCTGGTGAAAATGTGGAAGGAGGAGGGATGGAGAGGGTTCATGCGTGGTAATGGTACGAACTGCATCCGCATAGTTCCCTACTCAGCTGTCCAGTTCGGAAGCTACAACTTCTATAAACGGGTAGGTCACCACAAGCTTGCACCAGTGACCATAGTCATCTTTCTGATCCATTCTCTGACGGTGCTTGTAGCAATTTTTCGAGACGACCCCCAGCGCCGTCATGGGACCCTTCGAGAGACTTTTCTGTGGTGGCATTGCAGGCATCACGTCGGTCTTCCTCACATACCCGCTCGACATTGTGCGGACTCGTCTTTCGATTCAGTCGGCGTCTTTCGCTGCGCTTAGCAGCACGCCGAGGGACCAGCTGCCCGGCATGTGGAGCACCTTGGCGATGATGTACAAAAACGAGGGTGGTATACCCGCCTTGTACCGTGGCATAATACCTACTGTGGCGGGAGTGGCCCCATACGTATGTTCCACCCTTCGGTCCGACGTTACGGAGATCGAACTTTGCTAATATTGAACAGGTCGGCCTGAACTTCATGACGTACGAGTTTGTGCGGAAGTACTTGACTCCCGAAGGCGACCAGAACCCCAGCGCCGCACGGAAACTACTTGCTGGTGCTGTCTCTGGTGCCGTCGCCCAAACCTGCACATATCCATTGTAAGTTATTCTGCTGGAGGGCTGCCGAAAGGGGGCTGGACTAATGAGCGCCTAGTGATGTACTGAGACGGAGATTTCAAATCAACACGATGTCAGGTATGGGCTATCAGTACAAGTCGATCGGAGACGCCATCAGGGTCATCATAAAACAGGAAGGGCCACGAGGCTTGTATAAAGGCTTAATTCCGAACTTGCTCAAGGTAGCACCTAGCATGGCGGCGAACTGGCTCAGCTTCGAAGTCACGCGGGACTTCCTGGTCGCGTTGAAGCCGGAGCCTGCCGACTTATAGACCAACGCCGACAAAGTGCCGTTGAGCACACCAAGCTAGATATCTACCTCACCTGGGTCACGTCCGGGTTGTACTCGATTATATTAGACGATGTAGGTTAGCCGTTGCGTAAGCCTCGATAGAACAGCCCGGTGTTGATTCGCTCGAGTTGCTGGGCACGCGGTACAGCTTGGGAGAAGGGGGATGCATCATTGCATTATACAGGTCCCTAGACAAGACATGGAGCACCAACATGAAAGCCTGGCAGAGCTTCCTCGGCACTGGGTAATGCTCTCGCGGGGAAGACTCATATTATTGTGAGCGATGGGTGAGAAGGGGTTGTACTGTAGACGCGAAGAGTTTGTTCTATGTGGATGATGAGATCTCGCTACGCGCATTAGATATAGAAGCTAGATGCATAGCAATTCGATCGCAGTGAAGATGAATTACACCTCGCGCTTCAATGCCGGCATATCTTGTGAACAAGGTAATGATCTAAAGACAGCCCGGGCGGTAGAAGCAACAATTGCATCAAGAAGCATTTACTCCAGGGGCCAAACCTAACCTGTCGACTGAAGCCCGTACCTGTCAGCTTATGCGGGTCATATCACACGCTAGGCTGCATTTAGCTGGCTCGGGTCGAGACTTCAATCGCAGCTGCCCGGCGCCCGCAGCCCTAACTGCCGCTTATCACCGCCCACCCACACAATTCCCTCCGCCTCGAACTTTTACTTGGCCCACCTTGACAGGAAATTATATTCTCACGGGAGCATCACCTCTACTAACCAACAGCAAACCACCAACCCATCAACTCTTGAGTTCTCCAGACCAAGGAGTCACCGTCAAGATGGGTATGTTTGTCGTCAATTTGGAGTTATCTATGCGAGTGGAGGCTCGAGGGTGATGGGTGATGATCAATCATCGTTATTGATCCTCTCGCCCATCATCCTCTTGTCGTCTGCGTCCAGGGCTTGCCCGACAGAGCATATTTGAACAAAGGGCTGACGATAGCCACTCTGAATAGGTATCGACCTCGACAAGCACCACCAGCGTAACACGCACCGCAAGGCGCCCAAGAGCGACAATGTCTACCTCAAGCTCTTGGTGAAGCTGTACCGCTTCCTCGCGGTGAGTAACCCTCCACTACTGACAACGGAGCGCAATGATCGATACTAATTGGTTTTTCACAGCGCCGAACCGACTCCAACTTCAACAAAGTCGTTCTCCGCCGCCTGTTCATGTCGCGCATCAACCGACCCCCGGTCTCCATCTCGCGCATCAAGGGTCAGCTCAGCCGCGACCAGGAGGGCAAGACCGTCGTCGTTATCGGCACCATCACCGATGACAACCGTCTGCTCGAGGTGCCCAAGATGACCATCGCCGCTCTGCGATTCACCGCCACCGCCCGTGCCCGCATCCTCGCTACTGGTGGTGAGTGCCTGACTCTGGACCAGCTGGCTCTGCGTGCCCCTACTGGCAGCAACACCCTGCTGCTCCGTGGCCCCAAGAACGCGCGTGAGGCTGTCAAGCACTTTGGCATGGGTCCCCACAAGCACAAGGTACGTGGCGCTACCGTTTTTCACGATGGGTCTGGTTTACTAATTGAACGCACAGAAACCCTACGTCCAGTCCAAGGGCCGCAAGTTCGAGAAGGCTCGTGGTCGCAGACGATCAAGAGGTTTCAAGGTCTAAGCGAGACATGTCTGGAGTTTGGTCATGCGTCACGACTCTTCCGATATACCACGAGCAAATTGCTGCTGGAAGGGAAATGTTCTATTCGGAACTGGTTTATGCATGGTTTGGCGTGGATCGGTATCACAAAAAATCTTCATACAGAATGGGATGCTTTGCCATTCTTTCTGACACACTCCGTCGCCTTCTAGATGCAATTTTCTGTGACCAACTGTTTTTGTTCCTTCGATACGTGACTCCTTCGTAATAGTTCTTGCGTTGGTATGGGATCTCGCACCACGACTCTGCGAGCCAGACACCCTGCAAAGACATCCTCAGATCAGCGGGTAGCCCCAATCGCAGGCAAGACTTCAAATGTATGTTCCATAGACTGCTTTCCCTTAGTATACGCAGTCCTACGTGTCGTACCTACCTGAAATCCGAGGAAACCGGGTTGAGACTCTTTGCCTTGCTCTTCAATTGTGCGTAGCGCACGTGTATACAAGTTTTGGAATCAGCGAGAATGAAACTCGTGTGATGTAACTCGGAATGTTGCAGGCAATTGAGGGTTCTTTCACGCCTGATGAGATTTGAAATGGATTGGAGGTTGTCACCTGATCGCGCGTTTGGAGCGCGAAGCTAATTCAACCAATTCCGTCATCATCATGAACACGGACTCACCCTGACATCTCATGCAATCCTATCTGTCGACCGTGTAACTTAAAAACATCTCTCCTATTTTAAGTTGTCAGTAAGAGATCCTCTACTGGACAATCGTATCTGGCTGGAGCATTTCATCTGCCACCATGTGCGGGCGTTACGCTCTGGCTCTGGTAAGTGCCATTCATCATTCCTAGGCAGGCAAACTCCCACTTTCGCAAGCCATTTCTCGAGCTTATTGGAAAACGAGACTGATTGGAGGCCCTTCTTGGGTTGGGCGCATATAGCGGCCGGGTCAGGTCCGCCAGATGTTGCAGGATGACAACATGCCCGTCTACGACGCGCCTGCTGACGATGATGACGATGATAACGATGGAGGCGGTCGTGGGGGCGGCGGTGGCACTGGCGGTAGACCGCGACAGAGCTACAACTTCGCACCCGGCTACCATGGTCTCGTGTACCGTGCTGCCGTGCCGGACTGGGGCGCTGGGGCGCGAGCGCAGCATGAGGAGAAGGGCGAGGCGGATGCTGAGGCGGAGGCGGAGGAGGAGGATGCAGCTACCACTACCGCCGGCGAGAAAGCTTCGGGCTCGACACAAGGTGAGGAGGACCCAACATCGGCAGAAGGCGAGTATGTTCACGATAATGGTACAGATGCGCCGCACTACAAGCTGCAGAGCATGAAATGGGGCCTGATCCCCTTCTGGACGAAGCGCAACCCGGACTACGGCTCCATGATGAAGACGATCAACTGCCGCGATGACTCGCTCGCGCAGACCAAAGGCATGTGGAGCTCGATGAAGGCGCGCAAGCGCTGCATCGTCGTCGCGCAGGGCTTCTACGAGTGGCTAAAGAAGGACGGCGCGCGCGAGAAGGACAAGATTCCGCATTTCGTGAGGCGCAGGGACGGGAAGTTGATGTGCCTTGCGGGGCTCTGGGACGTGGTGCGGTATGAGAGTGAGTGCAGTGCGGACGGATGAGAGAGAGTCATTCAATGGCGGCGTATGGGGTGGAGGTGGTGTTGACGCTGATGCTGACGTGTGGTAGACGACGACCAGAAGCTGTATACCTACACCATCATCACGACGGACTCGAACAAGCAGCTCAACTTCCTGCACGATCGCATGCCCGTCATCCTCGACAACGGATCCGAGGCGCTGCGCACTTGGCTGGACCCCAAGCGCCACGAGTGGTCGAGGGAGCTGCAGTCGTTGCTGAAGCCGTTCGAGGGCGAGCTGGAGGTTTATCCAGTGAGTAAGGATGTGGGCAAGGTCGGCAACAACTCGCCGTCCTTCATCATCCCCGTCGATAGCAAGGAGAACAAGTCAAATATCGCCAATTTCTTCGCCAAAGGCGCGGCGGCCAAGAAGGGGGCGAAGAGAGAGGAGCCTGTCAAGAAGGAACAACAGCCCAAGGTCGAGGTCAAGAATGAAGAGGGATTTACGACCGCGGAAGACTCGATCCAGACCAAAAAAGAAGATTCGAAAGTGAGCATGAAGAAGGAGAGTAAAGGCGTAACTGTAGGCATCAAGCGAGAAGCGGACGACGAGCCGACTGGTCTGGAGCCGCCGAAGAAAGTACCTGCTACAGTGAAATCGCCCTCGCCGCAGAAGGGCGGCAGACCGAAGATCAGTGCTACTAGTAATGGCACCAAGAGTCCGGCGAAGGCGAAGGAGCCAGGCACGCAGGAGATCACGAAGTTCTTTGCGAACAGCTCCTGATGGAGCTCGTTGTTGATGAGGGTCAGGGTCATGGAATAAAAAGGGTTGGTGGGCACGGTATCTGGCGTTGGGATGGGGGTGTGATGTATGGTTGCATCGTGCTTCGGCTGGAGATTGTTTCCTGGAGCTTGCGTGTGCTGTATGTGTATGATACGGTGCCATTGATAATGTGTCTGTCCACTGTGTCCATCATGGTATGTGGTAGGCATTGGGGTGTACACTCCTCAGCAAAAATGCATGCTTGTTTCTCAATTTTGAGATACGTTCCAAACCTATATTGCAAGCATTTTCTCCGTGAATGTGCTTGGACCTCCCGGGGGAATCGTCATACGGTCTCAGGGGCTTGACCTCAAGATGTACCTTCAGCAACGCACCTTTCCGTGCGTATGATCAATTGTCCAAAATTCGCGTTATTCGCCAAGCTATCGTAACAGAGAAAGACAGCGAGTATTTACGAAAGACATTGGGCCAATGGTGGACGCCATTCGGCTTCTGTCTGTTCAGTGCTTGGTCATGACCGCATGCCCAGGATTCAGATGAGGCTTGCCCAAGTAGCACGTGCAGACATCATCACTCCTGACAGCTCGCCGCTGACCTCAAGGAGGTCTTCAGTCTTCAGGGTCGACGCAGTGGCGCTCCTGACGGAAGTCAATTTCAACAATATGGCACATAATGAACGCTGGCGAAGAGCGCTCCCGGGAGGTTTTCCTCTCTTCAGCTTACACCTTTCTTTCCAACTATTCGCACCCGCACATCCGCCCGCCTGCTCGTTGCCACACATAGCGAGGACTTTGACATGGGAGATTGTCGTCGAAATGGACTCGAAATACCTAGAACCGAATCCGGGGGTTCGTAGGGGGCTATATGCGATCGCGGAGGTGGAACGGGTACGCCCGCCGCCGGCCTACTCGGTGCTGATAATCGTGGCAGTGCCGATGAACAGACATGTAATAATCACATCACAGCTGCTTATACCACTGCGTTTTGTGCTTATCCTTGACTTTCTGCTGCTTGTTCCATTCACATCCGACTGGAACATAGCGTCGTCTCTTCCGTAGTGACGACCTCAGCAGCTACGTAGTGGATACTCCAAGGCTGTGGTGACGGCGTTGACGGGCCGGGCCTTCTTCGTGACAGAGCCAACGAGTTGCGTTACATTGGGCTGAACGGTTGCTTACCTATTCGTTGGCCGTAGTGCCGAGCGTCGCGGAGAACGAATGGATGGGACTAAGCGGATGGGAGGGAGACCCCGGAGACAGCGATGGGTGATAGGAGTATCGCGAAGCGCTGTTCACGATATTCTTGGATTGATCCATAGCGTCAGAAAGGCTGCCCAGGAACATCTTATAGATGTCCCCAGCAGCAGGTTCGGTGTCGACTAGGTCTCTGATAACGGTCAGCTAACTGAACTCGGTGAAATGATGGCATGGGTACATACGGGTAGCCCTGCGCTATCATGTCATCATCAAGGCGCCTTAGTCGCTCCATTCCGACGGGATCGTGATCGAATCGAATGAATTGGAAGGTCATAGGGCGGGATTGCGAGAGTCTTTCCGTGTCCTGGGGACCCTGCTAGCCGAGGAGCTTAATCTGGGATTTGATCAACGTGACAACCCCATCCTCGATGATATCTTCCCAGACGCCATCCGTCAATACGATGATGGTCTTGTTCTTCGGCTGGGAAGCTTCTTCGTAACTCGTCAGGATGCGTCGAAGGGCGGGTATAATTGTTGTCTTGGGTTGCGGTGCATTCAAGCTTGGCTTTCCACTGTTCATAGCTTTGACGAACTGTCCTACCTCCTGATTCTTCTTCTGTTTGACCTGAGCCTTGCTTTCCGGGTTGGTGGAGTACAGCTCCATTCCATCGTCGTCACAGCCTAGTGCACACCAGGCTAGGACTTCAACCAAGTTCGTGGCAAGTTTCCAATACGTCAGCATTGTGGGTCCGTTGTCCACGAGGAATACCTGCAATGTGTTAGGAAGCCCGAATGCGAAGGCTATAGTATCTTACTATGTCTCGGCCATTGTAAAAGTCCTCCAATTCATCTCGTTTGGACCGTTGTTTTTCCTCTTTGACCGACTTCCCCTTTCGATGACCCAGAAACCCCAACTTGCTTCGCAGCCCTGACAGACTCGTGTCCTTTTGAAGGGCTTCCAGCTCTTTTCTGACCTTCCACATGTCAGACACGCGTCCGTTCTCTGTGAGAAACAGAGAGTCGGGGGCAGACAGCGCCGCTGTTGGACGCTTCAGGTGCCTATCCGATGAGGGGACTGCAGTACTTTCATACTGATCTAGCTCCTTGCGTTGAATGGTAGGCAATATCGGTTGTGAAAGAAGTCTCTGGGTGCTTTTGAACGGTCTCTGCAAGTTTGATGATTGCAAAGCAGAGCTGTCTCCGGGGTCTTCCTCCAAATCAGTGTCGCCGTCGCTACCGAGCTGGAGATGCCGCTCGGAACGGACTTGTTGCTCAAGAGCTTCAAGAAATACATTGATTTCAAAAGGCAACCCTGGACACTTGTCGATGAATTTGCCTATAGTTTCGGTCATCAACTTGATCACTCCAGCCGCTTCTGCTCTGACATTGCTGTCTCCTACGAGCATATGCGTGCTCACCAGTTTGAGAATCGCAGGTGTAAGCGTATCGTTTTCGCGTCTCAAGGCACACAGGTAATCATGCCAAGCCAGTATTTCTGGCAGGACTTCGTTGCCATCATGGAACACGTCGCTTTCAGATTCGGTACGGATATGGTGCGTCACCAAGCGGAGGCGGTCGTATTGAAGTACCCCTTGCGCACCGAGTATCACGAACGTTGCGGCGATGGAGAACACGCATCCTAGCGACCATACGTCGCTGTTCAGAGGCACTCTGAGGTCGCTGGCGCCGTCGCTGCTCATCTGCCGGCTCTTCTCTGGTGAAGCTGAGATCACTGCGTTAGCCGTGCGTAGTTATTGCTTCATGATAAGTACGGTCTGATCTTAGACTTTCCACTTACCGTGTGTCTTTGTGCCACCAGGCATACTTGTGTGAGGGTTGTTCGATGAAGTAGACACTTCGATCCTGGCTTCAGCAGAGTCGGCGAGCTTGAAAGAGCCGTCCACCAGTAGAATGTTCTCTAGCTTTACGTCACCATGGCACCTATCATGGTCAGCAAGTGAAACACCAAAACGGAAAGGACGGTTCATACATGTTATAGGTTAGGTCTCGTCGAATCAACTGATGAACCCCATTCAAGGCACATGCCACGTGACACATCTTCTCCCAGAACCGCTTCACTTCGGCCGGTGTAGTGGGAGGGGACATCGTGCGGATGACTGTATAGAAGTCCATCTCACCCCACTCCATCACGATAACGAATACTTCTTCGAGATTGTTATCATCTGACCTGTCGACAGCCTGATACCAGCCGAAGTGTCGTACGACACCGTCCGTTATCTGGCTTGGGTCTTTCATCCCGAGTGCTTCAGCCATTCTTCGGTCGTTCGAGAATAAATTGTACTTGGAGGCGGGGTATTGCTTGAGTACACAGCGACAATGCTAGACAGAATACTTTAGGCACACTCATAACCTGGGGTCTGGGCTTGAACCTACCTTTTCATGGATCGTGGCAGGTGCCAGCTTTCCCTGGAGGGTAGGAGATACCAGCTCCCTGGGGATCTGAACCTCCCACAGGGTTGAGTTGTTCTGTGAACGTACGTAGTCATCCCTATATGGCTCGATCTTGTCTTTTCGGTGCAGGGGAAGGACCTGCTCAGAAAAGTGCTGGCCCATGCCGACATCGAACACCGCAGGGCACCACGTGTATTGCTGATCATGAAATCTTTGGTGAAAGCCATTGTCTTCCAGTAGGTCCTCTCTGTCGAGCTTCTTCATGAGTGTCTCGAGGCTTAGAGGGAGGCTTCTATCATCTAGCCCTTGTTCGCGAAAGATATCAATTAGGTGCGTGCAGTCTAGCTCAACCAGGATGTAGAAGACGGCGAGGTAATCTTCGAGCTGTTCGGTCGATAGGGGAGGATGGTCATAGTATGAATGGTGCCCTGCTACCGCCAAGCGATCCAGATCACTTCTGAAGACGTCGTTGTAGGATGCTGATTTGCTTCAAAGGTGCTTCGTAATCTCGCTGACGAGAACGTACTCTTGGCTACGATAATTTTGTCTCGTGTACTTGCTGCGCGAAGTGTGGAATTCCTGCTTCGCCACCTCGAACTCTTCGCCAAAATTGACAAGTGGTGTAGCAATACCAGGCTGGCTGAGAGGTAATCGAGACAGACAAGTTGCCGGTGGTATATAGCGAGTTCTCGACCACGCGAAGCCGTACGTAGTAAGAGGGACTGAATGGAAAAGGGCGGAGACAGAAGAACACTCTTGAACGGACACTACCACGTTGGTATAGACATTGATTCAAGAAGGAGACTGACCATGCTGGTATGTGGTTCTCGAGTCTCCGGGATTGTGCAGCCTTGTGAGAGGGAGGGGTACGGTAGGTGTCCACGAACCGCTGCATTACTGCAGCACGATGCACCCTACCTTTTCCACTTAGAGCAAGGCTCCGTACAGCATGCGGCTCGATACGATACCATTCTCTTCGTTCTACCATTACCATTAACCTTGGGGCTTCTCAAGGATGCCGACGGGCCACTGGGCCCTTTCGCCCCCACGACGCACCGCTCGATCGTTCTGCAGCCCCCCTTCGTCGTAGCATCTCGCTTACCACTGTGACCACTGAAGGAGGGGAGAAAGATGCAAACGGCAGATGCAAAGGGCATACTGGTATGGCACACTGATCGAGCCTCACCGAGATGTGTATCATCGCCACAGGTCGGTGTCCTCTTGAGCTGCTTCGTCGAATGAACCATGCGAAATCTTGGGATCGATCGTCACATCGCGTCGCGTCAGACCCAAGTGGAATATCTTGAGTAGTGGCTGACTGGTGACCATGAAAGACTTCGTATGTACTGGACGGACAGCCTGTATGCGGTTGTACCGGCCTGTTCTTGCCTGCGAGTGTCCGGTCGGGTTGGCTGGGGGCTGGGGCTGGGGGCTGAGGGGGAGGCATGACTGGGATGTGCTGCCTGTCACGCCAATTCCAGCCTGTAATACCATAGAGATATGCCCGGCATGGTGCCACCCGCTATCGGCTCAAGCCCCCAACCGTTCGGCGGCCTCAATGCGGCTCGCATCTGTCAAACAGTGCGTGGATGGTTTATATGATGGATATTCGTGTATTCAGTGCTGATTGCGTTGTTCAGAAGGTCTGTTGTGGCCTTGGTGCCCAAAATGACCTAATGGCCCTTGTTCAGTGCACTGCCGCCTCCCTGACGCCACGGTGGCTTGCGTGCCTTTCAACACATCAGCATCCTGGCACAGTGTGTGACTTGGAGAGAAGCTGCGGCCATGGAAATCAAGGCGGTGGCAGGTACAGCGTTTCACCAGAGAGTGTAAGCCGTATTAGGTCGCATTAAGGCGCAGTGCAAGTGCATGGTATGTAAATTCTGCGAAGAGGAAATAATCGACGTAATCGTACAGAGCGAATAGACCAGGCGAATGGGTAGCAGCCCCCCTGTCCAGGGAGCTACCAAGAGTCGGTCGATATGCTTTTGTTAAACGTGTCAGGGTAGTTCTCCTCAAGTCTTGCAGTGTCCTTCCTAATCTCAGCCCTCTCATGCCAGTACCAGCCGAAGGCAGCCAAGAGTGTGAACGCCATCAAAGGCAAGCAGACCATGAGCCAGCGTTGGAGCGCCAGGGAAGAGAAAGCTTCGACGTTCAACTGGCCATCGTCTCCCTGGTACTTGACTATATCTGTGCTGAAGATGGTCTTGTTCCAAGTCAGAACGTACTGGGCAGATCAGGAGTAGGGATAGGGGAGACTGACTGAGACGAAGGTTGGTGGCAAGTATAGCAGAGTGATTACCGTAATCACCCGCATCGCAATCGCTTCATACGAGTTCTTCTTCCCTTGTCGCCACATGATGGATGACAGTCCCTCGGCTCGAAGTCCCGCCTGTGTCTGGAGCAGCTGGATGAACTGAGACCGATTAGTACTTTCGAGCGCATTAGTACAGGTTCTGCTCTTACTATTGTCTTCTGGTCGGCCACTCTCTTAGCCAGTACCTGCGCGCGTCGGACTTGCATCTTCCCATCGTAGGTGAGTTCGCGGATCCGAGAGCAAAACGTCTTGACGCTTTGAGAGCATAGATGGCGCTCCGGGTTTGGGAAGCCTTCATCCTTGACGAGATCCCGGTAAAAGGTGCAAAGTGACTCCATGTTATCGATATTCGATTCCAGCACCATGGTCGTCTCGTTCGTCTTGTCCTCATATGCCTGGACCAAGAATAGATCCCTTGGATCGATGTGAGACGTCAAGGGATCTGTTTGAAAGACGAATGGTGACGTCTATAAACACATCAGCCAAGTATCGCCAGCCCGAGGGTCTTTGTGTAAATACCAGCTTCTCGATCTTATCTTCCAGGGACAAGATGTGTTGGCGCCAACCCCCCGCCGCCCACCGAGCCGTTTCGAGATGCACTTCAAGGCTTGACCTGAATGATTGGGAAACAGTAGCAAATTTGTCACGGCAGTTCTTGTGCTCGTTAAATGCTTCTGCGATTAGAGCCTGCATCACTGCGTGAGGGTCTCCGAAGATCCACAACTGCACTCCCGTCCCGGCGTCAAACTGATGGTGGATCACGTCCTGCCGGATCTTCCACGGAATCAGGGATTGCGGGTCTGGATCTTTCAAGACCACCGTCTTCAGGTTGTAGCACAGTTGGAAATGGCGCCCGCTTCGACTAAGGTCTGGACAGATGGTCCCTGGGTGCGGGTTCTGCAGGTACAGTTCCTCCCGAAACCCACTGAACCGTAGCTCGCTGTCTTTGGCTGCGAGGGAACCATACACGTCGAGGAAGTCAAGAAAGTTCGGGGACACCTGATGGTAGCTGAATAACCTCTCTAGGCTCCGCAAGCTGATCTTCAGCGGAGAAGTGACAGTGTCGGCTGTTAAGAAGCTGTGATGTGGTGAGTCTCAGTTGGAAGTCTACCTCGAGTGGTCACTTACACAAAGCGACACCTTGGATCTGCCTTAGTTGCCGACTCGCCGATTCTTCGCTCCGGCTGTAAGGGATCTGAGGTGGAATGATCATCCAGCCACTCCTTGAGGGCATCATCGGAATCCAGGTTGTTCTTCTTCACCTTCCCATCCAACAGTATGTCTCTAATCGGTATGTGTGTATCTGCATCTCCGACCAGGAGTCTCGGCGCCCGTGCCCGTAGCCGATCGCGGAGTGCTCTGAGCTGTGAACTGCCATGATTAGATCTGAGAACGACCTTGTTTGGATACTGGTCGAGATTGGTGTACGACGCTGCGAATTGGAGGGGTAAAGAAATCGTTGCCATGCTCAACACTTAGAGCCTTTCGGGACTACCAATAGATACGTGGACGAAAGCAGAAAACGACGCTCAATGCACGAGACGGCCTGGACGCAGACCAAGGATTGGGGGTTAATCTCCATGACGGACGTCGACCCTGGTTCGAGCTCATCAGATCCGTGTGTATAAGTACGCGCAGCTAATAAGCGACAAAAGGTTGATACAGAGAGAACGGGCCAGGATAAGGGCGTGCAAAGCTGGACGGGCAAGTAAAACCAAGAAATCTAAATCAGCAAGATGCTTCCGACGTGGGTTTTGCGGGGTTCATAAATCAATGGCAGGCCGACCACTGGGGGTGGTGTTTTCGACTCAGGTATGATTCGCGCACCAGGTAGGCATCCATATGCACTGTAACTTGACATGCTTGTTGGTACAACAAGGCAACCAAGAGGTTGCCTACAACCAGTTGAAGCCCCTGTCACAGTGGTAGGCAGAGGCCGCACAGAGGGATTGGAGTGATACCTCAGCAAGCTTTGATTGCGACTGATGGACATAAACTATAGGCATGCCTCAAGCAGCCTTTCCAAGTGCTCCCCTTCAGACTTTGCCGCGTAGTATACTACCATAGAGCCAGCCATGAATGGTCAAATAGAAAGGGCTCTTCGCCATGACTACCATGAGGGACGGTGGCAGAAGAGTCGGAGACCAATTAGAATTCCTCAAATGCCAGATGGGCGGAGCAACAAGCATGTAGGACAAGATACTATGTGAATCGAATGGCCACGACGGGTTCATATTCAAGCGGTGATAGAGAATCAAGATCTATAAGGAAGAAACACTACATGACCCAAGCCTAGAACTCCATCTCCTTGGGCCAGCTGTATCGCCGACACCATCACTTTCTTAAACAGCCAAACCCCCCTTGTCCAGTAGGTACTTGGGGCGATCCACTCTCATCGCTCCTCAAGACGAAGGTAACCGCATATGTCGATGTCGAGATCCAACGACCCATCACTCGTTCAAGGGATAGACTCCGACATTGCGTATCCGCATCCGGCCTGTCAGGTCATGAATGCGGGCCGGGTCCGGGTCCGGTGTCCGGTCAGCGAAGACCGGCCACTCAAGTGCTATCCGACACGATTTATTCTTTATTATTATTAAGCTTTTCGTCCGCAACGGAGGAGCTAAACCCGAATACTCAAAAAGACAACAAAAAGCAGAGCCCCCGTGCTGTACGCTAAGTCTAACAAAATAAAACGCCGCAAATCATCTCAATCCACCAAGGTGCCACTCTAACAGTTCAGGCCAGTCATCTTGGTCATCATCCGCACCAAGAGCGCAATGTCCGCCAGATATCCGCAGCAGCTGGTTCACGAGAGTCGCCGTGACACTCTAACAGGATCCAGGCCAGTCGTCTTGGTCATCATCCGCACCCGCTCCGCAAAGTCCGCCAAATGTCCGCAGCCAGTGGGGTCAGGCCGACGTGTATAAAGTCCAAAGCCTCATACTCATCCAACTTTCTTTAGAGAGAAGAGCTACACATCTAGGAAAACTACCTTAGAGAGTTGAATATAGTTCCGACATTGGACATACCTACAGCAGCTCAGCATGTCGCTCGCTCGCCTACGAAATCTGAAGACGCAGTCGTGGCCACCCCGGCCCACCTTCACTGAAGCCAATGTCCCAGCCGGCTCGCAGGCAGGCCGGGTCTTCATGGTGACAGGTGGTAACGCAGGCATTGGTTTCGAGCTGTGCAAGATCCTATACCCGACAGGCGCGACGATATACATGGCCTCGCGGTCGAGAGTAAGTTGCGCCAACCCCTGATCTACCACCACAAACTGCAGACCTCTAACCCATCCATCAGGGCAAAGCAGAGACAGCCATCAAAGCCATCACGGAGAGCGTCCCTCGGACCCAAGCAGGCAGAGGTCACATCAAGTTCCTGCACCTGGACTTGAACGACCTCGACTCCGTCAAGGCCGCGGCGCACAGCTTCGCCCAGCAGGAATCTAAGCTCGACGTCCTGTGGAACAACGCGGGCGCCGGTGCGAATCGGGTGAAGCTCGGCGAGCGCACTGCGCAGGGCTTCGAGCCCATGATGGGCATGCACTGCGTCGCGACCCTGCTCTTCAGCGCGCTGCTCACGCCGCAACTCAAGGCCGCCGCCGCCGGTGCGGAGTCCACCAGCGGAGCGACCCGTATAGTCTGGCTCGCGAGCGCGCTCGTGGACTCGGGATCGAAACACGGCATCGACTTCGGGGTGCTCGAAACGGGGACCAGCGACTCGGTGCAGAACTACGCGGCATCGAAGATGGGAAGCTGGATCCTGGGCCGCGAGTTCGCGCGGCGGCACGGGCGGGACGGGATCCTGAGCGTGGCGCTGAACCCGGGCAACCTGCGCACCGGCGGCTACGACGGCACGTCGAAGCTACTGATGTCTGTCCTGAATGCCACCATGCTGCACGAGCCCGTCATAGGCGCCTATTCGGAACTGTTTGCTGGGCTGTCGCCGGAGATCACGATGGAGCAGAATGGGATCTATATCATACCCTGGGGTAGGCTGCTGCCCGACGCTGATGTCGTTCGGCAGGATATCTTGAGTGCTATGAAGCCGGAGGAGGAGGGCGGGCTTGGATATGGGAGGCGGTTCTGGGAGTGGTGCGAGACGCAGTGGAAGCCTTATGTTTAGTGGCCAGCCAAGCGTCGGAGTCGGGGGTGAGTTTTATCACCTCGGATATCAAGTTCATGTCAGTTAACGAATGGAAGGTAGGTACATTATGCTGATCCTGACAGCTGATCAGAGTAGTATCTAAGTTATAGACAAGAAACCCACCAAACTAGATCACCCCTGTGTTCACTGATTTTCACCAGCCTTCAAAACACCAGCACCTGCCCCGTCTCAGGCGGTGTTCGTGAAGCAAGCCTGGACCAGAGCACTGTCCGTCCAAGTGTTCCCATTGTTTGTCGGCACCTCGCTGAGCTCATAGGTCGTCGGGCTAAAAGAGCCGGCAGACCACCCGACATACCCAATATAAACATCAGCGTTCTGGTTCACGAACTGCACCTGCTGACAAATGAGTGTTTCGCAGGACGCAGTGTTGCCGCCGCCCATCTCGGTATTGATCGCCTGGCGCCCGTTGGACCGCAGCCAGTCGGCCAGCGGCGAGAAGGCCGTGGCGATGTTGTTGGTCGTGCAGTCGGTGTGGGTGCCCGAGTTGTCTGAGTCCGAGTACTTGTGCACGTCGAAGATCAGCCCGTCGGTCGAGTTGTCTGGGTTAACAACACTCAGTAGTGCAGGACCGCTATTCGTCGGGAAGGCCTGCGCCGACGTCCAGTCGTTGCCGGGGATGAGGATCGTGTTCTCGGCGCCGGTGTTGCGGATCGCCGTCACGACCGCTTGCACCGAGTCGGCCCACAAGTTGATGTCGGGCACGTCGTGCGGCTCGTTCATCAGCCCGAAGAAAATCTTCGGCTCGCTGCCGTACTTGGTCGCGAGTTGCGACCATAGGCTTGCGAACTGCTCGTTGGTGGGCCCGCCCTGCCCGATGATGGCGCCGTTCCAGCGGGCGTAGTTGTGGATCTGGAGTTGCCCTGTCAGCTGCGTATACGAGTCGAGTTAGGGGGAAGCTCGTACGTCAATAATGCATGAAGCGCCAGTGCCCAAGCAGGCCTGGACGAGCTTGTCGTAGTTGGCCACGTTCGTTGCATCCAAGGTGCCACCAAGCTGGTTGGCGACTAGGTACTGCCAACCCACTGGCAAGCGAAAGATGTTCATCGAGTCGTCGTTGACGAAGTGAGCCATCTGGCCAGGTCTGATCAGGGGGTTAGCGACGGTTACAGAAGGAGGATTGGTAGATGGGTCGTTTACCCATCAGGGCCTCCGAGAGCCGGGAGGGGCGGGTAAATGGCACTGGTGTTGCATGTGCCCTTGATAGGGGTCAGCGGCGATATTTATCTCGTTGTCGTTTATGGGCGCGGATTTACAGTTGTGGCACAGCCAAAGTCAAACCCAGCGATGTTCACGCCGAAGTACTGGACGCCAGCACGTTTTGCTTTATGACGATCAGTCTCGTCCCGTCAACTCAGATGGGGTGGAAAGGGAACTTACACAGACTTCCGTGGATGGCATTGCCGTAGGCTCTGGAGTCGAGCTGAGGCGCTGCGTAGGCAACGGAAGCCAGAATGGTGGAGGCAAGAGTGATCTTCATGGTGACTGATCTAGTAGATGGGGAGCTCTAATACTGTCTCTTGGGATCTCGAAGGCTGGCGATAGAGCCAAGAATCTGCAGGCGAGCATGCCTTAAGTATCTGGCAAAGGGCACAGTAGTCGCCAGCGTGGCATGGCAACAACTAAGTGTTAGACGTTGCAGGTGATATCATTCCTTGAGACTGTCTACTATAAGTCATCTATACTTGAAGACGGGAACGGCAAGCTGGTTGGTGAGTTGGACGCGGCACCAGATAACCGAGGCACAAGCTTTTTGGCAATATCGAAGCGCATGAACGGCACCATCCCGAAGACTCGCCCATATTCCAGGCAAGTAATGGCCATACATCCGACCAGGTCGAATTGGGTAGGGGGAGAAGTTCGGAGCAAGACCAGATATAACCAAAACAGCCGGCCGGAATGTCACCATCGGCCCTGGGACCCTGTCTGTGCCCTGTGACACATCCGGATGTGGTAATGATTGAGGGCTCTCTACATGGAACCCATGACTATGACACCCTCAGCGGCAAGGGCCCGCTGCAGAGTGGCAGGTGCCAGATGTGACCAGATCTTGGAAAGCATTAATACACGAATTGCAGGGCTTGGTTGGCGCCACCTCGCAAGGAAGGTCGATCTTGCTCGGCAGCTTGCTTCCGGCAATCTACCCCTGACAGATGGATATCACATCAACCTCTTTCCATCACCTGGTTCAGAGTAAAGTACCGTTACTACTTCAATATGTAGATGTGCCTGAAGATGTCTTGCTCACATTTCCCCATGTACCGGATCGTTTATGTTAGGCAGCCGAGTCACTGACAGACCGGCGTCTCCTATAGTGGCCGCACTATAGAGCGGCACGGGCAAGCATCGCGCATGAATAACCACGACGTGGTAATCGGGACATCGGCAATCGAATTACATGCATACTAGTGGTGAGCTGGCAATCTCAGAACATCGGTCGACCTATGGGAGGCCAACTCGGTCATGGCTATCACCAAATCATCCAGTTGATGCTCGGTGACCAGCGCGATCGCCGCCGGCGTTTAGTCATTCACTTCATGGGTCCGTTTTGACATCTCAGATCCAGATTACCTGGGCTTGTTTACCCACGCGTCGCTCATCACACTATGCAATGTCCTATGGTGATCGCTGTCATGGATTGTTTTGTGGTGCTATGTACATCTCCATCCCAACAGTAGGTGGACGTAATTCCCTTTGTCATCTTGAACTACTATTCACATGATTCAAGCCCCAAGGCCTGTGTTTATCACAATGCCGACCCCAGACATGAGCTTAATGATAAATAAAATCTATGGCCGTTCCGGAATATTGCAGCAAGAGGATATCCCCATTTCTACGAGGAATTGACCATAGCACATACCACCTGCTTTCAATATATGAATTGTGTACCATTAAAGGTGTAATGCACCATTGAGAACGACTATATAAGCTATATCAGGCGTATGGCTCTCTACTGATAATTGAACGAGCGTGCATCATTATCACTGATCCCCTACGTTATCCATACCCGAGACCATGCATCCTTCGGCGTCGACCTCGACGTCGGCGCCGGCCTTTCAAGGACTACCTCGTTTCTAAGCAAACCTCGGCAGGGCAGCTTAGGTAGCCCATACACCAGCTTAGCAAGTGAAGACCGCCGGGCCCGGGACGGTGTACGAGTTGAAGTTATTGTAGATGTTGACCGTGTACCCCGGGTCCGTCGCCTTGAAAGCGCCCGGGATCTTCACCGTCGGGCTCGGCGTCTTGCTGCCGCCGCCCGAGATGCTGACCTGGCCGCACTCGATGTACCACTGGGGAGTGGCGCCCGGGTTGTGGATCGCGAGCTGCTGGATCCGCAGGAGGTACTCGCCGTTGGGAATGCACTTGGGGATGGTCCCGGAGTACGAGGCTAGTCAGGGGTGTCAGTGACGCCCACATTAGTTAGGTAGCTTGAGGTTGGCTTACACTGCATGGCCCAGGTGGCTGAACCGCCGCTGAAAGTCGGGCCTGGTAGATTGGTCAGTGGGTGTCCTATGTCGTGTCTGTTGAGTTGCGGAACCACGTACCCCAGTCGTAGAACTTGAACCAATCTCCGCTGCCATCGTAGTCTTCGACTGCGCCGGGCGCCTTTGACATGTAACTATGGCATGTCAGCGACTGCGTTATCGCATCTCCGGTGCTATCGTTTACTCACAGCGAAGTTGGCCCTTGGTGGTACACAGCCGTGTCGAGGGTGAACGTGAATTGGTCTCCGGCATTCATCTCAACGACGCTGGTGTTGCCACCGCTAGCACCACCAACGTTGCATCGGAGGTCGTTTGAAGCCAGGTCTATGACATCTTAGCATGGAGAGCTCCGACCCCGTCATGATATCTGAACGTACCGGTCACAGGAGAGTTGTAGTTGGTGTTGCGGCGAACGAACTCGTACGGCGTCCCCCCGACACCTCCCTTGTTCAGGGTCTCGAAGATGTAATGACCCGACACGCCCTGGGCAGCCAAAGCCGCGGCGGTAACAGTACCGATGATGCTCTTCATGATGAATCGCGGTCTGGAAGCTTGAATGAAGGGATCTGGCAGGATAATAGAAGAGGCGGCCGTAGATGATGCAGAAAAGGAAACACGCTCGCTCACATCTACCTATCTACCGCGCCTACGTCGTCCTTAAGTGTAAAGACTTCGGCATGCTTCGGCAGTTGATGCTCCATGGTTGACCTCGCGTGCGCTCCCCAGATTCTGTATATGAAACGGGCCGAACTCCAGGTTTTAACATAGTAGGCAGCACATGGCATGCACTGATTGTTGCAATCAAGTGGTCTCTGCCTGGGACGGCCGAGAGGCTAGGTAGTATCTAGTCATTGGGTTGGATGGTGGAATGGGCCTCTATAAGGGCTAAATTAAGGATATATATTGATCTGACCGACGATGGTGGCGTGCCGCTCTTACAGGCTGGTTGGTAAGCCATGCGTCGCCAAGCAATCTATTCCCTTGGTCAGGCAGATGCGTGATAGGTTTCTGTCTGACCTGCTCGGCACAACGCTCGGGTGAAGTATATGATTTGGGACTCCAAGCATAGTAGGATCGTGCTTTAGTTCATGTTGCGAGGCACACCACACACCCCCCTATCTCCGCAGACCGATCGAGCCAAAACGCTGGAAGTTGCTTGCAGGCAATATGGCGTCAAAATTCAGGAGCCCCCCACTACTATACAGTCTATACTCAGAAGGCGCGGCAGTTTAGTTGTTATCATGCCTCAATCATGGCTCTGCATAGCCTCAGGAAGCCCCGTGTTGCTGGTCACTCGGGTATGACGTTGCCCGACTTTCCAAATCTCAATGGTGATTACCAACAAGGATACCGGGAACTGCGAACCTTTTTCAAGTTCCTGACTTCGTATTTGCATCATGCCCAGGTTACTCCACTGATGGTAGGTTCTTACATCAAGACGCATACCCCTATGATCGAGCTTAGCATGTGGATTTTCAATGTATAACCCAGGAGAAACCAGAGGAGCTAGCTAGTCACCACTGATAAGTCTCCTCCGGTGTATCCCAATGGTTCCATATATATCGCTGATATATTTAGATTGCTGGAATAAACGCACTGGTATCATCAGCTTCAACCCAACAAGGCACTTTATATGCTTATCCCGAAGGCCTTATTCCGGTTACAAAAGATACATCTTTACTGCTCGATGAGGGGCGTACATAACTTCAATGAGGGTTTAGTGTACCTGGACCTTTCTAACTTGCAAGGTTTTGGTAGATGCCAACAGTAGTATCTGGGTCGCTTGCCGCATGGCATCAGCACTGACAACGACGACAACTACCCGATTAGATGTGACTCTCAACCTGAAAGTACCGGGAATACTGACTGTAGCTGGCTTCTTAGAGTCAGAATTACCCGTCCCTTCGATCCGTGTGCATTCCATAGATCAGAAGCGGCTTCTCAGTTCCTCGCCAGAAAACTCAAGAATATGTTTGTCCACGTAGAACTAGGCGCCTTCAGCTCACTACGAGCTCCGTCGCCAGTGAAGCGCGACTAGCCTTCAACACCGCTATTGCTGCTGCGTTTCTCAAATCCCCATTTCCCTCTTGTCAACGTGTCTTGCTGGGCCTTGAAGCACCATTCCCAACATACGTGTCTTTGGTGGCGCCTAGGTCATGTCAGTACCTTCATATCTCCCGTAGTGTTCTGGTATGTATTCGCCCACCTCATGACCAGAGTCAATGGCACCGTCAGTCTCTACTCGAGCTGTCTTCGTGTTACCAATGATGGTATTCACTGACACCTTACCTTGGGTGGGAGATTGCCAAGAAGAAAAATGGTGGTGTTGGTCGTCCACGGCGGAACGAGACTCTCCGGGCCCCATCCGGTTGAAGCACTTTCGATTCCGGTAGGAGACACCTTCGAGTTCAACAACACGATCAGCATCGATGTGGCTGACAGAGAATAAATCGTGGATTAGTCAACTTGACGCCTGGCGCTTGAAATGTCATGGCAATAGTCCAACACAGCCCCTATTCCGCCCTCGTAGCCGACTGAACCGAACTTCGGTCCTCACGTGACGGCCCTCTGGTTGGGAGCCAAATGAGCGAGAGTGTAAGATCAAGGGCATCTTGGGTCGGCAAGCCATGGATTCAGCTGATGTCGTCACTTAGAAGGCAGGCGAACTTCTACGATAGCGGTCCTCGAATATAGGCTGAGAAGGCAACAAGTGGCGACAATTGGGCGGAATAATGAGAAGGGGCCCCATACGCCTATTTATCCATATTCAAACCCCAATCTATCTCGGACTTGGCTAGCCCGATGGTCGCATATCAAGCTCCTGACTGATTACTATCCCAAGTATCCCTGCGGAATCTGGTCAAGGTAAAGCCACTTCAGCAGACTACTATATGCATTTGTCAGATACCCATATGCATTAATAACAAGCCTCATGCCAAGTCTCTGGGGCATCAGAGGCTGAGGTGGTATGCTGCGGGGGCACATGTATCGACTGTACCTTTTGGAGACGGTGGTGGAGGGACCGAGGCCTTGCGTCCTGCGGCCACGTAGACAGACTATGCGGGGAACCCTCAACTTATCAGTCAACACGGACAGCGCATGTTCCAGGACATCGTTATTCCGCTGGACAGAAGTCAGCCGAGGCAGCCTCGCTGTCGGGGTTATAGACGCAGATTTCTCCAATTTTCCCGCTGCTGTGGCACGGCGGCATGGTTGACATTTCCAGCCTTCCCCATTGGGCCGGGGCGATCTGCTCTCGTCACCAGACCTGAGATGATGAGATCTGTTCCTTACAGGAATGAGGCTGTCCGGCTGAAGGAGGCGTCTCGGCTGGGAACCACCGCTCTCCAACTCGTCCCCGTCGTGCTCAAACTCGTGCTTGACCGTGTTCAATGGTGAACCATCCAACGCCTCCGACGCTCCCCTTCATCTTCTATAAGTTAACTGACGAGCACCTGATATTAGTTCCAGACCGGCAATGCCTCTAGGAAAATAGCCGCCAGGCTCAATAAAGCTGAAGCGCTTCGCTTCCGCACCAGGAGATTTCATTTCGCGTTAAAGTATTGCCCGGATAGCCATGAGGTCTCGGCTAGCAACCTCGGGCGCCTGTCGCCTGTTTCGACCAGTCGGGTGTCTGCGCCCATCTGGGATCCATCTCACGGTATAGTGTGCTGGTATAGTCCCCATGCGGGCCTCTCATTAAGACTTCTTCTGCCCGGCATGGACCTCCGAGCCCAGCAGAGATCTGTCGCTGATCATGCATCTGTCCCGGAAACTCGGGCGAGCAGGGAGATACCTGGCCTTGTCGGTGCGATGAGACGATGCCATTTATTAAGTGTCCTCATCTCCCAACTTCTGGGCGGGCGTCGGTCACGATTCTTCAGGCTTTGGACGATCAGCCATTGACCTCAAGATGCCGAACGTCTCACGCATCGCGACTGCCATCTTGGCAGCCGCTGCCTGTAAGTTCACCGTGCGCTTGTGAGGTGAAGACGTACTAAAGTTGCTGCCGTAGCTCTTCGAACCTGTGTTGCTCAATCCGCAGTCAATTACACAGACCCAGCGACCGGGATCGATTTTGGGACATGGGTCGAAGGCGATATGACCATCGGCCTGGCGCTGCCTGGTGACGCCTTGACGACGGATGCGACCGAGTACATCGGACTGCTGGTATGCTGGAGATGTCATCCCCCAAGTTATGCAGCACCAAGTGACTGACCACGTTGTTCCAGAGATGCGCGACCGGCTGGTGTGGCCTCTCCCACGGAGAGTCCGGCCAGATGACGCAAGCCCTGCTCCTCATGGCCTGGCCCAACGCCGACGAAGTCCTGACGTCCTTCCGGTTCGCGACCGGCTACGTCATGCCAGAGGCCTACACCGGCGACGCGACGCTGACGCAGATCTCGTCGAGCGTCAACGGTTCGGGCTTCGAGATCATATACCGGTGCCAGAACTGCTTCTCCTGGGACCAGGACGGCGCGGCCGGGAGCGTGAACACCACGGCCAGCTTTTTCGTCCTGGGACAGGCGGTGTCGGCGACGGTCCCTGCTAATCCTGATTGCCCTACCGATATCACCTTCAGCCAGCACGACACCTTTGGTCAGTTTGGCGCTCAACTCGCTGGCGTGGTCAGCGACGACTACAATAGCTGGGCCGCGTTGGCCACGAAGGAGGTCACCGGGGACTGTGGCACAGGAACCGCGCCTACAGACCCGTCAAGTACTGCTTGCGACGCGGCTATGGCTGACCAGGTCTTCGACTGTATGTAAATATTAGAGTCTCTTATTGCCTCTTATGGCCACACATCTTGGTGCCAGATTTCCTATTCTAGCAGCTGGAGAGAGAAACACCACGACTACTTAACTGGTTGACAAGACACATATATGAAAATAGGTTCAAGATTTGTCAGCGCTTGCTTTTGCTAAAGTTCTCGTGTCATTTGCTGTCTCCGTTTGCTCCTCTCTTCTCTAGCCTGTGACAGGGGCACTTTGCTCCCGAGACATGCATCTCGGCTCCTTGCTTCTCGTCACAGTATCTGAAAGGAGTAACTGCTGACTCTAGTTTACTAATAGATGTCATCGTCGGTGCCGGAGCTGGCGGCATTCCCATGGCCGACCGCCTAAGTGAGATGGGCCACACCGTCCTGCTGCTCGAAAAGGGGCCACCATCTCTCGGACAGTGGGGCGGCGACATGAAGCCGCTCTGGCTGGAAAAGACGGACCTCACTCGTTTCGACGTGCCCGGTCTCTGCAACCAGATTTGGGTCGACTCCGCCGGTGTTGCTTGCCAGGACACGGATCAGATGTCCGGCTGCGTCCTGGGTGGCGGCACAGCCGTAAACGCCGGACTGTGGTGGAAAGTAAGAGGCCACACCACCCGCACCCCCAACTCTCCGTGTCACTAACGCGACGATAGGGAAACCCCAAAGATTGGGACGAGAACTTCCCAGAAGGGTGGCACGACAGCGACCTCCAGGACGCCACGGCGAAAGTGTTCGAGCGCATCCCAGGGACCATCAGGCCATCCACAGACGGCCAGCTCTACCTCCCCCAGGGCGTCGACATGTTGAGCGACGCGCTCGCGAATGGAGGCTGGACTAATGTCCCGGTTCCCAACGACGACCCCGGTTCGAAGAACCGCACTTTCGGCGCCACGAGCTACATGTTCGAGGGTGGCGAGCGGTCGGGTCCGATGGGGACGTACCTGGTGTCTGCGGCGACGCGGGACAACTTCCAGATGTGGATGAACACGCCTGCTAGACGTGCTATTCGCACCGGTGGACAGATCACTGGTATTGAGTTGGACTGTACTGTCGAGGGAGGCGAGTTCGGTACTGTTTCCGTGACCCCTGACACCGGCCGGGCCATCGTATCGGCAGGGACTTTTGGTTCGGCCAAGTTCCTGATGAGGAGTAAGTTCTACCTCGTTGCTTGAGGAACTTCACTGACCATCTGCAGGTGGTATTGGCCCCGCTGATCAGCTGGAAGTCGTTGCTTCATCAGCTGACGGCCCATCAATGGTTGGCAACGACTCATGGATCAACCTCCCTGTCGGTCACAACCTCGTCGACCACGTCAATGTGAGTTGCAGTCTCCGGATTCACAGCCCGGAACTCTGCTAACCCAGCCTTACTCAAGACCGATACCTTCATCACCCACCCAGACGTCGTCTTCTACGACTTCTATGCGGCCTGGGACACGCCTGACCCCAATGACGAGGCGAAATATCTTAGTTCGTGACCTCCACGATCCACTGCGCTCTGAATACTGACTGTCTGCAGCCAACCGCACAGGTATTCTCGCGCAATCGGCGCCGAATATCGGACCAGTCGTATGTATTCTCGTTTCACCTCCGAGCATTCGAGCAATGAATGCATTTAACACATGACCAGTTTTGGGAGGAGGTCACCGGCGGGGACGGCATCGTGCGCCAGATCCACTGGACAGCACGGATTGAAGGCGCCGACCAGACGGGCAGCAACAGTCAGTACCCTCAATTCCCAGTCCCCCTGCAACCCAGTCCCCCTCACCCAAAGCCAGAGACCTCAGCACACAAAGAGCTAACATCTCAAAGACACCATGATCATGAGCCAGTATCTCGGCCGCGGCACGACCTCGCGCGGCCGCATGACGATCCAGGGCGACCTCAGCACGCTGGTCTCGGACCCGCCGTACCTCAAGGACGATAACGACAAGCAGGCCGTCATCGCCGGCATCGACAGCCTGCGCGCCACCATCACAGGTTATCCGAACATAACCTGGGCGTTCCCGGCCTTGAACCAGACCACCCAGGACTACGTCGACAGCATACAAGTCAGCGCGGCCAAGCGCCGCGCGAACCACTGGCTGGGTAGGCGCCGCACTCCTGGTCCCCCTCTCCTATTTTCTTTCTTGACTGATTGATATTTGCAGGCACCAACAAGATGGGTCTGGATGACGGCCGCGAGGCCGACGGCACGGCGGTCGTGGATCTCGACTGCAAGGTGTACGGCACAGACAACCTGTTCGTGGTGGACGCGTCCATCTTTCCCGGCATGGTGTCCGCGAACCCGTCGGCCATGATCGTGACGGCGGCAGAGTACGCGTCGTCGAGGATTATGAACCTGGCGCCGGTGCCTGCGCCCAAGTCAGCGGTCTATGACAAGGGTGCAACTATCATCACGCTACCATAGATTTGGTAAAGGAAGTGGGCGCTGATGGCTGCACTTTGGCAACCATATGAGCGGGATTCTTGTACATATTTGGTATCTTCGCGGCTTGGGAACGTCCCTTATTAACAGGAGACGTATATAACACGTCGAAACAGTTGAATTGGCGTGTCTGTGTCAGCTGTTGCAGGACAGATGTAGACACATGCAGTGATAGGCGCGCCCCTTCGGCGGCTAAGTAAGCCGATGTCTTCTGCAGACGAGCCAATGTGCCTAGGCTCCTTGGTTATCAACGAACATCCCAGGGAACAAGCTTTCGAAGTAAGTTGTATCGAAGCCCTACATCACAGAGAGTTAGCTACAATCATACGGCACGTTCGCACCGGTTACTGACCTGGAAAGTCCACTGCTCCGCGTCAGCGGCAAGCTCTGGGTACCGCAGCTGGTCGCTCGTAAACTCGAATTGCATAGGGGCGAAGTCTGTCTCATCGAACGAGGAGAACAAGTTGTTATCGTGCGTCATGTAACTTATATCGGCCGTGTCGGTTTCATTAACGTTGGAGTATGGAGTAGGAAAGCCCTGGAAGTCCGGCATGACGACAGGCGCCGGAGTCTCAGCTGCAGGCGGCGGATTCTCGTCGAGGGATGAGTGCAGCCGCTTCTTGATGTTGATGGTGCCCAAGTAGGGGATGTCCAGCCTTACCGGCACGTCGGCCCCGTCTGCCCCGTAGCGGCTCATCCGATCAGTATCGGCCAGAGGCAGCAACCGACTGATGAGGTCAGAAGACTGGAAGGACAATTTGTCCTTGTTCTTCTCGGCCATGTCACGCAGTTCGAACTGCGTGTCCTGGACCAGCTTCTGATCTGCCTGTCTTGCACGAATGCTGTTCTCGTCGCGCTCATGCAGCTTCGGATCCAGGTACCCGAGTAGCAGCGTCAAACCCGCTGTCAATGCGCCATAGTCGGTATGCCGACATATGAAGGAGGCATCGTTGAGACGCCGGAATAAGAGGAAGCTCCGCAGCAGCTCCCGCGACGAGCTCATGCATGTCGTCTTGCTGTAGTCCCATCGCCGTTCCTTCGGGTCCCGCATCATGTATGGCAAGTGTAGCAGGATGAGAAGGTTGTGGTGATTTAACTGCATCAACAGGTGTGACATGACTTGATGCCGCTCAACGGGTGATGCAGTGGTGTCGAGTTGTACGGGCTGCCAAAACGAGGGACCCATCGACCTCCAGGCCTGCTCGAGGTCGCAGTCGATGGTCTGCGTGGTGCTGAAGGATGAGTCGCTCTTCATATTGGAATTACGCTTGATAAGCGCATGAGCCAGTACGGCGTGCTTTTTCTCCAACCTCTCCATAGGTGAATCATGAGGATCATCATCCGCGAAGGAGTTGTCATCTGTCCCAGCCGGGAGGCCAAGGAGAAGAGAAAGGTAGCGATCGGAGAAGTTGATAACAAACCAGAGCATTTTGGCTTTGGCACGAGTCGATGGATCTGACTTCGGGTCCACGGACTTTAGTGGTTCATCACCCCATCTGTCGGCCCCCATAAGTTGAGCAACCGACAAGGTACGCCGGACAGCGAGCCACGCCTTCCGTAGGTTGCCAGAATTTGTGTGATATAGCATAAGGAGGGTGAGTGCTTCAAGACCTTCCACGGAGCCGACGAGGTCATCGTCAGAAGCAACCAAATCCGAGACGGTCGATGCATATTTGACCATCATTGCCCGCACAGATTCTTTCGATGTCAGACGGAGGAAAGACGAAGGTGGAAGCTGCTGCATGCAGTTGGTCAGTTGCATCAGCCGCTTTGCGAGAAGTGCCGGATGGCTCGTAGCAGATGGGATCTCCGATACCGAGGATGCCGGCTCCGTCCGCCCTTCAGCTCGGTCACGATGACTAGCCACGAACATGACGACGAAGTAAGGGCCTACGCTTGCTGAAGTGATGGCATCGGTATCTTGCTGACAAGGAAACAGGGCATGGAGTGTCTTGGCGACTTGTGCATGCTTGGCCGAGAGCGCCGGTGTATCGTTTTCATACGGGCACGGTGCCGCAGCGACAGCAGGCGATCCTCGCAAAGATTCCAACATTCTACGCACAGGGGGGCGGCCGGCCGAGAACGGACAGGCACCACCTGTGGGATCGATCTCATCTTCGACCGAGACGGATGAACTGCTGCCAACAGCTCTTCGCTCAGGAGTATAAGAGTCGGGCATGATCTTCTCAACAAGTCTCTCCAAGAGGTCCTCCACCCGTCCCAATCTCTGAGTCAGTCGCCTGTCTGGCGCTGGCGGCAGCTCGTCTGCGAACTCCTGGCTCACGCAAGTGGCGCCTCTCGCGTCGCAGCCAGCACACGTTGGTGCATCTTCAGAGGGGTAAAGGCAGCGTATCTTCCTCTTTCGACCTGTTGTATGGGGGAGGTCAGCTGCCATGACTCATGTCGCGCAGGAGTTCTAATGTTGCTCTTACACTCCCAGCAACTTTTGGTCCCCTTGCGCACCTTCCTCCGCTTGGCTTCTGAATCTCCTCCATCAGAGCTGCGAACGGGGAGTTCAGGCATCGTCCAACGACGGAACCTGGACACTCAGTATCTCAGCTCAGGGGGCTCACATATTGCCGTTCGTCTTACCTGTGGCCGTTTTCTCAATCTGTAATTACCTCACAGGGACAGGAAGAACAAGGGTTTGGCGATGGCTTATCAGCGCTTGATGAGGGCTCACTAAAAGTGACGGATGTGTATTCGAACGGATCGAGCAAATGAATCAAACTTCCAGCACTAGACCGTAGTTCTCATTGAGAGGCGGGCCCTAGAATTCATCGTGTTGTGCTGAGGAAGTGAGAGAAACTGTTCTTGCCGATGGATGGGAGGCCGAGGGACGGCTGAGGACGGTGCCAAGACATTTCGTCCGACCGAGCGGACGACCCCGAATTTGTCAGCCCCCTTATTATCAATCACGCCCGTGGGCCCGTGCACGTGGGTGGTCTGCTCTCCCAGCTGATTTGCATTGCCTGAAAGTTGGAGCACTCGTTCTGTTCGAGGTCGTTCTTCCTTTACAATTATGATGAAAGACGTTTGCTATCCAGTCGATCGTCTTTTTGAACTTGGCCCAGTTCATGTAAAAAAGGGAAACGGCATCTTATCCGCTGACAATCGACAAGATACAGCCTGAGCCTTGAGGGGCCACCCAGACTCACTGCTCCATCTCCTTCCTCTCCGCTCTCCTCCGCCTCAACGCTGACCCGTAGACCCCGCCGGCGAGTCCAGCGACAGCCGCGGCCATGACCGCAGCGCCGTGATACGCCGGCTTGAACTCGCCGCGCTGCAAATGCTTCATATTGGTGAAGTACCGCGCCGTGCCGTACAAAATCGAACCCGAGCCCAGGCCCATCAGCACCCCGACGAGCACCTGCACCTGCTCCTTGTCGCGCTCCCTATCGAGCCTGCTCTCCGCGCTCAGGGGCTTGCGGTGGTGCTCCGGCAGGACCTCGCTCAGGTCCAGATGCGAGAAGCGCTCAATGGCGATGCCGAGCGCGACGAAGCCCAGCCCGGTCCGTATCCAGGCCAGGAAGGTGCGCTCGGACGCGAGGTGGTCGCGCGCGACGGAGCCGGTGTTCTTGTATAGAGGTGTGGCAAACCGGGACCAGGGTGCCATGGCTTGGGATGGTTTTTTTTTATGAATTGACAGACGCGAGGATCAGCGTGGATTGGAGGCGCAAGCACAGAACATGATTACGCAACCATCTCTTATCGGCGTCATGATGTTTTGGTGTTGAGATAGCTCCCCTATCGATAAGGCTTGGTCCACTTGCTATTGCTGGGAACATCGTTGGGAAGCTTGAAGCTTTGCAGCTTTCATGCCTCAAGGCATGGATACTCTATTTCCCTGATAACAACATCCGCTTTTCGCGCACGCGTGTCCTCCAGGGCCCCAAGCTTGGAATCCGCTGGCCTCATGCCACACGCGAGGCTTTGTTGAGCGGCTGTGTTTTTCTTCGACAGGTTTGGCCGAGTCCATTGGTAGACAGCGGGGGTGGTGCTCGATCTGCAGACGCAGAACTGATCCATCAAAAAGCTCAGGCTGAGACGTCGTAGCATTGGGATTCTGGCCATCAGGAGTGTGATGTCAACCCCAAGACTCGGACATCCCATCCCGTTGCTGTTGGAACCTAGGCTCCAGCATCCTGTGTGACGATCAGGCCTGCAGTACAACTGGTCAGGACTGATGGATAGATAAAGCTAGATTCAACGATCTATGAAGAAGGAAGAAGGAAGAAGGCAGGCCGCTTCAGGTGAGAGGTGGGCCTCCCATATATATAGGTACATGTGGAGGTACAATGTACTTGTACCGTAACATCCTGCGGGATCACTGACATCATTCCAGAAGGGACCTCTCCTATCTAAAGCGCATTGCTCCATTCACGCAGGCGACATCGCTAGTCTTCGTAAGATTCCGGTGTTGTGTGGATTGGCGGTGGTGGTAGGGAAACGGTGAAGCTTTGGCGAACTCACTGGTTGTCTCATTGAGTGCCTGTCACGGTGGTTGTACTGTATGGTCGCTTCATATCAACATTTTGTTGTAAAAGACTATATATTTACATGCATTTATGTGGCACAAGTTGTTTATATACAGGTCTAACTGTCCTGCCAGCCGAGGAGGCTTCCTTATCTATCACCAGAACGCCTGCAAAATATTCAATCAATGGTATCGTGTAGTTGTACAAGGTATAGTCGTCGTCTCTCTGCACCAACTCGTTCTCTGCCGTAGTCTTCCCCTGGTTGGAGGCTCTCCTTCCATCCTAAAAAAAACCAACATTCCAGGCCGTTCAGTCTGCTAGCAGACGATACCAAGCCCTTCGGCATAGCAAAAGTTGATCTCGTCTGTAGACGAGTTGTGTAAGATCCGGGCGAGAAGGGGCCTTTGGGCAGGCTTCATAGGTCCACGTTTCAACCGTCCGCTTCAAAGAACTTGATGCTGTAGCCAGTGTCCTCCCCGGCACCAGGGGAATTCTTACGGGAGTAGGTCGTATTGCCCTGCCAAACGTAGTTGCCCGTGTACCAGGCACGGGCGTCCCAGCTGTACTTGGTGCCCTTTGGGACAGCGTGGAACATGAAGGAGTTGTTGCCATCCCCGCTGGGGCTGTGGTTGATGTCGCCGTTGGGCAGGGCGAAGGTGTGGTGACCAGGTCCGTCGACGGACTGGGTCGCACTCCAGCCATCCATCATCCTGTCCTGGTGCGAGCCGAAGAGGCAGCCGTTGGACTTGTACCAGTCCCAAATTTTCGTCGGGTCGCCGTCCTTTTTGAGGCGCAGTTCTGCGATGCAGTACTTGTCGCCCCAGCTGCCGTTGGCCGAGTAGACAATGTGCAGCTGTCCGTCCGGATCGACGATGACCTCGGGGCCCTCGTTGACGGCAGGCTTGTCGCCAGTCTCCCATTTTTCGCGTGGCTGCGAAATGATGGTTCGGCTTCCCGTCGGCTCGGTCGGGCTGTTCATTTTGCAGATGTACAGGTCCTGCTCGGAGTTTTTGTCCGTAGCCCAACCAGACCAGACGAACCAGCGCTGGTCCTTGAAGTTGAACAGGGCGCCATCGATAGCCCATTTGTCGTCCGGCAGCTCCAGCTTTGTCTCTGACGGGTAGGTTCCCAGGGGCGAGTCTGCACTGATCGCGTACATACGATGGCTGGACCCTGTGCCGGCCGAAAAGTAGATGTAAGTGGTGTCCCCGTCTTTGGAGATCTCAGGGGCCCAGATTTCGCCTTTGCCATCGTCAGACCAGACCACATTCTCCGTCGCGTCACCGAGACCCTCAAGGGACGATGCCTCGAGAACCACAACATTGCTACCCGATACTGGGACCCCGTAGTAGTTGTCGTCGACTTTCATGATCGACGGATCCGAGCCGTCCCTGACCTTCTTCGAAGCCGTGCCGTCGGTAAACAGACAGAGTATGACTACCACTGCCGAAAGAAGAACGGCGGAGCTCCGCCGGAATGATACCAAAGATGTAAGCATCTTGGCGGCGTTATAGCTAAATATGATCGAGTTTTGTGAATCTCAGATGTAAGAGACTGGTAGCAATGAGACTCGTATCCGGTCTTGTCTCTATAACTTATCTAGGCATAGTCACTGTCCTCGAGACCCTCCTGACCTTTATAACATCTTACTCTTGCACCTCAAGGCTACATGATCAAGAAAGCGGCGATCACTGGGTGGCTTACTTCAGTGAATATTGATAGCTCTGACGCAAGGGCATGATGACAGCTGGAACCAGACTATATACGAGAGGTTTGGGGCATCCTAGCTTCTCCGGACAGCGTGTAGTTTATCTTGCTGCCTGGGCTGGGAGGAGCCAGGATGGATGCTGGTGGAGTAGTCGCTGATGAGCCCTATGATAACATGACGGGAGCCAAGGCAAAAGGATGCACATATCTCGTTGTTGCGACCAGGGGCTATAGTATCCTAATTCCTCTGTAGGCTCTTTGACAACATGACATATTTTATCTTATTGCTTGGCAGTTTATTTTTACTTATTTACAACCCTGAAAAAGTGGCTCTGGAATTGGACACATCAAATGTCTAAAAGCGTCTTTTGATCATGTCTTAGCTGTATAGACGCTGGTAGACGTTATCAGCCCTGGCTGATGGTTTTCATCCGAAAACTTTGATAATAAGTTACTGTCTTCAAGCATACGCTGCAGGTTTCGTGTAATCCCGGCCAGGCTGCTATGCAACCATTCCTACTATAGTCAGGTGGGTAGACTACAATCCATGTCTTTTTTGTGCGCTAGACAGGGAGCTCGGCTGGTGAACTATTTCTGGCATTTCGGAAAAGATCTAGAACATATTTGACGGGGGGTTAGAACTTCTGTCTGCAACCATGTGGGTCGATGGCTCCAAATGCCAGACACAGCTGAGTTTGCCAAGGACGAGGCTCATTGCAAAACTCCCTATTGGATTGACCATCATCTAGGAAGAGCTGAGATGGCTGTCTACTCTGATAATTTAGATGAGCAAGAGCGCGTTAAGTTTGTCGACTTGTTACTATCCTAAGCTGGTAGGGGCCATGATATGCGACTTATTCGCTGTCATACCCATCAAGCACTAAAACATCGATAGTTATATCTACCAGCAATGTTCTCTTACTCTATTCGGTCCTGGATATGAACGCAGAGAGGTATGTGTGAGCCACAATACCTACCGACCTACTCGACGTCTGAGTATCGTCGGCACTGGAATGTCGACCGCTGCAAGGTTATGGTGGGTGTGGAAACTTAGGAGCAGCGCAAACTCGGATGCCGCATGTCGCCCCAACGCGCGATGGAAGAAGATCGATCTTCGCGATCTGTGAGGGATGATATCACACGGGTCTCTCTGCTTCATGATGTCAATTCTTGAAGGATGCAGGAATCAACATCTGAGAACGTTCGTGAACGTGGGTGATGGATGTTACATCAACGAACTCGCGTTCGCTTTGATCCAGTCACAAGATGCAGTACTGCGGACCAGATCATGACACCATGTTGCTGCTGGGCTGACAGCTCCATCAACAGAGCGCCCAAGAGCCATGATCGGGATTCCGATCGTGTGTTTGAGAGTTCCTGCATCTGGAGCAGTGACATCCTAAGATCGTCATGACGTCTCAGGCTCCAGCTGCTCTAGGTTGGCCCAGCCAGACAGTAGGTTTTCCTCGGTGCCTAGAGACGATTGATGTCTACTGGGCCCGTGACGGCAGCCCAGTAGAAGGAGTAGAAGGACCTCCAGCTCCACCGGAATGCCCGCAGCCACCTTATGGTGATCACTGGGTGGTGCCACGGGAGGATCCGAGAGAGGTGCCGCAGTGCCCTGCATACATACTTTGATGGGTGCCTAGGTAGGAACGAAGATGAGGAATGAAATAGCGGTAAAGGAGTGTCAAGAGAACCAGTAAAGGATCGCTTGAACGCTGCGGATTTATAACTAGGCAACATCATCGACAGACATAGAATGTGTCGGCACAACACTCTGACTGCGAGTGGCCTCAGATCAAGCAAATCAGGACCCTGACGATCACTTGGGAGCGTTAGCTGATCACTCAGAAGGAAGGCTACTTGCGATCGCGACACAAGTCAACCATGTTTGTGACTTGCTTCCGTAGCCTCCGTTACGCCCCGGATTACCTACACTCCCAACACACGGCTACAGCCAAACCGCTCGGCAGCTATGCAAAGGGACTTGCCCGAATCCGTCACCGCTCAACCCAGCGACGACAGCAGAGCCAGAACACCTGCAGCCATCCGCCGCACGTCGTGTCACAAAATCTCCGAGGAGGCTCGCTGCAGGATACTTTCCGATCAGGAAGTCTGGACCGGCCTCATGTACCTGTACCAGTAAGAGCACCAGTGACAAGCAGACAGACAAGCTGCATCTATCCGCAGATCCACAACAGGGCCAACACCACCACCTTCGTGACGCCCGGCCGGGCTCGGTGGGCGCCGCCTCGTCTTGCAGGAGCTGCCCGGGTGCCTACCTACCGAGCCTACCTAGCTCCCTAGCCTCCCATCGCTGTCTGGAAGTCGAAGTCAAGATGACGCTGATGCATCTACCCGTCACGAGATGCGCGGCGGATCTGAGCGGTCACTGCGGGCGTTACTGATGAGAGAGTCTCTGGACTCTTATACGGAAGGATGGACATGGGCTCCACCTCGGCCATTGGAGGAGCGCAGGGGACCTTTTATCCAGCATCCATCATCCATCCAATATCCATCCGTCTAATCCATCCGCTACAAGGCAGCACTTCTTGGCGATCCTGATTCCTTCATCGGTCATGCCAGAGGTAGGGCCCAGATAGACAAATGTTCTGGGGGGTTCGAACATCGGATGACGTGGCAACGGATACCCTGCCGAGAGACGGTCGTCTGGCGTGTATACATGCGTGCATGCGTGTCTGCCGTCAGACGGTGCATCCAATCGACGCACGTCGGAGAATTCAACCTGCGCTATGCTGTGTATGCATGCGTGATGCGTGCCGGCAGAAACGGGCAGCCGCGCCTCGGTGCGACGGTGCCATGATGTGTGCTCTCGCCCTGTCAGCCGGCAATGATGGGATGGTCATGTTCCTGGCGGTGTGGTAGCGTGGGAAACACAAGGACAACAGACAGACAGCCGCCAACACCTGGTCGCCTCGCGGTCGGTTTGCTCTTCGCGAGACCTCATGGACTCGTTGGATTGGCAAGATAGGGGACGCTGCGTCTTGCCGCCAGCAGGTCATGCTAGCGTGTTGGTCGATAATCAGTTGATTCCAGACGAGTGTTTATTCGGCGCTCAGTTGATACATCGACTACATTATACGAGGATCAGATGATGCGTTCAGCGACATCTTTCGTCCCACCCCTCCCGTCCCAAGCCTTGAGGACCCTAGAAGTCAGGTCTGCACCCTCCTCAATGCTATGCTGAGCCAAGTATTCGGCCTCAAGTCTGCCATGGCGTATCCAAGCCTCGGCCACCACGTCGTTCTTCGGCCGCTCGCCCATCGATCTGCTCGCCTCAATGTCGACAGCCCTACCGGTACGTTGAGCAGGGCAAGCAGGCACCTGAGGAGGGCGAAGGGAAGCTGTGCAGGCCGCTGGGCGACGGAAGCTAGCTCTTTGATTGGTTTGGCAAGCCGGAACCCAATCATCTGGCCGTACGAGTACAGACGGGGATTGCTGGCAAACAGATCTGGCTCTGTGTGACTACCTAGTCCATACGCAATGAAGTCAACCAGGTTGTAGAACCCGAAGGAAATGTAGCTGATGAGGGTGAGGGGCGCTGAATACTGTGAACAGATACACATTGAGCACTTGATTATCGGGCTTACCTCGAAGTATATGGAGAAGTAGGAAAAGGGCGCCAATAAGGAAAGCCGGCGGGCCCTTCGAGCTCTGGCCGGGTGAAGACTCTGTCTTTTTCTTCGGAGTTGCTTATTTGCTCTGGGGCCTTGCCATTCGAGACCATTTGCTTTACGTCTGCTTTGATGGAAGAGGCAATGCGGCCAACCGCTAGGATAGAGCCGCTCAGGGGGTCACCCGGACTAGCGAGATCAGGTAGTTTTACGAGCATCAGACGCTCCAGGTCAGTTTGGCTCACTTTGCCTTCACGCACCAGGACGTGTGCTGCGACAGCAGAGAGTTTACTTGCACGGCTTGATGCAAGTTTCCAGACGGCCGGCTTGTCAGGGAACACGTCGCAGCGCCCTTTGCTGTCGTAGATGCTGAAGGTTCGCTGTGCGCGCTGTGCAAACACCTCCTGGCCTGGTTCTTCGCTGGCAATCTTAGCTGCCATGCCAGCAGCCGCCTCGGCATACTTTGGGTTCAGGACGTCTTTTATACGTCCTACCAGTTTGTCGGCTGTGAGCTGGGCGGTGGACAGCGGCTCTGGTCCGCAACCTGCCCTGACGACTCGATTCGCCCAGAATGGCTGATCACCGGCAACAGGACACATAACGATAGGACGGCCGCACCTGAGGGCCATTGCCGTCGTGCCTGCTCCGCCATGTATCACGACTGCGGAGACACGAGGAAACAGCCAGTCGTGAGGGCACTCTTTGGTCAAGAATACACTCTGAGGTGCGTCGAAACCGTCTGTCTCAAGTCCGGACAAGCCTAGTGCCACAACAGCGCGCACGCCAGCTTTCTCTATGCCTTCACACACATCCTGAAAAACTTTCAGGGGCTCTAGAAATGGCATGCTGCCGAACCCGACATAGATCGGCTTGTCTCCCGCCTCAAGAAAACGTTCAAGGTCGGCTGGTGCCTCGTAGTCGGGATCATCGTGAAACATGAAGCCGGCGATGTCAATGTGGTCGCCCCAGTCGCGCGGTGCTGGCAGAAAGTCGGGCGACCAGGTGTTGGTAAAGGGGACACGGAGGCGGTTCCATTGACTCATGTACCACAACGGTGTAAAAGGCTCGAGGCCCATCCATTCCACGCGTAACTCTATCATGAGGGACTTGAAAGTTTGGAAAAAGCTTGAAACACAACGTCAGCGCAAGCAGTACCGCACCGAACCGGTCGAATGGGTTGCTTACAGTATGTCCTGAAACCACCATGAAAACTTGTTCTGCAATACGGAATCGCCCTTGGCCATACCCCCTGCCTGCGAGTGTGGCAGTCACTTTGAAGAGCTGCGGAGGTTTGTGCCCAGTAAATGTAGAGGGATGCCCATTCGAGTGGCGATCCATGAGTGCGCAAAACACTGGAAGATGCTGACGACGACATCCGCCACGAAAGGCGCGGGTGCCGCTCCGCTGGGGATACCGGCAGGGTCGTTGACGCACGCTTTCCAATAGCGTTCGCCCATCGTCTGGAACTCGTCCTTGATCATGGGCATCATCTTCGTGATTTCCTCTCGCGGCAGGTGTCTTCTGCGCATCATCTCTCGGGGATCTACTGAGCCGGAAAAGTAGAACTCGACCCCAGCGGCTTCGACATGTGGCTTGTGTGTGTCGTGAGTGCCGAAGCGAACACGGTGGCCATAGTGGTGTTGTAGAGTCTTTGCGATCTCCAAGTGTGTGCGCAAGTCGCCGCGGCTACCGAGACTCAGAAACACAATGTTGAGCTTGACGTTCGGCGCGCCGCACTCTGTTGACGCGCTTGTGCCATTCCCAGCACCGCTCGTCATGTTGGGCGTCATCTTCAGCCTTTAGTTTGTGAGTGGAACACAAAAGTCGATCTTACGCCCGCTCGGCTTGATATATGGTCTTTCAGTCCACCCAGCAAAGTCGCGAGCATCCATATCTTCAGTAGAACGAATTGGGACCTTTTCAAGAAACGGCGCTGACGACACGGTATCTAGCGATATCGAAATGAGATGTCAGATTTTAGTCCAATCTTAGGCTCAGCTGCCCCGCGACTCCTAGGATCGCAACCAAGCTCATTTGCTCATCCAGGGGTATAACGTGTTCTGTGGGCTATGCAATTCCATATGAAATGACGATCCTTGAAGTGAGTAAAGGTGCTCCGATTGTCTCATCGCTTGAGTAGAGACGGCATTCCACGACGTCGTCAAGGTCCACGTGAATACCATACCGGTTACTGCCACTGCTGTTGTCCTCTGATGAACGGCAATGCTGCAATTGCAGGGACTCGAGAGGGCACTCGCAGAGCACCCGCATGCCAACAATTGACGAGGAACGCAGACGCAAGGGACAACACTCAGGTGGCAGAAACCCAACGGCCTGAGGCTTATGAAGTACAGGCTGAATGTCTGTGGCGCCTGGTGTATGACGGGAGATCCCACCAACCTGGTTACGTGGGGGCGGCATTGTCTGCCAGTGCAGGGAGGCTTTTTTGCCGTAAAATAAAAATCACTTAAACCAAAGATCGAGGCTCGAGGCTCGAGGCTCAGATCACATAGCGAAAACAGCGACAGCTGTCAGAGACGGGCATTGGCTCGCTCGGATCTCGGAGCGGATCATGTATGTGCCAATATGGAACCCCAGACTCGTTCAAAGGCGGAAGCACACCCGGCGTGAGCGACGTTGGTTCATCTGAGAGTCAGCCACCGGGAGTCTGTGGACAGCTCGCAAAGATGCCACTTGAAGCCCCGTAGCAGACGATGAAACTAGCAGCTACTCAGACGGTCCGATATGACGCTCGCTTCGAGGCCTGCCACGATCGTGGCTCTTGGAGTTGTGTGGAGACGATAAGAATATGATCGTCACAAGGAGCAGAGAATGCCAGAGCTTGTCTGTCCTGTCGGCTGTCGCCAGACTCTCTCCTTGCCGCTTTACCATAATAAGGAGAGAGTCTTGTATCAGTCTTGCATCTTGCACAGTGAGTGCAACGGCATCCCCTCTCATGTTCTGATTCACGCTGGCGGCCGGGGGCTGCTGGGCTAGGCATGGTCCACGTACGTTGCCAGGTGGTGCATAAGGTGGCAGAGATGATAGATCTTCCGTGCCGCCCGTGGAATCCCGTCATTCTGAAAAACCCTCAGCTAAAGACATATAACTGCTTAGAAAGGTAATAAGCTAGTTGGAATGCAACTAGGCATTGTAGTGACTTACCGACCCCCGATGTACCCACTTTAAATGTCTTTTGATCACCCAGCCGGAAAAACACCATAATAATATAAACCTTGAACACCTGCATTCAATGGGTTTTCCCACACCTTGCGCTCCTCAGGAGTCAAATCGACTGTCCACCCCTCTTTCTGCCTCGAGCGACGACCAAGCACTGAACAGCCGTGTCGAGTTGTGTGATCTGCAGCGCCCCAAGGGTTCATGGCCACACGTGTTTCTGGAACGCATGAACTTCAGAAGAAACGGTTATGCCCGTTTTGGACATGTCCAACGCCGGCTGAAACACCAGTCATGGCCAAGATACTTTCCTCGATGCTGGTGGATGTGGGCCCCGGGCTCAGCCTCACTGTCGCCCAGACGCTACGATAGTTCGTCGTGCTGCCTTTTACTTCGTTCAAAATATAGTTCGTCCGCGGCCTTTACCAAAGCCAGCACAGCCTCACCAACTACCGTTCTTGGAAGGGAAGATGAAACCACCGGCGACAGGTCTGATGGGCCAATCGCAAACGCCCGGACCAGAGACTCAGCATGATACCACCGTATCGTTCTCGTCGATTCCAACTGTCAACAAGAGCCCGCAGGCACCCCAGGCACACAATACCAGCGTTATCATGATTTGGTTTGTGTCCATGTCCAGCTGGGTCTGCCATCGTCACGCCCGCTACGTTTCCGCTGACCGTGGAATGTGTGTGGTTTGCGATGCCGAGATGTCACGGCAGCACATGGAGTATGGTACTGGCAATTGCCCTACGCGCAACACGTCGTCCCTGCTGTGTCGTCACCGTCGCTGCCGGACGGCGTGTCGCACCAGGTGGCCTTGCATACACGTATTGAACAACGCAAAATGCCCTCATCGCGTGGAAGCATGTCACCAGCGCTACTGATACTGGTACTGATACTGGTACTGATACTGATACTGATACTGGTACTGGTACCTACGCAATGTCAGCTTCTTGCTGATCTCTTCAACGGTCTGAAAGTCACAGGCCACAGGCCACAAGCTCTCCACCTTATTCACCCGTCCGTAGGGCTGCGCGGTCCCGAGGCATCGTGGCCTCCACTCCGGCCCCTCCAATGTGTGCTAAAGTCGCTAGCATTGTAATCTGTAACCCCCAATTCGGTGAAACGACAAGGCTTCGTGGTGGAAGCCTCGGCACCTCCCGACCGGCACGGCCGTCGACATTGATGAGAGTCTTCTGGCTCTACCGGTCATATGCCAATCCGGTCACAGATGGTAGCCTGCATACGGCAATGCATCTGAGTTTCAAGCCCGTCGCCGGTCTCAGTTTGCCGATCATTACAGTTGTTACTTTTGAAGGTCGCCTGGATTCCTGGAAGCTGGCGTCTAGCCCGTCTAACTCGCCTGTCGGCTGAACTGCTCTGAATTGCATCCCCTGTCGACATCCGACAGGCGCCCCTGACAACTCCCTAACCCCCAGCTGGTAGCCGGCTGTGGCGTGACTGGTCGCCCGCTCTCTGACTGAAGCCTGATTGATTAGCTGCAGAATAGTTGCAGCAGCGGCAGAGCACGGCAGCGCAAGCTATCAGATGTCGTCAAACGGTGGGGATGGTCTATTCTGAATACGGTATGATGCTCTGGAAATGGAAGTCTCCAAGTCCCAGCTCTACCTTTCTAGCATCTGTAGTTGGAAGGCTAGCACCACACGATCTGTTAGTATATCCTAATCTGTCTGATGAAGCACCGGTGGCGGTTTATATAGGGCGTCTAGGCTGGGAATGGTCCAGCGCCGCGCTTAAGTTTATTAGTAAGTTACTTGGGGCTAGATGATCTGCGTGTGTAAGCAGACTTTTCGTCGTCCATTACCAGATGCCCACATGGCTCTGCTCTCAGCCGCTCTAGCCTCTATCACTTGAATAATATTCGACCACCTACCTGCAGGTGCCTTCTCAGCTCAGAGCTGTCCGGGACGCAGGCATCATGAGGCATCGAATCCCAAACCCCTGGCCGGCCGGGACCCTGTGAGGATCACAGGGGTTCAGACGAGTGCCGCACTTGACGCCATGATCCACGACACTGATCTGACGCACCAGGGTGACCCTCTAAAACGACCGGCTCACGTCGCTATCAACGCCAGGGAAACTGCATCGAGACCCATCTCGAGTTGCACACCCGAACGGGCAGGCAGGCCACATCCTTGGGACAACAGGGCCTTGTCCTGGAGCGACTTGACCGTTTGGAGAGCACCTGGCCACTGCCCAAACGTGCTGTGGGGTATGCTAGATGTCCATCAGCCTTGACAGCTACACGCTACGCATCATGCGAACTCTCTAGGTAGCCCTTCTCTGTCTTCATCATTTCATTCCACGTCCACAGTGTTGTGCAATATGACAGACGTTTCTCGTGTTCGGTTTATCTTTCCGTTGGTCTCCTTTTGAAGCATGGTGGGCCTCCGGTGCGGACTCAGGACAAACTTTACTAAGCTTCAGCTTGAGGTCTTCGACACACACATACCAACATCTCTCGGATACTCCAAGCTTCACTTACCCCGGGCCCAAACAGCCAGCGTCTTCAGATGCTGCTCTAAGTTCATGCAACAACTGTTGCACAGCCTTCCCTTCTCTGATTCTGGGGCTGCCATCCCTTTCGTTATTGTGTCTTCGTCGTATATTTCTCTGCAACGGCCCAGTGTGCCCCTACATTGACGGCGTGCATTCAGTCGACAGTAGAGTCGTCTCGAGTCTGCCTACTTGAATTGTGGTATCCCGGATCTCTTCAGCTCGAGTTTCAAGTGCTTGAGAGCAGCCAGAGGCCTTTTAATTCATCTGCGGCCAGCTGCCCGTTAGAGAAGGCAGAACGGAGTCACAACTGGATTGTCGTCTCAAAACACCTCCGTCAAACGACAAGGGCCTCTTATTGTCTTCGTTTCCCTCGGTTCCCTCAGTGCCCGATTTCGCTGGCAAGATCGCCGTCTGTTCAACATCCGTACCACCTGGTAGCCAGTCAGCCCGTCCACGCTGTCTCCCCCGGGGCAGAGCCGTTTCGATCGTTTCAATTTTCGCGCGCTTGCCAGTCTTTCCAGCGTTGATCACGTTGGCACTTATGGTTATCTTACGGGACATTGGGCTATACTTTCCCCAGACCACATAAGGCTTGACATCGCATATGCGTCGCTCCCAGCCCACTCGATCCCCTTCTCCATCCTCATCGCAGGAAGCCACACTACCAGGATCCGGCGCAACGACCAACGTACTCGACGTTCCACCCCAGGTTGTCCGACAGAGAGACAGAGAGCTTGATCCCGTCTCAGTGCTGTGGACTCTCTCTCAGCTTACGTCCAGGTCTACAAGGAGGAAGGGCGCAACTGGGACGGATAGGGAGGAGTAAAAGTCGAAGAAGGTTCATGCTTTTGGATCTGCATGATAGGCAGCTCGAGGCCAAGTCGCGGACACAAGTGCATGGATCGATTCGGCGCAGGCAATCTTTGGTACCCTGTTGTCACAAGGCGGAAGGCACGTTCCCTCGACGACTCTTGCGGCGTTTGATACCGACCCTTCCAAAGCGGAACACATTACAACAACGACCGAGGTATCGCTTCCGACTGCGTTTTGACAACGTGGTGGCTTCGGTCAAGACGGTGTACAGCACGCTGTATACGCCTTGGGCCAGAGTAAACCCTCTTCACCTTTGGTGTCGCCTTACTCGCTGAGCCCGACTTTAGCACTTTGCGCACTAACCGGCACCTCGAGCTTTTTGGACTTTCCGCAACAGGTCATCCATGGTGACAGCGTCCTCGGATTTTGGACCTGCATGCCTATTAGCCAAGCCAGGCGCAGGCTAGTTGGCGTACTCACCGGTCCCTGAAAGCCTACTCTCTCGCGATCTGTGCTTCTGCGGCTGCTGGAACCATTTTGTTCTGCCGACATTCAAGCTTATTAATTGTCGGGTGTATTCTTCGTTCTTGATACCAGGTTCACGTTTCATGCGAAATGACCTGATGTGATCGGGGCTGTCGATTTTGGTTGATTCGTTGTTTTCGCGACCGTCTCGAGGGGCAGCGCTTTGCCCAATTCAGGCGCAAGATATTGGTAGATATTGAGGCTCCGAAAACTATTAGCACAATGGACGTCACGTCATTGCTAAACGCAGCATCGGCTGTGCACAAGGAGGCGGCATTGACGAGGGAAGGATCAAACTCGATGGATCAAACACTTATATCGTCGATACTCGATGAGGGTACCTCATACTCACCCTTTACGCGGGCAGAATCTCCGGAAAAGACGCCTTCGCGAAGGACAAGTGACTCCAAACCACCAAGTCGGAATAGGACACCGTGGGATGCGAATGGATATGCACTGCCTCTGACCGTGGACACTAAATCAACACAAGCACCTGCTGGACCGATATGTTATAGCGAGTCTCCTGTGGATTCCGTCAGCCCGAATTCTGAACCGAGACACAAAATATCTGACAGCCAGAGTAGTATGTCATCGTACGCCTCTTCATCGACGTCTTTGACTCACTCTCGAATCTCCTCCATGTCCACCGTGAGCGGCATGCACACCATGAGCACCATTCCTGATGTCTCGTCGCTCGAGGTTAGGTCCGATTGCGCCGAACAATCGGTGGGCTCTAACAAACGGCCGAGGAGGGAGGGGGTCTTGTCTCCGGCGCCAATTCTCGAGGAACCGGCCACCACTGGACATGGACGGCCCGGCTCCCCCTCTGATGCCATGCTGATGTCGAGGACTATACAGTGCCCCGATCGGATGAGCCCACCGGTCACCATCATGTGAGTAACGATTCAATTTCCGTCAGATATGAGATGGCATCGGCCAATGGCTGGCTACGCTACCCCCGCTCGATGATTCACGCAGAAAGGGCGGTGCAGAACAAAAGGCCTGGACAGGCTCGGTCAATCAGGAGCAATCATCGGCACCTTGAGGTGGTGAACTGGTACTGGTCGTCCTGATGTTGGTCTCTGGCCCGGCGTAGCTTGATTTCAGATACCTATCTGGTACCTTCGTTCATTACCTTCACCCCTTATCACAAAGGGACAGAAGCATTGTTTACCCACTGAATCACCCCTTCATTTCATCACGCACTCGAGCTTGGGCTCCTGTGTTGACAGCTATTCATTCTCTATTTGAGCTGCCAATCTTGTACGTTGATAATGACCTTGCTGACTCGACCCAATCCTAGCCCAAAACACTTGCGGAGAGAAACCGGCTACCTCGTCCCGCCTGATCTTGCCAAAGCACATAAACGAGCTGCTTCTGCACCCGACTTTGCTCCTGTCAACTCCTTAGATCGGACATTCCCTCCTCTTCCTACCACACATCAGCCCACTCCTCCACCATCCTATCACGCTGATCGCCGGCCAAGCTACGCGATGGATATCAAGTCTTCTTCCCCTATCGACGATACAGTCCCTTCCCTTGAGGAGGGTGTCCACTGCATGTACGTTGATGACTGCGATACCAATTCCCAACCTCGCAAGGCAATATCGCATATATTTGGGCGAAACAAGCTGTGCACGCGCATGATCCCTCCCCACGTCTGGGTACACTATTGTCGGAAGCACTACCAACGAACCAGATACCGCAATGCACAAGAGTATGCTAAGGTGCAGTGCGATCTTGTCCGGAGACAGGTCCGCCGCGTGCAAAGCTGGAGTGACCAGAACCGAGAAGTCGGAACCATCGGCGTACTTCAGGACTGGACCTTGGCGATGAGAAAGCGGGAGCAGGCCCGAGTACAAGACAAGTCCAAAAACAAGCGACGACGCCGCTGTGAGGATAGCGACGAAGAGGACGCCAAAGACGAGGGCGTCGACGAAGAAGAAGATGAAGAAGAGACCATCGATCGGGCTATACTAAACGGCACTGCTGTTCCGGACTGGTTGCGTAAGATGTGCCGCGACGGATACACCACGGCCGAGATCGTCGAGATCGTTGGAGAGCTGAAGGAGCACATGGAACACCACGGTCTCACACAGATTCCGGATATTGAGATCCTCCCCAACATCTCTGGCAACCCGGCTGACGAGGCCAAGCCCACCAAGGCAGCTTCCAAGCGCAAGACCAGCGCCAACAGAGAGAGCAAGCGGCAGATGATCGGTGGCCAGTCGGGACTCCCTGAACGTTTGATCCCCACCACCCCCGGTGCATCGGCGGTAAGACCCATCCATCACCTCGCACATCGCCCACGCCAAACCTTCCACGGCATCCAGGAGCAGCGAGCAGAGGAGTCGTACTTCAACAGCGAGAGTGCCAGAGGACCTCATTACAGCTTCTCAGGTCCACTGCCTGCGCCGACTCCCCAGCGGCTCGGTGGCCAACCCATGGCTACGCAGCTCGAGTCCAGCACTGCATCCGGCTACCACGACAGTCGGCGTCCGTCCCACCAGCGATCGTACTCGGAAGCCGGCAGCTTCATCCATAGCCCTGAGTTCTCGTTCCACGCGAACACGTCGTCCCAGTACCCTTCCATGCCTCCGAGCTACCACCACGATCCTCCGTCCTACGATAACCGCTACGCGCAGGGCGACCGGACGTTCGCGGCTTCGGGCCCACCCTCCTATTATGAGGATGTGGCGTCGTCACCCCGGACCTACACCACCCCGCAATTCTCCACGTGGTCCTCCCCGGCCCCGTCGAACCTGTCGCACCCGTCACCTTACGCCGGAAGCCGACATGCTCGGCACCAGAGCACTCCCAACTCTGCCCACCCGAGTATTCCTCGTGTCTCTGGTCTGGACTACGACCACCCCCCGGCTTCTCGCTCCCCGAGTTCGTTTGCAGCGTCCCCTTCTTATCACCGACGCCAGCATTCATTCGCGCCCTTGGCCCGGAATTACAGCTCCTACAGTCAGCCTTCTTCCATCCAGGAATCCGACCAGACCAAGTCGCTGTACGGCGAGCGTCGCTAGGGATACGCCGGTCACTCGGTCCTCAGGGCACGCTGGGTGTGTAATCTTTCATGAACACCATCAGCTTCAGCCCTTGCGATATGGACCGTGCTTCCAGGCGCATGGGTAGGTACCAACTGGTCCTCCATGCGCATCACGACCTAGATGCTCCACTCTTTCACTACGGCATTTACACAACTTATCGACGGCATACGGCATATGGCATACGGCATTCTATTACTTCCTGACGAGTGACGGAAGATCTCATGTCTCACCTTCATCTTCATCACTTTTCCTACTACGATTTTCCTAACGCATGACGATCCCATACCATAGACGCACCACTCAATCGAGAGCTAGATAGACGGTTTCCTTCGGACTATACCATGGCCTATCGGAATCACGGCGAGCAGCAACCAGGCGGATAGACGACAAGGCGCTACTCCGGAATGCGCTCGCGATCATTACATTTACACACACTCGTCGTCACGCCGTGGGCTTCTTCACACTTTCACCAATGGCCATCGGGTAATACTGGGGAAAAGGCAGACGAGAAACTATCACACGTTCGGTGTCTAGGTGTTGGTGGGCAATTACCTTTGTAACATCACGAAACAACTCGGCGGAAAAAACTTAACAGATGGAGTAACGGGGGGGATTGCACTTTCAACCGAGATACCCGGACCGCTCCCTGGAGGCTTGTGGTTCGTTTCCTTCCGGCGGGTTTACAGAAAAAATGGGAATATGGGCAGACAGACGGAAAGACAGAGACGGGAAGATTGCTGAGATGGCAAAGGTTCTTTCATAGTTTCTTTTCTCTGATTCCGGCTCGTCCTATCCTCGTTAGGCGGCTACTTACCTGTATGGGTGAAGGGCTTAGATAGCTCATAATTCCATCTCTGTCAATGCGATGATTTTTCTTTCCTAGTCTGGTCAAGCGCCCGTTACTGAGATGTTTGGCATGAATGTGTGGGATGGTGGTGGTGGTGGTGATGCTCGTGCGTTGTGGTGGTGCTAAGGTTTCCCACTTGAGGCGTTGAGCATGTAGCATCAAGCCTTGCGCCTAGACCGATCTCCCGTCGACGCCACCAGAGTCGCTTTTGAGTTTCAAGATGCATATGTAATTCCAGCCGTTGGTACCACGGTAGATCTAAGGTACCTTAGTCTTCCGTCTAGGTACCGACTATCCATCGGTCCTACCCAGTCAAAGCGCTCACCGAACACGTTGCTTGCTTGGGCGAGCGAGTACTCGTGGTAGGTAATAACAAACAATCTGCTGCTAGTACGCCACCATGCTCTCACGGCAGTCTCTGGGCAGATGCGTGATTGCGAGCGACTTTGGATGAGCCCGTGAATACTTGCCTGTGGAGATGGAGTTGAGAGTTGGCAGGGACCATGGTTCATGCAATGGAGACTAGGGGCAACCTGCCGAGATGACGCGTTTCGATTGGTCAGTTCGACATGATTGTTTCTCCTTTGGGAAGGTTTCCTAAGGCCGATAACGAGGTTACACAGCGTATTATATGTGTAACGCAGAACGAACATCAATGACTTGAGTCGGGCAGCTTATCTTCAAGTCAACGTATCAATCTACCTCACGGTTCCTGAGTGACTCTCCGCTTCACGATGCACATGGGGGCTCCTGGGAATGTATGGAAGTCACAACCACGGTGACGGACTACCAGAGGTGGTTTGCGCTGTTTGGGAATTGGCGCTCATGTCGCGCTTTCCCGAGCATGTTATGATGAGCAGACGAACCTTAAGTTGACACATGCAGCCTCAAACCTAATCTAATCTTATCTTACTGCGGTGATTACTGTATAACTTTCCGTTCTCCTCCCATCTACTCGCGCATGGCTCGAGATCCCACTGGCCTATTGTAAGTACCTCTCGTTGCAGGTATGCGAACCATGATGGTCAAGCGAGATTAGGGCGCTTTAGGTGCAGACAGAGTGGGCTGGCCCCTACCATTGTACCTCATCTGGTCTCGACAATGGCAAACACATTGTTCCACAACCGCAACACCGCGACCTGAGTATCTCAGACAGCCTCGAGTGCCCGTGGGTAATGAATGCTCAGCCTGGCCCTCACTACGCCATTGTCACACCATATTGACTGAAGTCTAGGTTGCGGATTAAACCATAAGTCAGCGCCCTCGCAAACACCATCGGAGAAACATCAACCACCAGTTACTTAAGGCGCAAACATCCCACCTCGATCACCACCTGCAGGAACTTACTGTGCAAACAACTGGGCTCAACCACCAAACCACATGAACCCACCACGACATCTTGCAAACAATCCTGTTCAGCCACAAACCACACGAAATCCACCCTCGAACGTCTTGTTTGCCATCGCAATTCCCTTCCCCGGCCTTGCGCCCGCTGTTCATCATGGCCCACTCCAAGGATACCACCATCGCGTTTGCGTTCGACATCGATGGCGTGCTAATGAAGGGCGTCAAGCCGATTCCAGGCGCACGTGAGACGATCCAGAAGCTTCAGGACTTGAAAATTCCCTTCATCTTCCTCACCAACGGCGGGGGGCTCACCGAGGAGGCGCACGTCGCCAAGCTCGGCCAGCGCCTCGATCTGACCTTCGACAAGAGACTGTTTGTCCAATCTCACACCCCCTACCACGACCGCGTCGCCGAGTACGCCGACAAGACGGTGCTGGTGCTCGGCGGCCACGGCCAGCAGATCCGCGACCTGGCGCACGCCTACGGCTTCAACAAGGTCGTGACTCCGTCCGACTTCTTCCAGGAGTTCGAACACATCCACCCCTTCCCCGAGATGACGCGGGCCTACCACCTCGAACACGGGCGACGCCACAAAGCACCGCTGCGGGACACCAAGATCGCCGCCATTTTCGTCTGGTCGTCGCCCCGCGACTGGATGCTGGACATGCAGCTCGTTATCGACCTGCTGCTGTCCAGGGGTGGCTATATGGGCACGCGGTCATCCAAGAACGGCGACGCCTCGCTGCCCAACTACGGATTCCAGCAGGACGACCAGCCCAAACTCTTCTTCTGCAATCCCGACTTTGAGTGGGCGACACGTACGTAACTCTCTTATCTCCTTTCCCAGTCACACCTGGGAGTAAGATCTCCTACACCACACCACCACCACCTCCCACCTCTTTCACGGGTTTTTGATCTCGACATGTCATACCTTTGAACTTCTCGCTTCCTATTGTATTTTCCACCTTTCCATCAACAGCATAAATACTGACTTCCAATATCCTACAGAGCACGAACAGCCGCGCTTCGCGCAGGGCGCCTTCCGCGAGGCTCTCTGCGGCCTCTGGGCGCACGCCACCAGAAATAAAGCAAAGATGCAGTACAGCGTCGTCGGCAAGCCGACCGAGGCGACTTACATCTACGCCGAGGGCACGCTGCGGGACTATCACAGCGCGACGCACGGAACCGGCAGCGACAACGACAACCCGGAGCGCAGGATCGGTCGCGTCTACATGATCGGCGACAACCCCGAGAGCGACATCGTCGGCGCCAACTCGTACGAGAGCCGCTGCGGCTTCGAGTGGCGGAGCGTGCTCGTCGAGACGGGCGTCCACGTCGCCGGCACCGTGCCCATCCATACCCCCAACCACACGGTCCGCGATGTTCGCGAGGCTGTTGAGTGGGCGCTCGCGGGCGGCGAGTGTGGGAGCAATGTTAATGGCGAGGGTGAGGATAGAGAGGATGGCGCCACGGATGGGTCGCGGTCTTCGGTCAATGGCGATGTGAGCGGCCGCAGCAGCAGCAGCAACCTGTCGGCGGTCGGCACGTCTGATACGAGCAATGTGTCGGATTAGGGACAACGAACCGACCGGCTTGTTTGCTTATGGGCATTTTGGCGCATAGACGTACGGGCATATACCCTTTGCCATTTGGGCTCGAGGCGAGCTCGTGGACGGCGTTCTTTGCTCCCATCTTTTATGTCTTTTGCTCTATCTTTGCTAAATGAACCTTTTGATTCTTTTTGCACTTACTTGGTGGTCTTGATACTGGGCGTCTACATGCTGCTGTCGGCTCGTGGTATAGGGGTTTTGGCACCTTGCTTGCGACTTGGGACGGGCTTTGCGGCTACCTAGACTTTGTCATATTTCAGCTGATTGATCTCGTCTCCTTTGCTTCGTTATCCAGGACTTGTGTTCAAGGACGTTCTGGGCGACAGACGGCTATGCATGGCCAGGTGTCCCAGTTCCTGGGCACGTGCCGCCCAATTCATGTGTAAATAGACCATCTAGCAGACAGTAGACCATGATCAATACCATACCACATTCCACCGTTACAATCCTATCTCTGGTGTCCGATGGAGGCCCGACCAACGCGAATATATGCGACCTGGTCCTTTGAGCAGACTTGGCGGACTCACAAGAGTGGTCAGTGGTCACGAGCACTGAAACTAAAGCTGTCCCTTTACCTACATCGTGAGAGAATGGGGTTTCTTAGGCTGTCTGGATTGGGGGAGTTGGGGTTTATACTACCTCTAAAGCCTGATAATACAATTTATCCCGTATCAATGGGCGCGTCCCCGTCCCAAACGTTGATGGAATTCCAGGTAGACACTTAGATTTGTATGCTGATAGGATAAACACTCTAAAAGAAGCAGCTGTAGCTCATGAGGTCGGTTCGTGTGCTCATCATGGAGTGTTTATTCCGGTTGTAATAACTTCGAATATCCTGCCATTCGTTAGAAGGCGTAAGTTACTAGGCGGGCAGGCGGGCAAGCGGGCAGGCGGGCAGGCGGGCAGGCGGGCAAGCGGGCAGGCGGGCAGGCGGGCAGGCGGGCAGGCGGGCAGGCGGGCAGGCGGGCAGGCGGGCAGGCGGGCAGGCGGACTTCTACTCCAAGGTTCAGTTTACACACGATGAGACAGGCTTGACTTTGCGATGCGCATATGCTCTTCTTATACGCCCCTATTCCTACTGTCAAGTCGAGACGGGCATGTACGTGAGGCTAGGCGGCTGGCGCTGGGCATATGTATATTCCTGCTTCGTCGGAGCTTGAATCTCTTTGGGGCTGTAGCCCACCGTTTCCTCGGTTCCGACTTGCTTGTAAATAAGCCTAGAAGAGAGTTGATGTATATGTCCTGAAGCAGGGCGAGAGGAACGATAAAACGATGTCGCACATACTGACCTGGATGCCGCAGCCTGCCGTAGCTTGAAAAGGGGTAAAAGTGATGTGCTGTCTAAGTGTGATCTGGCTAGATGGTCTGTCGAGATCACTTTATAGATGGAACAGTGGACCTGGAGTCAATAAAGCCAAGGAGCCTTGGACCACTACGTTGCGACAAATGATCTACTATACGCTGTCTACCTATATAAACGAAGCACATGTATTGCTGGAGGCACCGTATTTAATGAATGTGGGGAACAGACGCTGCCATCGTGTACTGGGGCACTCGGTGTTGCTAATAAAGTACTGCTGCTTTGAAACGAATATCTCTACATAGGCGGATAATAAGAACATTCGCACTGAACTGCGCAGTGAGTTAGTCGTAAATACAGTGAATTACTCATGTAACGATAGCTGCTCATACCAGGCGGTCATACCAATCACAATGTTGACGCCTTGATTACAAGTACACTTGCCGTCAACCCCATTCCTGTCCTCCTTCAGTACTAGAACCCGGTGACAAGGAGAGGGTACGAGAAGACTGCATCTGCGCCTGTGGTGAATACACCCCTGGTGACACCTGTCCTTCACCAGGTCTCGTCAACTTCACAACCCCGGAAATGGCTCTGATAGGCAAATCCATGCTCCAGCGGTCTTTGGCCGGCATCAGCCCGAGTATCCCCTTGATATTACGGCCGACGACCTCGTAGGGACCCTTGCCATTCAACCACCACGACTCCTCCAGGCTACCCAGCAGCACAAACGCCCGGGCAAACAGGGCCAACGCAGGCGGCTCGCAGGCCTCGAGGAGCTGGAGGAAGTCGATTCCCATTCTCCCCATGATGGGGCTGAGCAGCGATCGAGTGTGGTCTATATCGCCGAAGGAGTTTCTGTAGACATATCTCAGGTACTCAGCAGCTTGGATGTATGCCCTGCGTTCTTTGTCGGGTAGGCTTTCGACGCAAAACCCGTCCAGGAGATGCTGGATGTCGTCTTCCATCTCGCATAGCCACCGAAGGGACTCTGGAGAGAGCGGAGTCGGGTCCTGGGTTGGCGGAGGAAGGTCCCACCTGTCGAACCCAAGATCCCGGAAGTAACCAGACTTCCGTTGAAAAATAATGCGTGCTCCTTCAGCCATTTGGAACACCTGCATGGGAACACGGTATTCTTCCCCGGGTTGGGAGCGGTTGGTTAGTAGCCAACTCATGTATATCAGCATAATAGCCGCAAGAAATAACTGCATGGGGAGCCTCGGAGCCCCGCCGCCGCCGCACTGGGCGATCCACGTCCGCTGGTTCACCAGCGACCGATCGACATATTTCGAGAGCGACAGGGACAAGAGGTGGTCGTCAGGTGTGTGCGCGTGCAGGTGTAAGGCCGACAAAGCCAGCAGTGGACTCATCAAAATGTCGGACTCGAACGCCTTTTAGCAAGCGGAAGTTAGTGATAATTCTTTCGGCTTATTTTGATGCATTTCCCAAGAGCTCTGGCTCCAGGAACATCCCGACCAGGTGTTGGGTTCCTCACAGTGCTGTCTTAGGAAGGAAAGCAGCCATGGCGCTGAAGACATGAAAAGATTAGGAGATCAAGAACTCCTGGGTACGAACCAGTTGAGGGACAGTAATCTCCCATAGAGCTCTGCGATCTTGGCCGGCACACTGGGGCATTAGCTGGGATACCACCGTAACCCAATGATACATGAGACGAAGTTCGAGGCTGCGCAGACGACCGTGGTCTTCCGTTGGCAGAGACGTTGGTCTCGGACCGCAAGACGTGCCAGCCTTCGCCACCTCCAGACATGAGGGGCGAGCTTTGCTCCTGGGTGGCCTCGCGGTACGACGCGGTGGTCGCGGCGGGGCGTCCTGGCTATACTCGCATGCGTTGAAACCAATGAACCTTTTGCTGCAATTTCCACACACAGGCCTGGACTCGTCACACTACATATCCGCGGCTTCGTTAGTACTCTACTTTGGTGAGGACCTCCGTCACTGGTTGTTCAGACTTACTTTCACTTTGCGTCTGCGACACTCCTTACATCCTGTCGCGGGGTCTGTCAGTATCCGGGTACGCAGGGCACGTGATCTCCAGCTGTGAGGAGAGAGTGTCAGCACCTACCTGCGCGTGATTTCTTCAGCACAGGCCTTGTGGTGTCAGGCTCCAGCTGCATCTTGTTGGAGCTATTATCGCTGTCTCGGGTTCTGGATGAGGTGAGCGCCAATGGTGTGGATGTGTGGATAGACGGTGGGTAGTAATCCACCAGAGTCAACCAGCTGTGGGAAGCGACTCAAGCGAGGAAGCGAACTCCCGAGGTCCCGTATAATAACAATAAATCTTCAGCCACGGAGAGACTCGCCCCCGCCCGTGCCGCGCATAACCATGTACAGAATACGACAAGGTTGTACTGAGAGGCTGGAGCGGTGTACGTCTATGGTGCCAAGCTCGTAGGGGGGGAGACGTGGAAGAGTCCCAAATCAGGTTGGCGTCCCGCCGAGTGCACAAGTCGACAAGTCGATCTCGCGGGACGCCAACTTTGCCGACATTGATTTGTACACGGATCAGTTCCAGTGTTGTGTCGCTGCTCGTCCATAAGTGCTTGACGAGACTGATTACTTTGTCGAAGCCCCTGATTGCTGGAGTGGCCATTCCGCGCATTCCGCGAGCCAACCCTAACCTGGGCGCTAGAGCATCCTTGCCGATAATGCTGATAAGAGCTCCAGGAGAAGACTCCTGCTTACTGTTGTGTAAGGTGGAGTGTCCATTCGCACGAGATCGGGGGGTAGGACGTCAAGTGGATGATTCAGACCAAGTGAATGTCGAGGACCCGAGGTGCGTTCCCATTGAAGTCTGGAGATGACTGCCAGTCAACTCGTTCGGATACACGAAGGGTTTGAAAATGTAGGTGCTGGCCACATGCAAACTGCTGACACCTGATAGCCCCTGTGCCTGCCGTGACCTCCTCTGTGGCTTGTAAACTTGCACCGCCACTCAAAGTGAAGCCAGCCCGAGCGGGGTCGATCTGATATACTTCATTAGTAAGCAGCCCTACCCGGGCCTTAACGCCAGCACGGTATCGCACGCGGACTTTCTCCATCCCACGCGACTTTCTCCATCTTACGCGTCTTTAGCACCTTATTGGGCATGATATGATCGCAGCGCAACCTTATTCGGCCTCAGATGTCAATTCTAGGCCCGTAGCTCGATCTTTAAGACCTCTTTAGCAGGCAAGCAGGCAAGCAGTCAGCCAAGCTTGGTTATATTGTCGCCACGATGTCCGAACCACAAGGAAGCCCACTGGCGCAACCACATGCAGATGAGCCATCGCCATCGCCATCGCCACCTCCACCCCCCGCCACAACACATGTCTCTCAGTCTCCAAGAATAGCACAGTCAGCATCGCCAGCGCCAGCGCCAGCGCCGGAACCAAAGCCAGCAAAAGCGCCGGCAATGGCGGAAGCTCCGACTGCACCGCCGGCACCGATACCACAACCACAAGTACCGAAAGCACCACAGGTACCGGCACCAACACCACAATCACGGATACCGGATCCATCTCAAACATCGCAACCCACCCAACAAAAGGAAACGAGGCATGGCCTCCGACGGTTGCCAAACCAACCAATACAGGTACCCGTATTTAGAGTGCATCAATACCTAGCACCGGCACCACAGCCACGGCCAGCAGCAAGGCCAGCAACAAGGCCAGCTCGAGCTGCGTCGCCCTCTCAGCCAGCGCAGGCACCCCAAGTTGCTCGGAATGTTCAGCAGCCGCAGCAAACACCGCAAGGAGCGCAACCGGTCAGTAGTCGCACTTTTGACATAGCCTTGGCGACTATCTTGGAGTATACTCGTGATTGCTGTATATGCTGACCGTACCCTGTTCTATAGGTCATGCTCCCTCAACAGTATACTGCGAGTCAACAGCAGGCCCAACCATGTCAACCGAATACGACGAAGCCTTCGTCCAAGGCTGGATATCCGTATGTCGGATACTTGCAAAATGAGACACGAGCTCGGTTCTACAATATTCTTGCGGATTTGGATCCGTACAAAGCTACTCCTAAGGAGTTCATACACCTGCTGGTGAATGCTGCCATGCGCGACGCGGAGATTGGAAAGTCTATCTATCGCATGAACGAAGACAGGCTTCGCAATCCACAGACTTGGCAACCCATAAAGCCGCCGGAACCTCCGACCCAACAGGTTACGCCGTCGAAACCAAGCACGCCGCTATTAACGCTGGAACAGACACTGAGCTCACAGACAGCCATGCACCATCCCCCGCAACAGTATGCTCAATACCAGGTACCACCAGGGTTTATACCTGGCCCCAGTATGACGGCTCCCCAATTCATCAAACCTCCGCAACAGGGGTCGCCAAACCAATCCGAATCTCCCGGTACCGCCAACGTGAATGATAGTGCCATCGAGTTGGACGACGGACCATCGGAGCCGAAAGAGCAATCTTGCAACTTCACGTGGGTCTTAGATCGTGCCGAGACCCATCTGGGCTGGACAGGCAACTGGGACAAATGTTCCCAGATACGGCAAGTCAGTATTGGATACGATATCGCCCTTAAGCTGCAGAAGCTGTTCAAGAAGCTGAACGCGGCGATGGACAAATACCTGACGTTCGTCAACCGAGTACACATTCTTACCGTCATGCGCGAGATGATCATGGCCACTCTGGAGACAGAAGGGACGGTGGGCAAGGAGTGCCGCGAATGCGCACGCGAGTTCGACACCAACTTTGTTGCGGCGGTGAGAAAGTTGACCACAAATCAGCTGAAGAGACTCAAGGTCCTGGAGGGCGGGAAATGGGTACAGGAGCTACAGGACCTCCTGGACGAGGCGGAGAGGCAGAACCTGTTTGCACATCTGAAGCAAGCGCTGGTGTTGATCGACTGCTGAGGGATTCGGAATTCGGATGGGGGTTAGGACACCGGCGAAGGTTGATGCGTATACCCTTTGCTTGTATGGGTGGGATTTCCACATACGCCTTCTAGAAGACTGTATGAGTAAGGAACGAATGATGATGGAGAGCCACAGCTGATAAACGGATGTTGGGTGTAATCACGTATTCATGTTGGTATGAATGATGATAAATATTCAAGCTTTTGAGTCGAGACTTGGATCCAAATACGCCCCTAGTAAAGTCAGAAATGTATAACTTGCTGATGGCAAGCGACACTTCCCATCCCAGAATCGATCCCCAAAGCGATGTTCCCTGTCATGCACACCCTGACTGCTATTCCCATCATTCCGCTGGGCAATCAGGCAGTCCAAGGGTCAAGGTTATCGACGACACCATGGGCCGTATGATTCGCAGCTCAGGGGTCGGCATCGCGCTATTCCGAACTAGGCTGCTAATATCTGATTGGTCAGTCCAGCGCCGCCGCCAACTCGGCCTCTTGAGGATCCCGTCTGGAGGAACTCAAAAAGCAGTCTCAGTAATCATCACAGGGACATACCAGGCAAGAAGAGAGCTCCACATGTTATTGAATGGCCTACATGTACCGAGCTGTGCTGCCACAGCCCGGGCTGATGACTTGACGCAAGCGACGACTTCTGATCACCAAACTACATAGCTCAGGTGGAACGACAGCTCCGGCGTCTACTAGACACCCGGCCTCGTCGTTGATAACCTCGGGAGGTTATGATAGATCATAAGGTAACAAGTATCATTCAGGTGGTCGTGTTATTCCCGTATACGTTGACCCCCACTCTCTTGGCTACGCGCAGCGCAGCGGGACCTGGAGCGAGCTTCGAAGAAGCTTGTGATAGATCACAATCGTGCGAGATAGCCAGCCGGCTCACACTTGGACGTCGCGCCGGCATGATTGGATTACCGACTGGACGGCACGACTACGGTAGAGAGTCTGAGTGGCGCGTGATAAAGATTGGTTTCAAGAGGAGCGAGCCTGTTGGTGGTTCCCAATGCGGAAACCAATTCCTGATTGGCCACAGCTCGGGATATCGTGACGGCCTGCGCCGCCCAACTGCTACGACTACCATCCTGTTGTCGACGAGAGAGCCCATCGTCTCGGTCTGTTCGAAGACTGCGAGGCCGTCGCTGATGGGGGTGCTTCGGAGATGGGGACGCCGGTACGTGAGTCCTCGAGGGCCATAAAAGCCTCGATGGCCTCTGCGAAAATGATGGGGGAGAAACTGTGATGTATACCACAAGAGTTTACGAACACTTCTTTGCACTTCTTACTATCTTGCTCACTTTCTTATCTCCTTTCTCGCCATCGCTTCGCGCCGACAGGATGGGTGAGACTATCCGCGAGTTCCTCCGCGAGCAGTACCGCACCCTGCCCATGCTCGCAACGGTCGAGACGTGCCGGGGCAGGGCATACATCGTGACAGGGTCCAACATCGGCATCGGCCTCGCAACAGCGCAGAACCTCGTGCGTCTGGAAGCCTCTCGAGTAATCCTAGCCGTGCGCAACGTCGAGGCCGGCGAGGCGGCGCGGCGCCAGATCGACGCCGCCACCAACACTGCGGGCGTCGCCGAGGTCTGGCATTTGGACCTCGCGAGCTACGATAGCGTGAAAGCGTTTGCGCAGCGTGCGGCGGAAAACCTGGAGAGGCTGGACGGGCTGATCGAGAACGCGACGACTGCGCTGGATCGGTGGACTGCCGCTGAGGGCATGGAGACGACTATCACGGTGAATGTGTTCTCGACACTGCTGCTGGCTGTGCTGCTGTTGCCCCTCATGATGCAGACGGCGCGGCGGCACGAGAACGTGCCGCACCTGGTCGTCGTTACTAGCAACCTGGGCTTCGCGCGGCGTGCGCAGCTGGAGGAGATAGAGGACGACGTGTGGTCTGGGTTGAGCGACGAGACGACGTCGGATATGGACAGCAGGTCCGTGTGTGTGACGCCTCCATGATCGGAGAGCCAAGCGTCCTTCTCCTCTGTTTTGCCTTCCTTTGTCTGTACAAGCGGTGCGAGCGAGATGAGGGACTGACTGAGATCTGCGCCTCTAGGTACGGTCTCTCGAAACTGATACAAATATTCGCCGTGCGGCAGTTCGCGACCCTGGCGGCGCCAGCGCGAACGGGCGTCGTCGTCAACCTCATCAGCCCCGGTCTGTGCAAGAGCGGCCTGGTGCGGTACGCCAAGCTCAGCACGCGCCTCACGATCGGCGCCATGACAGCTGTTGTTGGGCGGACGGCGGAGATGGGCAGCCGATCGGTCTTGCACGCCGCGGTCGCGGGGGAGCAGAGCCACGGGAAGCTCTTGTCGGACTGCAAGATCAAGGAGTGAGTTTTCCATCCTGCCCCAGCGTGACAAGCAATGGTGACGTCGTACTGATATCCGTCGTATAGCTATTATATCCCTACATGGGTGACGGATGCGAAGGGGACGGCAATGCAGAAGCAGCTGTGGGATAACGTCGCGAAGAGGTTGGAGACCATTGAGCCTGGGTGTGTAAGCCGCATATTATAGCCGAGGGACTGACTGTATATATATATATATATAACGACAAGCTTTGCCTAGATTCCATTGAATGGTATGCATAAAAAGAAATTCTTCCTTGTGGAACAAAATATTGGAAATATATAATATGACAAAAAGCTCAGTGGGCCATCCGAGCCTAAGACGTGCCTTGTCCCGAGTTAGCCAACCCATCAACTAACCGCCAGCACGCCCCGGAATCGAACAGCAGACCTACGAAAAAACCCCCGTGAGGGGATTTGTCTCATACCCCACTACAACATAGGACCAGATGGGCTTGGGCTTGGTGAGGGGGCGATGGAAGATTTGGCTTGTATTGCAGTACATATGGCTGGTTGCTGGGGAACTCGACCTGACCTGGCCTGCTCCGCCCCAGCGTGATCACGCCCTCAGGCACCAAGGCAGGCCCATCGCGGCTCTGGTCCGGACGAGGTACTCGACAGCAGCTCTAGCATGCCATCTTTCATCGTGCCTGAATTGATACTTGTGTAGAAGCTATAGAGCCATTGCTCCTCCAGTGGTGTCCGATCTTGGCGATGAAACCTCTTTTGACTTGGGAGACTACATCGGCTCTCCTTGAACAGGGTCGCTCGGCTCGTCGGACCTGCTTGAGCAAAGGCCGGGTAAAACCAAGTCCCACAACGCCTCCCCTCGTTCATCGTGCAGGACGCTGACCCATGGGAAATCATGAAGCACCCGGCTCACGTCGAGCCAGCTGCGAATGTGCATAGCTTGAGCTGCCTTCGCGCTTACTGGTACAAGCCAGGTGTCGTCTGCATCCTTGAGTACCGAAGCTCTTCCTATGAAACAGGCCCAAAGCAGAATCGTTTGAGTCTCTGGATCATCTCCGGGGAGCGTCTGCAGGCTGGTGCCTAGTAGTGAGCGAAGCAGAGGAAAGCTGCCGAGTTTTCCGCCGTATTCAAGCCAGAATGCCACGATGAAAGCGGCGAGCGCTAGATGCACAACCCTGTCCAACTGATTGGAGAGGCATGTCTCACTCAGAGGGCTCACGGCGACAAGGCGATACCCCATTTGTATGAGTGTTGTTTGGAAAGCGTTGCCCTTCAACTTGGATACGAGACCAGCTCGGTCATTCAGCAGCCACGAAAGGCTCAAAATATCGAGCACGGCGCCTTTGAGCTCATTACCAACCGATCGGAATAGGCTTAACTCGACGAGCCGTTGTAGCTGGACAACCGGTACTTGATTGCGCAGGTCGTGGAAGCCAGAGATGTAGGTTACGTCCTGGACTCCAAACCGTGTTGGCCCTCCAAAATGCAGAGCAACTTCGAGGTCACAGCTGTTTGGAAAGTAAGCAACACACAAGCCTCCAGGGTATATCATCTTGGGGTTACCGTAGTGCCTTCTGAGCCAGCGTATCAAAACTTGTTGCTATTTGCGTGATTCCACCGCGAAGCTGTATCATCCGTGCCATTCCTTCAAAATGCATTCTTGCGGCGTGATACCGACCCCGAATGCGTTCGTACATGGACATGACGATCACCACTGCTATAGCGGCATCAGATAGCGCCTCACTGCCTGAGAGTTTCTGGTTGATCAAGCGGAGAGCACGGGACAGGTGGTAGAGAGCCATCGTGGAATCTCCTGGTTTTGCTAGGACGAGGTGATCGACACATGCCGAGCTTATCGCGATCGTGCAGTGAAAGACTGGTAGCGTCGATTAGCTGGCCGTGTGTGTGGTACAGGGAGCACCGGAAGTCCTTACATGCTTCGTCAATGAATAAATATTGAACCCATAGTGCCTCTGGGACATTACCGCTCACACAGAACGCGGGTGGGTATAGAGCCTCGCTGACGAGCGAGAAGACTGTCACAAGTCAGTGCTGACAGCTGACATGTCGGTTGGGTGGCTGGCGGGAGCAGGCATACACTGGTGAATGCGAGTCTTGGACTGCGGATGTGAGGCAGCAGGGAATGGGAGGAAGCACAGTTCGCTCGTAATCTGACGTGATATCGTGACGACCGAGTCTAGATGGCGGGTGTCACACAGTCCCGCCTGGCCACGCTGTCTGGAGACCGTTGTGACGACTCTCGAGTTGAGTCTCGCGCTTCTGTGTCTGGGTACGCGCGTCTTCCCTGTGTTCTTGCCTTTCATCACATGGCTGCGTATCACCTTTCTCGCGTCCCTGTTGATGACGGAGTTGTCGACAAATTCAAAGGACATGGTCTCTACATATGTACTACATATGTACTGCACCTGTTCTTCTGCTGCAGGAGAGGCTTGAGCTTGGGTGGCCCGTGGGGGCACTGTGGTTTTGATATACAAGTGTAAAACCAGAGGTAGCTCTGAGGTTGAAAGACGAGTCTTACATTATTACGTGGTCGCTAAGGACCCGCGACCCCGACGTCTCGTCGGAGCGAAGGGCGTTGCCTGATTGGTCTATAATATTGGTAACGATGTTTGCCCGGCGGGTGCAGGGGTCGCAGACGCACAGTAGTAACTGCTTCCATCAAGTAAAGTACGCTGGTTGACTGGTCCAAATTCAAAACATGAATAGAAAGCAAACCGTAGGCTCATGATACCAGAGGTTGTTTCTTCAAGGGCAGAATGCCGTTTCATATTGCGTGTAGGTAGGGAAAAAAGTGGAAGACCCGAGATCAGGACCTCTGAATTCGAACCGATGGAGAAGCTGTGCTCACCAATTTGAGGCGGCGGTCAAGCTTGTCAAATACCCTAAACCTGTCAATACTAGCACCTAGGACTGAGATCAAGAAAAAGAGAAAACCCTTAACTATACTCAATCATCGTACAGAGGTTTGTTGATTATCTTGTTGCCAGGCGAAGTCGCAATGTGTTCCCACAACGATTATGTGGCTGTCCCCTAAAGGTTCACGATGGCGTCAACCGTCGCGCGAACCTGGATGGGTACAGAGGTCTGTGCCCCTTCGAGAGACGGCGCCCCTAGTAGGAACTCTACCTTAATCAAAACACAGGAGGACGGGGAAAGCCTTGATGACATCATCGCAGAGAGTACCACCGTGTAAGGCAGTAATGACAGTGTCGATCTGTCTGTGAAAGAAGAGAAAGAAGAAGAAGAAGAAGAAGAAGAAGAAGAAGAAGCTGGGCGAGTGGGGATGGAATGAGCAAGTTCAAGGTGTTGCAAGTATCAGGTCGTTGATCAAGTGACAATACTGAAGTCTCCCGCGTCCATTCTTGAGCAGGCAGAAATCCCGTCCATTAAAGATCTGGACGGCCTGGCTGTAGCTGTCAGCTTGTGACTGCGAATTACCCCTGCCACCTGACACCTGCCACTCAGCCCTGCCATCTGCAGATAAGGCGGCACCCGATAAGCCACCTGGCAGCTTTGGACCTAATCAACTCAAGCACTCCACTGTGATCTAACAAAAATCGCCTACGATTCATAGGGCCGCCTCGACCAAAAACCTTGGAAACCTTGGGAGGAGGAGCCTCCATGTCGCCTGCCTAATAAAACCACCAAACCCCTCCCGATACCGTGCGCGGCCACAACCCCCAGACCGACGACTGCGACGGCTGCGACAACTGCGACGACGTGCCCACCAGTCCCTCGCCAACACGTTACCCTCGAGATCAGTCCGACTGCTTCGAGGCATCCCACACGGCACACGTGCCCCTCGACCGCCGCCTGCCCTTCGACGCAGCCTGTCCCGTGCTGCCCCGTGCTGCCCCAACGACTAGATCCCGCGATCCCGCCTCTATTACGACGATCCCGATCCTCTAGTACCCTTCACCCCGAACACCAGACAGCCCTGGCCAGCCGCCTGCTAGCTCGGCGCGGCAACAGCCACCACCGACGCGCTCATGTGGTGGTTCTTTCGCATCGTCTCCAGTTCCATCTTTCTGTTGACCATCATCCTCTCGATCCCCATATCTTTCGATGTAGGCGGGCGCGACAGCGGCCTGGCGTACAGCCTGTCGCTGTTCGGCTTCTATCTCCTCAACAGCGCTTTCAAGCTCGCCACACCCGACAACTCGCGCGTACGATGGACCCTTGTCCAGACACTGCAGACTCTGCAATGGGTCATCATCCCCAGTCTCCTGATATGGTCGCTGCATAACTTCGCCGTGGATGCGAGCAACAGCGACTGGGTATCCAGAACCATCGGCGGACTCAGCAGACAGAAGCCTACTACCTGGTCCGACTGGTTCTTTGGCAACGGGGGGCTTGTCGAGTCTGTGACTATTGGTGGATGGGACAAGACCTTGCGTTATTCGAGTCCGGTCTTCCAACTCGCCGAAGGCTTCTGTACCCTCCTGGTAATCCAGGCTGCGGGTCAAATCTCGAGATGGCTGGTCAATCGTGGGCGAAGTGATACTTGGGTCGTGAGTCTCCCCACCTTGATGGCCAGGCCTCTTTTTCCCATATCTAAAAGCTAATGCTCTCTAGCTTACTCTGTTGATACTATCCGCCTCCATTATCGCCAGTGCTGTCTACTTCCTGTGGCGAGTGGCTCTATTCCCTTCGATCAGCAATCTAGACGCTACATTGATCGGAGTGACGGTGACCTCAGCGGTCTTTTTGTGCGCCATGGGAATCGGCACGGGGCGGGGAAACCCCGTCGAGTCATCGCTACTCTTCGCCTACGTGGTCCTATGTGTCTACCAAATCTTTACCGACTATGTCCAATCACCGGAGGCCCAAGCGGCTGCTGCCGAGCAAGCTGCCACGCAGCCGGAATTCCCACCCTTGCCGCCAATCATCATGGCAAGCTACTCGACGCTCCTCCACATGGTGGGCTCATTGCCCTCTGCTGTCTTTTCGTCGTTGAGTCTCCTCCACGCCGCCTTCCAGACCATTGCGCCCTCGGTCATGATATCTCTCGTCTACAGGATAATCGTCTTCTATTGCGCGACTCGAATTATTCCTGCGGTGCGAGAGTCAGGTGCCAGGGCCCTCATGCAAGAGCCTTCGATGGATGATTCGGATAGCGCCAATCGGCTACTTGGCTTTCTGTCTTGGTTTTCGCCCTCAATCCTAATCGCCGTCTACACGAGTCTCCTGCTACAGCACTTCTCTACCAGCGATACTGTAGAAGGATGGACTCTACGAGACGGTGACGCAGGCGGCAACACGTGGCGCTGGGTTAATGTTGCCGCTACGATGGGTTTATACGCCATCGAGCTGTATCTGGGCAATGATGACGCAGATGGCAGCTTGGTCAATCATTGGAAGATAGACTGAGAAAGGGGTGTTTTAGGCCCACCGACGAGCAGAGGAGCAGGACAGAAGATGCGCCGGTATGGAATGAGATCAGGGCGCAGAGCTTGAGAAAGAGCTCGTCATGGGAGGAATATGTTATGTCGACCTCGACCGATTGATGTGGCTGCAATTCGGCAGTACCATTCGGGAGGTTCGGCTTGGGAAACTCGGGTTCACAGCAATTGGCGTTAAGGTCAGGGACAGTTATACCATCGAATCCGACCCTGTTTTTATTTATTATATGAGGCCAGCACCGATACCCACTGGAATTACGGTGCAAGTGCAACGATGGGTCCTCCCTCAGTGGATGAGAACAGCTTGCGCAGTAGGACTGCGGCCTCGGGAAGGTTATATCTTTGCTGAGAGCAATTGGATCAGGCTTTTACTGAACTGAAGAAGCAGTACTTCGAAACAGACCTACAGTTATTCATTGAATCTGAGGAAGTCCTTTTAGCCACATTCGCCATTATCCGACCTGACTCCCCTTATCTACTAACAGGTCTACCAAACCATCAGAAGGGCCTCTTCTGCTCATGTTGGACTTGTGACACGACGAACACGACGCATTCTGTGACACATCGATTCAAATGGCCTCGCTCAGCTGATCGCCTTGAGCTGCGCAGAATCTCGGGAGTTCTGGCTCTCAGCCTTGCCGGAGTAAGCGGCGCCGGTGCAGCAAGGTAACGTCGTGAGCCTCTTCAGGCCCTGCAGATGGATCCGCTTTTGGACAGCAAATAACAACGACCTCACGGGGACCCTTGCAGCTGGTTCCAGCCATCTCCTCTCCATCTTCCGCTTGGCTTTCCACAGCCGCCAGTGTTTTATGTATTGTTCTCGTTGATATTAGCTTAGAGTTCTTGTTTGCTGCTCTTCACATCTTACATCTTTACTAGTATACCTTTAGTACGACGTATCGAGAGGGCTATGGGTGTACAGCGCTCAAAATGGGGAAGAGGGAGCTGGAGCAGCTCCTCGGATCCTTACGACGGCCACGAAGCGGCGCTGAAGCCGGAACACGACGGCAATGCGCTGCTTCCGCACAAGGGACGGGGTGATGACTATTTCAATGGAGATATATAGTAAGTGACCTTATTCTTTGGATGCAATATGGCTTCTTGAAGCCCAATAGGTAAAGCAAGGCTTGATCCTCTCTTGTGCACTCCTGTATGTTGTCGAGTGTTCATTGACACCCATATAGTGATGGGCGCCCTACAGAAGAAGAGACTAGATGGGAAATCGACTCGTTGGTCTTTTCTACTCCGTCTCGTATGAATTGCTATGGCCGCTGACCGTGTTCAAGGAGTAATATGCCCTACTTGAGCCATATCAAGTCTCTATCCCACTTCTATCCACATCTACGCTTCCTCGCACAGTGGATGCAAGTGACGACCTCGCCTGTGAAATGGCAGTTCATCAAGTCGCAGCCTAACCTGGAGGCCATACGCCAGGAGCGAGCGAGTCGTATCAAGGTCGCGGCCGTCGACTTTGCGTCGGGACAGGGGCAGCCCACCATCGAGCGCATCAACACCCGCGCCGGTTTGACCGACCGTCTGGACAGTGCCCTGCCGTCCGGTACAACGCGCCTCTACATCGTCGAGGACCTCTCGCGCAACGTCATCGAGCTGCTCGGCTCGAGGCTTGACATCGACCCCCAGTTCTTCCGCGAGCAGATCAACGACTATCTGTGGTTCAACACGCGGGACCCATGGGTCGAGCTGCCGGATCTGGATGTCGTCGCTCGCAACCGGCCCTTCTTCCGTCTGCAGTACGTGCACTCGCGCTACTTTAAGAACCAGAAGATTTTCCGCGAGGCACAGGTGCAGGCGGGCATGTTCAACGTGCTGAGGAGGCTCGACGACGACAGCGAGCACGACTCGCTGTTCGATGAGCATGGCGCTATTATTGCCCTGGTCAGGAGCAAGGCTTCACTGTGGATCCGGCCGTCGAAGCCTGGGGAGGATACCGTCGGTGAGTCTCCATTCTGTGACCCTCTCCCAATACCGGGAGACCCCTCTGACGAAACAGGCGTCCTCCTCATCGACCCATCCGTCACAGCCGGACACCCCCTCTGGGGCGGCTACCGGCCCTTCAAGACGTCGCCGCCCCCGTCTGAGAGCAGCAAGGTGTACGCGTCGCCGCCGCGCGACTCGCTCTTCGAGGACCTGCTCTTCTGGATCGCGCAGATGCCGCCGGACGACGTCGACGCGGTGCGCGACAACCCGCGCGCCATGGCGCACCGCATGGTCCAGATCATCTGCGCCGAATGGCTGACGCTGAGCCGCTACATCCTGGCGCGGCTGGGCCAGATCGAGTGGGAGGTCGAGCGGCCCGACTTCCGGCCCGAGTCGCTCAAGGGCATCGACTCGTCGCTGTCCAAGTCGCACACGTGGCGCCGCCGGCTGCCCATCTTCAGGAACATGGTCGCTGATGCGCAGAAGAAGCTGTTCCGCGAGAATTACGGTCCCGGTGCCTCTGCCGCAGTGAAGGCGGTAACGGATTCGCCGGGTGGGACCGACTGCATCAGCGACCTGCGCGACGACTTCGCCATCGTGGCCAAGGGCCTCGAGGACCTGCTGGCGAAAATGGATCGCATCACGGCGGTGACGACGGCCGTGGCGGCCTTCGAGGAGAGCCGGCGGGCCGTGGAGCAGAACCGCGCCCTGGGCCGCCTGACATACCTCGCCGTCATCTTCGCGCCGCTGAGCTTCGTGTCGTCCTTCTTCAGCATGTCGACCGACGTCACCGAGCTGTCGCAGACGTTCTGGGTCTACTTCTGCGTCGCCGTGCCCATCAGCCTCGGCGTCTACCTCGTCGTCGACCAGAAGTGGACCAACTCGCTGCAGGGCGTGTGGAGGGGGAGGAAGGACGCCCTGGACTGGAGGGGCCGCCTGGGCCATGCCCGGGAGAAACGTCCCAAGCAGGGCGGCGGTAGGCGTGCTGGGGCGCTGGCGTCGTGAGGCGAGATACGACTGGGTGATGCGATGCGGAGAGGGCGTGCGTGTGCAACGTGATGATTGGGACGGTGGCGGCTATGATGCTATGATGCTATGACGATAATTTTGAATCATGAGGGTTACAACGCCTGTGGCTACATAGGTAGGAACGTGGAGAACAAACACATCTCGCCGTCCGATTGTGCCACTCGGGATTGCCCACCCGGTCACTTGCCCTTGGCGCACACTCCGGAGGATTAACCGTGACGCCGTGGCATTCCTATATCTCCACATGCACCCTGCACTCACTCGTCAGAGACTCAGAGCGGCAGGGCCGGGCCCCACAAGGCCAGACTCCAACGACGAAAGTTCCCTACTTTAAACCACGGTAAAAGTTCCCTACTCTGGGCCACGGTAGTAATGACTGACTTCGGTCGTCCCGTCCAGACCGAAGGTAGGAAAGGAAGGGAAGCCTCCAAGCTCACGGAAGTTCCTTGACCGGGGGATGGTAAGCCACCGTTACTCACACGTAACGAAGCGAACACGGTCTCCCGGCCGGCTGGTCTGTCCATAGGATGCGAACTTTAGAAAGATGAATATGTTCTTAGTTAGCTGTGCATATATATATAACCCTCGAAGCGCCAGCAGAGAAACCGATTCAGACCTCGACAGCAGACAACAGACTTCACACAAGCACCAACTTTCAACGGAAACCCGAACCAGACCAGACTTCGGCAGCAGACACAAACTTCAACACAATCACCAAACGCCAAACACCAAACCACAAAGAACCACCCATCAACCTGACAATGAAGCTCCAATTCCTCCTCCTCGCCATCGCATCCTGCGCAGCGGCTTTTCCAGCTGCTCCCAAGAGCTCTGGCTTGCAGGCCCGGAAAGCCCCAGGCAGGTGATGTCGTCGACATCTACCACCGAGCACTCCCGCCGCAAGGCCAGACGCTTGCAACAAGAGGCGATGGGTCTGTCCTTCCGAAATTCCCCCATCGCCTGTGTGATGATGATGATGATGATGATAGTGATTTTATTTATCGTGGGTGCAGTCCCTCAACAGGACAAACCACGCCTCCCAGAGCCATTGCATCGCAAGGTTGTAGAGGTGTCAGTCTAGATATATTCAGATCCGTGCACGAGCCCATCCTCGCTGTAGCGGTACCAACCTGGAGTGTCCAGATGGTTTTAGTCAATACCCAAGCACGATTCTGTCAGAAAACCCTCCTTTCCAGTGACAAAGCGACCCAGTGGACCTCAGTCCTCTGGTGTACACATTGTTCCAGTAGCCGTTCGATATATGTCGTATTGGTGGATGAAGCAGGTGTTTGTTATCTGCTAGCGAGGGAAACCACAAGGGGAAAAACCTCGCAGGAGTGGGTGTTATAGAGACAAGCTGCTTGGCTATTGGGCTCTGCGACAATGGGGCCTCTCCACTGTCGTGTGCTGGTTGTCGACTCGCATAAGCCGGGTCAGAAAGGGAGCCTTAACAGGATTCGAACCCACTTGTTCTCGTCGCCCACCGCACAAACGAGAACACAACCAGGCGCATTTGACCATTGCGCCATACGGCCCCATAGCATGTGTGATTCACTGCTTCAGGTACTAATGATCTGACGGCAGTTACGAGGACTTGAATTGGACACAAAAGGATCTGGTCAATCAGGTAATGGCCCAAGCGCAGCAAGGTAATTACGACGGGCAAGACGGGGCCACTTTCATTTTCTCAAGTGCTATGAACTCCGTTGGAAAATATAACGAAGGCGATGTGCGTACCTTGAGCAGGAAGGAAGACGACGAGAAGGAGTACTACAAAGATTTGGTGAAATTGGCGAAAAAGTACTCCTCATAGACGCTGGACGGAAGCACTTGGTGGTTGGCTGTTAGACCACCGATCATTGTATGATTAGACAGAGGCTGGCGTTGGTACGGTTCCCGCGTGGTGGTTGGTTTTCACACTCATTGTAGCCTCGGTGCTGGTTTTCCCATCTGGTTTTCCCAGCACCGCTATGCGAATGCAGAGGTACTAGGAAAATTAAAAGAAGCTATGCGCAACTTTCATATCAAAGCTTTCATTAACCACAGGCCAAAATAAAAGCTAACACCGGCCTGCTCGGTGATGTTGGAGCTTTAAGTGACTCCAACTCGACAGCAGTGAATGTACAATGGCGATTAAAAGACATGTCGGTAATGCCAGTGTATAGATGGACGCAGCACAGTACGACCAAGTGCCTTGACTGGGCATGTGGCATGGGAGCTGCCACAGAGAGGAAAACTCGGAACGCCAAAAGGTGTATAAGTAGGCGTACCTCATGAGTAAGCGGAGGAAGCTTACCTTACGCATGTACCTGAAGAAAGGAAGTGTAAAATTTTCTCCTGTGCACGAGTCAAAAAGGTGTGGGGGGAAAAAAGCGCCCTTCAATCTGTGTTAATTCCCAGTGCTATTCAAGCAAGTCTCACTCGAACCATTGACCTCTCGGTTTATGGCGTTAGGAGACTCGCTGAGCATCGGGAAGAAGATGGAGGTATTCTCCGGGGAGGAGCTCGTGGTTGCCCACGCTCGCACCAGCTGTTTGGGAAAAGCGTCCGTTAAAACAGTACATGAACCCTTCTGGTGTCACAGGACCTGAGCGATTGGACCGGGAAGACGCCGTGGTTATCCCGCGAGGATGAGTCGCGAGGAAGGCGCGTGGGTTTGGGGTGGATGTTGCGGGTGAGGAGCGTCGTTCTTGCCGTTGATGGTTCTCGGACGTATGGCTGGTGCTAACATAATTGCAGCTTGAGGTTGGATGTCCCTCCATCTTGAAAGCGGAAAGCACTTGGCTAAGGCTTTCGAGCCGTCTCCAACACGTGCTCACCCCCCAGCCTTTCCACCTTCTTACACGTTTGACTTATATGGGCAGCTGTGAGGTGGCTACGCTACCTAGATTCCTTCAGCTCACCATGGCCTCGCCTCATCCCACTCGCAATCGTTGAGGGTGCGGCGGCCAGTATCTACGGTCTGTTCCCCATTTCTTGCTGTGCCCATATTGAGCACCCGACAATGGCGTGAAACAGACTGTATTCCCCACCCATTCGATATCAAGGACATGGAGACGGTCATCAAGGTAGTTGGTTCGGCGTCCGTTGCACTGGCGCACCTGCCATCCCACATCCTTGCTGGCGCTGTTCAGATGATATGGCTCAGTCCAAGCCAAAGGTGGTCTTTCTTGGCATCCAGGGCTTACGATATAAGGTAGGAGGTATGCATATGATCTGGTGCCTAGACGAAATGTAAGTTGGTTTCGGCATGTGTTATGGCCGGCCGTTCGGACCACTTCCCTCTCGCGGTTTCCAGATTCCAGAATACACTGGTGGGGATGGGCAACGCTCCTTCGAGAAGTTCGTCAGTGGTACTGTCCCTGCCGCCTGAAAGGTACCACCGCGATGGCAACTGCTTCCCTGAATGACCACCTGCGTTGAAGGGAGGCCTACGTCGTTCTCATGCGCCGAACTTGTTCGTCCATCACAAATCAACCGCAACAATATCTTGTACTTGTCACGATAACGCAGCTCGATTTCTCTTTGGCTCTTTGGGTCGCGAGTATCATATTCCCTTCATTCGTCACCAGGCAACCAATAGTGTGCATCGTCTGACGCCTCACCATCGCTATGGAGTTATTCGAAGAACCAGCCAGAACACTGCACCACCCGAACCCTATCTACGACACCAGGGGTCCGAATCACGACGAGGGCATGTTTGCGACGGTAGATATTGCCGGACACCAGGCTATCTTCGCGGAAGTCCCTCTGATCAGGGTTACTAAGCCGCGTGCCGAGGACTGGTCGGAGTATTGGGTGGAGCGATAGTATCGGAAACTCAGTCTCACCTTCAAGGAAGCTTATGATAAGCTGCAACACAGTCCGGCACCATCTCGAGCCAGGAGGCAATATTGTGACAGCACGAGAGAGCTTGAAAGCAACCAATACTCTCCCCAGGAAGTCTTGGATCGTGAGCGATCCAGAGTCAATGTGATTTCGATCTTTGAGTACAACAACGCCGAGATTGAACAAGTCGATGTTCCAGCAGATTTTGGTCGAGTAGATCGCGTAGATCGCGCTGCTGCAGTGTTCCGGCTATACAGCCGCATAAACCATTCTTGCACCCCCAACGCCATAGGCATTTGGCACCGCGGACGTCAAATGGCTATACTCCGGTACGTACTCTAAATGATAATATCCCCTTCTCGTATCTCTCCCAGAGTAGCCGGCCACTGATCCCAGAAGCACAGCGCCCTACGAGACATCAACGCGGGCGAAGAGATCACGGTCGCATATATTACCAACACGGTGGAACCTCGCCAGTCTCGCACCGTTTGGCACAAGTTCTGGCCGTTGGTATGTCATTGCTCAGCCTGCGAAGGGCCAGAATTCAAAGACCACGAGTCTCGGCGACAAAAGCTCAAGGATATCAACGATGCCCTTGGCAAATACGATAGAAAAGAGACCTATCATGCAACCGCCTTCCCCAGTGGCATATCTGTTCCCACTGATGCCGGTACTGCATTCAGACTCGCTAAAGTGTATGTTGATACGATGAAGGAGGAAGACCTTGCGGATGGCCAACTATGTGTAGCGTAAGGACAACCCCGCAGCCGGAAACCAGTGGACACCAAGAGTATTGACAATACTTCACCAGGTACCAGAGATGCGCTGAGCTGTGCGGGGATGACGATGAAAAATTAAGTTTCGAACACAAAGCAACGATACTTTATCAGGCGATCACAGGAGATCATGATTTGCCGCCAGCAACGTGAAGTGGAGGCGGCTTAGCGACAGGAAGGGAAGACGGCTCTTGACAGGTCCAAACTCCACGTTCTTCAGTGTTCTGAAGCATTTGGGTACAGGCCAACCGGGTTTTTGTTTCTCTTTCCCAAGCGTATGTCGTCAGCGTTGCAAGCATTTAGGCTACTAGTATTGTGCGTCTCAGGCCTATAGGGGTGGTCTCATTCTGTTCTTACTAGTGACGCGCTTACTGCTGAGGTTGGCATTACATGAATGATATTAGCGATCAATTAGACATTGAACATCTCACTTGAATTACAGACTTAAGGATCGAGTCTCTCGAACCAACTGTGTTACTATGCTTAAATATGCTACAGCATCACCTACGCCTGCGAGGCAATTGGGGCGGGTGAGAGCTCGACCGCCATGCAACCGGGCACTGCGGCGAAGGGATCACATCAGGCAGTGAATTATTGACTAACCAAGGCTTGCGTTTATGCAACACAGCAGAAGCTGTTTACAGAATATCGACGGAGAGCGTCCAGCCCTCATGCCTGAAGATCACCTCTCCTTAGATCACGCATTCCCAGCTTGAAGGGTCCTTCACGTCCTTGCGAGTGGAGAACTTGCAGTGCGCCCTCTTGAAGTCCACCCCCAACTCCTGCGTCTAGTTCACATACGATGTGCTGGTAATAGCCTTCAGGACCAACACCCTCCTCAACCCTGCTCACCGCCGCCCTTATAAAGTTCTCGTCCGGGTCTGAGCTCGCAGACGATGCCCCCTGGTTCCCGATGAACGTGGCGTCATGACTGCCTTCCTCTTCTTCTCGTCCTCCATATTGCCCCCATTGCCCTTGTTACCCTGGCCGCCTTCGCCGCCGCGGCTGGGGTCCTTTCCTCGCCACTTCGCTTCGAACTTTTCATGGCGCAGTCGGTACCACCGTGATTTTCTCTTGTAGCTGCCTGATGACAAGTGGAGTGCATTGCTCGACTATGCCGTGGCAGCCTGATGAAATTCCACAGCATCGCCCGATCCCTCACTTTGCCATTAGATGTAAATCCGTTCATAGCCTTTACCACGTGAGAACAGATTGCGATTTGAACAGGCAACAAGATAATTGGTAATATTTTCCACTTCCTGTCAGCACCGATCCGCACCGCGGCACAGGCAACAAGATACCTGATCATCTTTTCCATTTTCTGTCAGCACCGATCGCTCCACGGGAGAGGCATATTATGATTGTAATCTATTAATGGTATAGCTATAAAGACTGTGTGTACTGACGTAGTAGGCTAAACCATCGTCCTTGAATTGCTATAAAAGCTGGGTAGTCGCTTGACTCTGCCCATGTTTCAATAAGCAGGTTGACATTACACATATACGCACACGAACACTCACCACTCACTCTCTCTCTCTCTCACACATACACACGTCCATTGAATCATCTCAGTTACGACAATGAAGTCCAGCACTACTATCGTCTTCTTCATCTCTCTTGCTTCGGCTTGGATGTCCCGTTCAAGCGACAGCGAGGTAGGTGCATTTTGAATCACTATCGTCCCCTTATTCATCTCTCCTGAGAGCAGAAAACCCTTGCCAGATCCTAAACAAATGCTGATGATATTTCAACAGTCCGACAACGACCTGGCCCACATCATTGACCAAGCTAAACACGATGGGGTTGACTCAACCTTTATCGCATACGACCCAGACCACAACGATATCTATCAGGAAGCATCCCGAGAACAAAGGAACCATTTGTGTACATATACATGGCCTCCGCGCCTGATTAGTATTGCTCCTCTCTGCAGAACAACATACTATTTACCCCCCCGTATGGTTGGCCTTCTGACAATATCATTGTCGTCAATGCGCTCACAGGGTCTGAGGTAGGTCGGATAGAAGCTTCCCATGGACAGAAGAAGACCTTGGAGAGCGCTGAGGGCACGGGGCGAGGTAGCTCCTCACACACCAGGGATTTGCTCGGACCCCGACGTTTTGAATGTGGTGTTGCAGGACAATGCCCCCAGGGGAACTCGGATTGTCCCCCCGACACGTGCGCTTATTGTACCCTCGATAGCGCTGAGTGTATCGAACTTTGATACAGAGTAGTGCTATCGTTATGTATAGCCTCGAGCGACCTCGGTGCAAGAGGACCGTTGCCCTGCTCCCCGACATATGTAGCTAGCAAGCCGAGATATCTTCATACACCTCAGGAATCTCTAGGAATGCACTGGAGCTGGGTTGTGAGACTATTCATTCGACATTGGGCCATATATAGCCTGGTGACTACCAGGACCACCACCTTCCTTTAGCATAGACATAGACATAGACATAGACGCGCGCACGCGCAGAATACACTCATCTTCGAGCCTTGAGCAGACCATTCTTGCCCTGGTAAGTGGAATCACCCTTATTGTGATGTGTATAAGTCAGTCACAACTGGCTGCATTCTCACACGGCCGTTGAGGGTGATGATTGCCCCGTCACACTGCTCCAGATCGCATAAAAGCAGACCTAGCTATTCTCAGGAAACCTAACGCTGTCCCCCGACGTCACCCGCCGTCCCGAGACGAGATGCCGGAGCCAAGTCGGAGCAGGGGCGCGAGCCGTTGCAGTCGGGCCCGCCGCGTGGTGCTTTCGGTAGATCAGATCTCCATAAGGACGGTCCTGAACCCTGTACTTCTGCGTCTTCGACCTTCAAGCGAAGGCATTCCTTGTTGGCCGGTTCCTCAAAACCCCTATCGGCAGTTGGGAGGAGGCTTGTTCATACTGTCGTCTCATCGCCTGGCTCTCGGATGTAATTCCCATAGACGCCCTAAGTTATCCCTCCTTCGTAAGACAAACCTGGATGCCACTCATGAATTCTTACCACCTGGGATCAGCGTCAGTCTCGCTGAAGCCCCCCGGTATACTGGTATCGGACTCATAGTTCGCTGCACCGTGGGAATACCGTTTCCTTCCATCGACTCATGGATGGGTCAGAAGTTCATAGACTACCACAGTGGTTTGCCCTGCTGACACTTGAGGGCATCATGAGTTTTCAAGCATGAGCCTTTGGCTTCGAGTTCCTACTGAGATTCGGCTCATTATAACTTCCCGCTATGGCTGTTATACAATGTGGGTGGCCCCCATAATCTCCAGAAGATTGCATGTCAACGTAAGGCCTCACCTGTCAAGAGCCCTGCTTTTGACTCTCGAAAGGATTTGTGGTCGTAGATAGAATACAGGGGGTCCCTCCACGTGGCATAAGCGCATGCCGTGACGTTCGGCGCCACCGGCAGGTAACTTATACCTTCCTTATAGCAGGGCGATTCTCCTTATTCATCACATAATTGCATATGATTGGACACATCAAATATCAAGCACGAATGGTCATAAAAACGGCCACCATTCTGGATCTGTCAAGTAAATGAAGCATCGCAATCAGTATTTTGGGCACCTCGTAGTGTTGGTAGTTTGCCGGCATCTAATCACAATTTAGACGTATTGTTCGACTCTTAGTAACTACTCCTATTGGACCTGGCCGTATGGCGCAATGGTCAAATGCGCCTGGTTGTGTTCTCGTTTGTGCGGTGGGCGACGAGAACAAGTGGGTTCGAATCCTGCTATGGCCCCCTTCTGACCTGGCTTGTGCGAGTCGATAACCAGCACACGACAGTGGAGAGGCCCCTTATCGCAGAGCCCGATAGCCAAGCAGCTTGTCTCCATAACACCCATTCCTGCGAGGTTTTTCCCTTTGTGGTTTCCCTCGCCAGCAGATAACAAACATCTTCTTCACCCACCAATGCGACATATATCGAACGGCTACTGGAACGATATGTACACCATAGGACTGAGGTTCACTGGGTCGTTTTGTCACTGGACAGGAGGTTTTTCTGACGGAATCGTGCTTGGGTATTGACTAAAACCATCTGGTCACTCCAGGTTGGTACCGCTATAGCGAGGATAGGCTCGTGCGCGGATCTGAATGTATCTAGACTGACACCTCTACAACCTTGCGATGCAATGGCTCTGGGAGGCGTGGTTTGCCCTATGGAGGGACTGCATCCACGATAAATACAATCAATCAATCAATCCTATTGGACCTTACATATTAGACTCGTTCTCGCTCAGAAGTTGTTGTAACCCCTATACCAGTCTCGTTGTCGCCCAGGAGTTGTTGCCGGGCTTGCTGGTGCTGCTGGTGCTGCTGGGGTTGCTTCCTATATTCTTTTATTTGGATCTTGGAGTCTCTTCGAACAAACACGCAGGAGATTATAGGTGAACTCGTTGGGCAGCTTCAGCTTTGCGAACTTTTCAAGTAGGCATAATTCCTCGATGCGCGGTGCGGCCAGGGAGGCCGTCATTTCGTAAAAGAACTTGTCACCGGTTGTGACGAAGGCTTCGCTGATGAAGTCAGTGAAGCTGGCGGCCGACCAGTTGGTCTCGAGTAGTTGTTTGATTTTGGTGTTTGTCAGACGACAGAGGGCTGAAATGTCGTAGTAGTCCGCCATTGTGTTCACAGATACATGGCGAAGCAAGCTTACATGCTTGTTGCTGGCTTGCATCCTTGCCTTGGTTTTCATTCCTAATGTCAATTAGTCGCGATAATACTGTGTGAGGGAGGGCGAATAGGGCGGTACCCTGATGATGGCCGGTCGATGACTCGAAAATGAGTCTTCCATCATTCGAATCCAGCTGATAATCGCCGGTGTACATAAATTCGAGCACTCGTTTGCAGGTCCAAAGGTCAGAATCACCGCCACGGTGTTAGTATGTGCCTCCTATATACATGTTTAAGTAGACCAATACTCACCAAGCCATCATGGAAGAAGTCCCCAATCCGTAAGGATAAAGACAAAGAAACAGAGCT